CCCCCCCGCCCCCCCCCCCCGGAACTAAGTACTTACATTATGCGCGGTGGGATGCAGATGTCAACCCCCAAGATTTTGACGTTTGGGTGGTTCCTGGCTAGAGGAAGGGAAGAAAGAAAAAGGGTGAGTATGGGAAGGTAAGGAGACTGGGGATTCCCGGGCGAGGAGTCTCACGCACCGACATCGAAGGCCCATTCCCCGTTTCCGAAGCCAATATTGAGGATCGTTGTCTGCTCGTCTCCAATGTCAATGGTCCTCATTTCCCCGCCGATTTCCACCTCGGCTTTGGCCTCGAGGAACCTTGCCGGCTTCCCATCGAGGATGCGTTCCCACATCATGTGGCTGAGGGCTGGTGTCTTGTGTGTGAGCTTGGGGAGGTAGGAATTATATCCATGGGGATTTGATCATACCACTGCGTCGCAAAGCCCTCTGTTTCACGTCGTTAGTTATAGATCATGAGCCACGAAAACACCCGAGTGACATACTATATCATGTAGGATATTATACACTTGTCGTGGCCCTGGGTTAGCTAAGTATTACAGCAGGCGTGTTGGGGGGGTTTGACTCTACCCCCTGTGTACCATCGAGAGTACATGGTCCAGTCATCCACCGCGTCCAGCACAATGTTTAGAAATCTTGACAAAACGCCATTAGCTGATGATTATCTTGGGTTCGGCGTTCGTAGGCTATACCGGTCATCCCTGATGGCTTCGGCAACAATGGAGTCTCTAGTCTGCTCCGGCATGGCGCGGAGGGTGCGTAGATGGTTTCCAGATTCGGGCCGCGTAGCCCGGCTTGACTTTTGGACACCTGAACTTCCTGACATGTTCGAGTAGTAACCCATTATGGGGCAACAAGGTCGAGGAATGAAGTGCAATATGCAGCAGAAGGGTTGGAGATTCAGCGTCAAGTTAGAAAGCTAAGAATAAGGACAAAAACCGGGCAGCTCTCGGAGGGGGAGCACAGTGAAATTATGGCCCAACTCAATTACCCCTTTTTATACGGCTGGAATGCCAGCTTGAGAGTCGAACATTAAAAGACCCGGCCATTGCCCCGGACTCGCATATATTTTCACAGTTTCTCTTTCTCGGCGGCCGAGTCTTGGACCAGAGCAGCCAAAATAGCAACACATGATGCCGCCTCCATCCGCTCATCCAACTAGCGAAAGCCCACGTCTGAGGCGTTTTGTCTTCAGTACCAATCATGGTCTGAATCGCAACCGCGCAGGATTTCCCACCGGGATATAGCCAGTTCGCAACTTGGACTTTTGGCATTCTGCTCCGGCTCAAAAGGAAAACAAACACAAAAAGGATAGAACCGAAACGGAAAAAAAAGAAAAGTCCGGGTTAGGAGAGGGTGTAGGTGCGAGGCTTGGCTGGTTGTGGAATCCGGTCAATATTTCATTCATCCATTTACGTTCTGCTGCAGGAAAAATGAGAGACACATGATCGCCGGGGGCTCCTCGATTCGAGCACCCGAACGAGCCTTACAGGGACACCCAGGATAAACATGAGTTTGGGGGGGAAAAGAGAGAAAAGAGGCAAAGGAACAAGCGAGACATGCATAATGGTCGATATGGGATGGAAGACTTGACAGCCGAGTCCCGCTCCCTCAAGTCTGAATGCACAGGATTAGGTACACAACAGATGCATCCGCGGCATGTATCTGCAGGCTACCTATGCGAACCTAGGTAGCTGACATTCAAGTTTGCTCCATCATTTTTGAGATGTGATATCGGTTTCCGCTCACGCCTCGGTTGCACAGGTCTGAGAAGCTCCGCGCCACCAAGCTTCGTCATTGGACACAGGAGTCGTCAATTTTATACATACCTACCTTCATAACCCAGCCTCGTAAACCTGCCAGAAAGAGCAACTGCACTCAACCAATAGTGTACCAGCAACTAGCACATACTCCCAAACCGAATTACCAACCTCAAACCCAACTGATCGACGCGACCCCCCCAGATCTACAGTCCCAAGATCGCCCACATCCCACAGATCGCGCAATCTCGGTCCTTCCTCCCCTCCCCCTCATTCTCATCTCCTCCATCCACTCCCTCCCTCCGATCCCCCTCCCCCCCTCCCCCCCCTTCCTCCCAAAGCAAGGATAAGGAGGGGAAAAAGCAAGTAATAATAATAATAAAAATGACCCAATCAACACGCCCCCACCAACCAGCCCACCCAACCCCAACCCCGACCCACGGCCCGCCCGGCACCGGCTCCTTCACCGTGGCCTGCCGCGCCCGCATATCCGCGCCGCCGTCGCGGTGCCTGGCCGTCGTCCTCGACGCCGCCTCGTACCCGCTCTGGAGCCGGTTCTGCCGGTCCTGCGCCGTCGAAGGCGGAGAGGGAGGAGGAGGAATGGGCCCGCCGGGGGAGATGCTGCTGGCGCTGGGGTCGAGGTTCGTGTTTGATGTGCATATGGACCTGGCTGAGGAGGCTGGGGAGGGGGATGCGGGGGGAGGGGCGGTGACGGGGCGGGCGACGCCGCTGGAGGTGAGTGTGCTTGAGGCTGTTGGTGGTGGTGAGGGTGATGGCGGGGGTGCAGGGACCGGGGGGCGGGGCGAGGAGGGGACGGGACGAGGAGGAGGAGGAGGAAGTGGTGGTGAACGAAGGGGGTGGCGTGTGGCTTGGAAGACGCGCGGCATGCCGAGTTTCGTGTTGCGGTCCGAGAGGGTACAAGAGTTCCTCGAGGCTGCCGAGGACGGGAACGCGACCGACTACGTGTGCTGGGAGACCTTCTACGGGATGCTGGCCCCGGTTGTCAGGCTGGCCGTGGGCCCCAAGCTCGAGAGGGGGTTTGGGGCGTGGATGGACGATCTCAAGGCTAGGGCCGAGACATTGCATTCAAGGAGAGGGGAGGAGAGCGAAAATGACGCAAAGCGAGAGATGGTGTGACACTGGTTCGGTTGTGTTGGAGAGCGAGACATGGCTTGAAAGAGGGAGACAGGTGGGGGAGACGTTGCTTCTTCCTTTTGCACACTGACAGTAACTACCCTACTTTCCGAACACGTACCACCCCGTCATCCTCCCCATCCGAGCGAGACACACAGGCACTCACCCTCAACTCCAACAACCCGAACCCCATGCCGGACGGGAACTTCCGTCACGCACTCGGGACCGTCGGCGCGCCCTCGAAGTAGGCACTCGTGGGCGGCTCGGCGAGGCCCAGTGTCGCGGCCGTCTTTCGTAGCGCCGCGTGCGCCGAGCACTCGCGGTCGTAGAACCTCATGTCCTCGAGCGTCTCGAACTCGCTCTTGGCCACCACTGTGTACCCCTTGGAGCGGTCGTCCTCGAGCGCCCTGCCCGCGCAGAGGTAAGGGATGTACGGCTTGCCGTCCTGAAGGAGGGGAGCGAGCGGGTGTCCGGGGTCAGCCAGTTGTCCGAGAAGAAGGAAAGGCAAGAGACAAGGTACTGAGAAAAAGAAAAGAAAACCAAAACCCCCCAAAAAAGTGGCTTCTCGTCTGCATTATATGGGAAAAGGAGTGGCAGGCTACTGCGTAAGCAATCTGCAGGGGACGGACAGACCTTGGTCTGGTCTCTCGCCAGAACCTTGTAAGCCTCCAGCAGTTTGTTCTGGTTCCCGGGATCGGGAATTTTGAACAGGGTTACACGGTGGATTCGGGAGGCCATTTTTGTTTCAATTGATACGTAGTTCTTTCGATGGGAGATGAATGGTCGTCGAGGTTTATGAACCACTTCTTTATTTTTCACGTCTCTCTGCACCAGCAAGTCGCGGTGGAAACGGATGAGGACGACGTTATAATGTGAAGTTGTAAAAGTCCGGACTCGGAGCTACGTAAGGGATCGGGGATAGCAAAGACATCTCTCGAACTGCCGTAGATACCCGGGCACTTACATCCGACGACGACGATAACGTGTGTACCCGACGAGAAGTGGGCCGCCAGGACTTCAATGTTGAGGGGAAGCTACCTCCCTACCCACTCCTGGGCGCCAATAGCCACCTTGCCTGCAGGAGCTCGGCATTTGCTACCTGCTCTCGTATCTACTGCGTAAGCCAAGTATTCTCTGCCTATTGCAGTTGCAGTTGCAGGGCGATGGCTGCTTTCCTTCCGCCTCTTTTTGAGGTTCTCCAGATCCCGAGGATCTGCCCCGAGACTTCCGTTCCTGGTGGAACCCGGCCGACACTTCAGCGGACTGCCCCACCTCTTAGACTAGGGACCTAAGCACAGCAGGCACGGCTATCACCAGACTTTCATTGCTTCTTGTCAGCTAGCGAGTTCACCGGCTTCATGTTCTGTTTCGTGGTGGAAGTGGAACAAGATGTGCGTGCCGTCAGACCTGCAGGCTCTCGGGGTTGATAGATAGCTACCTAGATATTTTTGGTAACTTCTTCGCTTGCTCAGAATCTGGTGGCTGGCCATCCGAGCCTCAAGCCACCTCTCATACTTTCTCCCAACTGCGGCACGGCGAAGTAAGAACAGCCGAGATACCCCATCCGTCGTGATGCCTGAAACCAAGTCTATTGACCAGTGTGCTGCGTTTCCCATCCGAATGCATGTCTCTAACTCCGGGCCCCCCTCATGCTTCACGATGAATGACGCCCAAACTCCCCGAAATACGCCGAGAAGTAGCCGTTGCACACAAGGCTCCGATAAGGCACCACAGAAAATCGCTTTTCCGAGACCTCCCCGATAACCTGATAATCATGATAATAAGCAAAACCCCGTCAAAAGAACCGGCGGCAAGTCATCACATGTCGTTGTCGACGCCGTCCATGCCCGCCCTGTGGTGCCTGTCCGCGGCCGGCACGGCGACCCTCGCAACGACATCGTTCATCTTCTCGATGAGCTCGGGCATGCGGTACGGCTTGACGAGCACGTCGTCGCAGCCCGCCGCCCTGGCCTCGAGGATCTGTTCCATCCTCGCGTTCGCCGACACGGCGATGATCGGGATCCTCCCGCCCCGGATCCGGCCCTGGCCCTCCAGCTCCCGGATCCGCCGGGTGCACGTCAGCCCGTCCTGGATCGGCATCTCGATGTCCATGAGGATAAGCGAGAGCGGGAACTTCTTGCCCGTCCCGCCATCCGCCGCCGCCTCGTCGTTGGCTGGCGTCGCACCACTTCCGGCGTCGTCCGCTTCCGGCGGTCCGGCGAAGCGGTCTGTCAGCCGTAGCTTGTCGAGCGCCTCGACTCCGTGGTTGGCCACGTCGACGATGAACTTCCTCTCCAGGAGCCCGCGCCGCGTGATCTGCTGGTTGATGAGGTTGTCCTCGACGATGAGGACCCCCTCGATCTCCGGACATGGAGCCTCGCCGGGCCTGGCGGTGCCTCGTCGGGATGGCGGCGGGATGGCAGTTACTGCCGTCGTCACGCCTTCTTTGTCCTTCACATCCCTCCTCCCCCTGAATGGTGTAGTAGCCGCTGCTTGCTCTTCTGCCGCCGCGGCGCTGGCCTCTGCCTCCTCGATGGATGCGCTGGTGGGTACGTAGGACTCGATGTAGAAGGCAAAGGTGCTTCCCACGCCGGGCACGCTCGCAACGCCGATGGCCCCGTTTTGCAGCTCCGTAAGCCGACGGCTGATGAACAGGCCCAGCCCCGAGCCGCCGTACTTGACGTGGGTGCGGCTCGAGGCCTGGACGAAGCGTTGGAAGAGTAACTTTTTCTCCTCCTCGGTCAGCCCCTGCCCCGTGTCCTTCACTTCAAACATTAGGAAGATGGGATCTCCACGCTCCCGCAGCGCAGGCTGGCCGTTGAGCTCCCCTTCGCACGAGTCCTCCGGGTCCTCGGAGCGTGGTATGAATTGGACCGAGCTCGACGCCTCCGTGGGGCGTGTCCTGCTCGCGCTCATCTTCACCGAGACGTTGCGCGTCGGGCCGGATTTGGTCGTAAACTTTAGCGCGTTTGTCAGCAGATTGATGAGGACCTGCTTGAGCCGCGAGGGGTCAAAGTCGAGGTATTTGAGATTCATGTCGTGATAGGAGCGGTCGACCTCCATGCTGAGATTGATGTCAACCCGCCGGGCCTCGATTTCAAACATCTTGAGGGCGTCCTGGACGACCTCAATGGTGTTGACCGTAGTGGGCGTCGGCGCGACGAGCTTGTAGCCAAGCTTGGACATGGTCAAGATGTCGTCTACGATGCGCCTTTGGTGCTGTGCGCAGGCGGCGATCGTCTCTGCATTATCGATGCAGTTGTCGATGAGTTGTTCTGCCTCGGCTAGCGCATCTTTGGCTTCCCGGTGCTCAGTAGCTATCTCACCAGTAGCGAGATCCATCATCTTCTTTGAAATGATAGAATCTGACGCCAGAGGTTGCATCCTCACGAGTTCCTGGACCTTGGAGAGGGTGCCCGTGATGGCGTCTGCGCAGTGGACGATGGCGCTAAGGGGGTTGCGCATCTCGTGCGATGTCATGTCGATGAAGTTCTCCTGTTGCCGTTTTGATTCGAGTGCGTCTTCCTTGCGCTGTTTCTCCCGCTCGAGCTGCCATTTTTGGAGGGATACGTCGTCCAGGCAGCCGGTGAATGACCCGATTACCCCCTCTGAATTCCGCACGGGCAGCAGGGTCACTTGCACCCACCTTGGGGCAACGACGCGATGTCCCGCCTTGTCCTCGGCCGTCCATGGCATCTTGAAACGGACTTCGACGTTCTGCACTTTCCCTTCCGCGACCATGGCCTCCAGTTTCTCCCGGAGCAACGGATAGTCCTCTTCGTAGACACACGTCTCCCACGGCTTGACCACGACATCGTCTAGGTCCACTTTCTCGAGCCCGCACATCTCGAGGAAGACGTTGTTGGCTCCAAGCAAGCGGCCTTGTAGGTCCATATCGTACATGCCGACCGTGGCGAATTCCGCCATCCGCCTAAAATTCTCCGCCTGTTGGGCCCGGCGGATGGCCTCCTCCGCTGTCTTCTTGTGCATTGTAACGTCCGTTAGGCAGGTGAGAACACGGACGACACTGCCGTCGGCCGCACGCTCCGCTTCGGCGGAGGCGAGGACATAGCGCTCTGCCTGGTCGTCCAATGCGGGAAGATCGAGATTATTCCTTTCAAAGCTTGGCGAAGTCTGCGTCCGTGGCGAGCACTGGCTGCTGCCGTTGCCATGCCTCTTGACACGGAACTCAAAGTTGACGTTCCGAGTTCTCTGCAGTTCCTCATATGCCCGGACAACGATGGGTTTGTCTTCCTCCACGACGCAAGATAGGAGCCTATCTGTTCCCGCCGGGCGTCCTGTAATTCTATACCAGGCGGCGTTGGCATAGTCGATGTTTCCCTGAACATCCCCGAAACACATGCCAACCGGAATAAACTCTGCTACCACCTCGAACTTCTGCACGGATTCCGTTGCCTCCTTCGTCCGCGCGTCCAGCTTCTGTTTTAGCATCGCTTGCTCATAAGCAGCCTGTTCCGCCATATTCCTCCCTCTCCTGGCCTCCTCCTCCAGCAGGACAGTCGATGCCAGAGAGGTCGTGAGCTTCTGGTTAAGAAGCGCGACGTATTGTTGATAGTTGTTATCATACGGCCTTCGAGGGTTGAGACCTAGGAGGAGCAGGCCCATGACGTTCTCCTCCTTGGTCGGCCGGAGCGGGCAGATGACTGCTGCCCTACACGGGTCGCCAAAACCTCTCCATTCGAGGTCTTCGAGTAATTCCCTGGGGAGGCTGCCGTCCTTCGTTTGCACGAGTAGGGGCTGTTGCACCCGCAACGCCTCCCGAAACATGAGCGACAGCCCTCCGTCGCTTGTCCGCAACGCGAGCTTCTCCGGGATGATTGGATGCCCGGCGGGGACGCCCAGTGATCCTTCCAATGAGCAGATCTTTGATGACTCGTACTTTCTGGAGCCGTGAGTGAGAGCGTCGGGGTCGTTGCTGACGCTGTAGAGAATCACGAGAGGGATGTCGTGCTCCGGCTGCACGGCCTCGAGTTCTTCGATGGTCTTCGCCCAGTAGCTCTTGGTGTCGCGCGCCGTGATTAGTACATTGCCCAGCTCGATCAGCATCTTGGTCCGCCTCTCCCAGAGGCGCGTGCTGGTTGTCTCCAGCACGGGATGCAGGAAGCCCAGGCACTCGTCACCCTCGGTGATCGGGGTGATGGACCACTTCAAGTAGGTCTCCTCGAGCCACGTCGGCGCACCCTGGGTGTCGTCCGACTCCTTCTCGACGAAGAAGCGCCATTCCTGCTCCCGGCTCGGCCGCCGGGCGGATGCGCAACTGCACATTGTCTCCTTTAGCCGCTCGCATACATCCGGCCATGCCTCGTCGACCGGCTGGCCCAGAAGGTGGGGATGTTTGCAGCCGCACAGCTTGCTGAAGGCCTCGTTGTAGATCGTCGTATAAGATGGGCCCCAGTAAAGGGCGATTGGCCGGCTGTCGGCCAAGACCTGGTTGAACATCTGTTGCAACCGCGCAGGCCAGCCATCCATGGGCCCGATGGGGGTTGACGCCCAGTCAACATTGCGTATGGCCTCCAGGAACTGCAATGACTCAGGCATGGTCTCAGCCGAGGCACAGCTTGGCTGCGAGGGCCAGTTGGAGATCGTCAATTTATGTGCTTGAAATGATCTTCGAGTCGATTCGGGAAGTTTGGGCCAGTGTTAGGAAGCTTCTGATTGGATAACGGTCAGGAAGCGGCTTGGGTGGTAGATTTGGCTTGACGATCCATCCGAGCGCATGTTCTCTTCCACAATGACCATCATCGTCGCGGCCCTCTCATTCAATGACCACGATCGTTGCGAGGGGATTTAAAGTTCAAATTGGCCTGCCGTTTTGATTGCACGATGGTTTCCAAGGATAAAGCTAGGACCTCTAGGGTGACGTCATTTCACTTCTTAGTCGTTGGGAAATTGCGGAGCACCAGCTGCAGGTCTAGACTCTCGAAGGTTCCGTTTCCTCTACAGACAGCCGCTCTGACCATGCGAGCTACAGGCACAAGAGGCACCAGAGTTGCCCCTATCAAGTTTTGGGGTATCACCTGTACCCGAACCTCCGGGATTCCCCTTTCGACCCATGCTGAAGCAAGCCGCTATTTTCCAGCGCCAGAACCAAGGAATCCCCCTCTTCTTCTCATGCATTCTTGCGTACAACGACGCAGGATATGAACTAGGGCAAATTGGAACTCGCCATTGGACAATACCATCGCCGGCAATTGGGCCGATCGAGAATCAATTCTGCGGCTCTCTACAACGTGACCCTTTTGGGCTACAGGCTGCGCTAACTGTCCCACTATATAACACATCGCCTTACTCGTATACCGGTATGCTAGCGGACGATAATCTCCGCCCAGGTGGTAAGAACTAATTGGCACAGTTTCATGATTGCAAGTTCGGAGGCGAGGTCCCTACTGTGGCGCATGGGGCACATCGATGGCCAATACGGGTTAACTAGGAAAGGCAACCAAAGACAAGCCGAACGAAGTAGATGCTCGAATCGGATTGGTAGGAACGCCGTGATCAGTCTTGGGACTCTGCCCATCGAAAATCCGTCCAGACATCCCAATAGGTAAAGAAGAGGAGAGACCTTTTTCTCCGCCAGGAGAGCCCAAGCCCAGCGAGCATGACGTGTCGGGGTATAAAAGGAGCAAGTCACATATCGTTATACACAATCACTCTCGGCAATTGCTTCCCACAAACCATCCACGCCCATGCCGCGCTCGGGCCGTAGCTCGTAAGAGTCGAATACGCCCTCCCATAGTCAGCCCTCTCGAACAAGCTCTCGTCCGCCCTCTTCATCTCGGCCATCTTCTCGGGCGTGGCAAGCGCCAGGAAGTGATCTCTCTGCGGCCCAGGGGGGAACGTCCTGTTAACGATATCAGCAACGGTGTAGCGGCGGCGGCGCATTGGTTTGAACCCACAGCGCATTGCCCAAGATCCCATGACATAAGCTTGGCTCCTTTCGCAGAAGCCCCTCGTTCCAGACACAGTCCCTTCCCTTCTTAATGGCCGTGTCAATTCTATCCTGCAAGGACGGGAAGTATGGGCGGAGCGACAGGAGCGACAGGATGAATCCCGGTGCCCCGTGGCAGAACTGGACCAAGCTCTTATCAGTGTGTCTTTCCGAGCTCGGCCAGTTCCCGTCCGGGAGTTGCAGGTTGAGCAACCTGTCGAGGGCCCGCTCTAAATGCGGCGCAAGGGGCGGCGTCGTGAGAACAAGCTGGGTGATGATGCCTATGTCCCCGTGCACGGCACCCACATACCGATGCCCGTGCCATTTCCAGTCGGGCCCGCTTTCCATGATCTTGCTAGTCACCATGACTATGGCGCGTTCGACGAGCGGGGCGCTGTTGGGCACCCAGTGCCGGATCATGCGCAACAAGTACAGTGTCCCGGCGCGGCCATAGAGGATCTCGTCGGGATACTCGCCCGAGAGAACAAGGGACATGTTCGAGATGAAGTCCCTGACGTGGGATAGGTCTTTGGAGACGCTGGCGCGGACAGCCTCGAAGGCCAGTTTCTCGGTTCCAACTCCGCAGTCCTTGGGGGAGAGCTTGAGGGCGCCTCGAGAACCTCTGACGTACTCTTCAGCCCATCTGATTGCAGGCTGGCCGCCTACCAAGAGTCTGGGGTGCGCGACGGAGACGTGGAGGAAGAGGTAGGCCATCCCAGTTGGGCCACTCCACAGCCCGTGGAGCACGTCTGCGGCGTATTCATTGCGGGGCCCGTAGTTGGCGACTATGTCCTCCAGTGCTGCCTTGAGGTAGTTGCCCGTGTTGCTAACGTTGAGCAGGCGAGGGAAGTCATTGGCAACATGCCTGGTATCCATTTCCCGTGAGGGGCTCGTCAGGTCCTTTTTGTCCCTAGGGCTTTTTGACAATCAATATCGGCCACAACTGCTGGTCGGTGGGAAGTTCATATCCTGCCACCCCGTCGCCGGGTCCGGTTTGTTTAATGCAGCGATTACGGAGTAGACGCGAGCTGGAAATGAGGTGGGGACATTGGCTCGCTGTTTATCTTTGACGGCCGCCCAGCCTTGATTGATGGAAGCTTGGGTGAGCGCGGAGGATATACCTTTAGAAAGTGGAAAATAATGGCTCGTTCCTCAAGGCTTTAAGCAGGTCGGGTCGAGTCGAGCATTCATCACGATACCTACTGTCTGTCACTCCCATGAACTGCCGCTCAGGACGAGGGCAGAGGGGGGAATCGAATGATACACGCTAACTGTTAGTGGTAGTAGCCGGGGGGGGGGTTAAGCCACATGTTTAAGCCACATCACATGCAGCTTGCATTGTATCACGAGCCACCCTTACGTCATCGCCAGCTGAACAAACAATGGAACATCTACGTCAGATGCTGCCGCCATGGGATTTGTTTGATCATTGTCGCGGTCATGACTTCCTGGTCTCTAACCTATGTCAATCTACTCGTACCTAGTATTATATAGTAGCTGCAGACCCATACGAATATAGAGCGCCAACTTACAGGAAATCAAAGATACACAATCTGAGGTGTTCAACAAGGTCGAACTTCATTTGGAATATTTAGAGATATCACAAGTTGGTCTCATCTGTTTGACACATTTTCAGCTCAACACACGAGCTTTTCAACCCCAGCCAGAATCCCGTGGGCCAACTTCGAAATAAGACCCATCGATTACTGCCACGATGTCTGGAGGGTTTGCTGAATCTGTCCGAGCTAAGGCTCAAGAGGTCACGTCAGTATTATCCTCCCCGAGGACGAGTGCATCGACCAAGCTGACGAAGAAATCAGAAAGGAGGACTTCGACAAAGGGAAAGTTCTACTTTCGGATGCGGTTCGAAGTGGCTCCTACTTCTATCCCATTACGGGTATCTTCTACCTTGCCGCTCATAAGTCCCTCTGGAGTCCTTTCCTCTCACGACTTGTTCCGGCCCTCAGCCTCTCGGCTGGTGTTGTGGCTTCCATGTTCTTCTTCACCTACGTGCCGCAGCTCGCCGTCCTCGTCTTCGTCAACGGACCCCTGGCCGTATTTACCACGGTCCTCCTGGTTCTCAACGAGAGCTCGGCCATTGTCTCCGTCCTATCGAAGAACTTCTTGATCCAGGACGCCCTCCTAGACACCTTCGATGGAACACTTGTGGCAAAGGGCTCTAGCAACATCGTAAGCGAAGGCCGACAACTCAAGTCAGGTGGCGACCCTATTCAGAGGCTCGGCAAGATCCTTAAGAGTCCCTTCGACAGCTTCAATCTTAAAAGTCTTGTCCGATACGTCATGTACTTACCGTTGAACTTCATCCCAGGTAAGTCTCCCTAGTCTGCCATATAATCGGGCACAAAATTCTGACTCTGTCTGGGAAGTGGTTGGCACTGTGATTTTTATCATCTTACAAGGTAAACCAGTCGGCTCCGAGTCGAGATGATCCACACTGACACCCAGAAGGACGAGCAAGGGGTAGAAGTTCCCATGACCGTGTGAGTGCTGAGGAATTTACTCAAAGCTGCCTGCCCAGACCGGGAACTAATGATCCGTGCCAGTACTTCCAACTCAAGAGATGGTCGTCTTCCCAGAAGGAAGAATGGCTGAGAGAGCACACTGGAGCTTATACCGCGTATGCCTACTTTTTTTTTCTGCAACAGAGACGGCATCTCGGTTACTCTCACCTGATTTGCTGTTGGGAGTACTAACCTTGGAGTTACATCTCAGATTCGGAACCGTTGCGACACTCCTAGAGATGATCCCTTTCGCGTCTTACTTCTTCTCCTTTACAAACACGGGTAAGCCCCATCAGAGATTTGGAGCGGATAGGTGCAACAAGCTAACTGAGGCCCTTTCCCCTCCGTCAAGTCGGTGCTGCGCTGTGGGCTGCCGATATCGAAAGCAAAGGTACCGAAATGACTTTGAGCACTGCACCGGAGCTGCGCGAGGTGGCCAAGAAAGCCGAGTGAGGGCCTGCTACTGGGTATGACCGCGGTTGCACAGCTCCAAACGGGTTGCATCTCGTTACGAGCGGCAGGGCGGCTGTACGAGTAACGGCTTGGTCGCAACTTGACAGTGCCGGGATGCTGTGAAACGATTGAGTACTCTTGTTTGGGTCCGGAGGTAAGGCGTTGTTCGGCAAGCAAGGTTATGGGGCCATGGTCTTGAATCGCGAGCTTGGGGAGGAGTTGGTTGGCTAGGTACAGTTACAATGGATTGATCAATTTTCCATTTCTTTGACTAGACCTTGGTTATTCTCGGTTGCCATTATAAGTGTTTATCCATTGGATGGGGTAGCTGATCAATCCCCTCTGAATTCCTAGCATCCCATCTTCTTTACTGCCGGTGCCTGTGTCATCAACCCGAATGCAACCCGTCGGCCCCTGGGTGCAGCCCAGCCCACTCGTGGACGAATCAGGGGTGCGAGTCCCCGTTTGCACTCCGGCTCCGGGACCATGTCTTGCTCTCCTGCCGACGACTCCGGTAACTAGGTATGCACGGAGGTTACTAGAAGAGAGGGCACAAACACTGGCTATCCCTGAGATTGATTTCATTCCATTGTCACAGGGGATAAGGAGCCGTGGATGGATATGTCTTAAACACCTACCTGATGATCCGTGGAAGCTTCTCACTCTGCTCTCTGCCTTATGCTACAGGTCACTCGCCCCATGTCTGACTTTTCCCCTGTGTATTATGTGACTCTTTACCTCTGAAACGTGCCACAGCGACCCCAAGGCACCTGCCAATCTTGCTGACGGCCACCCGCATGCAGAATCTCCGCCCCTCCGGCGGTAACCTGCATTCTCCTGCATACACCCTCGATGGCTCTCCTGGCCGCTGTCAGATGTTGTGTACTGTTGGACCCGAACTCGCTGCCCCCAGGTCCAGACCTGTACTGTTCTCCTGCAGTCTCCTTGGCTCTTCGGTAGATGGCCGCGTAGGAGGACCCACCACATCTTGTCCAACAACGGTCCAAATTAGCTGGGTTCAGATGCACATATCCCCCTCAAGCTCACGGGAAATGTTAGATGGGGAGCTCTCGGGAATGCACATGCTGTCATCTGCCGGATACCTGAGGTGGCCGGTATACATTTGGAGAGCACTGCTAGAGACTTCCATGAGGACGGTGACCTCACTCCCAAGAGGGCTAAATGACCCAGGACATGCAGAGCAGATTCAATCACCAATCGATGTGCAAGCATCGGTCATCCAAGCCATGTTCTCCCAGAGGAAAGTACGCCCTCCCGACATGGCCCGAGAAAGCACCCAGACACATCACAGATGGGCACTTATCATGAGTCCAGAAACTTCCGTGTCGTTAGCAGCGTCACTGTTTCTCTAGTCCGCCGTTTGGAATCATTTGCTATCCTCTCCGAGACACCCCGAACCTCGCACCACTGCATCGTAGTCCTCCCGTCACCCGCCAAAAGGGGAAGGAACGGTTGGCACAGACATGTCATTCTGCTAGGAGATTCACACCGCCAAGGCGTCTCTCGGATGTGCCTCCTTAACAAGTGGACATCCACATGGAAGTTATGCTGGAAGCCGATGAGTGGGGCTCCTTCTAACCAGGGCGCGCAGTGAGGCTATTTACATGAGATCGTACCTGCTTCGTGGTTCAGACGGAACCAACACCATGATGATCACCCCTGACGTGATTGATTGGGCGACGACTGGATGTTAAGACTGTCGAGGTATTTGAAGCCGACCCTCTCCCTGTATAATCGTCTCCCCCTCCCCGATCAAGCTTCTCCCTCAATTACTTCTCCAGGGAAACGAGGCATTGACACTCGTCGTTCGTTCGTTCGTTCTTTGACAAGACAAGAAGTGATCCATTCATTTAATACTGTCTACTTGCTCGCCTTCCTCTCGTCTTGCAACCCCTTCCCTTCTCCTCCATCAGGGGACACTGTGCCTAGGTACTTACTGTTTCTCAACACCTGACGTTTCTTCCGTTGATAGTTACGGCTCAACATGCGAGTCTCGGGTCTCATCATCGACTTGCTCTCGGCCCTCACCCTCCTGAGCTACGTTGTTGGTTCAGCAGCTCACCAGGATGGCTTCTGGCGACGACTCCGTCGGGGAATAGCCAAGGATGAAGGATACCCGAAAGTTGAGCCTGTTGGTGGACCTGCTCCAGTTGAGGATGCATACACCTACCCTTATGGCTATCCTTCGCCAGCTTATACTTCCACAACCCACGCCACTGTTGAGGTGTCGTCGTCGACCCCGGGTGAGTGATATATTAACGGTGCCAGTAGATCTCAGCTCTAACCTATATCGATAGCTTCATCGGCTACCGAATCCTCGCCTACGGGGGAGGGTTCAAGCAACATATCTCGCCCCACGGAGACCTCTTCGGGAAGCTCTGTTCAGTCTTCTTCTGTCCAGGACACGTCTTCCGCTACTGCACAGGAAACCAGTGTTTCCTTATCGGCAGAATCTTCGCAGACAACGTCAACCGGAAGTGGACCAACCACGCACCTTTCTACGAGCAGTATATCGAGCCCCACCTCTACTTCGGAGACAGAGGCGCTTTCGAGCTCGTCTCCTCCAGCCAGCGAGAGCACGTCCACGTCAGTCACACCATTGTCGACACCTGTCCCATATGGAGCACCTTGGAGCTCAATAACTCCCATTTCGTCGACGACTGCCTCACACTCGGAGTCGTCTCAAACCAATGTTCCTGCGGAGAGTACCATCGTTACGTCCTCGACCGCTGTTTTCTCTCAGAGCCCAAACACGGAGACCACAGTGCAAAGTTCCGCAACCTTGATGTCCCTGTCTCAACCACCCACTTCTTCGTACCCGGGTTACCCGTACATCACTCCCTCGGCCCAGTCTTCCAGTTCCGTGCCTAGCTCTTGGATCAGCCCCGCGGAAAGCTCAAGCACCTCTGCACCAACCACTCTCCAGACAGTGTCGAGTACATCTCCGTGGTCGAACTCGAACTCAACTCTTGCGACAGCTCCATCCTCCGGCGGACTGAGCCTCTCGACTGGCCTTTCCGGCTCACAGAGCACAACGCAGTCTTCACAGAACTCGGTTTCTAGCACCTCATTTTCAGGATCAGTTCTCCCAACTACCAAACCCCTGCCCCCGACGTCGCCAAACACCACATATTCGACTTCTACCCCACTCGGAACTGGGACTGCCGTATCGTCAGGGGTTGGATCACTGACCTCCTCATCATCTGGCCCTTACCCACTGTCAAATTCCACCATCCTCCCGGGGCCAACTGGGAGCGGCTCTCTGACCACAGGCGGAGTCTCCAGCTCATCGTCAGGCACAGCATTCTCCACAGGTGCACCTGTGACAACCAGTTCTGGATCTGCTGGTTTTCCACCTCCAAGCCCCTCGCCGAATTCCGCTCCATTCCCGCTCACAAACACTACCTCACTCCCCAATTCCTCAGAGACTGCCGCGTCCGCTTCGCTCACAAGCTCGGGATCTCCGCCGTTCCCAACCTTCAACTCCACGCTCACAGGAGCCCCGATTACAACGGCCCCGTCAGGGAGCATCGTGAGTTCTGGGCTATCGTCCTCGTTGGGTACAGCGTCGCCTCCTTTTCCCCTATCCAACTCCACATTGCCCCAGACGACTGTCCCCAGCGGTACTATTCCTGGTACCATCAGTAGCGCGACTGCAACATTATCGCCTCCTTTTCCCTTGTCAAATTCCACGGTCACCCCGGCGCCAACTGGGAGCGGACTTGGCACCATTTCGACTCAGCCTCCGCAATCCACAAACGGTTCGTTTTCTTCGAGTCTCGGCACCGCCCATTGCACTGGGCGACCCGCGTCGAGCTCGCCGCCGTTCCCGGTAACAAACTCCACCATCCAAACCGCCCCGACGGGAACCTCGGGCAGTGTGAGTGCTGCTTCTTCAGGGGCAGCGACTGGAGGCACAAGCTCGACCTGTTCAGAGGCCACAAGCTCTCCTCCCTATCCTCTTTCGAACTCGACAGCACCATCAACAGGGGGATCCACAAATTCTCTGCCGCATCCAAGCGGGACCGCAACTGGTGTCACTGGTACCTCTGGTTCCTCGGCTGTCAGCTTTACCCTAGGAACGGGATTCAGGTCGTCTTCATCCCTGGCGCCATCCAGCTCTCGGCCGTATCCTTTGTCAAACTCGACTAGCCTGAGTGGTCCCACTGGATTCCCAACTGCGAGCTTCCCTAGTCTGACAAGCTCTCCATTTGGCACAGGCAGCTTCAGCGCCACGCCTGCAACATCAACTTCCGCCCCTCACTCTGCGCCTTCCACCATTACGCCAGGAACAGGATCCCAGGGGGTTACCCCTGCAGTTACTTCATCCAATCCCCTTTTCCCGACGTCCAACACCACAAGCGTGTCTCTGACGGCCGAGACAACCTGTGAGGACGAGACCACGGTGCAACCGGCGACCAGCAACACCATACCAAGCACCTTCTCCATCCGTGAGTTGACTTCCAAATGCTGTATATCCGTATGAAGCACTGACGTCGCCAGAAACCGTAGAATCAACCACCTTCATCACGGCGACGACCTTCACGACCCTAACGTCCGTGGTCTCGACGTCGACGATATCAAGCAGCGCCGCGCCGTCCGAGCCAGCCTCGCCGACGCCGACTCTCAACCCCCTGGACTCGGGCATGGGCCCGCTCGACCACCACCACGATCACGACGGCGGGCCGGAGACGGATGGCCGGTGGTCGCGATGGAAGCCGCACTGGCGCTTCCCGAGACCGGGTGTGCAGCATCAGGGCCGGGTAGTTCCTGTGCAGTGAGGCGGAACGATCCATGTATGCCTAGGCAATTCATTCCTTGCTGTCCTTCATTTTGTTTTCCCAGGGTCTTCGCGAGTTATTCCAGGACATAACTATTTCGGTCGTTTGGTCGCACCTTCTACCTAATGTTCAGTTCAATGGAGGATGCGACGTCGAGGACACAACCCCATCTAATGAAGGATTTGGGGCATGGTGAATAATTAGATATGCTATTAGCTAGCTCAGCTTGGTGGCGTAAATGAGACTTCGCTTGATCTCGATGCATGCAAGAAATGTATGTGCTCGCGTAGGAAGAATTATATTATGTATTTCTCGGGGCTATCTACCTCTCTCTCTCTCTCCACCCTCTCTCTGTAAATAATGTCTGCAGGACAATAAAGGGGGCAGGGCAAAGTGAAAACGCATCCTCCTCCGTTGTGTACCAGTCAAGACCCATCCCGTCATCTCCATCATGTCAAACTACAACCACTGAAAGCGTCACTGCTAGCTAGCTAGCTATGTAGACGGAATTATGCATTGCAAACATCGGTTGGGGTTTGAATTTCTGGTGGGGGGTTTTGCTGTTCCCCCTTTTTTTTGGTTTGTTTTCCCCCCCTTTCCCTCAGTTCTCGACAACAGAAATAAAATAAAAACACATGTGGTTCCCAATCTGATCAAGGCACCAACCAATCAATCAAACAACCAACCAACAAATCTTCTCTCTGGTGGAAACGAAATAGGGCAGGCGGAGCTATAGCTTGCTTTAATAGCGGGTATCATTCTAGACCAGTCTTGTGTGTGCACTGCGTTGGGAATAGAGAACGAAAAAAAAAAAAAAAAAAAGATGAAGAGAAAAAATAAGGGGTGAGAGCGAATGGGGAGTAAGAGAATTATATGCAAATGGCGGAAAGCGATCGATAGATATATGGAGGCATGCATGCAGTCGTGATGATATCTGCCGTGTTCTCTTGAGAGCGATGTGAAGAGAGGAAAAACAGAAAGCAACAAGAAAACAGCAAAAAGAAATAATAGACAAATGAAAGTTTGTTCGGTCCGATTCCTCATCCTTCCTTGTCCTCCTTCTCTGTCTGGTCAGGGCATATTATGCCTCCCATCAAATGATTCCTCCTAATCTTCCCCCACCGGCTCAGTCATCGAAGAAGCCGGCACTGTCAAAGTCCTCGGCCTGGGCGTCCGAGTCGTAGGCGCTGGGCCGCATCATCGGCGGTGTGACGGGCTGCTGCCCGGAGACGCGTCGCCTAGACGGCGTCCCCGCGACGACGGCCGGCTGCTTCTCCGACTGTCTCGGGGTCAAAGAGGGGCCCCGCGGTCGGTTGGCGAGCTGCTGGGCCGTGAAGCGGCGGCCCGTGTTTGAGAACGCGGTCGGCTGGCTAGGGGCGGCGGCGGGGGTCTCCGCCAGGGGGCTCTGGCGCAGGCCAGATGCGGGCGGCGTCAGGAGCCCTCCGAGGAAGCTGCTCTGCGATGCTGGGCTGCTCCTCGAGGGCGTTGAGCTGGTACCCGTCCCTGGGGCTGGAGAGGATAGAACGCTGGATAAGCTGCCGAACGAGTTGGGGTCTCGAGACTTGCGCCAGTTGCCCCAGGCGGCGGCCAGAGGGCCCACCGCCTGGGCAACTCGAGGACTGGCAGCATCCCTGATGGTAGAGGCGATGTTCGGGAGGTTGATGGCCGAGCCGCCATTCATGGCTCTCTCCCGCTCCTGCTCCTCCATCTGCAGGTTCGCCTTCAGACGGATAGCCGCATCCTTGACAGCATTCTTGTCGTAGTCTTCCCGTTGAAGCGCCGCGATGATGTCCTGGAGATCGGAATGTCGGACGGCGAGAAGCTCGCGAAGCCAGATGATTTCATCATCACGCTTCACGATCTTGATGGAGGCTTCCGGGTCGACCTTGGATAGGACCTGCTCGAGCTCCTCGATCTTCTGCTCCCGTTCCTGCAGCTGCTCCTGCAGGACCATGATTGACTCACGGAGTGCCTGCGGAGAAACCTTCTCGGGCGGTTCCATGGCGCTGCTAATGGGCTTGGATGCGCGGACAGGAACCGGCCGAGGAGTAAGATCTGGACTGCCGATTGACGATTTGGCAGCCTGGGCGGCAGCCAGAGCTGCCTCCTTGGCGATCTCGAGTTTCTCTTCCAGATGAGCAACCTTGTCCTGTAGATGCTCCGATTTGGAGGCAGAGATGCTCAGCCTCTCCAGCAGGTTCTGCTCGGATCGCTGAGCATCCTCGGTCGTGTTGTTGAGCTGCCGTTCGTAGCGAGCCTGCATGTCTTCCATGTCGTTCTGGTGTCTCCGAGTCAGCTCCTCAAGCTCGACCTTCTTCGAGCTCTGAGCCTCCTCGAGGAGCATCTCGTGCCGAGCCCTCGCGGTATCGGCATCGAGATTGACTTGGTCTAATTTGGCCCTGAACCTGGCGATTTGGTCCTCGAGTTCCTCGCGGACCACGTTGACTTGATGGTTCGCTTCGTCGAGCTCGGTCTGCATGGACTCGCGAGTTCGCTGGACTTCCCGCGCACCGGACTCCCGGGCTTCCTGGAATTCGGCTTGATAGCGAAGGGCACTCTGGTGCAGCTTGTGGTTCTCACTGCGCAGCTCGACAAGGGTGGCTTCGAGCCTCTTGCTCTCATTGACAGCCCTCATGCCCTGGCGCTCACCGTTCTCCAACCTCTGCATCTCCTCCTCGATGCGCTCGCGAGTTCTTGCCTCGGCTTGCAGCTTGGCGTCGAGGACCTCCTGTCTTGCAATGAGAGCCTGTTCCCTCTTGGTCCGCCGAGCGTTCTCCTCGGCAATCTCGTGGGCGGCCTTTGCCATGTCTTCCTGGAGGGTACTAAACTTGGAGCGCCAACTGTCGCGGATTTTCTCGTTCTCCTGCAGCTGCGTACCCAAAGTGTCGACCAGTTTGCGCATGGCTCTGTTCTCACCCAGGACATGGGCGAGATCATCTTCTTGTCGACGGGAGGTCTCGTCGAGGCGGTCATATTCAGATCTCCAGTGACTGGCTTCCTGCCTTGCATCCCGGAGGTCGACTTCGGCAACGTTAATGCGGTTTTGGAGTTCGCCCTGAGACTGCTGAGCGTTGGAGTGGGCTGCTTCCAAGAGCGTGAGCCGCATCGCGCTCTTGCTCTGGTTTGCTTCGGTCGACTTGATCTTCTGATCCCTCTCCTCGACGAGCTCCCGGAGACGGCTCTCTTCCTCGGAAGCAATGCGGAGCAGACGCTGAACTTCCGAAAGCCTATCTTCAGCAGCCCGGCGTGCCTGGAGCTCCTCCTCGGACTTGGCTTGTTGCTGATGCAGCCGATCCTCGAGGTCATTAACCCGCTGATCAAACGCGCTCTTGTTCATGATTTCGACCTCGATTCGCGTCTCGGCAAACTCGAGCTTCCTATTCAGATCCGCGGCACTGTCTTCGGCAGTACGCCTCGCAGTAACTTCGGCCTCGACCTTGGTTTCTTCGAGGCGGACGCGCTGCTCCAGCTCGTTCACGCGGGCCTGCAGCTCGGCTATCTTCTCCTGGTCACCCTCGGTGGGCACCGGAGTCAAAGGCATGCGGCGCTCCACGGCATCCTCAACGATATTCCGGAGATCCTCGCCACGGAAGTCTAGGTGAAGGGACTGGGTGAATTGCTCCCGCATTTCCTCCAGTGCCCGGAGGATCGACGAATCGTCGGCAGCCTGAGGCGCTGGTGGAGGTGAGATCTGAGCCGGGATATTGCGCTGCTGTACTGCGAAGGCATCCAGGACAGCGGCACGGATCTGCTCCACCCTCTTGTCCCTGCGAGGACTCATAGATCGGCGGGGCACCGGAAGTTCCTCGTCTTCGTCATCGGCATCGCTTTCCTGGATCTCGACTGACATGCTACGGCGCTCCCGGCGGCTGGAAGGCGTCCGGCGCGACATGGTGGCAACAGCATGCTTGATGCTATCGAGAGTCCGCTCAAGCGGGACAAGATGAGAAGCCAAGAGACTATCAACCAGCTCGTTAACGTGGCCGTCAAAGAAATTGACTCGCGTTTCGAGCTTAGCTTGTTCGTCCTCGGTGAAAGCGCCATCCCAGTCGCTAGCTGGGACGCTGCCGCTACCATTGAGACGATGGACAGGTCCATCGAGGGAGGCACTCTGAAGGGCGCTCCGAGGCGGGTCAACAAAGGGATCTTCCAGCTCCGTTGTGAGGATGGGTGGTGGAACTTCGCCCGGAAGAGCTCGGTACTGCCGGGGGCTCGGACTAGGCGCATCACTGCGCAACTGGGTCGTCTGAGGAGGGAGATGAAGCGGCGAAGCGTTGGTGACAGCAGCGAGGGAAATGGGGCGCTGCGGACTGGGTTGATGCCATTGAGGTTGATCAACCGTCTTCTTGACGCCCATACTGGGATTCTGATTAAGATGGCGCATGATTGCATCGATGTCATCGTAGGTGGGCTCCTGTGTATCGACACCCTCCTCAGCCTCATTTTCATCGCCGGATACGCGTGGCAAGTCATTGTCGTCAGTGGGCAGAGGCAGGCTTTGCTGCGTGTCATCTGCGTCGAGCGGCGACGCAGCTGGCAGCAGTTCCTCTGTTTCATCACCACGAGCAGGCGATGGACTGACAGAGCGGGACTGATCGGCAGGCTGCGCAGGTGGCGGTGACGGGGTAACAGCAAACCTCGACGCCGACAAACCCTTAGGTGCGGGCGGGGGAGAGGCAAAGCGCGAAGCTTGTAGCCCGCGGGGTTGGAATGGAGGAACCGAAGCAGACAATGGAGTGGGCTTGATCTCGATTGGTGCTTCCTCTGGCACCTTGGTAGATTCGCGAACTGGCTCCTCCTCCAGCGCTTCAGTCTCTTCCTCGACGGTTTCCTCGACCGGCTCCTCGACCGGCTCCCCGAGAGGTTCGTCGATCGACTCGCCTGCAGATCCCTCCCCAAAGTCGTCCCAGACTGGAGCGCCTGGGACGAAAGCCTTTGCTGCCGCCGACAGGGACTTCTTATGAGTCTTCTTGAACACGTCCTCGCCAAATGGTCGAGCAGCGTCGAAGTTCTGTATGTCGATGTGGTCCTTGAACTCAAAGGGAGCCCAGTTCAAAGCACCCTGGGCAGGAGAGGTCTCCGACGGGCTAACAGTGGCTCTTGTATCGGTTGTTTCGGAGACCATGGTCGAGGAAAACGCAGTATCGGCCGGGGCACTCGTTTCATCAAATGATTTATCCACAGCACTAACTTCTCCTTCGTCAGCCTCCTCGGTCTTGGGCTCGGGGACCGGTGTCGATTCCTCGGTTGGTTGCGCGAACAGTGGCACCGCATCATCTTCCATGTTGCTGCCACGAGCTCTCTTGATTCGTGACTCGTCCGTGAGACGCCCATCCTGATCTTCCTGGGGCTCCGAAGCTTGCTGCGAATGGCGACTGGACGGCCGGATAATTGGAATAGCCTTGGATTTCTTAGCAGGCTTGACGATATCCGCGTTATTTATGTCAATGTTGCCAAAGATGGAGCTCGCAGGGTTGCTGACACTCTCATTGCCCGAGACGACCGGACTGGTGATTGAGTCTGAGAGAGCGTGGAGTGGCGTGAAGGCTGGTGCGTCAGGTCGGAATTTGGGACCCGTAACCGAGAAGCTGAAGTCGGTCTGGCCTGGAGAGAAGGCGGGCGCATTGACATTGATTTTCGACGAGGACGTTGTCGGGAAGCTGAACTGGCTGGAATTGGCAGACAGTGGCGCGCTCACTCCCACGGGGAAGGCGATCGGCTGGATATTCTGGCCAGAGAAGACGAATTGGCCCGGCTTGAACGTGTTTGTAGGGTTGAACTTGAATTCAGGAGCCTCGACGTTCAACTTGGACAAGGAAGCCTTGCTTCCATGGCTAGTCCGCCGTTTTCCATTGAAGCTGAAGTTGCCGGTAGACTTTGCTGACTCGTTATCAGTCCAAGGATTGCTCGCAGTGGAGAAGGACCTCTGGTGCAGCAGTTTGTCGAAGCCCATAGATTGAATAGGAGTGCCCAAGTTACTCGGATTCGTCTCGACTTCTGAATCCTCGGAAATGCGGTTCTCGGCGGCCTGCAAAGGCTTCGGGTTGAAAGCGACTTCCTTTGTTGCATCCTCTTCCGTGAAGTACTTCTGTGTCAATGAATGACCTCGGCTGTGGGGCCGAGGATGATGGAGCACAGGGCCGCCTTCAGAGTCACTGCCGAAGCGAGTAGGTTGCGGGCCGAACTGGACAGACGGATCCCGACCGTGAATGCCAGGGAGCGGCGCTGTCACACTGACCGGCTCCACCTTGCCGTCTTCGTTGTGGGGGCTATAGTCCTCGTCATTGTCGAGCTGCGATCGCATCTGTTCCTCCAGGTGGTACTCTGCCTCGTCAATCTCTTTCTGGAGGCTGTCGCTGGTGTTGTGCCGAACATGCTCGGTGGGCTCTGGAGTCTTGGATGGGCTCTTGCTTGAAGCCTCCTCCTCGACTTCACGAAGCTCTTGCAGGCGCGGGGATACCCTAGCGGGCTGCTGGAACTGATGAGGGAGGAGGGGATATTGCAGAGATTGGTGTCGCTGGTGTACGGGCCCAGACATCCCATCTGGCGAAAATGGAGAGGTGGGCGACATCATTGAGTTCAGGTTGGCCAGCGACGGCGAGCCACCGCGCGGGAGACCGCCTTGTTGCAAGAGCATCTGCGGAGACCAGGCCTGTCCATGCGGAGACGGGATCGACACAGACGCCCTTGGGTTGTATTTTCCGCCAAAAGACGCGGGAGACGAAACGGTCGGGATCCCAGGACTCTGTGCGGCAGAAGACCCAGTCCCTGAGACAAACTGTCCGGGGAAGGGGAATCCTTGCGCCGCATGATTGCTGGAAGCAGAAGAGGTCGGGATTGGGGGCGAGAACGGCAGCGGAGGATAATGTGTTACCGACGGCTGGCGGCTCATGGTCGTCGCCGGAGAGATGGACGGCGGAGGAGGGTCCTCATCTCCAAAGGACACGCCAAGCGCCCGCAGTTTTGCCTCGTTCAACTCCTCGACATATTTCCTCCAAGCTAGGTTTGATTGTTAGCGCAAAATCGAGGGCTAGGGGAATCGCGCAATCAGCTCACCATTCAAGTCCGGCAAGAGGACGTGGTATGTCCTCTGGGCTCGTTCTTTCGCGATATCTTCGAAATCTGGCCATGCGCCCCTACTTTGCGAGTCTTCCCCGGGCGCTGCGAAGCCCTGTGGGGTGTCCAAGTCGAAGCCCTCAATATTATAACCTAACTGTTCCCAGTCTTTCAACATGCCAGCAACAGTTGCCTCACTCAATGGCAACGGTGCCTTGTCCGGCTGGCCACGTTCTTCGTCGCGGGGCAGCAGGATCATGATGTTCTTGCCCTTCCATGGCACCCTTTTCTTTAGGCGCGGAGTCATGGCGGGAAGACGCTTCATCGGTGCTCTTGAAGGTGTGACTGGGGGGTTATTTTCGCCTTTAGGCGCATCCGCCGGACCATCCAAGCCCACGCGGTCTTCCTTCTTAGGCGTCCCAGCTGACGGCGGGTAAGCATCTTGCTCTTGGTTAGGTCTTTGAGATTTCTGATCGTCAACGCCATCGGCGGCGGCGTCCTTTTCGGTGGCAGCCATAGCTGCAGCACTTGACTCAGATTGACGGCGGAGATGCGCTTGCTTGAGCGTCTCGCTGCTAGATCGTGTCCTGGGGTATCGTCGAGAAGCGTGACGCTGCCGGCCTTTGTCAAGCAAGCTCGCCCTCGGAGTCCTAATATCCTGGTCTCCTAGCCAGGCCGAGTCGTCGCCGGAAAATGAGCCGCTCAGTGAAGAGTTCTCACTATCGCCAGCGCCGTCACTTAGCCAATGACGCCTTTCCGAATCCTCGTCGCCCGCTGTATGCTGGCGGATCCAATCCTCGGTGAGCCCTCGAGCCGGTCGCCGTGCGCGATTTGCAAGAACAGCTGCGCTGACAAGAGAAGATGGTTGCAGTTCCGAGCCGGATTCTTGGATCAGAGGGGCAGGGCGGAGAAAAGGGGTATGGATTTCGAGATGGCGGATCGGGGATTCCTCCGAAGGGCCGCTACTCAAGCTCTCGTCGCGCAGATGTTCAGGGTAGGGGGAGCCCCAGCGAGCGGTATCGTACCGGTCCTGGTCAGCTCGGTCCCCTCTGCTGGGCGGGGGTGTCCTCAAGAGGCCAAGCACCCGGTCGGGAAGCTTGGGGGCCGGCAGAGGCGGGAGTTCGGGTGAGCCTTCTCCGTCGGCAGTGGAGGCGCTTGACAGGGCAGGAGATCTGGGAGAAGGCGGAGTCTGGATGTGGGAATCCGGAGAACCGTCCGGTGCGGACGCACCAGGAGATTGTGGTGACGACTTTGGGAAAGACGTCTTCACAGGGAACTGGAATCCCATAAAGGTGTCAGGTTAGCGACGCGGTGCGAGACCACGGTGTGGTTGGAACTACGAACAGGCGTGGTGGAAATGTTAGCTCACCACTATGAGATCAGCGCAGACGAAGTTTGCGTCGTCTGCTGCTAGATCTCGAATTTGTCGCGTCGCCGGGGTGCTCCTTTATGGCCCTCGATGCCTATATCTCAGGGTACCAGGGGGCTGCTCTCGGTGCGTTGAGCAGTCTCTTGTCGCGACGCGTATTCGGCAGGGGATTCCGACTTATTAGGGTTCCAAAAGGAAAGAGAGGCAAAGTCATTAAAACGGGATATGAAGGATTAAAGGAGCGACAGAAATACGGGGAACCGGCAAAGCAGGACTGTCGAATGCATCGGGATGGCTGTCGCTGCCGGGTGAGAGAGGCTCAAGTGGTGACAGGAAGTTCAAGAGACTCGAACCGGGCAGAAGACAGCGAGTCGACGCGAGAAATGGTTGTCTGCGTGGGGAGTATTAATTTTGCTGGGAAGAGCTCTCGTCTTTAATGGCAGGTTCCCTGTCGACTCCACGCATTGGACCCGGGCTAATCTCGTTGTCATTTAGGCGATAAGGAGATACATGGAGTTCAGTGGCGAACAATGATCTCCCCAGGCCAGAAACGATGTAGCCACTAACAGAGCCAAATGACCCAACTTGGCACTTGTGTCCCCACGTAACCCACCGTTTTTGCCTGGTCGCCTTTCACCCCTTTTTATTTTCCACTTCAACAAGAGGCAATTGGCTGAGTTGGGCCAGAACAAGCCCCGATGGCGGGACGGCCCTCGGAAGCTATCCCAGGGCCCGAAACTCTCTCCAAGGCACCGTTCAATCCGTTGTCAGTCCCGTATTTTTAACTTGCACTATGACAACATTTTCGGGACGCGTCCTCGCGTCTTCCATTTTTTTCATCTGTTTCGCCTGCAGTGAACCCCTGTAAAAGGGCCAGCCGAATAAATAAGGCGGGGTCCCCAGCATCGATTTAACTTCAGATCAGACCAACTCGTGCCTGATACCCGGCCATCCAGGCCATACACACAGAGCACAGTTTGCTTGGACGAGAAGGCGTAGCTCCGTAAGTGCGTAGCAATGACTTTCTTGCTGTTGTGTCCTCGCTGCCTCGCCTAATGTTGGCTTGCCACGTTTCCATTGTTTGCAGTGCATCGAGGTTGGTGGTGGCCAGTAAATTCCTCAGCCCTCGCCGAAAATTGTCCTTTCCAACCTGTCTATCGAATGAATGCACCTTCATACATTCGCCCTGAAGCATTGATGTTCAAGCCAACAAGTGGCCGGGGTGGATTCAGTCGCCAAGGACCCGGACAGAGCCTTGCCGGCTGAGACTATTCGCAAAGCTCATCACATGTAGGATGGGTTTTGGAGTTGGCTTCGGTAAAGAGAGATGCATTTTTGTCGTTAGTTCAACAGGGAGAAAAGGGGAAAGAAATTGATCTCTAACTCCAATCGACAATGACACTCAGGACGACTGCCCAAATTAATGCAAACCGGCGCATCCAGCCCATATCCAGCCAGACATTTCCAAGCTCCTCAAAACTCCCAAAAAATCAAGCCTCGGAGCCCACCGTTGACCCATAGTCCACGCACGGTACCATCCCAGGAAACTCATCCTCTTGAAACCCCCACCTCCCTTCCATCCGTCGTCATCTCACGTGTCGCAGAAGATATCGAACTGGTCATCGGATTTAAAAAGGCTAACGAAGCTCGTCTTGGTCGCGCTGCCAATAGCCGCCTTGCATTGAGCTAGGGAGAGTTAGCACGTCTTCCAGGTCGGTATCTCGTACGCAACGCAGGGCAGGGGAGAGGAAACCCACTCGACTGCTTGTCACAATCCGGGACGGAGAAAGCCCCACCCCCGTTGTTCGCCTTGCGGGCGCACTCGTTGTGCTGATTGTCGCAGGCCCTGTTGGCGGCGCTCTCGAAGTCAGGCTGTTTCGATGGGGCGTTGGTTAGCTTCGGCTGCTAAAAGGATTGGGGGAGGAGGGGGATGGTGGGGAAGGAGGAGGGGGGTCACCCACAAAGGTATCGCCATCCACGTCGAACTGCCTCTTGGGGTCGTTGGACTGTGTGATGGCCGTGGCGCCCACGCCGCCGAGCCCGCTCGTGAACGCTTGCAGGTTGTTGACTTGGGCTTGCCTCGGCAGGACGCCCATCCTGAACCCACGTGAGATGTCGTCGGCCACGTTTATCGACGCCGTAGACCCCGTGGCTAGGAGGGCCAAGAGAGTATAGTACTTCATGTTTCTGATCGGTAAGGGACCTGGAATGGAACGGGATAGGCCTGCCTCTGGAATATATGAGAGACGCTAAAACCCTATAAGTGCGGCGAAGACCGGGCTCCCGCGCTATCACGGTGCAAAAAAAAAAAATAGAAAAGGAGCGGTTGGGCTCGATGGCTGTTCGTAACTGTTGAAAATAGGAACTTATCTCCGGAGTAGAAAAAGACGAGGAACACAAAGAGAAGGAAGGCTTCAAACCTCTCAAGTGTCGAACCCGCCCGAGATCTAGCTGGGCAGATTCATGACTGACCTTTGGGCAGATCTGGTCTGCATTACTGTAATGATCTGAGCGTTGAAACACGCATCAGCGAACTAGAATATGGGGAATCGTCGAGGTGAAACCATTTCGAGACAGACCAAATCTGCCAGGAGAGTACACGTAAGGCGTCGCACGTGATTTGGGTCACCCCTCCAATTCCCTCCAATTGCCATCACACTGGTGGGATTGCACTGGGGAGCCTCAGGAGGTAGATTGTGAATTAGGTTGTGAATGGCTTCCTGGGGAGGTGATTAAATGGTTTAGTAAATACAAGTGGCGCCAGGGCCTCTTGTCGCCCTTCTCCATCCCCAATTGGGGCCTGAGTGAACATTAACCCAGTGCCTCAAGGGCCCGATTCCAACCTTTCTACCTCCGTGACCAGCTTCCTAGATTTCGCTCCTTCTTTTTAATGGAGGTCGAAGCCTATCTGGCTGTCTGGGACTTCTCTATTCCTTCCCCCGTTGATATGTGGCGAGAATGGTTCCATATTAAAATCATGTCCTCGAACTCCGGGTGTATCCATGCGCAGATTGAGAAACTATGGACAGGCGGCGCAAAACGATAGGTCGCTATGAACAATTCGGACTGGTTGGTGTGGCTGGCTTGTTGGCTTGGGTAGGTATCAGGATCAGAAGTTCGATGCCGTGTTCACCTGCGTCGGCGCGTGATAGCTCTCAAGCGTGCTCTGGAATGGAGATCGGCCGCTGGGAGAGGCGGTCGGTTCGGTCTTCTCCACCGGGTTGCTATATCCTCCGTTGTAATCCATCAAGCCATCGTTCTCTGCCTGGTTCTTCTTGCGCCCCCAGATTCTCCAGGCGACCAGAGCAATCCCTCCCAAAACAATAGCACCACCGACGCCCACCACGACCCCGATAACAATGTTGCGGGTTGACTTGGACATGCCCGACGACGTACCCTTGCTCGACCCGTCTTGCAGACCAGCAGTCGGGGTCGAGGTGGATTGGGTGGTGTAGGTTGTCCTGGATCCATCGGGATTCGTCGCAGTGACAACGTGGGTGATTGTTGAAATTGGGATTGACGACGTGGAGCTAGATGAAGACGTGGTTTCCTTCGTGGTCGAGCTTGTCTTTGTAGGTGTGGGCGAGTTGCTAGTCTTCGAGGAAGTTGGAGTGGATGACGGAGGAGGCTTTGAAGTTCCGGTATCTGTCGGTGACGGTGTGTCGGTCGGTGACGTAGGCCCGGGTGGGCTCGATGTGTCCGGCGTCGACGACAGCGGCGGGTCGGAAGGGCTGGCATCAGCCGTGACGCTTGATCTATCATCATCACCGCCCCGGCCTTGTCTTCTCACAATCTCATGCTCATTTCGGGCCGTGACCGTGGCGGCAGCGAACGTTGCCTGGGCGATGGAGAAAATGGAGAGTGCTACTATGAGGAAGTTGATCAAGCGTGTCGAATACATAATGGCTCGAGGATGTGGATATAGTGTAAGGAGATGAGGAAGTGGGCGGGCTTCTGGTGTTTCCAGCTCGGGACTCCGAGTATAGTTGGGCTTTGTCGAGTCCAAGACGGTCCTGGCTGAAGCGAGCCGTGTGAGGTTGAAAGAGGGCCAACAGGCGCCTCGAGGTTATACCACTCAAAGAAGTCGCTTATATCCAAGATCGAGTTAAACCAGGTCGTTCTCAACGCAGAAGTGGTTTAAATAGGAGCCCAAATTGAAGGGAAACGTCAAGTGAATGAGGCGCGAAGCGAATAGAGAATAAGGCAGGAAAGAGAGTATAAGATGTTGTGGAGGGTTGGAATTATTAAACTGCAGATAATAGCAAACGAATGTAATGCGGTTTGAGATGAGTCGGGTGTGGGAGACGACTGCAGTCGCTAGAAGAGGAAGGAATGGACAAGGTCACACGATAATGAATGTCGAAAGGGGGGCCGTTTGGAATGAATGGGGTGGCACTAAATTTTCTGGCGGTTTAGCGCGCACTACGGAGTACACACAGTGCTTGTCGATTTCGTATTCCGGCCGAGGACAGGCCGTCGCCCGCCTAAAACCCAGCGTCCAGAGGTCGCCAAAGCCCCACAGTGCCACGCACCGCCTCCGTACACCAAGCCAGTTGCGGCCAACGATTGGCTGCATGTGCAATGTCGTGCGGCCACCTCCCTCGGCAGTAAAAGTACTTCACAAGATGGAAGAGATGGAAGTGCAAGGGATATGCTTACTATTCGCATTTAAATGCCTGCAGTCAGCACAGAACGCCCTTGTTGATGATCATTGACGATCGATAGGAGGCAAGAAGGATCGTGTCCAGGCATTTCGCCAATTCTGGGGCTTCGAGCAGCCGAAACCAGGTCATGGATCGCAGGGTCCTACGTGTCCGTATAGTACATCGGTACCTACCTTAGGCCAGCCATTCCGTTGCAAACGGCCCGCCTGCGAAACATCACATGGTCCCGTCTTTGAAGTGCACGCATCATAGGTAAGTGCAGTCGCACTAGCCCACTAAGGTAGGTTATTTCTTCAACGACAGCCTCAAGATTGAGGGGTGGCGTTCCTGAACCAGGCACGACGTTAGAGATGGTCCTTTGCCGACTGAATTAGCTGCTCTCTGATCTGAGTATAGTATGCTGCGCCCTGATCTAGTCTCACACCTGCGATCCCGGTCTATGTGATGATGATCTGAACGAGATTGTCTTTCTTAGAGGAGACCCTTCAACGACGTATGATGGAATGTTGCCCCTGAACCTTGCGGGCAACATTTCCAAGGCTGTAATGAGCTTTACAGTCCTGACAGCCGCTGTTTTGGTTGAGCTTCCCATGACCGTGATCATAGCCAGCCGTTCTCATCTGTTCATTGACATCCGCTGACAAGCAGTGACTAGAACTCCGGCTTTGACTAGGGTCAGTTGTATGTCGGCTTGATCTTGCGCTCACAGATCTACATCTCTTGCTCGTGGACTCTTAGGTTATGGAGATACGTTGCCCTTTTTTCTCGACAATGATTCCACGAAAACTGCGCAATATACGGCAGTTTGAGATAGCAGCGGAGCTCAAGGGCTCAAGGAAGGTGTCGTGTTATTCCCAAGTTCAACCCTGCGTTCCTAGAATCCCTAGGTATAAATCTAGAACTCTCCTTGCCTTTCACTTTGCCTGGTCTTGCCCAGGTAGTCTTCGCTACAGGGCTGGACAGGGCTGGACAGGGGCAAGTGCTAGTCTAGCAAACCTTTGCTCCCTGATCGAGCCAAGATCTCGATGCATTTGTGAAAGTGTTCTGCGGGATTATATGTCCATTTCTCACTTTCGGATCACTGTGGAAGGTTCTGGTACTGATGCTCCGAGTGGTGTCTCCTCATGTACTGAAGTACTTACCGCCTTGAATTGTCTGCTTTCTTCCCTCCCTGACCACCCGCAGAAACTTTCACCTCCAACTTGGCGACAGTCGTGTCGTCGTTTGCACTCTCCGCGCATCCACAGCTGGGTGCCTAGCTGCCACAGCATCTGCCATCAGTTCCATTATTGAGAGCTCCATCTCGCTCGGGGATTTGCGCCGTTATCCTTTATGCAGCCCTCGTAAGCTCGAGCGAGACCCAGACTGTCACGGCACTCTCACATCAGCCGGCCCCGAGGGTAACCTCAACAAGGTAGATACCGCACTCATCTCCCCCCTACTTTTACAATTTCCACCACTAGCTTGGCCACCGCGGGAGTGCTCTGAAAAATCCACCATCAACCCCAACTCCCCAACCCACAAGGCCAACTGGCTGGTTCCCTGAGTGAACTGACCCTTGGTGCAGTGCGGCTCTTAACCATAGTAATCTCCACGAGCGAGAAGATCTACCATGGATGACTTCACTGTCAAAGCCGACGACGGCGGACCTGCTTGGAAGACGCCAGGAATCGGACGCAAAGTCACGAACCAGATGCGAGTCTGGGAGCTCGAACAGAAGCGCCTTGTGCCAGACGGCCTTCTTTTCATCAACTCGCGGGGTGTCATGCGGACGGTGCTCCCTGTCCCGATATGCGAAATCGACAACGATCCCCTGGCTATTCGAGGCTCGGTTATCCCGAAGCTCCCTGGGTGGGTTCGCGACTTCCTCCTCTCCGCCTTGACAAGCGTCTACCATACCCCTCCTCGTTTCTGCGAGATGCTCCATGGCGTCCTGGTCGAGTCCAAACGGGGACAACACCCGGTTGACCTCTCCATTTCCACGCTACAGCCCGCCTTCTTCTGGTCGGCCACCTACCCTCTCCGGGTGGCGCTGGCTGATCTTGAGACATTCTCGGCCCACCTCCGGGAGAACACGCCCGTCACACCCCAGACGTGCAGCTTGGTCAAGCAGAAGATCGAGAGCCTTGTCAACGCCTATGACGTCGACGCGATGCCCGTCGAGGTCGGGCGCGTGGTGCGGATGCTCGAACGGGTCGAGAACGGCTACCCGGACGCCAGCGCGGACGCACTCCTCGACGGCCTGACCAGCGCGGTCGTGCGTCCGTACAAGGAACTCCTGTACAAGCTGGACATGGTGACGATGTGGGCTGACCGAATCCTTGACAAGTTCGAGGTATCGAAGGCCAAATAAGGTTGAGCTTAGGAACTGGCTACTTCAACGAGGTGCAGGGGGGCGAATTCCTTGCTAAGTACCCCCTTTTCCATCAAGCTTTTTTTTTCTTTTCTCTGTTGTTGAGGGTTGCATTTCCACTACGGTGGCAAGGGTCACTCGCAACCCGACGGGGCAATGCTGGTTGGAAGGGGTTTTCTTGAGGGTTATTGGGGAGTTTATCTGCTGGTTTGCTTCGTAACGCCTGCACTTGCTTGTGGCATGGGGGGGGACGGATAGCCAAGGGTGTTATTGAGCCTCGGCCAAATCCAGGAACATTCAATAAAATAAGCATCTTGCTCATCTTTACCGTTGCCATATGCATCTTGCGAACCCTTCATCAAAGGATATGTATCTCTCCAACACAAGCTAGCTAAAGATGAGCAGGTGTCAAGACGAGGTTCAATCCCTCGGTCACTGAGCGAGTGGATCTGAGGTGGCGACGCCAGAGCAATCATACTTGCGCGCGACGACATCCATGGAAGAGGTGTGCTGCACTTCGATCTCTCGGCACGGAACCTCCTGCTCTTCGACAACTTCCGTGCCAAGCTCTGCGATTTTGGTGGGTCTCTTCTCGATGGGTGCGACTTCGAACCGAGCTAGGTCTACGAGGGTCACTATATCCTGACTCTACGAGGGCGGGAATACGATGATGTGCCCCCCATATCACGGGAGCTCTTTGCGATGGGGTCGGCTATATACGAGCTTACAGAGTGGAGGATGCCGTTCCAAGAACTCAGCGATGCCGAGGTGGAAGTCAAATATGCCTGTGAGGAGTTTCCACCAGTTGATGACAATCCTACTGGACATGTAATTGCCAAGTGCCGGGCTGAAGGGTTTAAGACGGCAAATGGCTTGTTTAATGAGTTGAGGCTCTGCCTGTCATCCTACAAAAGCACAGAGTTCCGCGTCCTCATATCCTCTGCCGTTCTAGCCCGAGGTTCCGTCCAGAAAAGCAGCCAGAGAAAGGTGAAACCAAGCCTTTCATGTGTTCCAGACGCTTCTACTTGAAGTTAGTACAAAGTAAACGTCAAAACAACAGCTGAAGATTCGCAGTTCTTCAGGGTGAAGCACAGGTAGGACATGCTACTCCTGACAGGGAGCTACCCATGAGCATCTACAGGGAGTCACATCAGGAGTGTAAGTGATGTGATGATTAATTACCTATACGGATCCGTACGACGCTAAGAACGGACGGTTATGGGAGTTGTGGCTGGTGCATCCCACGTGACTAGCCCTCCCAACGAACAGCCACACCCACCGTCCCACTTGGGTCGCTTAACCATTTCGCAATCCACAAAATCAATTATCTCCAAATTTTGTCGCCGACTCGATCGCCTACTTCCGTACCCATTTGCACCCCAACCAACACCATCTGGAAGAGCATTTTGACTTCTAGACAAAATGAGTACGTTTCCCCGTCGTCCTTGCGCTTTTAGAACCACGATGAACACGATGCTATTATCCTCATCACGCGATCGCCTCGGCCCGGGGAGCATTTATTCTTCTGGATGTCTGGATGTCTGGATGTCTGGATGGCATTGGAGAATTTCTCGCTCACCGGGCCCTGCTCCCCCATCGCATCACCAATCTCTCTCTCCCGATTGATTCCCCTTCCAAGAGACGATGCTGACATCCTAAACAGCGAAGGGAACCTCGAGTTTCGGTAAACGGCACAACAAGACCCACGGCCTCTGCCGCCGGTGTGGTCGCCGTTCGCTCCACAACCAGACGAAGCAGTGCTCCTCGTGCGGATACCCGGCTGCCAAGATTCGCAAGTGTACGCATCTCCCCCTCCCTCCTCCGGATGATAGGCGTAGTTTTGGAGCGAAGAAGGAGAAGCGGAAATGGCTAACGAAGGGTTGGAACAAATAGTCAACTGGTCCGAGAAGGCGAAGCGCCGAAAGACCACCGGAACCGGCCGCATGAGGTACCTCGGTACCATCTCCCGCAAATTCAAGAATGGGTTCCAGACGGGCACACCGAAGGGTGCCAAGGGGCCGCTGGCGCAATAGAGGGGACATGGATTGAGGGAAGCCGATCGGCCTGCATTCGATTTGGGGTGTCTAGGGGAGCAACGGGATCGGCCTATTCGTTTTCGCTGTTACATCAGTCATGATTTCGCAAGGAACTAGGGTCTCGGTCGACTGGCCAATGGTCGTCAAAAATCATACAGCATTGGCACAAAGCACAAGCAGAATCTGCTCTTTTGAGGGCTACGTCTGTGGTACTACCGTGTGTGTGATCTGCGTTGGCGTCGAAAATGCGACTATCCGCAGTTTTGTCTCCGGGCTTTGCTTCAGCCTCAAGGAAGCAGGGGTATCTGTCTATATGATGTCTATGAGTTGCTGGTATCCGGCTCTACGGCGCCCCCAACCGAGTCTGCTACTGCCCGCGTTCGAAGACTCGCACCCCACCATCGCCCACAACGTGATACAGATACTCCCTCTCTTCTATCGACCTCTCCGACTCGGCACCGCCGCGCGTGATCCGTATGACCCCGCTGACATCCTTCGCCGTACCGGTGTCCAGCAGCCGGAGGCTCATGACCATCTCGGCTTCATGCGCGGCAGAGAGCACTAACGCGGCGTGCTCCTTCTCCAGTGTCGTAGTCTGGCTCGAGACCAGAGGCTCGTCCGCAGACAGGGTGAGGATCAAAGCGTGGACCTTCTTCATGGCGAGGTGAGTTTTAGTAGCAGAACAGCAGTAGAACAGCAGTAAAGAACCGGGGCAAGGCAAGGAGAAGAAGGCACCACCACACAACCAGCCACACCCACACATACCTCTCTCAACCCCATAAGCATCTCCCGCACATCCCCCCAAGACATCTCCCCCCCCGCCGCCGCAAGCATCAAATCCACCTGGTCAACCACCAACACAACCCTCTCAGCCCCAGCCCCAAGCAGCGAATCCACCGCCCGTCCGACATCCCCCGCCGCGTCCCTCCCCCTCCCCCTCCCGCCGCCGCCCAGCCCGTCCACGAAAGCGAACCTCCCCCGCATCCCTAGCGCCTCGAGGTCGACGCCCAGCCGCGCCGCGCCGTCCCTCCAGAAGGCGAGGTCGCGCATGTAGCTGGCCAACACGACGGCGGTGGCGGTGGTGCTTCCCCCCCCGGGGGAGGAGCCGTCGTTACCGCTACTGCCGGGCGCGAGGAGGGAGTGCAGGTGGCGGAGGACGAGCCAGTTTGTGGTTGCGCCCAGGACGGAGGTGAGGAGCACCAGGGAGGCTTCGGGGGGGAGGGTGAGGTAGGGGTCTAGGAGAGGGGGTGTGCGTGGGGTTGTCATGTTTGGGTTGGGCGGCGAGGTTGGGTTGTTTTCGTTTCTTTTCGACTACTCGTCGTTGTGTGCAGGTAATCCGTATGTTATTTCAAGTTGAGGATCGTGGTGGGGTGGTGGGGGTATGAAAATGCAAAGGTGTGAGGTGAGCTTACCGGAGAGGGTACAGTGGGAAACTCGATATCTGGCACGGTGTTCGTGATGGAGCATTGAGGCTTGAAGTCACCATCTGCAGTTTGTGAATACTTGTGTAGTCTGTATTATACCGTAGTTGGACTACCTATCCAGAAACCGAGAACCTCCCCAAAAACGATGCTCATACCTTGATGCTATGCACCTCAACCACACCAGACGCACCGAAATGCCATGTCATGTATCGTGAAGTTATCCATGTGCCCAAAACGCCAGTGATATGTCCATAGGTCCATATATAGAAACGCAATCTGGGATTTCTTCCGGGGTATCGAACAAGAACCAACCTAGAACTTCTCCATAAAGTTCTTCCGCACCGTCCACATTCTCGCCCTCTTGCCGTAGATGTACAAGGGGATGGTCGACGTCAACAGTATCAACTGTATGACCCCGAGCCAGATGAACACCGACTTCGACCCATCGCTGTCGACCCACCCCGTGATGAACAGGCTAAACACCAGGCCGTGGAAGATGTTCTTGCTAAAGTTGAGCGTCACGAGCGCCTCGCCTGCGTATTGGCGATAGCTGTCGACGCAGAAGGTGATGCTGGTCGTCGACCCGAGGAAGCACCCGAACGACACCACGCCGAAGAAGACAGTTGGCACGATCCAGTGGTCCCCGTCCTGTGCCGACCACCCAAAGCCCATGAGCCCTATCACGGTGGAGAGGACGATCGGCGCGGCCATGACGAGGCGGAACTCGGGCTCGTACAGCCCGCCGTTGCGCCGTGTCATGCTCCTGACCACAACGTCCGACACCTTCCCCGCCACAAGGGTGCCAAGGATCCCCCCCAGAAACGGGCTGATGTAGATCAAACCGGTCTGCAGAGCGTTAAACTTGTAGATTCCTTCGCGGAAAATGACGGCCATGGTCTCGGATATGACGATAAGCCACCCGACGGAGCAGGCATACACTACCGAGGACCAGAGGACGGCGGGATACATGAAGAGGATCAGGGGTCGGACAGCAACCTTGTGCCATTTGTCTCGATGCAGACGACCGTGGTATGGCTTGAGTTGCTGGGTGAAAGATCGGGCTGGCTGCTCGCGCAACGTGGCCGTGTAAGCAAAGCCCCCAGGCAGGATCGAAGACGAGATAGACTGTCTCTCGCTATCAGTTTCTCTGGTGGCGTCCCCAGATTCGCTCGCCCCAAGTCCTGGAGATACAGCACGGGGCTTGGCTAAATTAGGGGTTCCTGGGATGTGAGCCGCCGAAGGAATGTTGATGGCAGACGGAGTAGGGTCTAGGACTCGGCGATCTGTGTTGTCATCCTCTGTTTTCGCGACAGTGATTTTGTCCTCTCCGTTATCTCTCGTTTGATGGTCAAGTGGTGGGGATAAGGGGTTGCCTGTTGCGTGCTCTTCCACAGGCTGACCATGCTCAGTGTCAATGCTAGGTGCAAATTCAACACGAGGGGACTTTGCGTGTTGATGGGGACTCTCATGCTCGGATGGAGCCCCGTGATCCCCATCCCGATTGGAAACAACAACATCAGGAGCAGCAGCCGGTAGTGCGTTGTACTTGGATGAGCGCCTCCGGGAGAAACTTGGTCGTCGAGATGTCGACTTTCGCGATTTCCTACCAACCGCCGCTCTGTCCCAAAACGTTTCGGGGACAAAGAGAAACAGGAGAAAACCACAGAACCCAACAACAATTGCAACCATCCTGAAGATGTATTAGCACTGTATAGGTGTATCGTCGTATTCCGGACGGAATAATAAAAGGAGGGAAGAAAAAAAGCTTACCAAAACACCCATCGCCAACCAAGTCTCTGCATAACGGCTGCACTGACCAGAGGGACCAAGTTCTTCCCGCCGAGCAACAAAAGCGTGTAAATGCCGATCCGGAACGCCCGTTCGTGCAGGAAGAAGATCTCGGCGATCGTCGCCGAGGGTAGGCACTCAACGGGGCTGACTGCGATGCCCTGAAATATCCTCGCCACGATCAAGGATGGGAAGTTTGGCGACGCTGCACACCATACCGACGTGGCGATTAACAGTATGACGCTGAACAGGTAGACAGGCCTCTTGCCCCATAGGATTGCTGTGGGCGAGAAGAACACCGAGCCGATTCCCATGCCCATCATGTAAAGGCCCGTAGTCAAGGATACGTCTGCCACAGGGACACCGTAGGCTTTGGAGACATCTGTGAAGCCGGCAGCGAGAAGTGGAGTAATGCCGCCGCCAACCATGCAGTAGAGACCCAGCGAGAGCAGCGACAAGTCCCTCCTCCAGCTGGGCCAGTTGAGCGGGTCGTTGGCCGATTCTTCGGGCTGGGGCACCAGGATGATCTTGCCATCGCTGGTCTTCTTCTTGTCAAGATCCTCCTGCGGCTGCGGCACAGCCTGGGAGATGGTGATTGGGATTGACGAGGCGGATGTCCTGGCCGGCGCATTCCGCAAGCCGAGGGGCTCGTTTCGGTCGCGAGCCAGCAGCAGCACAGAACCTGCGATTGTAAGTATTTGGACCCACCTCGAAACAAATTGGAAGCTTTGGCGATCTCACATACCAGGTACCTCAATGGTCAACGGGTCATTGAGAATGCCCATGCTCCATTTTTCCTGGCGAGGCTTCTCGGCCGAGTCATGGCCCTCAGCAACCGAGCCTTTTCCAAAGATCGCCCGCCAGCCTCTGCGGCGCTCTTCTGGAGCGTTCTCGGACATGTTGAAGGATATGTGGTCCCGTCCTGGGGAAGCAAAAGGGAGAAAGAATAGGTACCGGCCCGGGACGGCAGGCGATATGGTCTAGCCTTCGCGTCTATACCAGCCGAGACGAGGGCTATGCAAACAAGAATATGGACAAATGTCTCCAAAGTAGACACAAGAAGAAGGAGTCTAAAATACTGAATACAGACGTTCAGGAAACGAGGCGCGCAAGAAGGACAGGCGGCGCGTAGGAGGCGGCTCTCTCGGACCAGGCGGGTGTTGGCTCTGAGCTCAAGTGCTCCTGAATATGGTTGCGGCTAGGTCACACTCGCGTCGAGCTGTGGAATCCCAGAGAGAAGAGGGAGATAGAGAATGGTTCTTCCATGTTTTGATATTTTGGGGGTTTATGAACCTATATAGCGTCCCGTCGTTGACTCTGAAAACCCGGGCATGTGGCGGAATTGGAAGCAGGCATTTGGAGGTACCTACAAAATGATACATCCATGGGCAATTGCTACTGTCAGTCTCCATCCATGGATGTCAGCCGCTAAAACTGCAGGGAAGGTCAAGTGAGAGGAGGGGCTTGTGGGGCTTGGAGGAGCACATGTTACATATTTCTGCTAAAAGATGGTCTGCCAAGCCGTCACTCTGGCCAAACATCAGATACCTGAGTTGAATGGACCGAGTCCCCTTGTTTCGCCAGAAGACTTGGTCGCGTCCAGGCTGACTCGGGACAGAACACTCGTGGTCACGGAGACAAGGAGCCTACCCTACCTTACCTAGGAAGCTACGAAAGCAGGAGATGCCAGACAGATCTCCATGATCTCCATGGGGCATACGAGGCTAGAACCTGGCTGGCCCCAGCTCCCCCAGCAGCGCGCCATCCCAAAAAAGAGAACCTCGCTGGCTCACCGCCAACCTCCCTATCCCCATGTACGCATATGTATACTCCTTACAGGCATGTGAGGTCACATCTCAATTCAAGCGCCGAGCGGGCAACCCGCTAGTCAGCCCCGGGGCACGGCCGGCAACATCGGGACACTGCAGCAAATCAATGCAGAAGAAGGTGAGGCTAACTTGATCGTGCCGGTTGATGAAGAGTGTCGTGGTCCTTTGAATGGCTGCCAGCCAAGGCAAGTGGACAGGAATTTGGGAATTGATTGTTTGGTGTGATGATCCCTTGAGACCCCCAGGTTTGCCGGGGAGCTGCATTATGACGACAGAGGCACATGCTGCTAGCACCCACTATATTTTTTTCTCCACTGAAAGAGAAAAGGGTCTTCCCCCACGCTCCAGGGTTGATTGATGCAGTGTACCATGCTCAGCACATCCATAACCGCAGATTATCCCTACAGGTTTACGGATACCCCAGCTACAGTAGCGCAGTTTGGGCTACCCTTCATTCCCCGTCTCCCGCCATACGCGAGTAAGGCCATCACGTTCTCAGACCATCACTCTGCGTCTTGAGTCAGCCATCAGCGACAAGCATGCGGGCTCCCTCTCTCTTCAGACCCCTTCTTGCTGGCCGTCGCTATGCCAAAGCGGGTTCCCCTCCAGGGGCCATTCGAGCATGTTTTTCGACTGGCAGGAAATTGCAGGCCAAGAACCAGATATATGCATCGTAAGTCATGTCATTCCTACGAATATTAGGGACTAAATGTTCTCGGCTCTTTTCCCACTCTAACAATGCATGCCATGCCTGGTTTCCCCCTCCTCCAACAGGGTCCGTAATGCCGATCAGTTCCATACCTACCAGCTGCTATCCGCCTCCTCCCGGACGCCCCTGATCACTCTCTGGACGACATCATGGTGTCCGACCTGCCGCACCATCGAGCCGCTCCTCCAGCGCCTCGTCGAGTCCGGCGTCGGCGAGGCTGAGGGGGGAGTCGGCTACTGCACCGTCGAGTACGACGCGCCCGACGTCATGTCTGCGGGCCTCGGCCTGTCCTACATGATCAACTCTGTGCCGACCCTGCTGAGCTTCGATGCCCAGGAGGCGCAGGTCAAGACCAAGGTGTCGGACGGGAGGCAGCTCTCCGATCGCAGCTTCCTTGAGGAGTGGATCAGGAACGAGGCCCGCCGGCATGGCAACCGTGGAGGAGGTGGCCTTTTCTGAATAGCGCGTGTGACGCGGGCGTTTCTGTACGATTAGGTGTCTAATTAATCTGTTGTATATCTCATGTCTGCTGCCGTCACTGTGCATGTGTTCATGCCGTAGGGCGTCGTCTGAGGTCGCAGCCCAACATTGAGCCAAGAAACTATGTCAGGTAGGTTCCAGTTGGAGGAACCAAGGTTCGAGACGTTTGGACTTGGCGATACGACAAGGGATGAATGTTATTGGTCGTATCGCTCAAGCTTTCGACCTCATACCTGACTCGGATTGCTCGTTCTTTGTGTGGGGAACCAACTTCAGCGCAGTGAGTGGCTCCCTTCGTCTGGTGGGAACATCGACCTTGCAAGTCACTGAAACGAATAAGGCCTGGATGCTTGCAACGGGAACGATGCCAAGGAGGTGCCGCTTTAAAATCTCCTCAGGATTGGGAGCACAGACTACGTTCTATTTTGACAACATGGACCGAAGGCTTCGATACACTTCAAGTATCGAGGCAGGTTACTCCGATATTTCTGACAGCTATCCAAGCTACGACTTAATCGACGACTCACAGAAACTCTTAAGAGACCTTGTCCAGTTCTTAGACTTTTAACTAACTGTAGCCACATTGCGTTGGGATTGACAATTTCCCGGAGGCAAGAAGAAGTAATTACCCCTTTTTGGCAAGGTGGACAGCAACTGCCTTGAAGTCGTCCGAGAGACCGCAGAATCCAGGTAGGTGTATCTCGATGTGAACCCCCTCTCATCTCTAGGCAGAACATGTCGAGCATACATCGACTCATCCCAATGCCCAAAAATGACGAGGGCATCCGGTACGGAGTCCACCTGAAGTTGGAGACAAGGGCCGGCAGGCTGAGGCCGACGCCATAGGTCAACCTTAGATTCATACAGACACATCTCACTCTATCCTGCATCACTACCACACCCTCTTGCTGCCCACCTCTCACCCTGCTGCCGCGGAGGTATCTCGGGGATGGGTCGGCATCAGCTTCTTTGGTGGTGAGACTGTTGTTGATGTCTGTCCGGCCCAGTCTCGGGATTTCCAGCAAGCCAGCTAGAAAATCATCTGACGGGGAGTTTCACTCTGGATAAATGCTCCTATGGTGTTTAATTCGCACGTGAAGGCCAGCGCATGGACGACTCTCAATCTCAATCGCACTCGTCACTCGCAGGCAGTTTGGGCGGGAGAGCCATGGCGAGAGATATACCATCAAGTCATCGAAGCAGCGGCTAAACAAGATCCATGCCATGTAGAGAAAAAATCACATGCCAGCCCAGACTCCCACAGCACCCCACAAAGCCCAAGCCGAATCACAAGCCCCCAAGGTCATCCTAACTGTCAGCCTCTCCCTCTCCCCTTCTCTCCCTCCCTCCCTCACTCACACACTCCCTCCCTGCCCTCCGCTCTCACGCCGTATAAAACACCTCCTCAACAGGCTTCCACCACCCGGGCTCGCCCTCCTCGCTGCTCCGCGCCCCGGGGACCAGCGACTCCTGCCAGCCGTCGGTCATGCGCCACCACTCGCGCACCTTTGGGTTCTCGCGCATGCGCTCCATGTCGCCCGCGTAGTCGTACCCGACGTACTTGAACGACGAGAACAGGATCCCCGTCTCGGGGTCGTGGAAGATGCTGTCTGTTCAAGGGGGTTTGGCCCGGCGGGTTCCCTTGTTAGCGCGTGGCACTCGAGACTTGGGGGGGGTTGTTGACTCCTTTTTTCCTCTTCTTTCTTCTTTTCCTTCCTTCCTTACTTCATTCCTTCCGCCCTTTTCCCCGTGGAAACGGCGGCTAACTAACTAGGCCATGACTTGGGCCTGTCTCTATTTTCTTTTTCTTGGTGGGGGGAATAGGGAAGGAAGGGTTCACCCACAGTCCTGGATGTTGCAGTCCTTGATCTGCTTCAGCACCTCGGGCCAGACGGCCGCGTGCGCCTCCTTGTACTCGGCCACGAACTCGGGCCTCAGCCTCACGATCTGCGCGAACCGCCGGCCCGGGTTTTTCGTCCTGGTCGGCGACACGAGGTCCATGGGGTTGGCGTCGGGCGCCGCCGCCGCCGACGTCGCGGTGGAGATTGTCGGCCGCTTCCACATCTCGTCTTGTCTTGTCTCGAAGGGCAGTGGGGGGCCAAGGGGGAGAGTCGGGGGAGGTGGAGAAGAAGCGGGATGGGTGAGTGAAGAAATGGAAAAGAAAAGGGGAATTGAACGTCGAGGGGCTCTCGTTTGGAAATCTCCCCCGTTGGAAACGCGTGTGGTTGATCTGGAGGCTGTCGATTTGAGTTGCTCGTCTGTGATACAGCGCAGGGGTGGCTCAAGAATGGGAAAAGAGTCTCGGTGGAGATGATGACGAGCTGCTTTCTATGCGGGGTTTCTTTGGGCGGCTGGTTTGGTTATGATTGGGATGACCGTCCAGAGGAAAGAAGCAAATCCTCGAAACAAGCGGCCGCCTGGAGTTGAGTCGGGTCGGTTTTGAGAGATGCTCACACGAGCTAGCCACCTAGGCACTGAACTGAGAGAGATGTCGCATTCGATATCCAAGTTGGCTAAACTCCAATCTGTGAGGGGAATGAGGGGTCGTGAATAACAGTATGGTGTAAGACTCTCTTTCGCCTCTTATCTAGGTACTTATAATTTCGAAAGCAACGGTAGTCTAGCTCTTGTTTTGAAATTGTATGTTCGTACGCGATGATGCGATGATGCTATCTCCGTATTGTCGTGCAGGGAGCTCACAGTGAGACACCAGAGGACTCGAGGCTTCGACTGATCACTTCCACTTGATGAGATATATTTTAAGCGTCGGGCTGCGAGCTGCAGGCGCCAGCCCCCTGCGACCTCGAGCAATTTATCCGCAGCGTTAATTCGCACCTCGAGCGTGGAGGGTTGCCCGAAACCGGACAAGCAGAGATAATAGAGGGGCTGTTGATATGTCATCCCTCATCGCCAAATCGGCGGCGGGGATGAAAGTGCCGAATGTCCACAGAACTCCCATGACCGTCGTAGCCTCTAGAATGATGTTTCGTATGGTGTGAATAGACTTGTAGAGTCTCATATTGCTTCTTCCGAGGAGGCTTTTGAATAATACCTGTTGTTCGAAATAGACGGGGAATGCCTTGACACACACATCGAGCCTCGCTTCCAATTGCTCTTGCCAAATGTGCCTCCCATGGATGGCCTCCCACGGATGGCCTCTCCTAGGTCTCCTTTCCCGCCAGCCCCATTACCCCAGAACGCCAACACACCGTGCAAAGGAAGGATAATATGAGAGAGAAAAAGGTATCCAACCCCTATACCTCGAGCATCCTCTTCAGCACCGTCTCCGAAGCCCTCCACCACCGGCCCCTCTCCTCGAGGTCGTCTCCCGCCCCTCCCAGCGCCGCCTCCTTCCTCTTCCTCGCCTCGCCCGCCGCCGCCGCGCTGTTCAGCCTCCTCGCCTCGAGCGGCTGCAGCTCCGCCCGGAGGCGCTCGGCCTCCTTCCTCTTCCGCGGCACCTGCGCGGCCAGCTGCTCGAGCTGCCTGTCCAGCGCTGCCCGCCGCGCCCTGCGCTCCTCCACCAGGTCCAGCGTCGCCGCCAGCGGCAGGCGCAGTTCCGGCCGCCCCGCCCCGCCGCCGCCGGTCTCCCGCTCCTGCTCCGCGCGCAGGCGGTCCACCTCGTCCTCCAGGCCCGCCAGGCGGGCTGGCATGTCTCGCAGGGTGGCCGCGCCGGCGCGGCGGGCCTCGTAGCGCCGGCTGAGGTCTCTGCCGCGGGCGGCGAGGTCGGCGGTGACGTCGGCGACGTCGTTCTTGAGGGCCTTGAGGGCGGCCTTGGAGGCGGCGTTGCTGGCCTCGAGGGCGGCGTTCTCGTGCGGCGCGACGATCACGGGCGGGTCGCCGACGATGGCGCGGATGAACTTCTCCTTGGTCACCTGCTCGACGTAGCTGAAGCGCAGCTTGGCGAACAGCTCCCGGTAGTGCGCCAGGTCGGCCTCGAGGCTGGCGGGCGTGGGCGCGCCGAGGGACGTGTTGGAGACGTCGGAGGTGCGGAGTTCGGCGTTGTTGGTGTTGCTGCTGCTGCTGCTGTTCTCGCTTGTAGGGTCTGAGGGTTGCGACAGGGTGCTGGATATGGGCTCGCTGAGCTTGATGATCGAAATGCCGTGGCGGGACTCGAGTTTCTCCACGGCGTCGAGGACGCGCTCGGCTTCCGAGGCGTCCATTTTTGACTGATGGTGCAGTTGTCTGATGGCTGACTGTTTTGTTTTAACTTGGGAGATACAATTTCAGTTCGCGCATGTGTACAGTAGTTCAGGTAACAGCATCGAAATTAGACCAAAGATCTTGTGAATGTGCTGCGGATCGAAGAGTCCAATGTTTACTTAATTCCTGAAACGGACTAGCTCTCCCGCGTGCTTATCGATTGATGTGGCGAGTAGCAGATAAGCACTTCGCGGGGATTCTCATACGCGGGGCCGAAAATACGCATAAACCTGGCGTCACACGTTGGCTTCCTCGTCGCCCTTGCCAACTGAATTCAATCAGGCTATCCCGCCTTTTTGATCCTCGTTTATTCTTTATTTATTACTTTTTGTTCCGGTTTCTTGGACACCAAGATGGGAAATGACGACATTCTTACCGATGACTACGTTGCCGAGATGCTGGCCAAGGAGGCCAATAGTTGCTCTCTGAAATACTCATCCCTGGGATTGGAGGCTTATCGGGAGTCAAAGTTGGCGCACCCCTGTCTAATCTTCTCATACCTTGGCAACAGAAGGCTGACGACTGTCTTCCAGACCGGCCAACAAGGCGAAGCCGAATACACGATTCCTTCGACACATCATCAAGGAGACTAAGAATCACAATGAAGCACTGCTGGCCAAGGAAGCCGCCGAGTCGCAGGCCCGGCTGAACGAACTGGCCGAGGCGGAGGAGAAGAAACGCCGAAGGTTGAGGCCTGCCGCAGGGGATGTACGACGCCGTCAACTTGGGGATATCGCAGCCATCCTGCAAGGGAGGAAACGGAAGCGCGGAGAGGGGGAGGCAAAACGCTCGCAGGATTCGACCGCCGGGGACAGAAAGCAGAAGGATCTTGGTGAGAAACCGGGCAATGGTGACAGGGGCAGAGGTTCAGCCTCCGACGGTGGTTCTAGGCGGGATAAGGAACCAGGGAGACATCACAAGGACCGCCGGCGCGAGGAATCCGACGAGGACGGGAGGAGGAGGCGGCGGAGAAGGAGCCACGATCAGGACAGATCACGGTCGCCGGGCTATCGTGAGCGGAGGCATCGGCACCGTTCGCCTCTCGATGACGACAAAGACGATTCAAAGCATAGGTCAGGTGGTAGGAGGCACGACCGGTCAACACGCCGGAGGAATGGGAGCGCATCGCCCCACGACAAGAAGCGGAGCCGGAAGACGGAGGAGGAAGACTCGGATCCCCTGGAAGATTTGATCGGCCCACGGCCTCCGTCACAGCCGGTAGTGCGTCCAAGAGGCCGCGGGGTTGCATCCGGGGGCTCGGCAATGGACGGCCGGTTCTCGGACTCGTACGACCCGAAATCCGACGTGCAGCTCGACCCAGACGAGGCAGACGACTGGGACGAGGCCCTGGAGGCGTTGCGCGATCGCCAGAAGTGGAAACAGCAAGGGGCAGACAGGCTCCGTGCGGCGGGTTTCACGGAGGAACAGGTCAAGAAGTGGGAGAATGGCGATGAGAAAAACGTGCAAGACGTCCGATGGGCCAAGGCTGGCGAGGGCCGGGAATGGGACAGGGGAAAGTCACCCGTGCCGAGGTGAAAAGGAAGGCATCGCTGGTTGTTATCTTGTTGCTTGGGTATTCCATGTTCCATCCTTGTGTCCAAAAGTTTGGAGAATACCCGTCCAGTGCCGCCCTATACCGAGAGTAGTATAAACCTTGACTACTAGGTATTCATCAGGAAACCCCAAATTGGGATGCGTGAGATAGTTGCTCGCGAGTGATCACTTGAAGCCATGCCCGGCCAAATTTGTCCTGAGCTGTCATCGCTAATACTTTCCGCTCTAATCCGTACGCAGTATGCACGCCAAATGGGGCTGTGGGGTAGCAAACATACACCTGAGCTCGTATAGAAACTTTGTGCCTAGCCTGCAACATCATATGCTTTACATACATCAGCGTAACAGTTCTTCTTACTGCCAACTCGAAGATACTAAGTCTGTAAAGTTGGATTCGGCGGTGGCAAGAGTTGCTCAAGGACAGTCGTAACCTTAAAAGATTGAAGCAATTGACAGTGTATATTGGTATGGCGTACACTGTACTGAAGCCTTGATTGTTTAGTACGTCATGAGGTATAATTGGTCAGGCGATCAGGCCTTAAACCTCTCAGCCCTGGGCATGAATACAGCAGCCTGTGATATTCTTTGGATGGGATGAAAGAACTACTTGATTACTATGTATACTTTTAAACATAGAAGGGGCCTGTATATGTATTTCTTCAACTGGAAGTGAGAGCGGTCAGGCAAGAGATATGTGCCCGCACAGTGCCATACGACATAGAAAAGCTAAAACTGTTGTGCTGCTGTGACACTGGTTACTTTTCAAGCCACAGCTGGGCAGTTGCAGACACCACCGTGCCCGGGCCATAATTCAGCTACGCTAGAACCCCGGCAAGTTGCCTGCTTCAAATCATCATCCATCGCCTGTCCATCGCCTGAGCGGGTCTCCTCGGTCTTCCTTAGTTCACATCATATCATCCGGCCTTCCTCACATCCGTCTTTCTGTTCTTGCCCGCCTTTTCATGCTCCGCCTCCGGCCTCCTTTCCTGTGCACCCACCCTTTACAGTTCCTCGATCATTGCGCTTTCCCTCGTTTGTTTTATTGTTTTGGCGAATGATTGGCCCTTGCCGACTCTCCCCGCAGCTGGCAGCTCTGGCACCTGTGTTTCCCCAGAGAGCCGAGCCATCGGTTTGCTCTACACTGCCAAACCTTTGAAACTGCCTCCTGAGCAGCCACGATGAGGCCGCCCCGAATAGCGATACTCGTGCTCTTCTTCGCCGCATCCATCTTCCTATTCTGCCGCTCCGTCAGCTCCCTCCGCCGATCCGGCCCCGCAGTGACGCCTGCCAGCCCCCAGAAGTCACAACTCCGTTCCTTCTTCTCCTTCACCGGCGCCTTCACCCTCTTCCCGCCGAATGCGGCTATCAGCCTCACCGATGATAACAGCACCTTCTTTCCCGCGCGTCCCGCCGCCTTCGGACCCCCACTTCCCGCCAAGGGGCTGAGCGGCCAGCTCTGGATTGGCAGCGGATTTACCGACGACAACCTCCAAGATGGCGAGACTGAGGGCGAGCTCGGCTGCAGCGATGTACCCGGCTGGGAGGACGGGAAAGCCGGCCTGGCGCTGAAGACATCCGAGAAGGCTATGCCGAACGCCGAACCTGCCACTGCAGATGGCAAGGCCAAGCACACAAAGAGAACCGCGCACTCGCGGAATCCTGTCGTGGACCGAGCAGCCGCATCCCGGGCGCGGTTACAGATCCATCCAGACTCCCCTCCTCTCGACGACGGGACGGACGACTACCTCCATCAGGGGTTCCAGCAGGCCAAGAGGATCCATCTCGAGACCTCGCCTGGTTCGGAGTCAAGCCACGCCGATATCCAATCCATACAAGAAGCAGCCGAGATCACCGGCAAGGTTGTCTTGCTCAGCCGTGGCGGTTGCGGTTTTCTCGAGAAAGTGAAGTGGGCACAGCGCCGCGGAGCCATTGCTGTAATCGTGGGAGACAACCAGAAAGGCGGTCCGCTGATACAGATGTTTGCGAGGGGCAACGTAGACAATGTCTCCATTCCGTCCATCTTCACCTCGCGAACCACGGCTCACCTCCTTTCGTCCCTGGTCCAGCCGGGAAGCTTCATCGAGGATATCCTTGACGAGAACGGCAACCCAATACTGAAAGTCCAACAGTCTGGTAAGCCTCGGAAGGGCAAGAAAACAAAACAGCTGCCCACGACTACGACGGCTGTGCCTAAATCAACCGCGAAACCCAAATCTGCAAAGGCGGCCAAGAGTGAGACGGATAGTTCACCTAGAAAGGAGAAGTCGCATACGCCCAAGAGCAGCCACCAAGGCAGTTGGTTCTCGCGGCTCTTCCACTGGGGTAGAGGGTCTGGCTCTGGCAGTAATCAAAGCCGGCGGCCCAGCAGTGGGCGCTTGGATTGGATCATGCTCGACGACTGGAGCGACGAGAAGGACCAGGTTATCAGGACCAGCCTCGACAAGGCGGCCTCGAGAAGCCAGGAGGAGGACACGTCCATCTCGAGCCGAGAGAGATCCTCCGGAGACGACTTCCAGATTGGCGTGGAAGACTGGCGTGATCCCGACCTTGTTGGTTCACCATCGACGCAAGGTGGCCATGGTTCCCCTGCTGCCAACGACATGGACTCACCGGCGGACGGACAATCACGGACCGGAGAGTCGGGCACCTCTGCGAAGCACGCAGGGAAGAAGACGGCCCACGGATCGTCAAAGGATGCGAACGGACCAGAAGGAGGGATCAACACTCCTGGGAGCGGGGAATATGTCCCCGAGATGACGTCTGATGGCTCTAGGTCTGGCACTGGGAGACCAGAGGGCAGCTCTGGCTCTCAGGGTGGTCTCATTTCCAAGATTTTCGGCGAAGATGACGAGGACGACTTCACCCACGATACAGAATTCCGGCCTCCTAGCACCGAGAGTCCAGACCAGCCTCCGAATGGAGACGATGGTGATGATCTTTACCATGAGGGCCTTTGGGTCACGATCACGCCGAGCAGCAGTGCGAGCCCGTTCTTCGACACCCTTCTTGTCCTTGTCATCAGCCCCTTGATCACCCTGACTGTAGTCTACGCACTCCTCATTCTGCGAGCTAAGATCCGCAGGCGGCGATGGAGAGCGCCCAAGTCGGTGGTGGACCGCTTGCCCGTGAGGACATACCATACAGTCGCCCCGTCGCCAATCCCCTCGCCGAGGCAGCCATCTCCAATCAGCTCCTCGCCAACCACTCCACTGCTCCAGGGGTCCTCTCGCACACGGCCACGGCCACGATCCCGGACCACTACTGGCGTTCCAGAACCTGCCGATTCGCTGTTGAGGGTCGATTCTGCCCTGGAGCTGCCGAGATCACTGTCACGTGCGGAACACGAGAAACCCAATATATCCAGCGAATGGAAGAAATACATGGGAAGGCAGGTGGAGTGTGTCGTCTGCTTGGAAGAGTATATCGATGGCGTCAGTCGTGTCATGAGCCTCCCCTGTGGTCACGAGTTCCACGCCGAGTGCATGTAAGTGACTCATCTGTTGTTCATCCCATCCTCTCAAATTCTAACAATGCTACTAGAACACCCTGGCTTACCACACGGCGGCGAACATGTCCGATCTGCAAGGGGGACGTTGTTCGGTCCTTGGCGCGAGGTTCTCCTTCCAGCCCGAGATATGAACCGTATCAAGACGATAGCGAAGACGACAACGAGGCGTCAGGATCTGGATCAAATCGGCCTGCGTCGTTACAGGAAAGGGACTCAGACATCGAGCAAGGCATTCTCTCGCCGGATTTGAGACGAGACCGGCGCCCCAATAACGGCGACGGTTGGTTTCACATGCTATCGAACAGTCTTGGATCTGGTGCAGGATCCTTCCGGTCGGGGAGAGAGGACCTTGAAGAGGATCGAGATAGATGATGACTGCTTGCAGCTGCTTTCGGAGGCGAGATGAATCGTCTCATGCACTCCGCCTGAACTTTCCTTTATCTTTTTTGCTTGTTTCTCTTTTCCTGCTTTCGCTCGCACTGCACTTGCATCTGGAGGGTTTGGCTTATGGCACTTAGCAGGACTTACAGCAGGACTATAGGGAGGATGGAGCATCTCGGGCCTTGGCTGGCGTAACAGTGACACTCGTTCCCTCGTTGTTGATACCTTTGTCGTTTTCTAATATACTCCAATAATGGAAGGAACCTCGGAGTACTGGTAGCTTCCTTCTTTTGTTACCTAGACGCCGGACAGGGAAGGATGGAAGGAGAATATACCCGCATTACCTTTTTTTTTTTGGGCAAGGCAGAGGAGGGAATCTGGCGATATCCATTCTCTTCGTGGTCAATCATTTCCATTTATCTTGAACCATTCTGCTCCACAAAGGTCTCGGTCTCATTGTCTGCAGCTACCTAGGTACCTAAATGCCTTCTGCTCAAGAGCCTCCTCCGCTCTCTTTACTCAAACCAACAACTTCCATCGCCACTAATACTTGCCTTGTGAAGTATCGAGATGAGTGCTGCCTTCTTGACGTCGCAGGAATGATGAAAATCATCATCCAATTACTACAATTATAACACCCACGCCTCTCTGTCTTACATTTCAAGCTGTTCCAACCAATCTCTCCAGATTGGCTCTATTTTTGCGGATCTAGCCATAACCTACTGATTCCAGTGAGCTGCCTCGGTGCTGCGGTGAGTGGTCGCGGTGAAGGCCGCCGAGGAATTTCCGTCCCCTCACCGGGGTCCCGCCAAATCACGACGCAGCGCGCACATTACGCGCCTGTATATTCCGAGCTTTCAGAACCATCAAATTTCTAATTCAATTGCCTGGGAAATTCAGGCCTACCAACCTAGCACAAGTACTTACCAAATATGAATTGGCAATAACTTGGAAAGCCAACTTGTGCCTTCCAAACGGGGACCACGAGAGACGCGGAAGCAGCGATGTTGTCACTTCAATCTCTGTCAGCTTCATTCACGCCAGGCGCGTTACAATAGTACACAGGAAACGAGCGAGTGAGCTGGTAAGCTCATCCAACTGCCTCGGATGAGATGAACTTGCGATTCATCGTATGAAAACACTCGAGGCTCGCTCCCGCCTCCTGCGAAATGTCTCGATATCTCAATCCAGCCAGGATTGGCTTACTCTCCCTCATCGAACTCTACACAGAGGAGGCTGTCCCAAATGACGCCAGTCTCCCAGTTCTATCCTTCATCGCGTCTCATTTGCTCGATACCAACCTCACGGTTACGCCATCTGGTTCTAATGATCGGCGGGCCACAGCCGAGAGCACAATTCGGCTGGTAACCTCGATCAAGGACTTTGAACAACTCCTCAGCCCGTTTCCTGCCGCTGTCGGACTCCCTGGTCGGCGCCTGTGGGACATATTTTTACACAAGATATGGAAAATCGACTCTCTTGACGCCTTACATGCATTTTTCAGCCAGTCGCAGTTGTTGCTCGCGGAGAACAGACCCCAGCTCTCGGAGCAGGATGATATACCTCCCGGAATACGCCTCTCTCGCAATTCACCGTTCGGGACATTTGTCCGGCGATCCCAGCTCGAGTTCCAAAGGCTGCGATTCCACGACGTGACCGAATTGTGGAAGGATTTCGTCAAATACCGGCAGCCCACGGCGGGATATTTCAGGCGCCGCAATCCGTCATTTGGAAGGCTCAGCTTTGACAACGTGCTCCTGACAGGCGAGCACGAATGGGGCGACAGCACTGGTGCCCTCGCCTCGGTGGCTTACGGAGATATTCTCACGGGTGACTTGGATGCTACAGTGCCCGCCAGCTCCGACGATGTTGAGCGCCTGCTGGAGTTCCAGGTCGACCAAATGCAGAGTGAGTTCTGTTTTCCCATGCCAGCCATCTCGGGCTGCCTGTGTTGATGATTTTTTTTCTTGCAGAGTATGGCACACGAATACCACCAGAGATCAAAGCCAAGTTCCAGGAGATACTGCGTGACAGCTATCTAGTCCCGAGTCTCACCCATTACCTCAGGTGGGCCACTCTCAGCACCAAAACGCTATACTATACACGTTTGCTTACAATGAACAGCTACTTGGATGCGTGGAAATCCGGCGACTATCCATCGTCGTTTGAATACCTGTACCGATATTTCGACTACACAATGCAGAACAGAGACCGACTCTTCTACCAGTACGCATTGCTAAACCTGGCCGCACTTCAGGCCGACTTTGGCTGTTACAAAGAGGCTGTCTCCGCAATGCTCGAGACCGTCTCGACAGCTAGAGAGAACAGGGACATGGCTTGCTTGAACTACTCCCTGAACTGGCTCTTCCACTTTGGACGAGCGCATCCGCGGCTTGTGGGCGACCTCGAGTCCAAGAGCATGCTCGGCACCGCCCAGGAGAGCCTCGCGTTTCTGCGCGTGAAAGCCAGAGAGACCGACATGTGGGTTCTTTGGAGCTCTGCCCTGCTGAGCGAGGCGAGGATGATTCTGTCCAACGGGGACAGTGTGGCGACTGCCATGGAGCATATCGTCCGAAGCTCCCAGCTGATCGTCGAAAAGAACATGAAGGGGATGATGAGTGCACAGTTGTCACTCAACACCGCAGTATGGGATAGGCTAGGCATTGCCTCTCTGTCAGCCATGACCTGCGAGGCCTTCCTCCGCTGCCATGCCAGGAACTCCAACTTTGAGGACGAGCTCAGGGTCACTTGTCGCCTCGCCAGCCATCTTGCTGACAAGGGCAAGTACAACGAGGCATTTGAGAAGCTCGAGGCCGTCGAGGCCAACTCTCTACGGTCCTCGAGGGTGAAACAGTACTGGCAGAAGATGCGCGGCATCCTCAAGCTCAGCCAAGAGCTCCATCGCAACAACCTAGACGGCGCCGAATACCTGCTCTCTCAGCTCCTTCAATCCAAATCGGAAGATCTCGAACCGGACCTGAGGTTCGTCATGGACTCGCTACACATCGACAGCCTCATCCGCCGGGGCGATCTACCGGCCGCATTCGACAAGGTCGACGGCCTCATCAGCTCGCTCCAGGACGAAGACAAGGATATATCGATTCGCATCCGCCTCCTGCTCGCCAAGGCCCGCCTCTTCGACCTTGCCGGCCGGCCGCAGAAGGGCTTCACCATCAGCATGCGCGCCGCCGGCCTGGCCTGGCGCGCCCGCCTGCTGCCGGAGCTCTGGCAGGCCACCGGCGCCGTCGCCAACGTTCTGACGTCGCTCTCCGAGTTTGGCGCCGCCGCGCGCCTCCTCGTCGCCGCCATTCCGCGCTGCCTCGAGTCGGACTCGGACGCCGCCGCGGCGTCCCTCTACAGCCTCCTCGCGGACGCGCACATGGGCACCGCGGGCACGCTGGTGGTGCCGGCTGCGGCGGGAGGGGGAGGGAAGGCGACGAACAGGCGCACAGAGTTCCTCACGCGAGCCCACGAGGCGCTCGACTCGGCGTTTGCGCACTTCTCGGCCGTCGGGGACGTGGAGGGGCAGTGCGAGATGCTGACCAAGAGCGCGACGGTCATGAGGGCCGTCGGGGACGACGTGCTCGCTGAGCATTACGCGGCCAGGTACCTGGTGCTGAGGAGGGAGGCGGATATGAGGAGTACGTGAGGATGGGGGCGCTGGTTTCCCTCCCCCGTGGAGGTTTGGGAAAGTGTGGGCAAGACAAGGGAGATATCGGGTGTAGTCATTGTGTGAAGCTTAGGGGGACGGGGGGCTCGGTTCTGCTATTCAGTTGGGGGCGTAAGGTATTGGTGGGATGGCGGGGGGCTAAGTAAATGTCATCAAGATAGGGCAGGCATGCGAAAAGAGTGTAACCCGGACAGCCCGGCCGGGCAATGGATATATACTGTACTTAATGCCTGCTCGTCAGCCAGCCCCGTGCAGGGTTGCTTGCCCGGGTGTCGGCTGAATGGCGATACCGTCTCGCTCAGCACAGCGGAATACGGTTGGGACGACCGACAGCATGATCAGATGGGACTCCACCTGCAAAACCTTGGATTGCTCTGACTGTTTTAAGGGAACATGTACAAGTCGACCGACCAGTCTTAGCGACAGCCTCCCATCGCTCTATGAGCCTTCCTCCATGCCTATACAACTTCTAGATCCGTACATGGGCCACTTAGGTGGTCTTGTCCTTGTTGTGGTAGTTGACGGCGTCGTTCCAGCTGTGAAGGGGTCAGTAAACATTCAAAGGGGTCATTAACAAGCAGGAGTCGGGGGGTAGGGGGGAGACGCCGCGGAGTGGGTGGTCGACGGCCGGTGCCCATCCCAGGCGGGGCTAGATATCCAGGGGGAAAGCACATACAATAGAGTCTGCACACTTGGGTCAGCAACGGCCACGAGGTTTTGCGCGCCTTCGGACGGCGTGGATGGGGGAGGAATTGGGGGCAGTTTTTTTAACTCACCTTGTCTCCGTTACCCCACTGGTAGTTCTTTGTCCGGATGTTCTGGTAAGGGTACTCGACGCGCTCCTCCAAGGGCGGGGAGTGGGCCCAGTGCTCCCAATGCTCGTTCCAGAGGTTGTAGGCGTTGATGCCGGCCAGGAGGAGGCAGGGGATGACGCCGCTGTTTGGGGGGTGTCGGGCGTGGTTAGCATCAGGTTCATTCTGAGTCTTCAAAGGGGGGATCCCGAATCCTCCAGAGCCCAAAGTGTGTATCCTCCTCGTTCGGATATTCGCAACCCAGTGCAATTGGATCATGGTATGTTCCGCAGACGAGCTGGGAGGGACGGATTGCGTGAAAACTATCGTAAAGAAAGGAACGTGATGCCATACTAGATGGAGATCTTGCGCCAGAGCTCTGCACCAATCATCCAATCGTCAGTTAAGTTGGTCCTCTCTCACACTCCCAGAGGGCATTGTTCCCCTCGAGCCCCCGTCGAGGCCGACATCCAAAATGGTGGGCGAAGGAAGAACTCACCGGTCGTGGAGGCGGCGTGCTCCTTGACGGCCTTGCGCTCCCTGATGAAGGCGTTCTCGGTGCTCTGCCCGGCGGAGCTGGCCAGGCGGCGCTGGACGACGGTGCGGGCCGCGGGGGCGCGCAGCTGGGCGGCGAGGCGCGGCGCCAGGCGGAACATCTGGCGCTGGGGGAACATCGTTGAGGAGAGTGGAGAATTCGAATCTGTGGGTGGTGGTGGGAGGTCAATTGCTGGCGGGAGGGTTTTTGGTGGTTTGAAGCAGGAATGAGGTGGAGTGAGGGTGCGTTCGGATGAGATCAGGTCATTTTTCGGTTAGAAGCTCGGGGAAGCTCCTCATTGGTTGGAGGGAAGGGCCGGTGATGACATAATTGAGTCATGTGACTCCGTGTCATCATTGCACCTGCCGCTACTACCAGGAGACGTGATTGCGTGGCTGCGAGACACGCGGAGGAAGAAAGTGGGAGAATCTTATCTGGTTGAATTGATGGGGAAGAAGGACATAATCACCTCAGTCGCCTGCTCTTGCCTTGGTTAGGCCTTCAGCGCTCGTTCCGAGGTTGCGCGGCGTGAGACCCAGTCGGTATCCATTACCACGCTCGCGGGCCTTGGCATATTCGTTCAACCCGTCAAACCAAGGCTCTTTGACGGTTTTGTTTGTCGAGCGGAAGAAGAACCTCGGACTCTACGTCTGCGGATGAACCGCTTCTCGCCTTTCGGCTCGAGGGCTCAAGAGCGGTAGAAAAAATGGGGATCCGAATCACAACGTGGAATGGTGAGACCCCTCGGAGTGCTCTTCTAGGCATTGCTAACGACTTTCAGTAAACGGCATCAGGTTCGTCTTTGGAATCTGTAGGGGGATGTAATAACTGGTTCTCACACTCCTGCAGGAACCCATTCGGGTATCAACCATGGAGAGAGAATCGTACCTTCCAGGTTTGTCTCAGATACGATCTATTGTCCGAGATCATCGCTTACCACTCATTACCAAGGCGATGTTCGATACCTTGGAGGCGGACATTGTTATTATGCAAGAGACCAAGATCCAGCGGAAGGACCTACGAGATGACATGGTACTCGTGCCAGGCTGGGACGTCTATTTCAGCCTGCCCAGGTTCAAGAAAGGTAGACAGAGCCATCTCTCTCACACCTTTACATGCTTCGATGCTAATAAATATGACCCAGGATATTCTGGCGTTGCTATCTACACGAGAAACTCAAAGTGCTGCCCAATCCGTGCCGAGGAAGGAATCACCGGTGTCCTCTGCCCAGCGAACTCAACCACAAAGTTTCGTGACCTCCCTGAGGATCAACAGATCGGTGGATATCCGAAGCTAGGTCAGCTCTCCAGCTCCATAGATGAAGCAACCCTCGACTCGGAAGGCCGTTGTGTGATTCTCGAGTTCCCCGCCTTTGTCCTCATCGGCGTCTACAGTCCGGCCACGCGAGATGAGACAAGGAGCGAGTTCCGTCTTGGCTTCATTGACGCCCTGGATGCCCGTGTTCGTAACCTCGTCTCGATGGGGAAGGAAGTCATTCTAACCGGTGACTTGAACATCATACGCTCAGTCATCGACTCCGCTGGCCTACAGGAGCAGCTTCGAAAGGATGGTATGACCCTTAATGATTTCATCTCCATGCCGACCCGCCGTTTCCTCAACCAGATCGTTTTTGGCGGCAAAGTTATCGGTGCACGAGATGAAGGACGTGAGCAACCCGTCCTATGGGACCTATGCCGAGAGTTCCACCCGGACCGGCCTGGGATGTACACTTGCTGGGAAACAAAGAAGAATGCCAGGCCGGGAAATTTCGGCAGTCGTATCGACTACGTCCTTTGCAGCTCCGGCATCAAAGATTGGTTCGAAGACTCGAACATTCAAGAGGGGCTCCTGGGATCAGACCACTGCCCTGTCTTCGCCACACTTCGTGACACGGTTGACGTTGGTGGGAAGGAGACGCATATCATTGACAAGATGAACCCAGAGGACATGTTCAGGGGCGGGAACCGGTTGAGGGAATGGTCTGCAGCAAAGGACCTTCTCCCCATGTCAGCAAAACTTATCCCCGAGTTCGATCGAAGGCGGAGCATCCGCGATATGTTCTCCAAGCCGACGATTCCCACAATGAAGAAAGAAGCTAGCTCGCAAGACAGAGCCTCCCAAGGCCGAACCGACACTCCCTCTTCTACCGCTCTTCTCACCGCAACTGCCGTGGAGGCCGAAATCGTTGACGATAGTTCTACCGCCGAGCAAAGCACATTTTCCAGCACCCCACGGTCTTCGATTACAGACAGTGTTCCAAAGCCCTCTATTGCAAAGCGGCAAGCAGCATCCCCGTCATCGAACCGGCCGCAGAAGAAGAACAAAGCCACATTGTCCAAAAGCAACTCGAAGTCAGGATCGGGAAACTCCCAAAGCAGTCTCATGGGTTTCTTCAAACCCAAGACTACCGCGCCTACTCCGGGTCTCATCGAGGGCACCGATGGTGGGATTGGGGATTCCACTGCCGAGAGAGCCGCAGCCGTGGTCCCTGGGGATAGCTCTTCGCTAACCAAGGACAAGCCGAACAATGGATTGATCGACGATGATATCGAGGACTGGGAGCCAGGCCCGTCCAAGAACGACGACTCGGGCAAGGACAAGGAGGTATTCGACCCCATCAAGTCAAAGGAGTCTTGGTCGAAGCTTCTCGGCAAGAGAGTTGCCCCGAGATGCGAACATGACGAGTCTTGCATCAGCTTGTTGACGAAGAAGCCTGGCATCAACTGTGGTAGGTGACCCCCTCCCCCCTTTTCACCTAAGCCGAGCCGATGAAGCCATCTGTGTTCCCTTCCCGCGTCCATCATGGTTTCCCATGCCGTCCTTCCCGTCCCGACTCCCGATGTTCTTATTCTTTGCCATCCCTTCCTTCTTCCTCGGCTAATCAATAGTACAGGCCGGTCATTCTACATATGCCCTCGACCACTCGGACCCTCGGGCGACAAAGAGCAAGGTACACCATTTCGGTGCAGAACGTTTATCTGGAGCAGTGACTGGAACGGACAACAATGAGGACGGCGTTTGATGATACCATTGCACTTTCTGTACATTAGGATTGCTACATGTTGGAAGGGCGATATTATCGTCCCGCCGCCGCGTGTCTACGATGGTGCAGCTCAGGCAGTCGGGTCATACCAGGTAGTCGGGCTTTGATTCAACGACGAATCCATCACGAAGCATACATGAGCAGCGTGTTAGGACATTTCTTCGTTCAATTCCTGTGTCTATCCATGAGAACATCTCGTGAGAGAGTCCCAAGACGTCGTGACAAGTCTAACTAAAAGAAAAAGGTATCTTGGTGAAGGCAAGGCCAACGAGGTACATGAAGGTAAGCCCCCTCCCTCCCTCCCTGATATCCATCCCTACCACGAGTACCGTGAGATGGAAAAAAATTAGATTCCTCCCAATGCCCGTCTTTTCTCCCTGCATGGTGTTTTTTTTCTCGGAGGTTTTGTCGGGGCCTTTTTGATTTTTTTGGTTCCCTGATAAGAACAGGTTCTCCAGACGAGGCGAGAGGTAGTTCATCCAGTTAAGGACAAACCGTGCCATGCGGTGGTGATCCCGATCCAGGCCGAGGAGTTGTCGAGCGGAGAGACTTTTTCCAGGGAAGCTCAGGATCCGTCCAGTGAAGGACAGACCCGGCCATGCAATGGTGATGCCAATCCAGTGGTGTTTTCGAAAAGCAAAGAGATTTCCATGGACCGGTGTGTCCGAGGGTGACGAGAAAAGGAAATTGCTGAGCGGAACCATGTGCCCGGCTTCCTTGTCGTTTTCCCACCTTCTCAAGCAGAGACTTGCTGGTGCTTCCGCTTGTTGATACCTGACTTTCGGGCCTGGTATTTGTATTGAGGATACTTCGCCTTGTGCTGCCGGTCTTCCTCTTCGGCCAAATTTTTGAAGTAGTCCTTGACCTCACGAGACTCGCGGCGCCACATGGTAGAGACAATGGTCGCTAGCAATGTTAGCATGTGGCATAGTTGAATGTAAAGGGTGCATACAAATTTGTCCAGCGGTGAGAGTTGGGTCTTCTTCGTGGAGCTGGCGAGAACGGTTCTGACGATAGATGATCCATTGATTACGAGGTCGGGGAATTCGAGGTTGGCACTCCTTTTCGCTGCCCACATCTGTTGTGGTATCTTGACTGGTGGCTCTGCCCACATTCCCATCTTTACACCCGTTGGTGGAGACATTGGCCAAGTCAATGTCTCCATGGTTCACCTCATCTACATGACTGTCAGCAAAAGAAAGAAAAGGAAAATGGCTAGAAAGCGGGAGGTTATGTAGTGTAACTCACATGTGGTGCGGCAAAGAAGATTGTAGCGCTCTCCAGCAAGAGTCATGGCAGACTTGAGGGTGCTAAGACGGTACAAGTGCAACTCATTGTCGAAGACGATGGCGACGTCCTCCCTCATGATACACCTACCAGTATTGTTAGCTAGCAACATAAATCAGAAATGGGTAGGGAAGCATACTCGAGGTTCATCAGAGACTTTGCCATGCCATCTTGGGTCATTGTGCCAGCGTAGTAGAAAGCGAAGTCATTATGGTCGTCGACGACGAGGACGAAAGGGTACTCGTCGGCCTTGATGGTGACTCCCTGACTGGCAGCCATTGTCGCAGTGTATTAAATTTTAATCGCCAACAATGGAATCTATTTTCAAAAGATAGAGGTGTATTGTGTGTTCGACTGATTTTCAAAGATGGAGATGTATTGTGAATTCGACTGGAGGTGAGGAGGATAAGGAGAATACGGTTGGTGCCGACGTGATGCGCGAGTGGTGAACAGGGGACGATTCGTTTTGCCCAGGTTGGGGAACAATAGGTGACGATACTATTGTTCTCTAGTTGAAATGTATTATTGTTTATCGTAACTGAGGTGAATTGTATGTGATGATAAGGGGGAGTTTCGTAGGTACTTACGGAGGTCACGATTTCCCCTGACAACCAAAAATATAAATTCGAATTCGCACCCAGATTTTCTCACACACACCTACCCTCTCCGACAGTCCTTTTCCCCTTAGAAGAGGACAATATTCTACGCATCCTTCACCTCCTTATTTCGTTTTCACGTCTCCCAAAACAGAAGAAGTCCCCACCAAAAAATCGCCTCAACCTTCAGCATTGGTTCTCTGACATGTCGGACAACCCAGACATGGCCCAAAGTTTTGCTCAGGGCAATGTTGGAAACGTATGGGACCTGACAGGCCAGAATGACGTGCCTGACATGGACGATAACTCCCCTGCCCCTGGTAAGTCTGATTATGACTGAATATACAGCAGAGCTGACATGGTTGTTATCATAGACCATATGACGAATTTCATTTCGAACTTCATCCCTATACCTCGCGGAGTACACTCTGGCTTGACCGTCAAGCAAGCACGCATCGTCATCAAGGCGTTGACTCAAAGCGTCCTGGATCGCAGCAAGGCCGTTCTACTGAGACTGAAGCCCGACATTGATGAACTCAACGAGGACCTATCTCGCATCAAGACCTGGAAGAGCATGCTGAACGGTCAGCTACCCGAGAAAATTCGGCTTGCTTTGGAGGGTAATGCACGAGAGGGTGACATGAAGTCTGTCTCGGAGTGCCTCCAGAGAGACTCATTCATGGCGCTTGAGAGATCCAACAAGATTCTCCGAGTTCTTAGTATTGAGAAGAATCATGCTACTGCTCATGCGAAGGCAATGGATGAGATGGAGAATTGTGTCAAGGGGAATATGGAAGAAGTCCAACAAATCTTGGGCCATGTTCTTTCGGCTCTCCATCTGAAACTGCCCCCTGGAGCGGAATATGGGTTGGTACCCCATAAGGACGTGAAAATCTATGAGGGTACACCGCTGCTGTTCTATCCGAAGGCGCCCGAGGGAGATGAAAATGATGATGTCCAGGGGCAGTGGTTCGTTGCGGAGTATGATCATCCTATGGTCACAGTTCCAGGGACTGCTTGGAACAAATGGATTCGAAACTGGGCTGATCCGGACTCGGATGCCATTACTATCAAGCTACCACCCGTTGCACGCGCATTTTTGGCCGAGATCCGGGGAGAGTACAACAAAGCACTTGTTCAGTTCCTACGGGTAAGTCGAACTCATCGAAGCGGTTCATCAACTTAATGGCTAATTTGTAACTCAGAGCGAACCTGTTCGGAGCGGAGTGGTGCAGCTCAAGCCTACTGTGTTCAAAGAGGTATGTTTTATTGGAACTTTATCCAATATACTGCCAGCTATTGACGCCTCGAATAGATCCAGAGTTATCAATTCCTGAAGAAGATCTGCAACTTCAGAGGACGAATCTCCCATCATTTTGTCTCGGAGGAGAATGATTCCCATGGAGATGATCGCTTCGTGAGTACTCGAGCATGTTTATCTTTGTAGCACTTCTAATACATCCACAGAGCGAACTTCCAACGTATGACCCAAGGGGTGAGCTCCAGATCGAGGTCATGAACAATATTGCTAGCATGATCCGAGGTGGAGCGCGAGCGGTGCTAGGAATGAATGGATCGACCATGACGATCAAAGTGGTCGAGTTTTCGGAGAGAATGGGGTGAAGGAAGTCATTCAGGTACATAGGTGGTCACATAGGTTGGCGGTATCCTTAGAATGTTCCATTTTACCAGGGTAGATACGTAGCTATCAGGACAATTCCGAATTGAAATCGACGAGTCCCAATGGCATGACTCTTGGAGGATATTCAAGTAATACTCTTGTGTATGACTAAATTGAATAAAAACTGAAGTCCGTGGCTGATTTTTCCGGGGCCAAGGGAACAAAGGGAGGTGACCCCTCTCGCTCCAAATCCACAAGACAAAGATATCCCCGGCTCCGAAAAATTACTCTTCCCACAACACCGCGGAAATCGAAATATTTCTGCACCCTTCACACATTTCCCAGTCTACAAGTCAACGAAACTTGTCCAAGATGTCGCTCTCCGCGCAGCAGATCATCGATGCTGTCAAGGGCATGTCTGAACTCGAGAAACGGAAGGTACTCCGGCATCTCGCTTCTGCCCAGGGCATCACCGATGAGCGGGTTATCGAGCCCGCCGAGAACACATCTGTGCCTCTGAAAAAGGCAGTCAACGGATTCATGGCTTTTCGATGCAAGTTGCAATTCCCAAATTACTATCTCAGATTGCTAATTATTGATAGCTTTCTATTCTACGGTGTTCCAAGGCCTGCAGCAGAAAGAGAGATCCGGATTTCTGACTGCACTCTGGGACGTGGATAACTACAAGGGGGAGTGGGAGTTTCTGGCCAAGATCTACTCCTATGTCCGCAATGAAGTAATGAAGGACATGCCCGGTGCCCGGACATCCATGCGCGACTTTCTTGATGTCGCCTGCCCAGTCATGAACATCGTTGGCGCGACCGACTATTTGCAGGCCTTCAACTGGCAGTTGATCCCGAACGGCGAAGATAAATACGAGCTGAAGCAGTATGCTCTGCCGCTGGTCCAGAAGGCAACTCCTATGATGACTGGTTTTGACCTGCTCTGCCACTGTCTTGTCAATGGCTACAAGGTGCACAATGGCCAGAACATCTTATTCCGAATGGTCGGAAAGCCGGAAAACATCATGACGACAGCCTCATTCGCCACTATCCCCGCTCCTGACTTGGATGCTGCGGACTCGTCGTTCAAGAATGACTTCCTGAGTATGATTTCTCAGAACCCGCTCTTTGCCGCTTCAATGATAGTCCAGGACACGGTTCAGCACTCCCCTGAGGTGCATGGAGTCAACGTCCTCCGTGTCCGTGACATCAACCAAATTCCGGACGACATGCTTCGCAACCGTGGGAGCTCTACTCATTACCATCATGGCGATCTGTCCCACCTTGTCAACCAGTACAGCGATGCTTCCGATGCGGAGGGATTCACGTTTGGCGATGATATCATGAACACGAACCCAGTTGACGACAGCACGAACGATGCCGCGGTGGCAAACACCACGTCCCTTGCCTTTGAGGTGGTCACTGCACTGGGCCCCGATTTCATGCAATGTAAGTAGTGACATACCATCATGAGATGTGATCAATACTAATTAAGTCCAAGTCGCTGACGAGAACAATACCTACTAAGTTCCCTCCCTGTGAAGGCAACATTTCTTTCCTGTTTTGGTCACGAATCACGAAGAGCTGGTCAATTGGACTCTCAGAAATCTGAGGTGACATCAGAGAGATTATGTCACGCACAAATCGATGGAGGAGGTAACAAGGAAAAGGAGTAATTAGATCAGTGTCATTTCCGTAATGAGAAACATTGCATTCGGCCATGGGACTTTGCCATCCTCTGTGGTGACTGTTGGTCTGTTGGAACGTGATGTTGGTGGCTCCGTGCTAAGATTAATGTCGTTGAGATAAAGGAGGTGGAGTGTCCCGCTAATGCAGATCTATGGTTACTTTCAGCCGCATTCTTAAACTCCACCAACCCGGTTTGGCCTGCATTCCGTCTCCACTCACCGAGAAGTGCGTGCGGCAAAGCCGCCAGCATAGGATTCGGCCGACAGCATTAGGATACCGTCGCCAAAGGAGTGTCGCGGCCCATTGCGAGCCTCTTGAGCAATTATTACCAATATAGGTCCCTCGCATCCAAGGCTTCACAGATTCAACGGCGTCTCGAGATCGCAGAAGAAAAAGGGTGCGCTAAAAGTACTGGTACGGAGGTACTTCAGCGAGCGCTGCGGCCAACAGGATTCCATCACATAAGTTCGCCAATCAGATTATTTTCCAATGACCGCCTTCTTCCCAACGCCAAAATCCTATGTTTGCCTAGCACATCACTTCGTTGGCGCTAGCAGTGCAGTAGGACGACAAACTGCTTTGATTGAATCAATATCTCCGTCCCCTCCGGCGCTAGTGGACGGCTTGGCCATTCAGGGCTCCTTTACTGACTGTCGCAAACATAGAGCCCACCGCTTCTGCCCGTCATATTTTCTTCTTTCTCTTCTGGAGCTAGTTGGAGGTAAACTCTTCCCCCCCCTCCGCTACCCCGCATAACGTCAAAGCAGGCAACGCTCAAGAAGGGATTAACCGAGGACCAAGGTGAGTTACTCCTGCTTCGAGCACCACGGTTATCCCGCATCGAGCCGTGATTACAACCACTGCGGATGGAGGGTGTGACTTGTCATCTTTAGGTAAATTCTTCCCCACTACCTGGGTAGGTCCCCCCGTCCCCATCCTCATCTCGTCTCTGCCCCAAGAAGTAGCCGATCAGCTGGCCGCCTGCTTCGACGTAAGTCATCCCATGATATAGCCAAATCCCTGCCGCTTCATCGAGTGAAGTCCCTACTATCGCGATGCAAGGCAAGCTGCTTTCCGTTCCCACCAGATGTTGCACCATTCCTCTTTCAGACACGGCACAAGGCCTCTTCCCGGTAGGTCATCCCCCTGTCATCATGCCGACCCGATAGGTCATCCCACATCAAGGTAAGCCACATACTCATCAAGGTAGGCAAACAGCAAGCCCGCAAACTTGGCATTCAGCAGCAAGCGAGAGCTCACACACATTCCAGAATTCCCCCTCCCCTGCTCCCCCAACCTTTCCCCCATCACGCGGTTACACACGGCCAGTTCCAGCAGCACTTTTCTATTCTCCCTCCCTCTCCCTATGGGCTGTCGCCCTGCTGGCCAGGTCTACCGGCTCCCCGCATCGCCCCAATAGCCACGGTACTACCAGCAAGGTTCGCTCGGGAGTTCTCCCCGACCCCTGTCCCCCCCTCACCCCCCAACTAACCCCTCGCAGACTGTCGCGGCGTCTAGCGTCCCACGTCACCGCTCCCGCTAGGGGGCTCGCTGGGCCGCCGTCAATCTTGGCACCGCCGCGACACGGGCACAAGAAACAAACGCCAAAATATGCCACTCGAAAAACACACGTGAAGAGACGGATGGAGGAATAATTACGGGGATGGAATTGTGCTGTCGACATGCGAAAGGTAGGTACAAAGATGGTCTCGAAAGCAAGGTAAAAAAAAGGTGTAAAGCGCACCCCCTCAAGCCGCGGCTGTCTCGAGGCACGCCCGCCCCATTGGGGTCGGGGGGAACAAAGGTGGGATTCCGTTATTTCTCTCAACCCCCAGTTATAAAAACTGCCCCCCTCTGATACTATCTGCACACTCTCTACTCCTCCTGGTAAGAAATCTTGCGCATCTCGCCCAGGCGATGACGCGCCGCACTGAGGGAGTTCTCCAGCTGCAAGATCTCGACCTATATGGTGGGGGTGACGCTGCGTTAGTCGCGCTGGGTTTCTCCCGATACAAGGGAAGCTGCCTGGGTTGGGAAAGGGGATCGAGAGTCACATACCTGCTGTTCCATCTCGCGCACCTTGAACTCGTGCGCCCCGAGCTTGGAGTAGTCGACCTGCTCGTCCTCGGCGTTGCGGTCCTTGATCATGCTCTGGACCTGGCGGACGAGGGACCGGCACGCCGCGCCGACGGCCTTGCTCGCCTGCTCTAGGTTCTCCTGGCTCTTGCTCATGAAGCCGGCCTTGACGCGGCTGGCGGCGACGAGCTGTGCCGTCGAGGCCGCCACGTCGTTGGACGCCACGATCAGCTGCTCCGGGCTGTTGCGGTTCGACAGCACCCCGTCGGCCGTCTCGATGAGCGTGTTGGTGGACGAGGCCACCGCCTTGGCCGCCGAGATGAGTCCCTCTGTCCATCTGTTGTTCTTCTTATAGAAAGCTGTGCGCGACGACGACCCGCGACCGGCCTGGACGATCTCCTGCTGCGTGATTGTGGCTGCCTTGAGGAGCTGCGCGATGGCCGTGGTGATGGCCAGAGCCGCATCGAGGATCGAGTCGTGAACCTTAAGCTCGTAGGTCGAGTAGCCGTCACGGGGTTTGTTCCTGAGCTTCGCGAGACGAGCCGCGGCCGCCGCGATTGCGTCGGCGGCCTTGCTCAACTCCTGGTCGACGATCTCTCCCAGGTCTCCCTTCTTGCCCAACTTACCAAAGCCGGGTGCGAACGCCTCCACAAGCTTATTCAACTTCTGGAGATTCATCTGCGCATCATTGTTGCTGTTGATGACGACGTCGGTCTTCTGGATCGGGTCCATGCCCTCCAAGCGGAAGCTTTGGAGCCCTCGGAAGAACTTGACCGTTGACTGAGCCGATTGGCGGGCACCCGAGATCAGGGCGTCGCTCTTCTTCTCGTCGGTAGCCAGCCGAACGAGCCCCTTCGTGTTACTGCAGACGTCGGCGATGGACCCGGCAAAGACATTGATGTTCTTGATCAGCTCGGCATGCGTGCTGTTCGGCCCATCTGCGATGAAGTTGTTGAACGACGTGGCGAACTCCATTGCGCTGGAAGATGCCTTCTCGATGTGTGACAGCACGTACGACGGCGAGGCATTCTGGTTTCCAGCTTGCATGGTAGAATCAAGCTCGTATATCGCATCGTCAACTCGCTTGACGCCCGACTGCAGAACCGAGTCGATGATGTCGTTGATCTTCTCCAGGTTGGCGAGGATCAGGGTATCAATCTGCCCATCCAGAGCGTGGTCAGTATCGCCCTGGTTCAGCTTCAGCTCGTTGAGCTCGATCAGTGTCTGGTCCATGCCGGCCTTGTAGACCTCGAGTTCTTCTTCCTTGTCGCGGAGCAGCTGTTCGAGATCCGAACTACCGTCCCTTAGCCTGGATTGGGCATCATCCAGAGCTCGAGACTTGGTACGCAGCGCCTCCTCCAGATCAGCCATCTCACGGTTGTACTTGGACAGCATCGTGGAGAGTTCGTTGCCCTTGCTCCGTTCCAGGTTGTCCGCGCGATCAAGAGCCATCCGCAGCTCGCGCTTGAGCTTCTCAACCTCGTCTTTGTTGCTGCCAGTCAGACGATCCTTATCGTGCAGTGCCCTGTCCCTTTCTCGGATCATGTCTGCGAGCTCGAGGTTCTTGGTCTTAATCTCACGCTCCAGCTTCTCTCGCCTGTCTATTGCCTCCTGCGCGGAGGCGGCCTTCAGCTGGACGTTCTTGAACTTCTGGAGGAGATCCAGGTGCTCGTGGCGGAGTTGTGAGTACAGCTTGGCGAGTGCCTCGTACTTGGTTCTCCACGTATTGACCTGCTCCTGGAGAGCCCGAATTTGGTCGTCCTTGCTGGAGATCTGCTGGCCGTAGTTATTCTGGAGATGCTGTAGCTCGCCTTCAAGAGCCTTCACTCGTTGGTCGTACTGCTGCAACATCAACTGATCGCGCTCATACTGGGCACGGGCATTCAGGTTCTCTTGTTCGAGCTCGGCGAGCCTTCCCTGAGTCTGCCACTGGGCCTGCTGGGCCACCAGGGCTTCTTGAGCCCGCTGTTGCTCTTCCATCAGCCGCCGCTGTTGCTCCTCGAAGTCACGCTGGGCCTGCTGCTGGGCCTGCTGCTGAGAGTACAGTTGCTGCTGCTGCTGCGCTTCCAGCACGCGTTGCTGTTCCTCGTACTCTCGATTTTGCCGCTCCAGCTCGCCCTTCCAGAACTCGGAGATCTCGTCAGGTTCGTCTGTCTTCGGTTCCCGCGGAGGAGTCGGCTGGCGTTCTATTTCCTGCTTCGGCCTGGCCGGCAGGGCCGGTGCCGCGTCCTCATCAGCCAGTAAGTTCGGTGCATCCTGTGGCAATTTGGGGATCGTGATGAGGCTCGTAAGATATCGCAGATTGGAGCATTCGTAGTAAAATTTCACAAGACGATAGTGCTGAGCATCGTATCGCTGTCGCAGCGGCTCGAGGGCATCGTTATCACCCGTCGCTGCAAGGCGTTAGACAGACGTTCACATAGATCATGTTCTTGTCGGGACTGACTTGAGTGCATCGCTCGCAACATGCTGGTAATAAACTTATAAATGCCATAGCTCTCGGTGACAAGTGGAACCAGAGCAGATATTCTGCATTCATTATTCCCGACATTGCGGAAGTGGGAGAAGATGAGTTTTTGGAACTGGTCAATCTTGTCCTGTAGAGTCATCAGGTCGGTGATAGTCTCGTAACCTTCATTTGGATCATTGATAGCTTTGAGGCTGATGTATTCCTCGTACTCAAACGTGCCATTGAACTCGGGGTGCTGTTGGTGGAAGGCGAGCTTGGCGAGCAGGTAGTAAACGTATTCTTTTATCAACGGACCGTAGCCACGCATGCCTTCGCCGGCCATACCACGATTGAGGCTGTCAACCCAGGCACGATTCGCCATTGCTTCTCTGAGAGTAACCGGGTGGCCTTCCTGCAAGACCTTGTGGATCGTAATTAGGGCCTTGAAAGTCTGAACCTCGTCGGCCAGGATAGGTTGGCTGTGATACGATTTGGGATATCAGCTTCCGTGTAAATAGGCAGTTGCGACCCCTGTGAGGACCGTCGGCCGGACAGATTCGGAGTGACGCACACTTTCATACCGGCCCAGAAGGGCTGGGAGGACTTGTGGTCCCAAGTGTATACGATACAACTTCGGACATGCTTGCGTTTTGGGGCCGTCTCTTCGGCGCTCGTGGCTTTCTTGATGTTGATGGCAAGCTCGGCCTCGGATCTACGCATGGTTGCAAGTTAGACGCAGGCACAATGAAGAACAACGAAGAACGTAGCGATCAAATGTAGCGATCAAGAGTATCGTGTGAGTAACTGACTTCGTGTGGTCGAGGCTGCGGATAGCCGCCATGTTGGGCAGCTATGGAGCTCCGGGGCTGCCAATGAGGAATTTCGGGTCGGGGAGCTCGTGAATAGGTTGAGATTGGCAATCAATCCAAGGAGATGTTTCGCATCGCTTTTATTTCTAGGGAAGGAGCGAGCTGCACAACAGCTTCGACAAGGCAGGCCGATGTTGATCGAGGGGTCAAGATCGCCAAGAAGGAGGAGGCGTTGAGTCGTCGTCAGCCTTGAGGAGCAGCAGCAATCGCTGGAATGGAAGGCTGAGACGAGCTCCAACCTGGCCGCCCAATGATGTGGTTGGAGGCGGACATGTTCGGCCCGAAGCTAGGCACCGCTTTGTAGGTCACGTTAGCACCACACCAGGTGTGTGAATTTGGCTCAGGCTCCCGCCGCTGACCGATAAGATAACCGGAGCTTGTCAGGTACCCCTCCATCTCCATGTGATGTGATCATCACTGCTGAGGCAGCACAAGCAACCGCAAGTTTAGACAACAGAAACAAACTCGACGCATTCCTCCTTCCTTCCACATCTACCTCGAAGGCATCGACATCATATCACCTTGTATAGGAATCATTGCCATCTTCCCCGTTTCTGATAGCACCTACCTTGCTTCGACTTTCGGCCAAGATGAACATCCTCTACTCAACAGTCAACAGCCTCCGCGATAAGTACGCACCCGTGTCACACACCTCCACCTTCCGCAAGACCGGGGAGATAACGCCGGAAGAGTTCGTGGCGGCCGGCGACTACCTCGTCTTCAAGTTCCCGACCTGGTCCTGGGCCGACGCTGACCCTGCGAGCAAGCGAGTGACCTACCTACCGCCGGGGAAGCAGTTCCTCGTGACCCGCGACGTCCCTTGCCACCGGAGGGTCAACGACGACTTTGCCGGGGATGCCGGGCACGAGGAGGCGGTCGTGGAGGGCGGAAAGGGCGGGGACGAGGACGGCTGGCTGAGGACAGGCGGCTTGGCCAGCTCGCAGGCGCTCAAGGCGAAGGAGATCCGCACCGTCGACGATGCGGGGAATGTTGGCGAGAGGGAAGTCGTGGAAGACGACGAGATCCCGGACATGGAGGACGAGGATGATGACGAGGCCATCATCAGGGACGCCGAGGGAGATGCGAGGGCAAGGTAAGGGCCACTCTCCCCTCCCGAACCAAACGGCAGCCTTAGTGGTAGCTAACGAGTATCTGCAGTGGAAGGAGAACATACACACTCTATATCATGTACTCGCCGTATTACCGGACTCCCCGGCTGTACATGTCCGGGTACCTGCCCAACAACCAGCCCCTCCCCCCGCACCTCATGATGGAAGACATCGTCGGCGACTACAAGGACAAGACGGTCACGCTGGAGGACTTCCCCTTCTTCGCCAACAACATCAAGATGGCCAGCGTGCACCCGTGCAAGCACGCACCGGTCATGAAGACGCTGCTGGACCGGGCCGACGCGGCGCTGAAGGTGCGGAGGGAGAAGCTCAAGGCCGGGCTCGCTGCGGGCAGCGACCAGGGCATGGAGGGCCTCGTGGACGAGATCAAGAACCTGGACATCTCGGGCGCGGACGTTAATGCCGATAAGGGAAGCAATGATGAGTGGGAGGAGGTCCAGCATGAGCCCGACGACCAGGAAGTCGCCATCCGCGTGGACCAGTATTTGGTTGTTTTCTTAAAGGTTGGTTTCTTCCTGATGTCCCACCCGACTGCGCGAGATTTACTAACTTATACCTCTCTTAGTTCATCGCGAGTGTCACCCCGGGTATCGAACATGACTTCACGATGGCTGTGTGAGGGTGACGAGAGGAGGAGTGGAATTTACCAGGCCAGATATGCGGTAGGGCTGTTTTCTGTAAGCACATAATTAGATATGGTCCGGGGATGACGGGGTGGGTATTGGCGTATAAGGCAGATTTATCTTACAGAATGCGTAAACAAAGACCATAGCACTTATTCAGTGGCCGAAGACAAAAAATAACTCTTTGTGATTTGTTATCACAAACCTTCATCCCTATGCTATGCTGTTATTTCCCATCTCCTATTCCTTTTTGTCCATACTTCCCCTACTCTCCCAGTCAGACAGCTTTAGCAATCTCCTTGTCGATTCGGAGACAATAACGGCAAAACCCCAGTGCCACCGGGCTATGCAGGCCGGCTCTCTCCGTCTTCCCCCCGTTTCTCTCCGGTGCCACGCCCGCCAAACCACGAGGCGTACACAAGCAGTTCCCACGTTACAGACGGTGCATACAAAGGATATGTGCTCTAGCATCGACGACCTCATCATAATTGAAGCTAAGCGGTTTGCTGAGCAGTAACCTGCTTAGCTTCAGCGCCTACCTTAGGCTGTCGGGGCTCACATGTATTGTCACGTAGGGGCTGACACATGTACTCTGTATAGGTCCCTGCACTCTTACTTTTCCGCTATCAGGTTCCCTCAGAATCAAAAGAGCTTGTCTTCGCGGGCAGGGGTTCCGGGCCGCCAAAAATCTTGGGACAGTTGGGGCATGAAAAGGACCAGCTGCCAGGACCAGCTGCCAGCTACGGAACAAGCGACGGCGACGGCGACGGCATGGCAACAGCAACAGAAACGACACAGGCAATAGAGCTGCGGCAACGGCTAGCCAAATGCCAGAACGGGGATAAGGTCCCGGACAATGCCGGACCCCTGCTTCCTGGCCACTATCTGCCAGTTGAAGATGCTTCTTCGCTCCAGCAGCCTCAGCGACCTTGGCAGCATGCTTTGGTCCAGTAAGATGTCTCCTCAACTTCGCCTTTTTGACGAAGGCGTGGTCGCAGACGGCACAGTAATGCGTCTTCTCCTCCACGGTTTTTTTGATCGACCGTTTGACGGCTGCCTTTGCCTCATCTGGGTGCCTGGCCACATATTCCTCAATTGAGCTTGTAGTTGGCTGCGGAATTTCCTTCGGGAATTTCTACAGGGGCATGCGCTATTTGCTCCGCCAGGCGGTTAGTGCATCACAGGTGGCAGTTGCTGTCTATCGCTCTTGCTGTCACTCCTGTCACTCCTGCCGTTGGTGTCCATCCATCGCTATTGCCGTTGCTAGGAATAGCAATAGTGACAGCGAATGCAGCTGCTGCCACCTTGGCCACCTGCCCACAGACCAAATGGCGCATGCTCGGAGAGAAATTCCCTTTCCTTCAGTTGCCGTTCAATTGCCTGGGCTGCCTTGCCTAGTACAAGGCTAGGTACCTATTTTATGTTCCGAAAGACTTCTACGAAGTAAACCGCTTAGCTTCAGCGCCTACCTTGGGTTCAGAATGAGGCCAGGGTCAGGGTATCTTGGTTGTTACCATGCAACTCAACCGTCTTCTCTGGTCCTTATTGGCCATATCTGTGTATTCGGTAGGTCTCGTTCTAGTTTGTGTGACATTCTCCTGTTTTGGCGGTCATCTCTCACCCCCTAAGCTGGGACCAGGAGAATGGCCCAGAAGATAGTGTCTGAAGTTAAATTCAAGTTGGTGGCTGATGGGCATTGTTCGGTATTGTTGGAACCGGTAGTAAGTACCCTCGGGCAACCTCGCGTGGCAAGAATCTCATTGTCAAGCCGCTGGACTTGGGCGTCGATCTAGTAGTCAGGTGCAAGGAGCAGGAAGAACAGCCGTCATGCCTTTGCAGGTGGAGTTGGATGTTGACAGCTGTAAACACGGGTAGAGGCATACGGGTGCAAGACATTCTCCTCGCACTGCCCAATTGTGCATTGTATCAAGAGCAGGATGCTCCTTATGTCGAGCCTGGCTTGAACGGGATTAAGCCATGGACATCAGACCGCGGCATTGGAGTGGGAAACACATAATTATTATCTTCCCCTGAGCTTCATCTCTCGCCCGAGTGACACCTCTGCTTACATGGGAAATACATCATAGCTAGGTGTTGTTCCTTGGAACCACTGCAGCCCATGGCCTCCGCTCGTAGTAGATGATCAATGGCAAATCTTGGAGACGGCCGACAAGTGCTATCGCAACGTTGATTGTATGTTTGCAGGCGCCGCAGTCACTAGACAGGATGGAACGTTGGAAATAGCTTGAAGGTCAGACGAGTTGGGCAAAGCAGATCAAACGACATAAAAAGCAGACATCCTTAATCCGCGAGAGAAGAGCAAGGAGTCGGTAACTAAAGGAGAGCATCCAGCTTTTGGAACCAAGATAAATAACCTGCTATAGACTGGAAGTAATCCTCCGCCGGCGCCTATAAATTGCCATCAACGTTGCCCTCCACGATTAAGCGCTCTCACCGGTCCGAGAGCTCGCCCTAGAGTACGCCTTGACTTACAGCCTAGAGAATCAGGAACCTCACAGTGAAGAAGAGAAACATTGGCCTATCCTGCCTCAAAGGAGACGTAGAACGGCAGTCAACAGCCGCCTATCCGTGCACAGTGATGGGGCCAAAATGAAAGACCGACCGGTACGTTTCCGATGTCCGGACTATCTTCCGGGAGCGCTTCCGCGTGTCCAGCAAGGCCTGGGCCGCGTCCGGGTGATAGGCGACCTTCCTCCGGCTGGTGCCGTCGGCCGCGGCGTGGGCCGCGAGGTGCGCCCTGAAGTCGCTCAGGCGCGTGATGGCTATTTCGCAGCATGGACATTGGTGCGGCCTGCGTGCGCGGCCTGTTAGTCTTGCCGGGGATTACACACCTCTTGAAGAACGGGTTTGGGGGCTTACTGGTTGGGAAGGTTGCTTGGAGGCTCCTCCGTTTCTGGGGGCGACGAGTGCATCCTGCAGAACTGGTTAGAATATTGCCGGTGCGGATTTGTCAGGAGAAATGAACGGAAGTTAGACTTACACAGCCCAGTGGCGTCGTAGGTGTGCTATCTTATGGAATTTGGATGAGCATTTCCCAATGCCACACTTGAACCGCCAAGCAGCGACATTTACGGTCTTAACCTCCCCCAGCTCCAGCAATTGTTGATCTTCAGCGTCATCCTCTGACAGTTCGGGTATCTGGGCGAGCGTAGGACTTATAGCATGACCCAGGGACGCATTCTCTTGACTTTGCTCCGAGACGGACACCCCGCCAGTTTGGCAGTCCCAGCCGAACGTGGGTGGCTCGGGGAGGTCTGGTAGGTCATCTGCAGTGAACAAATAGGGCCATGGATCGCCAGTAATCTTTCCGGCGTCGAAGAAAGGCGGGTCCATGGACACATCCGGAGAGAATGTCTCGTCTAATGAGAGCTGGAAGTCCAGAGGCAAATCCAAGAGTTCCATGTCGCTAGGGAATGGCGGGAATCCCGCGTGCTCGGAGAATGATGCGAGGTCAGGGTTGCCCTGAAACAGGTCATCATCACATGGAAGAGAACCCGGAAGGAGATATTGATAGCTGTCGAACCAGGCATCGGGTGGCATTGGGGCTGGATCTAGAAAGGGGGAATTCTCGGGAGTGATTGGGTCTCCATGGGCAAAGTTTGCATGGGCAAGAAATTGAGCGCTGAAGTCGGCCGATAGCACCTCAGGAAACGGGGCATGAGGGCCATATGGCGGGGACGATGGACCCTGGAAAGACATGGGAAGCAAGTAGCTAGACGCACCAAGGGAGAGTTCTTCATCAATAAGATTACCGGTGTAGTCCATCTCAAGGGACATGGTGGGAGCTGACCACGATCAGGTAGAGTGGTGTAGAAGGCTAGGAAGAGGAAAGGGGGAGAGAATCCACCTAGGCTCTGAATTCGGGAAGCCGCAAGAACGATATACATATAGGTAGCCCAAAGATGCAGAACGGGGGCCTCCTTGCACACATGAGACAGAGGGCACACGGATGTATCATCTGGCACACGGCCGATACAGGTAGCCACAGCGTAACCCACGACAGATATGTTCCGGAGGAGGTCTGATTCCAGCCCTAGGTGGGTTGAGGTTGCCTGGCTGATGCAGGCTTGTACCAGACTGGACGCCGTGGACGGTATTATCAAGCCACATCGAGACCTCGAATGGCAAACAACCTCTGATCATGACACTAGTGCATGCACGGCGACAAACCCGGTGCCTGGATCGGCCACATCGTCGCCCAATCTCAACAGCTAGTCTGAACGCCCGCCCCTGCTGGCATCGCCAAGACAAGGCAAGGCTCGAATGCAAGTCTCACAGGCAGGGCACCACTAGGTGCAAGGACTGCATTATCACCCTAATGCATAGCTACGAAGGTAGGAGAAGGCTTGGAGCTGCCAGATCGAGAACCACGGCCAACCGACTAGAAACACAGAATACTGTTGTTAAGTTCAAAAGAGCGGCGGGGCGGAGCGGGGCCGAGCACAGGAGGGGGGCAGGACGGCAGAGGAGGCGGGGGGAGAAGGGACGGTGAGCACAACTGGCAAGACATGCATACTTAGTAGCCCAGCGAGGCCAGTCAGTGATATCTCACTCAAACAAAAGGAAGCAAGACTCGTCGATCCCGCGATCGGCTGCGTAAGGAAAAGAGCAGAAAAAGGAAATATATCGGTGGTATCTACCAATCAGTAGTAGAGGGATGGAGGGGAGGCTGGCATTCAGCTCTAGCTCGGACCGAAAATAACGGGAATCGGCTAGTCGGAGGATATGCAATATACATGTACAACGTAGACGTTATAGTCACGCAATAAACGGAGCAGCCTGGGCAGCTTACTACCTACTATGTAGATGAGGCGTCCTTGCCCTGAGACCTCTGCTCGGATTGTCCGAAGATTGCTTCTGCCGGAGTCATACTATCATTCGGCTCCGATGACTTCGGCCCGCAGTAATGCTGTGTGTCCAATGGTCAATAGGAAACATGGATTGCAGGATACAGTGATACAGTGCTAATAGGGACCTCTAGCGGCTGTCACCCAGTATCAGGCCTGTTGCCTGTTAGCTGAGATTGGATGGAATCCTGCATCAATGCAATGCATACATGAAAAAATGAAATGAAAATTGACGCGTCACAACTATGATGTCCCATTTTTGTTGTTTACAAACAGCGTGGAACTCATGCAGGTATCGAGGTATGATCCACCGTTAGTCCCATACTTCAAGTATACTACGTAGAAGGTTAATCAATCTAGGCCCGCACCTCCGCCGTAAAAAGCGAGGGGCGTGGGTGATGCCGGTTTTCGTCTGGACGCGACGTTGACGCGACCTCCGGTAGGTCCCCTCTTTCTTGTCAGGCAGGAAGTTTCCATTCTGATCGGTGAATCGGTGAATCGGTGCTCTTTCCTTGGGAGTTGCAACCACCGCGACTGAACGTGTTAATTAAAAGTAGGGACGTAGGTAGGCAAGTACCACGTAGAACCAGGAGAGGAGCCAAGAAAATACTGGATTCCCGCTCAGTGGCCCAATGACGGGGTACTCCCTGCATTTTGCATTTGCATTGACTTTTTTTGTTGACACTGGACATTTCCAGCAATGTGGAGATGATATTGTTTCTGTTCTCCCGCCCATTCTACCTTGCGCTCGACAATACCTCTGTTTCCTTTGTTCGCTCCTTCCCTCCATCCACCGCTTCTCCCGTCTCCCCTCCCGTCCCCTCTCCCGGCCGCTTCCACGGGACCAACAGTCCGGGCGAGACATCGCCAGCGGTCCCTGCCTGAAGCGCTGCTTGGCCCCCCCTGAATTGGCTCACCTATCCCTCCTCGTCTGCTTCCAACTGTCAAGTCCGATCTGACCGCGTTATACCTACCTATCCTTTAGGGCCAGTGTTGTTTTTGATACCCGCTTTTCAGTCACCTTTTGCAGTTGTTCAGCCGTTACGCTTTCCTTGCCAATTTCGATATCCTCGTTGGCCTGAGAAACAATACCTCTCCAGAACAGGAAAACAGAATAAAAAAAGCGCGTCAAAACTCGACCCCTCCTAGCCTCATAGGGACGACCCAAGGCATGATCCGGGGTAACATCATTGCTTGGCATTTATTTTTGACCGCGTAATACTCTGGCAACACAACAAAGCAAGCAACATTCCAGTCACAAGGTACGCCAAATAGTTTCCTGCCGACTGTTGGCCACTCCTTTATTTCTCTTCTGTCGTTCGGACTCCCACTAGTTCGCACCAGGCAGCCGGGCCTGCCTTCATTTCGGTATTGCTTTTGCCCGCCTGGGAAGGGAAGGGAAATTACATCGTGTCTCATCGCAACGTGGTCTGGAACTCTGGATGGTCGAAACATTTTCGTGATTCGAAGGGAAGTCGTTCGTTCGACGCACTCCTCTACAATGGCTACCTCAATCGCCGGCGACAAAGCCACTTTGGCGGCCAACGACCCCTTTGTGACGAACCCTTCTGGCCCTGCCCACCTCCGATTTTCCGCGTTCGACACGAATCTCTTCGCCCTTGGCCCAGGGGCCTCTGCCGAGCAGGCGAAGCGCGCGTTGGAGGCCCATCTCGCCGATACCGAACGACGCATGGAGGAAGCCGGAAAACTGGGCACATCGCTAGTACAGCAACGGAAAGAGCTCACCGACCGGCTTAAGGAAGTCGAGCAGCTCCAGGCCGACGGCGAATTGACGCCCGATCTTCGACAGAGGCTTTCCGAGATCGAGAAGGATTACAATGAAGTGGCGCGGGAGAGTGCTCGCGCATTTCTACCCAAGCAGAGGGTGCCAAGCAATGAAGCAGCTGCTGGCTCTCCATTCGCTCCAGAGGGGAAAGGTGGCAAGGTAAGGCAGCCGCTTGCGTGAACCCGAACTGGGAAATGCTAACGAGGGAATACAGCGCTCCGTGAGTCCATCCAAGTTCGAAAGCCAAGCGACTGGATCTCCGACAAAATTCAGCGTCCCAAACCGAAAGCTGCGGAACCAACCTGCCAACCGGGTACATGACATCGAATTCGCTGCCGAGATCAGCACTTCCTTGATCTCTCAAGTGCGAAACCTGCAGTCACTGCTCGCAGAGAGGGAGGAGGAACTGAGGGAGACCAAGACGGAAAGGTCCCGACTGGAGATCGAAGCCGAAGGGATCCAGCAACGTCTGAAGACACTCGATGAGAGCGAACACCGGTACAAGGACGAGAACTGGAATCTCGAGACGCAAATCCACGAGTTGATTGCAGCTCAAAAGGATGCCGCGGACCGCGAGAAGAAGTTGACCCAGATACTCAACGTCCTTCAGGCGGAGAAGAACTCGACTCAGAGGGAGCTGGACGAAGTCAAGCTGAACTTGGCGAAGCTGGACGAGAAGCACACCGCCTCTGTCAAGCACCACGACATCGAAATGGGCACGTTGAAGCGGAAGGAAATAATGGCCGAGGGTGAAAAAGCCGCCATGCAGCGGAAGATTGAGGACTTGACGAGCCAGAACCAAGAGCTGGCCAAGGCCTTCTCGGCGCAACGCGGGCGCGCCTTGGAACGAGAAGCCGCGCTAGGGATGAGTGACGAAGACTTCGAGACGGGCCAAGAAGCCCTTACCCCGGAACACTCGCCCCCTCCGTCGCCCGTGAAAGGCACCCCGCGACACTCGGTGCTCGAGACTGAAACCTTGAAGACCTCTCTGCAGCATGCGCAGCGGACAATCCAGAGCTTGAGAACCAACGTCCACCGAGAGAAGACAGAGAAGCTGGAGCTCAAGCGCATGTTACAGGAGGCCCGTGACGAACTTGAGAAGACGAGGAATGACCCCGGCATGTCTAACAAGCGGAGTCGGAAGGTGGATTCGAGGGAATTTAGGAAGCCCCCGAGATTGGGCCAGCTTGGAGGAGCGCGCTCAAGCAGGAGCGAGATCTACCTTGATGAACCGGACTGGGAGGATCAAGGCGACGCCGGAAGTCAACACTCCTCTGCAATCACCAGTCCCATATCCCGCATCGCAGGGGATATCGTCCCGATCACGGAATCTGGAAGTGATCATTTTGAGACTGCCAATGACACAAGCGATGCTGCCTTTGAGACGGCCCATGAGCGTGGCACCGAAACCGAAGATTTCCACACTGGCGCAGAGGAGTTCTCCGATGATGACGATGCTGCAACGGAGACCGAGGCCAGCCCCTCCAAGGGGAGCGGCAGAACAAGACGGCCGCCAATGATGTCTCTAGGCCAGGCCGGTAATCGGTACTCGTTCCACAGCACAGCATCCACGTCAAACGATGAGGAGGATTACACCTTCGCCTCGGAGCTCAAGACCCCGACGGCCCTCCCGCCTCAAAGGATGCGGCTCCGCGTCAGCCGTGGCGCTCTGAGCCGCCGGTCTCGTCTCCCGAGCGAAGAGCCCATGCTGCAGAGCAGCCCGGTGAGCTTCACCAGAAGCCCATCGGGGACTCCGCAGCCACCTAGCCAGAGCCTCTTTGCCGAGCTTGGTGAGTTCGAGGGTAGCGATGACGAGTCGTACGTGGGAGGTGTCACCCCGAGTCGAAGAAGCCTCCGATCTCTTACGCCGGGCAGCACTCGTGGCTGGACCGCTTCCCCCCCGCCTCAGGTGCCTGCCTTGCCAAAGACCATCATGGTGGATAGTGGCATGATGACTGAGCCTGTTGATGTCTATCCTGCCACTACTCTCGACGATGGTGCACCGGCAGGGCCCTCCCGGCCTTCCATGGTCGAGAGCGGGGTGATGACCGAGGAAACGGCCGCCGAGCTCCCTCTCCTATCTCCCCAAAGCGTCATCTTCCAGGGAAGGCCGACGACGATGGAATCGGTCCTTGGACCTGCAAAGTCTCACGCTTCTACCCAATGGCTGGGAGACGACTTTACCGACGAGGAGCAATCAAGACCATTGTCGACCGCTTACAGCGATGCCAGCGCGCAACACGACCCTGACATGGAGGCTAAATTGGCGCAGTTCCCTTCGCCGCCAACTTCACCGTTCAAGCTTGGACAGATTCCGACGCCTCTCCTTGCACCTCCGGAGCGCCTCAGCATGTCGGAAATCCAAGCCGAGCACATCGAACCCCATGCCGAACCTGAGATTCGTCCCCCGACTCCGCCAACATTCAGTATCTCTTCCATGCTCTCGGAGGAAGTAGCACCCGTCGCTGCTGTGGCACCCGTCCTGGCAATGTCCTCGCTTGTGTTTGAGCACGTTGAACCGCTTGTTCGCGAGATTTCGCCTGCCACTCCACCAAGGCTCGGTCTGTCGTCTATCATTTCCGAAGACATGGAGCCAATCGCGGCAGTTGAGCCCCCGCCGCCGACACCCCCAATCCTGTCAGTTGCTAGTATTCGCGCTGAAGAGGTCAAGCCATTGGCCGAGCAACCCGCTGAGCGTGACCTAATTGTTGCCGCGCCGCCAACAGCGGCACCCCCGACTCTGTCCTTGTCGTCCGTTCTTGCGGAACACGTTGAGCCGACCCTCGAGCCCGAGGTCCCTGTTCCTTCACCTGTTGAGCTCTCCTTGTCCGCCATACAGGCTGAGGCAATACATCCCGTTCAGGAGCCGCTTTCCTTCGCCCCCATCCAGGCTGAGGCAATAGAGCCCGTCCAAGAACCGCTTGCCTTCTCTGCTATACAGGCCGAGGTGATACAACCCATCAAGGAACCCGATGTCCCTCTCCCGGCCCTATCCTTTTCGACTCTTCTGTCACAACAGGTCGAACCAGTTTGTCCGGAAGAACCTCCGTTCGTTCCGCCAGTACTTGGTTTCGCTACCGTACAGTCTGTGGAGAGCGAGCCAGTGGAGCCCCGCAGCCCGAAACGGGACGCCTTCATCATTCCCCGAGATGATTATGTTCCTAGTCAAATGGAAAGCGAACCGCCCAGGACGCCGCCTAGTTCCCGCTTCGGATCCGTTTTCGGATTCAACAAGACCAGGGGCGTGTCAAGAGCGGCCGAGAGTCCCATCATTGCTGAGGATGATACTCGCCAGTCATTGAATGGATCACCAGTGGCGGACACTCCCGAATCACAACGACCACTCAAGGAACTCTCGGCCAATACGGAGACCAAGCCGGCGAGGAGAGGAATTGTCCGAACTACAGACCAGAGCGCGCAAACCTCTCTGACATCCGATGCCATTGATGAGATGCTCGGTGCCAAATATCGCCCACGCGATGCCGCTGGCCATATGAAGAAAGACTCTCTCACCGGAAGCGTGGACACGCCGGGCACCGTTCGCAGGCATAGATCTCGAGAGAGCTTTGAGAGCGTAGTCCGCAAGGGGATGATGGTCGACGCAGGAGCTGACGCCTTCCCGGGTATTGCTCCGGTGCGGAGGCCTGGCAGCTCAGCAAGTGGGCAGGCTTCATCAAGCTATTTCCCTCCCCTGCCGGCCAACCACAAGCAAGCCATCGAGGCGGCTCGAACCGGCTCTTCCAGCGGTGGTCAAGGAACTATGGGACCGCCGTTGTTCCCCGCGTCGGCGTACAGGAACCCGAACGCGGCTTTCCGTCCGCGAACACCAAGTGGCCCCAAACCGCAATCGCCTATCTCGGTCACCTCCGGACGGGGTACGCCGACGCCTCGAGCAGCCAGACTCGGGTCGTCGCACGGGAGAACAGGAGTCCAATCGCCGTCGAGGCTTACCAATATGAGTCGGAGGTCATCCGTCTCGTCGTTTGTGTCGGAGCTCGATAGCCGATTCAATATCCAGAGTGAGATGGGCATCGCTGGAGCGAGCGAATTTGGACCAAACACGGACCCGCGCATGATACAGGCCATTACCCAGACCATGATTGGCGAGTACCTGTGGAAATACACGCGTAAAACGGGCCGGGGTGAGATGTCGGAGAATAGACATCGAAGATATTTCTGGGTTCACCCGTACACTCGTACGCTGTATTGGAGCGACCGGGATCCCTCTAGCGGGGGTCGTTCCGAGTTGAGAGCCAAGAGCGTCCCCATCGAGGCAGTGCGAGTCGTTACGGACGACAACCCCATGCCCCCGGGACTGCACCGCAAGAGCCTCATCGTCGTCTCCCCCGGCCGGACGGTCAAGTTTACGTGCACGACCGGCCAGAGACATGAGACGTGGTTCAATGCTCTGTCTTACCTGTTGCTACGAACTGGCGAGGAGGGCCAGATGGACACACAGGAGATGATGGGCAACATCACCAGGGAGGATGTCGATGAGTTCAATCCGCAATTCGATCGACGCCCGGCCAACGGGGCGCGGCCACGCGCTCCTCCCTCCATGTCGTCGTACAACTCCAGGATGACACGCAACGAGTCTCCAGCCATGGGCATGTCAATGAACATCCCGACTCTTACTCCCACCCCCAAGAAAGCGTCCCAGACCCGGCCCTCCTTCGGTACGCTGAGCAGAATCAGCGGATACTGGAAGGATAGCAAGGTCATGTCTGGGACCTTCTCTAGTCTGAGGAGCCGAAGCGTCAGCGGCCGCAATCACATCAACTATGAGGCCAGCGAAGCGCACGACAGCGCCGAGGACTTGAGGCTGATGATTGAGAGGCAAGACCGAGAGTCTGATAGGTTGGAGAATGTTCGAGCATGTTGCGATGGCAAGCCTCCCCACCTTCGATGTTGGAAATTTTGTTTGGGTTTTTGATACTAACGTCCCGCAGGGAGACATGATGTCGGGACCTTGCCTCGTAGCACGAGAAGGGGAGAACATTCTCACGTACACACCCATGCTCACCCCGGTACTTCCACTACTCCGACCCCAATGGGCACCGTTAGGTCCAGGGCTTGAATCGAGTCCAAAACCAGTCGTTTATTTCAAAATATCCTTTCAACCACCGCCCTTTGTGGCGTGTAACAGTTTCTTTCTTGTCGATCGCTTGAAGACTATTTTTGCATCACACAGTTTCATATGAAGCAACCAGCCATACGCCACGGATTTCTCACGACGATGATGATATCTCCTTTTCCTTTTATCATTTTTATTCTGTTCCGCATTTTAATTAATGCCCAGTCGGCCTCGACACCGCCGCCACCACCAACCTTCCTCCCATTCCAACTCGCGGGCTAATTCTCCCCGTGCCTAATCCGTGTCTCGTCTCTCGAGGCTGTGCTTGTCACAACGCATGGATCGCGCTGCTGGCCTGACCTTTGTCGCAAAGGCGTTTGGGCTGTGGGAATCGGGTCATTATTCCGGGAACACCACCTCTCTCTCTGTTGCCCGTCTCTCTGCCTACGTCGGCTCTCTGTTTGTCGTCAAAGCACAATCAAAAAGAAAAAAAAAAGGCAGGCGCAATTCGGAAACGGGGTTTCTTTCCGGGGAGGAGCGCTGTCTTGTCTGGAGGGGCGGGGCTCTCTATAATACCTAACTGAGCACCCTCTTTCACAGCCCCTGGCGGACGTCAACTGTTGATTCTCAAAGATTGTTGGCTGTAAAAGCAATATTGTGTCTGGATGGTACGGACGGGGCGGGTTTTTTCACGAGGGTTTCTCCCGCGTTTGGTATTGTGGTTGTAGTTACCTTTTGACGACTGAATGAACAAAACCTAAATTGTCATGTTGCTGTGTCCAGTTGGGCAGTGAGTGATCGCCTCATTCTGGATAGGAATCAGGGATCGGAAGTAGTCCCCTCAGCGTAGACGCAAATCGACATTGTTAGTCGGGAAGGGCGGCATTTGGCTTTTTTCTTCACGTTCGTCCTCTTACCTCGCGTAGTCAGATAGAGCACCGAAATAGCAAATGGCATGATCAAGATACGAATCAAATAAAATAAAAATAATTAGCTTGTTGTTTCTTGTGTCGTGTCATCAAAACACCCTTCCTCCCCATTCCCTCCCTTTCCCTTGCCTTTGCCACACACCATGACACCCTTGAATCGATAACCAATTATCCATTTTTGAACGCCTCCCCCCAACCAAACCCCGATTGCGCTCGTATCAAGGGAAACAGACGCGAAGAGAGTGAGTGAGTGACTGGGTCGTAAAAGGAAAGATTGGAGGCCCCGGCAAACTGAAGATAGCCTCCGTATCGTGCTATTGGGGTAGGTGTGCTGAACAGGGTGTGGAAAGAAACCGACAGGGTCTCGCGGGTATCTGGGGACGTGTTTGTGCTTTGGGGTAAACCGAAGGGGTTTAGGGGCTTGTTTCGTCCCCGGGGGCCCGGTGGTGAGGTATCAAAAGACGGTTTTCTTTGCCTGGTCCGTTATCTGTACCAAAAAATAATAATAAGAAAGCCGGCCCAAAAGAATGTCCGATGGCTTTAAATCTTCTCTCTTCTTCGAGATCTGCGCGTATATGATCCATATGGCATACGTAGCTACCATTTTCGCCTTCGTGTTCGGGTATCCTCCCTCTCCTCGCCTCCCCACCTCAGATTCACGACGTGAACGAGAGGGACTGGCGGTTCTTCTTGGTCTTGGCCTTGGCCAAGGCCTTCTTGGACGCCGAAATGTCTTCGTCCTGCTGGGAGAAGTCCTTCCACTTCCTCCAGCCGTCAAAGTCGATCAGGGCCTGCATGCAGCCCCACTCCATGACCTTGCGCTCGAGCCAGACGAAATTGACGGGCTGTTGCGTGCATACGTTAGCCACTTATCGAGCAGTGCCTCGCGAGTAAACATGCTTCAAACGGGGGGGGGGGGGATAGGATATTTGAAAACTTACCTTTGTCAGGAAATCGTTACACCCGGCGGCCAGGGCCTCGTGCCTGTCGCTCTGCAGCGAGCTGGCGGTCAGGGCGACGATGATGACGGGGCTCTTGAGCATCTCCTTGTTGACCAGTCTGTCCTCCTCGGCGGGCTCGCCGGTCGCGGCCTCCTCGGGCGGGTTGCTGGCGCCCGACGAGAAGACGCCGATCGAGTTGATGCGCTCCAGCCGCCTGATCTCCCTGGTGGCGTCCAGCCCGCTCATAACGGGAAGCTGGATGTCCATCAGGACGAGGTGGAAGCCGCCGGCGCGCCACTTGTTGACCGCCTCGCGCCCGTTCATGGCCGTCTGCCACCGCACCTTGAGCCGCTTGACAAAGGCCTCGAGCAGCTTGAGGTTGATGATGTTGTCCTCCACTATCAGCACGTTGATGGGCGGCACGCCGCCGTTGAGCATCCCCGCCGGCAGGCTGGGCGGCTCCATCATCTTCTTCTTCTTGGACCTGGGGTTCGCGTTCGGCCGCGGCGACGCGCCACGCGGCGGCGGCGTCGAGGCGCGCTGCATCGCGGACATGGGCATGCCATCGGCGCCGGGGGGCGTGGGCATGGGGGATGCCGTGATGCCGACGCCTGGGGGGTGGTCTGTCGAGGCACTGGAGTGAGTTCGTGGACGGGGTGCCCGGAAGTAGGCCGGCTGCGTACCGTGGCCGGCGGCCACCGTTATCGTGGCGCCGCCGATGCTGAGAACGGTCGGTGAGGCCGTGTTGTGTCGCCCGAGCTGAGGCCGGTCGCGCTCGCGGTACGGCCGTGACCTCGTGCCACCTGGGGAGGGTATCTGTGGGATCTGGCCAGTGTTTAGTATTGAGATGCTGTGGGAATGGCCTGAGCCGCCAGACGGTGCTGTCAGTGTGACGGGCAGCTGGGCGACGGCGCCGGGGCCAAAGTAGTCAGTGCCTGGATCGACTGGTCGGAGATCGTCATAGTAGAACGAGGCCATTTGGCCCGCCCCGGGAGGGCCACCTCGGGGTGATGCTCTCGGTGTACGTCGCAAAGGAATGTCGATGATCAATGCCTCGTCCACCGTCTGACCTCCGGGGAAATACGCATCGAGAGTTCGTCCCATTGGCTCGTCTGGAGCTAAAGCGCGCTCCTGCCTCTGCTCCCGAGGAACGATACGTAGTGTGATGTCTGGAGCATCGAATTGACGGCCGAGGGAGTTTGCGTATTTGCGGAGGATCATGTCCCTCACGTCGTCCACCAGGTCGTCTTCGTTGATGGTGACGAGGGTCGCCGAGGCGCTGGGCCGCTTAACCCAAATCTTCCGCGTCATCATCGACGCGTTGATTGGCAGCAGATGGTCGCTGCCCGAAAGGCCGAGCTCGTCAGCCTGTTCAGAATGCAGCAACGTCTGGATCAGAGTTGTCTGCCTGTCCGGTAGGAGGCTCTGTCGTCGCGGGGGGGCAGATGGCCGGGGGATTTGTGGGGAGGCGTGGCCGAGCGGAGTGAAGTAACCGTCAATGCTGTCGGGAGCAGGTTGTGGGGTCTTGGTGCTGCTGAGACCTGGATTGACGAGTGGTGCCCTGTCATCGTCGTCAGTAGACTCATTGATGGATGATGTCGCGTCGGCGGGGGTCGCTTCGTCTGGAGGGTGAAGAGTCGCAGAATGCTCGCTGATGCTAAAAAGTCCCGGCGTTGGAGAGCGCAGATCGTTTCCACTCATGTCGCTAGCTTGTGGCTGGACCGTGGCGGAAGATTGTGTCTGTGTCAGGCTGGCTTTGGCCGCATCTCTGAGCAAAGCAGCGAGCTTGGGGTCGTCGGAATCGCTTCTGGGGAGCTGAGGGCGAGGTTCCTCAGTGCCGGTCGTCTCGGGTGTTCGATTGTCGGTCGTCACGGGCGCGGCGGCAAATATTTCGCCCGCGACGCTGCCGCCGCCTGTACCGGCATTTTCGGCTGAGACGGGGCGATTGCTGGTACTGCTGGTGGACGACTCAAGGGACGGTGCGGCCGAGTTCCTTCTCGAAAATTTGGCTCGCAGTTTGGCCTTGAAGTCTCCCATCAGAGAGAGGGGAATTGGATTTTTGCGGTGTGTGGGATAAAGAGGATGCCGCAGCGAGAGAGGTGGCAAAGAAGGCAAGGCAATCGCGCTCTCCAGTTAAGGTTCTTGCAGTGGGTTTAAAAGTCTCTCCACACGAGTAGGAGCCACTTGAGACAGCCGAGCATAAGGATCTCGACGACAGCCCCTTGTAGGAGGCGACTTTTCAAATGCCTGGAGCCTGCAAGGACAACTGACTCGGTTGAGGGATGTTGTTTGTCATGAACTGAGGCTGGCGCATCAACAAGGGGGGGCTTAGGTAAGCTATGCTTGCATGATTGCATTCGAACGAATCGATCACCAGGCAAATTTGGTGGCTGCATTTCCTCGTCGCAACCTCCCACCCTCACGATAACGTACATACCACAGTACATGTATGTATGCCACATAACCCCCCCTTGCCACGAGATCTCTGTGACACTCCAGCTTCTTCGCTTTGGGTGTACTGCGTGGACCTGGTCACACTTGGCCTTCAAACGGATCCCAAGTATATGGCTTTTGACGAATGATATCAAGCAATACTGCGGGAAGCCACCTAGACCCCACTCAGCTTGTCGCGGCCATGCGGATTAAATAAGGAGAATTGCGCGACTACCCGCTAAGAATTTTGATCTTACTGGCCTCTCCGTAGTGATGCCGCTGGTAAAATCTCGAGCAAACCCAGTGGATGCTTCGTTAGCAGCGAAGGATGGCTCAGGTCTGTTTGATAATTTGATTCCTCCCATTTCCCCCCAGAGCACGTCGTTAGTGACGATAGCTGGGGTGGGTATCTATGCCTATCATTTCCGGGGTTTCGTTGCTCATGTTGCACAGCGTTTTGTGCAGCGACAGTCACAGCCTGATAACCTCCATTTTGGTCGTTCTGGCCGTTCCGAGATACCGTCCTGTCTGCTACTCTTCCTCTAAAAACAACGCTTCATCATTATTAGAGTGTACTGTCAACATCGACAATTGACTCCTGAAATTAGCCTCGGCAGGGGATCCTTGCAGGTTATCGAGCTGTCCATATTCAATCTTCAATTGCCTCGTCAACATCAAGCTCGTTTGCTGTTGATGGTGCCACCATTCATGTTGGCAACTCAAGAGCTCAAGAGGGGTTTCACAGCATGCCAGTTCCGATGTTCCACTGGGCTAGGTCCACCGGTCTAGGTCCACCGGTCTAGGTCTACCGGTCTAGGTCCACCAGTCACCAAACGAGTCACTATGCAGTAAGATTGGGAACGATGGCATTCTTCGTCGTAGACGGTTTAATCTCGTAATGGATGGCGTCGTTTTCTGCACTGATTACCATATTTTTACGTGTTCTAAACTCCAGCTGCCCCTGCTCCTTCCAATCCTCTGCACTCTCAAGGGGTTACCACCTACAAACGCCTGGAGTAGGTGCTAGGATCCGGTATTGATCCGAGTAAGTCCGCTAGTAATTCCGCCTGCGAATAACTTTCGGGTAGTAGAACTAAACGGACCTGCTGAACGGGACTGTTTGAGAAGTCGACGCAATAGGTATCAGCAAGATAGCCGTTGAGAATTGGCTTTCGGGCATCTCTCTTCTCCCATCAGCAAGGTCCTTGGCATCAAGTCCCGATTTTGTAGGACAGCGTCCCCACTTAAAATGTAAACGGCCCCGGCCGCTACGGGCCGCGACCGTCCAATGCCGGAGCCCCACCTGGACGAGCACGGCGGGGCCGCCAAGGACGCCCAAACATCGTCGAAAGAAGATGATGGCTCCAGTGAGGATCGACACCCCACCGGAGAGATCCTCGTCAACTAGGACGGGCCCGACGATCCAGCGACCCCATGAACTTGTCGCCGTCTCGCAAGCTCTTCACCATCACTCTGTCTCGGTAGTGACCTTCAACATGTGAGTCATTCTGGGGAAGTGCAAACCCCCAGACAATACAACCGACTGCGCATCCGTCGCTTGATGTCCCCTTCGTATTCGCCCCGTTGCTCTTCGCGCCCCTCAGCGAGCTCTACGGCCGCAACATCATCATGCACTCGTCCAACGTCAGCTCCGGCTTTGCTAGTGAGTGCTCCTAACCGCTTTTTCCTTTCTCAAATATATATATATATATACATATCCAGTATTATATATTCTTGGTGGCATGCATCCTTGTTCATTTAGACCATTTTTTGCCAACAAGCCCTTTTCGAGTGCTGTAGCAGCCAGTTCTCGGTCTAGTCATTGGCGGCTCATTGCCCAGGACATCGGATGGCGTTGAATGTTCTAGCTCGTTGCCATAATAGCATGTTAACCTCCCAGAGCGCCCCTCGTGGGCATGTCCCAGCTAACCTATTTACCCTCCCCTCTTAAATAGTCCGGCGTTTTGACCAGTCCCAACTTTCTCGCAAGTGAAACCTACGCGCGACAATCCCGGACAGGAAAGCCGCGTGCCTCCGGAAGGAAACCGGAAACGACAACTACGTTTCCCAATCCACCCAGGGCCAGACCCCGGAGAATTTGTTCCGCAGAGCCATCTTCCGGTCTATCAAGATGCTGTTCCGATCCCCGATTGTCTTCTTTGTGCCCCTCGAGGTGTCCCTCGTATACGGCTATCTCTACCTCCTGTCGATCACCTTCACCTTCGTATTTCGCGGCCAGTACGGCTTCGAGTCCCAAGCCGTTGGCCTCGCCCACCTCTGTTTCGAAGTCGGATTCCTGCTGGGCCTCTTCAACAGGGGCGCGACGTCGGACCACATCGCCAAGAAGCGGGCCGCCGGCACGGCGATCAAGCCGAGGGACCGGCTCCCGCCGCTGATCTTCGGCGTCGTCCTGGTCCCCCGTTGACCTGCTCTGGTACGGCTGGACGGCCGAGTATCGGGTGCACTGGATGGCGCGCCGATCGTGGGCACGTCGCTCGTCGGGCCGGGTGTTCTGTTCGTCTTCATGCCCGTGCAGTCGTACCTAGTCAACGCATTCGCCCTAGCGCCATCGCGACCATGACCGCCGTCTAGTCGCTGTTCGGCGCCGTGTTGCCGCTCGCCGGTCAGCCCATGTACGCGGCGCTGGGACTCGGGTGGGGGAACAGCCTGCTCGCCTTCGTTGCGCTGGCCACCGTCCCGCTCACGCACCTCCTTATGGTGAGCGCATTGGGTCCAGTCCTTGCTTCCAGTTGGATCTGTGAAGCTTGGATCTTGTTATTTCTTTGCCGACTCATACCTGAATAAGGCGATAATTATTCTGGCTTGATTTACCGGGATAAGATCAGATTCATAAGACAAGGGGTCAATTAGATCTGCGGGAAAGACTAGGTAGAGATGTATATGACATAAGATTGAGGAGCCTGTTGGACCATGGTGGTTCAATTATCTAATTAATGGAAGATACAACTTTGCTTCGGTCTCATTCCTCTCGTGCAGTCCAGGTAAACAGCCAGCGTTGCCTTGTCCTCCAGAACGTCATATACACGAAGAAACCATGCAATATCTCTTCAAATCAGGAGCAGACATGACATTCTCCTTCATGCCTAATAACTCCCGTAAGCCTTCCCCATGGGGGGGTTGAGAGAGGGCTTGCTGAGAGTTCCATCAGGTCTAGGGGAAACGGAAGTAAACCGATATTGTTCGGGCCCAACGAAAGCGGGAATAGCCGAAGGCAAGATTCTGCCAGCAATTTATTAGTCTGCAATTAACATGGTGGATGGATAGACAACATGGATTCCTTGTTGTGATAACTCACGTGCTCAGGGGCGGCGAACTGGTGGCGGAGGGTTTATATGTCACTTTAACTTGAGCCCTTTTCAACGTGGGAGACCCGTACGAATGGTCAAGTTGGCAAAGCGGCGCATTTGGAAGAATTTTTTTTTTTTTTTGTCAGACCCAGCGCGGCCCTCAGGCACGACCCGTCACCACTGCCTCAGGTTTCCTATGAGGGAGGCTTTGCTTGTCCTAAGACACCGTATAAGAGGGAACGAGGTGACGGAGCTCGCAAATAAATACCCATAGCCAGAGTAAATGGCAGCCGAAAGGCAGGGGGTGCAGTAGCTACGGCACGAAAGATCGTAGGCTGGACCTGAACAGATGCAACGGCTGGGGGAGTAAGACACAGGGGGACACAAATGGGGCAACTGGGGGGAACTGAGACTACACTGGGGGATCAAAAGCACCAACTGAGGAGTGGGAAGTTCAAGTCTAACTTGAGGCTTTCTTTCTTACTTTTTCCTTTTCCTTTATTTTGCTTTTTCTCTATTGTCTTCCTTGGTTTAAACTACAGTTCCGTTTTTTTCTGTAGCGCCCTCCTTGCTTCAACCTCTCCTGGCGCTTGAGAGCCTTTCTCCTTCTCTATTGTTTTCGTTAGCAAAGTCAACGTTGTCTCTCAGCAAATACTAGGCTTTACATTACAGTGGGATAGCTAATTGCTAATTGAAGCTTTGGATTTTCCTGTTTACTTGCTTCTGCAGAGTGCTGGGAAATGTCTTGCTTCTTAGTGGGTGGCATCTTGACGGGCTCAACCCCACCTCTCCGCAGCTATATTGCTTCTTCTAGGACTGAGACAGATCTCCCATTCACTTGACCACACCAGGTTTGCATCTGACAGAGCCTTAAATTAGTCATGGCTGGGGGAAGATGTTTTGTCACGCTGAACTCGGGATTGACAGTTCATATATATTCCTATCTACCACTAACGTCATCTCCAGTCGCAATTTCGCTAGATGAAGCTATCGAACACACAATAATGGATCGTCCAAAGGCTAACGAGACTGAGTTGATTTTCATCTACGCTACTTGGCCCCTAGCATGCGCTATTCATATCCTCCAGATCCATTACATGAGGGCACGACACCCCGAGTTGCGCTTCATTCTGCCCGTGTTCGCCCTCACGGCACCGCTCTTCATCGCCTTCGAGGTCTGCAACAGTCCCGGCTCCAGGTTCTACAACCCGTCGGCCGCATGGCCGCTCTTCGCAACGTTCCGCGTCGTCTGGGCGGCCCATTTCATCTCCTTCCAGGTACTTGATCTTCTAACGTTCCGCCGACCACCGTGCCCGAACTCGGCTGATTCTATTATAGTACGTGACATCGATCCTGAGGGTTGCGGACAGCATGCGCGGCGTGCTGCCACGGGTCATCGTGTACGCCGGGGCGGCGACCCAGTGCGTCATACTCGGCACGGGGCTGACGCTGCTTGCCCTGTTCGACATCGAGCTGGTGTGGGCAATATTCATCATCTCCCACGCGCAGCTGCTGGCGCTGCTGGTCCACTGCTGGGTCACCATCCAGCAGCTGCGCAGGCGGACCTTCTTCCTTTGGACCTCGTTCGTCTCCGCCATCACCCTCCTCTCGGTCGTCTCCCTCATCGTGGGACTGTCGGTCAGCGACTGGCCCGTCCCCGTGTTTTCGGCCCAGTGCATCCTGGCGCTGATGGACGCCGTCGGGGCGCTCTTCCGACATCGGTGCACAAACAAGCCGGACGCGGCGGCCGACGACGTCGGGCTGTTCACGAGACTGAGCAACATGTCGCCGTTTCAGGGCCACCCCCTGGAATCTCTCCCTTCGTTACCGGAAAACCGGTCGGCGGTGAGTTCAACGCCGTCAAAACAAAGCTTGCTGGGGATGCTGATGGTCGGTTGGCTCGCAGTTTGACCCGGGGGTCTGAGCATGGTCCCGAATGGGAGGCTATCAAGCGATGTGGTAATTCCAAGGTCATCTCAACGAACGACCAGGGCAAGAGGGTACAGAGACCCTCGTGGGCCGGGGGCAAGTCTCCCTTACCTTTGCAGGAAGGGCGCAATGGATGAGATTCCTCACTGGAAGTCTGCTACTGAAGTCCCTGGCCAGGAACCGAATGTCTCTATTGTGTAGTTGCTTTACCGCAAGCGAGCTATATCTACGGACAATAGGAGAGCGCCGTGGACAGACGGACGCTCTATGGAGGACAGAACATTGAAATGCGGGATTCCGGGGCGCTTCCATCTAGTTGTCGGGTGAATAAAACGATGTCGAGTCTTCCAAACTGGCGGCCTCGACGGGACGGGCCGAGACGTTCGATTCTCTGTACATCCTAGAACAAATTCAACGGTCTCCCAGCAACGTCTCATGCCGCCTCTCTAATTGCTCCTCGGCACCTTCACCTGCCGCTTGAAGTGGTTGAACAAGATCGCTCCCAGGGGGGCCGAGTTGGATCCTGCCGAGCACCAGAATTTTCATAAAAAGCAAGTCTGTATGTCTTTTTAAGGTTTAAAAACTGGGGCTTCGGGAAGCTGGAGGCGCTAATGCAGCTCGCAGCCAATAGGAAGGGATTTCAGCCAAGAACGACGATCGACCAGACCAAATTGCTGGGAATACTCCCTGCCCTCTTGGGACCAAGAATGGCACTCTTTCCGATCGTCTGTCAGCCTGGCAGTCCGGTGTGGACAGCCAGTGTTTCGCACGGTTCGGCGACAACCAATATGCACAGGGCTGCAGGAGGTTATACTCCAATCATATCGAAGGCTATTCGATGATTGGTTCATCCCCTCTTCGTTTCAGCTGGCAGTAGACACGTTTGCTTGCCTTTTCGCTCGATTTGTCCTTCTGTGAAACGCGACCTAGGTGTTATGTACCGAATGGTGATGGAGATGTTGAGACAGTTGCGGGGAGCGCCGAGCAGCTGCATCCAGATCCCGCCCTCCGAACCCCTCTTTCTCAACTTGTCGTCCACTGCTTACGCAAGTTTAAAGCCATGTTTCCCAGCAAACCAGTCATAATGCCCTCGATGTACTGCCGTGTCACTCGACGTTGCACGGCCCTCTGGCTCAAGAACCGGTGTCTATTTTTGATATTTATGTCAAGTGGGTGGTGCTACACCGCATCGACAGGTAGTCATTTCCTCCAGGGATTTCCCTTCGACGATCCGTGTCGATGCAGGCAAATTGCCTGATCGGGCTGCTGACCACCACTTGCAAGCCACCTTGTACGGGTAGCTCAACAAAAACAGAAACGTCATGCCAGCAAACTGAAGCCCCCGGCTGCTGCTCTGTCGTCCCTTGCAGCCAGCCTGGGTGGTGTATTGTGCATATGCAAGGCCATCTCACCTCACCTCACAATGGCGGAGAAACTCGAACCGGGTATGTCTTGGTTCTCGCATTCTTGCATATCCTCGTCTGCAGTCATTCGAGTCCGAGGGCAGCGCAGCGCAGCCCCGTGACTGTTAGAGAAACGTCATTGGAACGCTGATGTACAGCAGCAAGACTTGGATTGGGCGAGCCTTCCAATATATTGGACCCTCTCGTTAAATCTCAGCCACTCACCCAGAGGACACGCCAGAAGCCGACCGGCCCGACAAATGTAATGCGGATAGCGGGAGAACAAGCTCGGACAATCCAAGGCCCCGCATCTAGATCCTTGCGTCAAGAGCTCTGGCGATCACTGCAGTGTCCGACCCATTCCGGATCTTGCCATGATCCGCAGAGTCCTGGCTCGACTCGGGGTAACTGGCATGAATTGAACGGCGGACTGTTCAGGCGGACTGTTCATGCGGTCTCAGAATCGCCAGACCGCCTCCCGAAGATGGACAGGAACGTCTTCCTTGACCGGGTTGGAAGGACGGTCGTGGCCGGCGGCCAAGTGCGGCAGCCAAGCCCCTGGCCCCGAGGGTTCCCAAAGAGTAAGCCTGGAGGAGCGGGTGATTCCGACGTTGAGGCTATGCGGCACACCTAACAGCAACCCAACCCCTCACCTCAACCCAACAAAAGAAAAGAAAAAGAGAAAAAAAGGGCAAGGCCCGACCTGCCGGTGATGCTGGATTGAGAAGGTATTTGCACCGTCGCGGGTGCTTCTTTCTAAACGTCAAACTCCGGAAACATGACCTGAACATACACGGAGCCGAGAGTAACTCCCTCTGTGCGAGCGGATTGCTAACAGAAAAGGGAGACATGCATGCAGGCCTGGTCTAGAGCAGCAGGGGGAGCAATGGATCCACGACGATGGTTTTCTTGCGTTGAAAATACTTGCACCGCAGAGCTCGACGGGCCATACATAGGTCGGCTGCGTTCAAGTCACCCGGGTATGTCGGCTTGTGAGGGGTTTGGGTCCGTCCAGTTGAGGCCGGACCGAAGTTTCGGGAAGCTATCTGACTGGTCTTCGGCACAGGACATCAAGATGGTGGGCAGAAGTCATCTAAGGCAACCAATAGTCGTTTCGAGCATCCATGTTATGACGTGTTGGGGATGTCAATTAAACAGCCACTGCCACTTGTCACGCTGACCATAGGAATTACTGGCTCAGCGGATGATATCAGCTGCCTGATGTAGGCAAGTGCGTAGAAATTGTCCATGGAACTAGCGAGACCTGACAACCTGGTCCGTCTAGGTACAGTGGGTGGCACTAGGTTTGAATCCAACCCAATGTACACAAATCCGGCACTAGGCCAAATTAAGCTACAGTTATGCAAAACTTAATATATGTAGCGAAACAAGCTAGTACACTTAGCAGAGCTCATACAAAATACTAAGTGGGTTGCTAAGCGACGACTAGCGTTAGATTTAATACATCAGTTTGGATTCAAACCTAGTGCCACCCACTGTAGGTAGCCGCCTGAGATTGACAGATGCCCCCCCGAAGATCCAGGCCTGGTGCCAAGGCACGGATATTGGCAACGTTGCTGTCATTACCGGGGAGTACTTGAAAGGGAAAGGGACGTTGGGTCATTGATATTTGACAAGGCTGACAATGGAGCCCAATGGGTCCGACCAAAGGTTATCAGTTATGATGAAGGGAACAGCGGGAGGTGATGAAAGGAAGCTGTCGGATTGGCGGAATGGTCCTCTCTGCATAAACAAGGCTGAGACACAAGGCATAAAGTCGGAAATATTGTCGCCACTCTGCTGAAAGAGCGCCAATGGCCCGTTAAATGGCCGTCGAGGGCCTCAAATGACCGCTGCGGCCATTGTGGTGTGGCTGATGGATGGCCGATGCTTCTTGCGGGGGTTGAGGGTTTTCGGCGTGGTGAACTGCGAGAAAAGATGTTTTAATGTGTAGAAAGGTTTTATCTTTTATCTCTCACTTTACCATTCATTCTTACTTGTTGACCGGCAGCGGCGGCTAGGAACAGAGCAGAGGCGTCTTTTGAGTCCCAAGTTTGTGGCCCCGGGCGGGAGCTGCCGCGGGAGGGAACTCCCGTCAGAAATTTTCGCCAAATTACGACCTTCAGCTAATCGACCATCCTAGCGGATTGCATGGCGGGATCTCACATTCTTTTGCAGCTGTAACAAGTGTGCCTGGTCTCCCTCAACCCTGGCAAGGCTACTTTTTGCATTGTTGGTTTGCATGATTTCACGTCTTTTCTTCTCTGTTGGTCTTTGTCAATTTTTTTTGCCCTGCCTCCTTGTCCAGCCAACAACCTGGCATTCGTGAATTCGCGTTGGTTCTTTGCGTCAGTTCTTCGCGTCGGTCAAGCAGACATTTGGGAGGGAGCCCACCAACACACCTCTATAAAACTTGACTGCAGTCAGTCAGGTAATTGCCATGGCTTCTAAATTCATTCCGCCCTCAACAGTCTTCGACTTTTCTCTGCGACCTAGTGAGCCGAAGAAGTCGGGATCCATCTTCAACCTGAACAACAAGACCTTCGTCTCTCAGCCCTCTCAGCACTCGCAGCCCTCGCAACCCTCGGGAACCACCACAGGCTCGACACGCCCATCCACCCTGAAGGGCAGTCGTACTTCCTCCTCACCGTTCGTGTTTTCTGCCTCACCTGCTTCTCGCCCTGCCGGGATGGAGGGCGCCATGGCGGGATTGAGGCTGTCAGATCATAAAGGTCGCGTCTCTCGCGATTCACGTCGCGATTCATTTGGGGCTCGTTTGAGAAGCTCCACCTCCTCCAGCTCTGGCGCCGGCAAGTCGCGTATGCCGACTCCTCCGAGCCGTCATGGTGATGATTATGATGACTCTGAGGATGCAAGTGATGAGTCTTCGGCCGATGGCCGCGGTGAAAGTGCAGATGAGGGGGAGGGAGAGAGTAGCAGTGACGAAGATTTCACTCTAGAGACTCACCTCGGGCTACTTGAGCGGCGAGCCGATCAGGACGAGCTGAACGAGATCAAGACCGCGCCGATATTCACCGACAGCGTCAGGAAATACGCTATCTCGGTTACTGGCAAATCGCCCGACCAGCCCTTCACCCAGTTTGGGCTAATTGCTGGCGATGTCAGCCACCCTGCCGGCGCTCCTCCAGCGGATCCGAGGATCTTTTATAACGTCTCCGCCCCCTCGAGCGTTTTCATCTGCGGAAGCCAGGGCTCGGGCAAGAGCCACTCGTTGTCATGCCTGCTCGAGAACTGCCTGATCCCTTCCAAGGCAAACACGCTGCCACGACCCCTGACGGGTATCGTGTTCCACTTTGACACCTTCATCTCGGACAATGGGGGCTCGCCATGCGAGGCTGCCTGGCTATCTTCCAGCCGCGACGTCAAGGTCAGGGTGCTCTGCGCGCCGACCAACGTGCGCACCATCCGGCAGGTGTACCAGCGCTTCCCGAATGTCAAAGTGGAGGAGTTGCGTCTCAGCCAGTTGGACCTGAACACGAAGCGCATGCTCGACTTGATGGCCGTTACTTCGGGCAACATGCCGCTGTACCTGCATGTGGTCAACCGAATCCTGCGGGACCTGCGGATCACTCAGCAGAAGTCTGGCAAGGGGTTCGATTACACCACCTTCAAGAGGATGGTCCAAGCCGAAGACCTGACCAAGGACCAACTCGCGCCCCTGAAGCAGCGTTTGGATACCCTGGAGAGCTTCATGGTGGAGGATCAGGCCAAGGCATACAACATGTGGGCGAAAGAGAGAAGCGGGCATTCGCCGAAGCAGCAGAGGAAGCATGAAGCCCAGGGTACAGACTGGACGCCCGAGGTAAGCGCCCAACCATTTCCGACGCGAGCGATCATATTCTGACAGTGCGACATTTAGGCCGGACAGCTGACCATCGTGGACCTATCCTGCCCCTGCGTCACATCGGAGATGGCCTGTTCGCTCTTCAACATCTGCCTCAGCCTCTTCCTCGAGCAGCCCTCCAAGGTGGGCAGGGTCATCGCCCTGGACGAGGCCCACAAGTACATGAACGACTCGCCGGAATCCCAGACCCTCACCGAGTCCCTCCTCGCCACGATCCGCCTGCAGCGCCACCTCGGCGCCCGCATCATCATCTCCACCCAGGAACCCACCGTCTCCCCCAAGCTCTTGGACCTGTGCTCCGTCACCATCGTCCACCGCTTCACCTCCCCGGACTGGCTGGCCGCCCTGAAGAAGCACCTGGCAGGCGTCTCCACCGCCTCCCAGCTCCTGGAGCAGGCCGCCGCACGACACGACGGTGATGCTGCCAACGGCGACGGTCACGGCCACGACGACGGCGTCGGCGCCGTCGCCCTCGGCCGCGGGAACCCGTCGCTGGGGCTCTTCTCGCAGATCGTCGGCCTCCGCGTCGGCGAGGCGCTCGTGTTCGCGCCGAGCGCCATCGTCGGCGTGCGGGTGGTCGGCGCTGCGGCGGCGGCCGGGGGCGCGGCCGTCAGGCGGCTCGGCAACGGGGTCCTCAAGGTGCGGGTCCGTCGCCGGGTTACGGCGGATGGGGGGCGGAGTATCATGGCTTTGTAGCTGGTGTCCCCCTTTTTGTTTACCTTGTCTTCCTTCGATCGTTTTTTGCTTGTCTTTTCCTCGGATGGGTTTTCTCTTAAAATCTGTTTCCTGGAGTGTTGGAGTTCCCGGGATGGCGATACGACACATGATATGAACTTCGCTCTTCTTTGATAGACTTGAGAGAAGGAGGTTATTTACTCCCCCCAATTGCTGGAGTAAGTGGGATTTGTCGGTTTCGGAGTTAATACTACATATCGCTGCTTCATATTGCATACATGCACTGCATTGATGCATTGTGGGATAGCGCCACAACTTGCTCTTTAGTGCTGTTGGATTCTGGTAACTATCGCGACTCCTAGGGTGGTAGAGAGGCGCTGTGGATATACCATAGACCTGTTGAGAGTTGTAATAAGATACAATTGAACAAACACAAGTAACGAGCCCTCGGGTTGCCAAGTTTAATAGCTTGTCGCCTGTAGATTCCAAATAACCTGTTGCCGGTTCTTCTAGCTGCCCGTTGTCACGCAGAATCGACATGAGTAGTTTCAGAGCCGGAAGCGTCGTTGCAGATCAACACTCCCAAGGGAATGACATGTGATAGCGTAACCAGCATCTTACATGAAGCCGCCAAAGGAAGCTACCGTTCTCGTATAGTCGTCGTCCTACTACTCCAGCTGTCGATGTGACGCAGTGTCCCAATATCACGCCGGCCATCTGCATCTGCGGTCACACGCGACGAATTAGTAGCCAGAGAACGGTTGGCCAGTGCCGGAGGTAGTCCTCACTGCGCCTAGATTGGGCGAGCCTCTGGGGAGATGCGAAGGTGATAAGGCGTGAGACCGTGTACAGCAGTGGTGGTGCACCGCAGTGTATGCAGCCGGGGTTCCGATGGGGCTGCCAGCAAACATTGCTGCAGCGAAGACCGGTCACATATCGCACTGGCCACAGCGCAAAATGTTGGCAATGGAGTGCCTCCTGCCAATCCCAGCCATACCGTCCTCCGCCACTGCTTCTCTCCTGCATCACGAAGTGCAGTTGATTGCCAGCAGAGATAGGTTAGTTGTGCAGGGAATAATGTTCATACCCCTGGAATCCCGAATAGGCGCACGCAGATCGACTGCTACCCTCCGAGGTGATCCGTAGGCCGCTCGTTTCCCTGCCGCATCACCATCCTCATGGGTCACACTGGTGGTGGTTCGTCAGAGTCCTAACTGGGACTGTCATGTCGACTACTGAGCAATATGTGATCCAGTGTTCTGCAGCCAACCTTGTGGCGAGAGAGACGGACGCAGCGCTCCGTAGCGTCGCATCTGGAGCCTCGCATCTGTAAGTAGGCAACCGCAGCGGGGTCGAGGTAAGAGCACCCGTTGGGAGCATTGAGATGCCATCGCTGCGCCGGCATGTTCCTGGCTAGAGATGATTTGCAATGGCGAATCGTCCAGCTATTCTCCTATAACGCCACTTGGCGAATGAGTTGCACCTCGTCACTGGAATCAAAGCACGGCGATAAGGAGGGCAAAAAGGTTAGTTATTGGACCCGAAATCGAGAAACTTGATAGCAGGCAGGGAACTGGCTGGGTTGAAACACAGACGGTCCGTGGATCAAACTGTTTCCAGGATGCGCATACCCGCCATGCCGTCACCAGCCTTGAAGCTTCCTTGCTTGGAGGACTTCTGTCAAACTGGCAGCCCAAACCCGGTACCTAGTCAAACGCATCAAGCTGTCCCTCCCCGAATGGTGGGGTTTCTCACGAAGTCCACCTCGTCGAGGAAGGAAGGCAGGGGATTCTGCCCATCAGGCGGCGGGCAGCCACTAGTTGCCGCCGCAGCTCGCCCTGCCAATGGTTGGAAACTCTCCATTTGATTGCAGCAGATAACGGGACCTTCCTAGTTCTGAGATCTCTACACCTCCTGAGACTGGCTTCAGAACACGAGGGCGCGGGATCGTGGTCAAGAGGTGAATGACGCTGGTGACCAGGATTCTGGGTGGCGACGTTTATGCCGCAGTGATCTCCATGCAACAGATCCGTATTACATGCACCCGGCTTTGTACAGGTACTTGATTCCAGATATGATATGGTAAGTAACAGAGGTACTGAGTACTTGTAAATAATCTGGTACTCTGAATAGGTGGTCAAAAGGGCCAATTACATGCGCACAAGTCCTTTTCTAACTTTATTTCTGAGTCACTTCTCCTCTCGTTCTGAGGAGTAAGTTGAACACAATTCACTTTTTCTGAAGAGGTACAGAGTAATCCCCTCTGCTCTGGCGATTCAAGGATGTAGGATACGAGATTTTTGGACAAGAAGCAAGGGTCCTTGAGGGTCTTATTGATGGCCCGCATGTTATGACGTTAGCCTGTATGCACTATATGCGCAGTAGACAGTGAGAAACCGGGGATGCTCAGCTGGCGTGGGCAGCAAGCGAAGAAAAACATCTGTGCTTGCCGCCACCCCTCTGATCCTTGACAATCCTGTTTCTTTTTCCGGATGTCATCCCGCCACAATTTCTGGCATGTACAGAGGTGCGGAACAAGATAGATCTCCCGAGATTTCAATATATTTAGGTCCGTTGTAATAGCATCAAAGGTACCTATGAGTCTGCCGGCATAGAATAGCCAACCAAAGTACCTCAGCTATCTTCCTAGGTACTTAGGTAGAAGATGCATTCAGTGAAGGGTACAAGGTTCAACAGATCGTAGATAATAATTGGGCCATTTTAGGCAAGGTCTATTCCAAGAATCCACCACACGGGCCCTCTCGCGCCTCTCTTGAAGACCTCCGCTTCTGCGCTTCCACTCTTCCTTTAATATCGTGATTGCTACACCCTCTCGCCTCGTCTAAGTCGTCACATTCTTCTCACCAACCTGGTCGACATGTCTTGTCTGAATTTGAGCATATGTGCCTAGTTAGCCTTCAGCCCTGAGCCTGATTCGAAGAATCCGGAAAATCACTCGCCGCCCTGGGCCATTCCTACCCAGAGCAACTGAGACTGAGACATTCATTTGTCCACGTTCAAGAGTAGCTCATCACAACCAACCGGGCTTGACGCCTGACACTTGGCGTCTGCCGCCATCACAAGTAGTCAGAGCAAATCATCAACAAGTCTCGGAGGACCTCAGTGGGTCCGTCCGAACCACACCCGCCAAGCTGGATTCCGTACCGTAAGTCGTCTGGTTTGTTATCTTTTGATCGCTCTCAGACAGCATTGGCACCACATGACCTTCCTGTCATTCTGCCTCTCAATCCTACTCCTACCCGCATGGCGACAGCTAACGTTCTATGGCAAAGTTTTGTGGCTGTGGCTGGCTGGCCGTCGTCGAATTCGACACCAACACGGCCTTCATTCGGCGGCCATGTACGATCCTTCTCTAGCATCACTCGATCCTCAACCTCGATACCTGTCGTCGGCAATTCTACCCATCCACCTTCTTCCGCCGATATCCCTTCCATGGCTGCGAGCCTACGGCCTAAATCCCACCACTCTCTCCAATACCAAAATGCCGATTACGACATGAGCACCATTCCTGACCCGAGGAGTCGGGCTATGAGCCCTGCCCTCACAGACACTTCGAACTCCCCCCACCACCCCGACTTGAACGACGAAGTCGCCACGTTGAGCACCAAGCTCGTAAATGCCATCAACCATCAGACCACACTAGACGACACATTGTCGAGCACCAGGCAAGAATTGGCCCAGTCGCGCGAGACGATACGCCAGCTCGAGGGTCAGATTGCTCAGCAGAGAGATATGCTTGCGGGCGATGTCTGGGTGCGGAGGAAGACAGTCGAATCGGAGAAGACGCAGCTTTTGTCTCGCCTTGCCGAAGAGAAGAGGCTGCGCCAGGATGCCGAGCAGCAGAAGAAGAAGATCGAGCTGGAGCTGGAGAACTTGACTACCGCGCTATTCGAGGAGGCGAATAAGATGGTGATTTCGGCCAAGGAGGATGCGAGGACGGAGCAGGAGGCTCTCGAACGAAAGAATGGCCAGCTCAGGGCACAGCTCGCCGACGCCGAGGGACTTCTGAGGTCTCAGCAGGAGCAGTTGACCGAGCTCAAGCAAGTCATGGAACAGATGACTGTCGAACAAGATGAACAGACTGTCCAAACAGTACCCTCGTCTCCTGGCTTCAGTAAATTCGACCCAAAGGAGGAGGTTGGGACTCTCGATGGAGCTTCACATCCCGCCCTTGTGGTGCCACTCTCCCCCTCATACCCGACCAGTTTTACTCACCTTCTGCAGCCGGTCCTGCGCACCGATCTCACATCGTATAATGATTTCAGAGATCTCATTAGGACCTCGAAACGGTGCTCGGCTCACCGTGTGTCGTCCGGCTCACATAGTGGACTAGTGGCCCTCGGCTTGGGACTTGGCTCATCTCCAATTAATGGTTCCGCTGCTTCCCCCTCAATCACGCCGTCTCAGTCCTCCCCGCAGACCCCGAACACTCCGGCGTCAACCACGAGTACTGGCTCGACCGCCTCGACCGCCAGCTTGCCCCCGCTGAAGGAAACCAAGTTCTACAAGAGGGCCCTTGCCGAAGATATCGAACCCACGCTCCGTCTGGATATCGCGCCGGGCCTGTCATGGCTTGCCCGCCGAACCGTCCTCAGCGCCGTCACCGAGGGGTCGTTGTTCGTCGAGCCAGCACCCTCCAACCAGTCCTCTGCCAGTAGGACGAAGCCTCAGCTTTACCCCTGCTCGCTCTGTGGCGAGTCGAGGAAAGAGGAGGAATACCTGCGCACACATCGCTTCCGCACCAGCGAGTCCGACTCGGCACAGCGGTATCCCCTGTGCAGGTACTGCCTGGGCCGCGTGCGCTCCACCTGCGACTTCCTCGGCTTCCTGCGCATCGTCAAGGACGGCCTTTGGAGAGCCGACGACGAGGACGCGGAGAAGGCGGCGTGGGAGGAGAGCGTGCGCCTGAGGGAGCAGATGTTCTGGAGCCGCATCGGCGGCGGCGTCATACCCACCGTCCACGCCCACCACGCACATTCCACTGTTGCTACGAGCCTCAGTGACGACCGGAGTCCCCGGATAAGCCAGGAGGAGGGTGTAAAGGCCGGCGACGTCGAGGGCAAGAAGGAAGACACTCCTCGTGTCTCGCAAGAGACCGATGCCAAACCGGCAGACCCGCCGGTCACCGAACGTGAAATCACACCGGCAGAGGACCAAGCGATGACGGCCGACGGCGCTGCCCACGGACCATCCCAGGATGCGCCACGCGACCTCGACCAGGCCCCGCCTCCGCAAGACACCCCGTCGAGCCTGCAGGACTCGCCTCAGCCACCGAGTCCCGATCCCGACGTCCCGGGCTCGTGGGGTAACTAAAGTAGCTTGCGGCCGGCCCACCTAACACCCGTGGACCTCATCCCCACATATTTCTAGACGAGAGTGGATGGATGGACCATCATCTTGGCGCCTAGAAACCCACTTCTTTGTCTTGTATTATATCTTTCTTTTTTTGCAATCTGTCTAACTAGACTACAAGGGGCCCGGAAATGGGCAGGGATAAAACGGCGCGGAACATGACCTGGCGTTTCAGTCGCTGCTTACTTTTTTGTCGGTTTCTATTCCCTTTTCTTTTTGGGACAGGTGTACGACGTGGATCGGGTCAAAGGGTTTGCATTGGTTTTATAGTAGGGATTGGGAACTGAGAAACGGGGCAGATTCTGCAGGGGAGGGAGCAACGCGTAAATGATTTCAGAAAGGAGCCTACCCCTGAAAGTAAGGAAGGGGAAGATAAGAGGCGGGCCCTGCAGCGATTCGATGCTTTGGGGGGTTTTGTGCATAGCAGCAGGATGGGAGGAGCAGAGTACTTGAACATAGCTTTAGACGGCGTAGGGATGGGGATGGTGCTTGCACATGCATGCCTGGAATGGAATAGAGAGGTTGTTTTTCCGACGGGATCTGATGGTGCTATGCTATGTACCCTTATCCCATAGGATGGATGAGGCGACCTCCCTCTAAACCGCCCGTTCTCTGGCACTCTGTGCACTCGGCATCAAACAGATCGCCACCACAGAAAATGTAATGTGTTTAAAATTATATGTTCTGAATCTCGTCGTTGTAGACAAATTATGAGTTACGCCAGAAGGGTCGATTTCTTCCCAGCGGCTGGAAAGGGGGTTGGGGGGTGGGTATTTCGACAAAAAGAATCAACTGTATAGGTATCCTCAGAGTAAGCCAGACAAACGAACCAAATCTAACTAACACACAAAAAAGGAGTTTCTGTTCTTTGCTGGCTACTACCATATGTTCATGGCCCCTGAAGCAGGGTATATCAGTGCGGCGGGGATCTATGTCCAACAGTGAGAAGGAAGAGGAAGGGGACAAAAAAAAAAAAAAAAAAAAAAAAAAACCAAGAAAAGGGGGCCGGCGGTGATGGAGAAAGGACAGACAGATGCAAAACAAAAAGACAGATTAAGGAAAGACACAGTCAAGAATAGTACTACCACAACCCTTCCTCCCCTCCACATTACAACCAACCGCCCACCCATCACTCACTCACTCACTCCTCCCCTCCATCATCAGCCCAGTGCTCATAAGGGTTCCACTCCTGCCCCGGGTACGACGTCGCGCTCATCTGCGGCATCTCGTCCTCCCTCTGCCTGCGCCGCGCCGCCTCCGCCGCCGCCGCCGCGTCGCTCATGTCGGGCTCCGTCGGGAACACGGGTATCTTCTCCTCCTGCTCGCCGCCGCCGAACAGCAGCATCTTGCGGCGCGCCTCCTCGAACATGTCCGCTGGCTTCGAAGCCGTGGCGGCGGCGGCGGCGGTGGTGGTGGTGGGATCCTCGCCGTTGGATGCTGTTGCTGCTGCTGCTTTCGCAGATGATGGGTCCGCGACGACGAAGACCTGCTGCGCGACAGGGGCTGGGATCGGCGCCTGTGCCGTCTCGGCGACCCTGTGCTCCACCACCTCGTGCGACGGGCCTGCGGCCTTGGGCTCCGCCGGCTCGTGTTCCTCGGCGGAAACCACGGCCCCGTCATGCTGCTGCTGCTGGGGTGCGGAGACCATCGAGCGCGGCGTGGCGTCGTAGATGTTCTCCTCACCGGCGACGTGCTGGTTCGCCAGCGAGACGCTGATCGACATGTTCTGAGGCGGGGTGGACACCCCGGCGGCGGTGGGACGAGAAGGCTGCTCCGTCTGCTGGGGTTGGTGGGAGACAATGTCGTCGGCGGGCGGCAGGACTTGCACCCGGGGTTCGGAGCTGCTGGCCCGCTCCTCCTCCCGCTCTGGCGTGATCCGCGGGCTCGGGGAGATGCTTGGCGAGTGGCCGGCAGGGCTGAGACTCGCACCGCTGAGTGCTCCCGGTAGAGGGGACGCGGCATGCTGCACCGAGGGCGACGAGGCTGCGAGCACAGAGGGTTCCCGGCTGATGGCGATGGCCTCGGTTTGGTGCATCATGTTGGTGTTCGCGTCCTGCCCCAGCGATGCCGGCGCGAGGCCCAGGGGAAGTGGCGGGTAGGGCGCACCGGAGGCGGCCGGGTTCACTGGTGAGAAGGCAGAGTCTGGGAGGGGATATGACTGAGGGGATCCTGGCTGTAGCACCTGGGGATGTGGTGAAACCTGGCTCTCGCGGCTGACAGTGGGAAGGACTCGTCCGGGTTGTGGTCTTGACCGGATTTGACTCTCAGGAGAAATGCTGAGGCCCTGCGATGTTGACTCGGGTGAAGGGCCCTTGGAGGTTGGAATCGCTTGAGGGTTTGCTACCAATATGGGAGGGTTGGCAAAATTGTTGGTCGTCTGTAGTTGCACTTCAGCTGGTGGAGAAACTTGACCCGAGGAAGTTTCTCTCGCCTGAGGAGGAACTTGGGAATTCAGAGGCGGCTGAGGCCCTGCAGTTTGCCCAACTTGAGCAGACGGTGGGAAAGCTGGCGTGGGAGCAGCTGCCAAGCCGTTTGACAGCTGCGGAGGTCCTTGAGGCTGCGACACGGCCCGAGTCGTTGGTGGAGTACCCGAACCGCCGTCGGGCCGTTGCTGAAGCGGCAGGGCTCCGGGAGAGACATTCGGCATCGCCTGGTCGGGTTGCGACCACGGCTGCTGCTGCTGCTGCTGCACCCCCTGGGGACCACGCGCCTGCACGGGCCGATACTGGCCATCCGGGCCGACGTAGTAGGCAACCGGGGCCGGATCGACGCGACCCTCGCTGTGGACCATGCCGTAGCCGCGGGGGATCGGGACGTGGCCGTACTGCTGCGGCGCGGCAGGCCACTGGCCAGAGGGCTGGCGCAGATTCTGCGGAACGCCCTGTCCGCCCGGTGGCCCTGCGCCAACTGGTTGGCTAGGCCGGAACTGGCCCGAGGTCTGCCATGGTTGGGCCTGGTTCTGCTGTGGCTGCTGACCCGAAGCAGGAGCAGGAGCCTGGCCGAGAGGAGGGGTCTGTTGAGGGGAAGGGCGTTGGCCTGGGGGACCTTGGTTCGGCTGCGGCCCAGGACCATTCGAAACCGGCTGTCTTTGGTGCTGATACTGAGAATGGGGGCCTGTCTGACGAGCCTGTTGCCATACGTTCTGGGTGCGTGACTGTTGCATTTGAGCCGCGGTCGGTTGGCCCATCTGCGGTGGCTGACCCTGTGGTTGCTGACCCTGCGGGGGCTGGCCCTGCCTGAACTGCGGCGGTCCCTGCGCGGACGGTGGCTGCGGCTGGCTCTCGGGCTGCTTAGACGACCTTCGGAAACCAAACAGAGACTTCTTCTCCTTCTCTGGCTTCTCCTGAGCCGGCACTGCCTGATTCGAGGACTTGCCCTTGAAGAACTTGGACATGCTGCTCTGGTGCTCCTTCGCAGGGATGCTGCTTGCCGTACTACTACGCTGGAATGCGGCAGGGACGAACTGCTGGCCTTGCGGCGGCGGGGTTCCAGAGGCATTGGTCGAGGTACGAGGCAGCATCCACGGGCCTTGAGGGGGAGGATACGGCTGGCCGGCGGATGGTGCACCGGGCTGCTGACCGCCGACAAGGCGGATAGGTTGCTGAGCCAGGTGTTGCTGGCCTGGCATTCCTGGCAGTGCTGTTGGGCCTTGGCTTGGAGGCTGGGGGGTTGAACTGGCTGAAGGGGGCTGCAAACCCGACTGAGGGGCGGGAGATACAGACGGAGAGGAAGCCTGAGACGGCAATGTCTGCACAGTCTGCTGTTGTTGCTGTTGGTACTGCTGCTGCTGCATCATTGCTGCTTGTGAGAGTTGGTTATTGGCTGCCTGCTGGGCTACCGTTGGTCCAGGCGCTCTCTTGGGGTGGTCTGACGCGAGACTCATGACGGGAGAGGACTGGATGCTGTTCTGCGAGCTCTGAGGGGCGGCCGAAACGGACGGACTTCTTGTTCTCTGCTCTGGAGCGAGTTCTTGGTCACCCGCATCGCTACGCTGTGGAGGTAGCTGGATGGAGTTCTGCGTGGGTGACTGAGGGGGAGGAGTAGGTGAGTACGGCTGCGAAGACCGCGGCGAAGTCAGATTCTGCACAGCCTGAGCTGCACCCGCCGGCTGCACCGGAGCCGGCTGCTCCAGGCTGACGGGTGAGGCAGTCTGCACCCGTGATTGATCAACTGCAGTCGGCAAGACCTGCTGGGAAGTCTGCGTGACCGGCAGATCCACTTGTGGTGAACCGCTCTCCTGCGGCGGGGAAGGCTGGGATACTGCAGCCTCTCCATCTCCTTCTTTCTGGGCCGGGACATCAGCTGTCTGCACAGGTGCGCTCGATCGCAGGGGGTGTTGTCCCAAAGGAGACCCCCCGACCGGCTGCGGTCCCTGATTAAGAGTTCCCTGACCCCGACGCTGGGCAGCAGCCTGCAACGGCGATAGACCTGGCGTCAAAGCTGCTGGAATAGCGGACTGGCCACCCTGCTGTTGAGCCTGGACAGGAGCTGGCTGCTGGACGAATTGCTGGGTCTGTCCTTGGGGACCCATTCCGGGTTGGCCAGGCATTCTGTTCCACTGCTGCTGGCCCGCGGGAGCTCCAGGCTGCTGCACCATGTTTTGGAATGATGGCTGACGCTGACCTGGAATCTGTCCCTGCAGAGGGACGAACTGCTGCCCCCCAGGGGCGCCCCGACCAGCAAAATAATTCTGCCCCGTTGCTTGCGAGGCATATGGGGGGAACTGACCCGGCGACGGCATTGGCCTAGCTCCAGCCTGTTGCCCAGATGGCTGCTGCACGCGGTACTGTTGCGGGTGCTGGTTTTGTTGGCTGGCGAACTGCATCTGGGGTTGTCCTTGCTGAGCCCCCTGAGGCACCATCGCCGGCCGTGCTTGGACCTGCTTTGGCTCTCTCGGTTTCGAGCCGGACCGGTTGCCGAATATGCCGGAAAGGAAGCTCCCTCCGTGAGATGTTCTTCTACCGCGATCCTCCTCGGTAGCAGCGCCCGTCTGTGGTGGGGCATTCGGGTTGAGACCTCCCGAGGTAAAAGGCCGAGAGGACATGCCGTTGGGGCGTTCTTGCCCAGTCGCCATCCCCGGCTGCGGGCTTAGCCCAGAGGCAGGCTGCCCTTCTTGTCCTTGCAACGGTTGCCGGGCCGAGTGACTGGATCCAGGAGGCTTCAGTCCCTGATCCTGGTTACCATGGCGGTTAAACATCGTGAACCCAGAGAAGCGTTTCTTCGGCGGATCCATAGTGTTTCTAGCAGGAGCTTGCTCATTTGCTGCAGTGCTCGCCGTGGACACTCGCGAGATATCAGGCCTGCCGAGCTTGGAGGGTTGGCCGGCCGAGCTGGCGCCACCGCCGAAGAACGACCGCTTCTTCTCCGCAGGCTGTGGCTGTGGCGGCCCCCAAGGTTGCGCCATCCTCTGATCCACTGGCGTCGGGGGAGAATGCGCGACGACGCTATCACGGCTCCCCGGCGGGGCATTGGCCGTACTGCTGCCAGTAGGTAATGCAGAGCCCCGCGGACCGAGGAGCGAACGGCGATTATCCCTCTCGCGGATATCCTCTGTGGCAATGCTGGACTCGGAAGCCCCGTCACCTGTGACGGCTCCCGGTTGGCTCAAATCCTGCAGCCTCGAACCGCCAGCCGAACTGCGCCGTCCATCGGTCGACTGCGTGGAGAGCCTATCCCGAATACCCGAGAATATGCCCGAGTTCCGCTTGGATCGCCCTTCATCAGCCGCAGGAATCGCACCCGGTGCAGGCAGGTCACCGGTCCCGGACCCTGGCATCGTTCCACCTTGCACCGAGGACCTCACAGGGGACGTTTGGACATTGTTCGCCGGAGAGTCCCGCCCAACTGGAGACGCCTGATGCTGCCCCTGGGGGGGCCCGGAGGGAGTCTGGGGAGCCTGCGCGGGGACATTGGGGGTCTGTTGGCGCTGTGGGGCCATGTCGCTAGTTGACGGGACGCCCGTCTCCTTATCGAAGCCATAGAATGGCTGCTCGGGGGAGCTGGTCGGAGAGGATCTGTGACGGTTCGCAGCCAGCAGCGGCTGCGACAGGTGCGACTCCTCGAGCTTCCAGGCTCCGGCAGGTGGAAGCTTGATGTGGTTCTCCGTGTTTGGTGCAAGCGCACTAGGTTGGGGCCGCATGCCCTGCTGCATGAACTGGGGGCCTTGCCCCATACGCTGCGGCCCGCCGTTCAGCATGGCCTGCGGGTGGGATTGTGGGCCAGCAAAGCCTCTTTGCTGTGCGTGAGGTCCAGGCTGGCCGGGGTGGCCGGGTGCGTAAACCTGACCAGGCAGGAAAGCTTGTTGTTGTGGTTGTTGTTGTTGCCCGCCCTGGTATTGCTGTCCCCCCTGATATTGCTGTCCCCCTTGCATGCGCTGCATGGCTGGCTGCTTCTGCAGCAGCAGCTGCTGCGAGACACTAGCGGCGGCGGCATTGGGCAATTGCTGGCCATGTGGAGGGTAGTAATGGCCCTGCATCGGGTTCTGCGCGGGTAGGTATGCGCCGGGGATGAACGCGCCCGGAGCCGGGGCAGGGGCCGTGTTGAGCTGGTTCGGGGCAGGCGCCTGGCTCGCGATATGCTGCTGAGGCGTGGCCGCCCTGTCGGCAATCGCCTGCCCGCCCTGGCCCTGCGGTGCGGCCTGCTGCTGGTGAGACGAGGCGATGCTGTTGGACTCGGCGTCATCCTGGCTACCGCTTTCGTGGCTATTGAGGACGGTATTGACGCCGAAGGTCGAGGTTCGACGAATTGGAGGCAGCCCTACGAACGACGATTGGCGATGCGGGGTATTATTGGAGTCGGCTTGATCAGGCTGCTGCTGGTGCTGGTGCGGCTGGTGCTGCTGGTGCTGCTGGTGCTGCTGGTGCGGCTGGTGCGGCTGCTGCTGTGATTGCTGGTAGTGCTGCTGCTGCGCGATGAAAGCTTGCTGCTGCTGCGACAGCTGCTGCGCCGCATAACCCTGCTGATACTGTTGCGCGGGATAACCTTGCTGATACTGATGCTGGGGCAGTTGCTGGTAAGCCTGGGGCGGGAAATTGGCGGCGGGTTGAGGCAGGGCCCTGTTCGACTCTGTGTAGGCCGCCATTGCGGGAGCTTGGTTCTTCAACGATTGAGTTTGTTGGAGTTCGGGAGCTTGAACAGCGGGGCCACTCGTGGCCGTCGGCTTCGGTTCAGACGGTACTGCAACGGACGAATCTTTGGACCGATAGTCAGTGATTGCGCTCCCTGCACTCCCGTCTTCCTTGTCCAATTCGTCACGGTTGGGCTGTTCCGTCGCCGGCGCAGCAGGAGCAATTGCTTCGGCGGACGCGCGAGGAGTCGCGGCGTCCAGGTCGAAGCCTTCCTCCTCCACGAGAGGCGAGGAGGTGAAGGGATTCCAGCTGGGCTGATGCTTACTGATTGGAAGCGGGATGCCGAGATTATCGGCGATGGTGTCGTCGGCGGCGAGTGCGTGCTCGGGCGGAGCAGGCGTCGGGCGCGATGAGAAGGTCTCGGAGACGGGGGAAACTAGCTCAGCCTGCGAGTCACGGCGGCGGGCCGGATTGATGGCATTACCGCTGCCACCAGCAGCAGCAGAAAGGGGCGATGGTCTCTGATAGCCTTCGGACAACGGTCTGATGGGAGCGGCACGCGTGGATTGACGGAGCTGGGACGGCTGTTGTTGATGCAGAGGGTGATCCAGGTGTGGATTCTGCTGACGACCCTGCTGAAATTGTTGCTGAAATTGGTGATGATGACCGAGCAGGGATTCTCCTGTTAGCGAGGCCCGCCGTGCCTCATCGGCCCGTGCTGAAGTGCGAGTGCGACCACCAAAGCTGCGGATGCCCCACGACCTGCGCCTCTCGCCCTGCGGGGAAGCGGGAGGGGAAGGTTCAGTGCCCTGTAGTGCACGAGGCAAAAAGATATTAATAACTGGGCCGCTTCCCGCATGCTTGGAAAGTGTGTGGTGTGTGGTGTACCTATGTGACTTTTAGGCTGCCACTTGGGAGGGAATGGAGTTGCTAGTGTAGTATTAGCCCCCCGCGCGAGTAATACTTCGCCGTACACTTGTGGCTAGCCCGCGCTGCTGCTTACTGCCTGCATGTGTAAGGGGGGGTCTTCATTTCGGATTATATGGGCAGGACAGGGGGGTCCGAAAACCGGGGGGATGAGGGAAAAGAGGAAAATAATAAAAATAATGATAACAGTGAACAGATGGACTGGATACTGATCACTGATCATAGGGAGGGGAAAGGCGGTTAAAGGGCTAACGAGAAGGCCAGGACTCGTCGAGGGGAGGCAGAGGCTGTGAGACAAGGCAAATAGTAGATATGTTCATCAAATTTCCATATTGCATTCATCGCCGACTCCCCTCATCGCCCGTCATCATACATCATCAATTCCATCCGTCTTCTTCCCCGATCATCGAATCTCCAAAGTGCGATTCGAGGGTTACAACCACTCTGCTGAGAACTAGATCAACCGATTTGACAAAGCCCCAAAACCAGGGACTCGTCTCCAATCGCCTGGCAGAAAGAGAAGCGAAGAGAAGCGAAGGGAAGAGAAAAGAAGAGTGAAGAAATTAATCAGACATGATTAGAATGGAAATATCCTGCCCTCAACGAAGCCCCGGCCAAAATTATGATGATGCGGTGCAAGTAGAGGGTTGGGGGAGGTTGGTGGTGTAAATAGACGTCAGTATCGTGTGTGAATTAGAAAAATACCTTTTCACCACTCCCCCTCAACTTGCTCTTCCCCTTGCTCAAGAGTCCCTTGCTAGCCTTGCCCGCCGCTATCAGCAGCCCCTTGCTCTTCGCGCCCACCTGGTTGCCCGAATTGGTAAACCCGCTGCTGGGCCCACCATGTTGTGGCGGCATCGGCAGGTTGCTCACCGGTCTCGTCCCCTGGCCGCCGACCAGGTTCGACGAGCTCGCACTGAGATACGCCTGATAGTAAGGCTGCTGCGGCGTGGTCGGTTGGGAACCACGCTGGGCGACGCCGCCCGCAATGCCGGTGCCCGCCACTGGCAGGCTGAAAGAATCGTTGAACTGCGATGTTGCGTTCGCATATTCCGCGTGCTGGCCCCGCAGGACCTGAATCCATTCTTCCAGCCGCTGGTCACCGACAGCAAATTGCTCCCTCGTCTCATTGAAGAGCTTGATCCGATCCTCCGGCGTCTGCATGCCCAGGATCTGCCTAAAGGGTATGATGTTGACGGTATCCCTCGCCGCGGTTGCTGCCCCGTGGGTTGCTGCATGTGGTGATGGCTGTGCCGGGGACGCTGGCTCCACTGACGGCGCTGGCTGTGCCGGCTGTGCCAACGCCGGATGTTGCCCTGGCGGGACGGGAAAGAACGGCGTGTCCGACGCCACCGCAAGCGACTTCTCATCGGCCAGAGATAGCCTACGATTCTCGACCGCGGGCGGCATTGGCTTATCAGAGGTCGCCGATATGGGCGAAGGAGACTTCGGCGGCGGGGCGAAATCCGATGGCGGCGAGAGAGTACTCGCCTGCGATATCTGATGCGAGATGCCCACAGGGCCTGACCCGACAGCCAAAGGTGAACTGGCCAGCTCGGCACCAGTGATGGGCTGGTTGGAGTCCTGAGCCGCAGCTGCGGGAGGCTGTTCTGCTGCAGGCATCGGCTGAGCTGGCGCTGCGATTGCCTTTGTAGCAGCGTCAACTAGGAGGGATTTCGGCTCGACTGGGAGACCCGAAGCCGGCGAGCCGGCATTTACTTGTTCTGGCTCGGCCTCCCAGGAGAACCGCCTGCGACCCGTCCCGGTCGAGGGGCTGGAAAGAGGCAGTGCTTCGTCACCAGGGCTCGCACCAGAAGGCGCTGGAGATGGCGATGCCACACGTTGTGAAAGCTCTTCTTCTGCCTTGACAAGGACGGGGCCTTCGGCTGGCTTCAGAGGCATCGCGGCCTCTTCCTCGGTAATCGTCGGAATGTCTTGTTCGGCTTCGGGCTTGTCGTCGCTCGATGCCCAGTAATCGCCGTATACGTCAGGAAGGTAGGTACTCTCTCGCACGGCTCTCCCTTCACCGGATCCGGATGTTTTCCCAACACTGAAATCCCCAAAGTCGCTTCCTGGACGAACAGGGCTAAGCGATTTGATGATTTCCTCCCGAAGCTTATCGCTTTCTTTGACAGGAGATATGGTATTGGTTGTGCTCATGGTAGAGATCCTCTCCAGATTAGGTGAAGCGAAGTCTATGGCAGTCAGGTCGGTCCTGTGCGGGTTCAACGGAGCAGTAGGACTGATCTCGGAATGAGCTGTAGCTGGGGCCAGACTAGAGGCCTGAGTCTTCGGGGAATCCCTGGGCTGTGGGTGGGATGCCTCCTCGTCGGTCGTTGATTTTGGCCAACTAATCGGAAGATTCCGAGTCGAGCTCGAAGGGCTTCCTGTCCGCAGTGGAGGGCGGGAGTTTGGCGAGATGGGGCGTGTGAAAGCAGGGGGCATTTCCTTCGATGCCTCGACATCGCCTACGACGTTGGTACTACTGTCGCTGCCACTGTCGCTGTCAATGCCGCTGCTGCTGTCGCTAGTGCTGGGCAACTGCCCCTTGGGCACAGAAACTCTAGTGTCTTCGCTGATTTCAGCCGCTTCGTTGACCGGAGAAACATCTGCCTGGTCACCGACCGCCACGGCTGCATCTTGAGTAACAACTTGGTAGTTTGGAGTTGGAATGTCTCCAAGAAGCGAGGGTTGGCGAGACATATTCTCGTCTGAAGGCGGTGAGCTCTCTTCTAGGGCAGGAGTAACAGCGGCGGCATTATGCTCTTCTGTTTCGTCTGCAAAGTCTGCCATGCCGGGAGCAGCATTGTGCGATGATGCCTCGGAATCGAGGGCCGGCTCCTTGGCCAGAGCGAGTGAGGATGCCTCTTCGAGAGCGGGACTTGGTTGTTCGGAGCTCGCAGGACTCGGCTGAGGGCTTCGACTCGCAACTGTAGATCGAGGCCCTCCTGGAGCCGACCTTTCCGTATCTGCCAAATTATCGGCCTTCTCATCGGAACCACTTCCCCCCTCCGACGGCTCCGTCACCTCGGCGGTATCAGAGATGGTGGGCAAGGGCGGCGCGTCAGAGAGGAACGTCGAGGAACCCGAGAAGATATCGAGGCCAAATGTGGACATGCGCGCAAGATCCGGCAGCTTGGGACTCGTGGAGAAGCGGCGAAGATCCTCCTCTGGCTGAGATTCCTGGGGTTCTTCACTGGTGGCACTCGGCTCTTTCCACGCAGAGCCAACCTCTGAAGGGTTGGGTTCGACCTGAGCCGCCATGGGAGGCTGAGTTTCGTGTCCCAAGGTCTCGTAGCTGGCTATCAGTCCTTCGATTCCGTATTCGCTCTTTCTCTCAGCAACAGGGGCAAGGCTCGGCCTGAGGCTACGGGACGAGTCGGCTCCGTCATCAGCGACTGGGCTCATCCGTCGTCCTTGATCTACCAGCTCAGGCTGAAACCTGGACGGCGAGTCGGTTCGCCCGCTGCCGCGGACGATGCTATCCGTGCTGGGCCGACCAGAGTCTATAGACTGCCTGTCCTTCTCCTTTTGTTCGTCCATCCGTTTATATATATCCGCCGGCCTTATGAGCGGCAGCTGTTTGGAGGGAGTACCCGGCGACTTCACACCCCCCGGTGATGCAGGTCGCGCTTCCACCCAAGGCTTATGGCTGGAGCCTGGTCTCGAACCCGAGGTACGTTGTTGGCGTGCAGAGTCCACAAACTCGACGCTGTCCTGCTGTCCCATACTGCTCTTACGCGGCGGGAATCGCGTCGGCACGGGGCCTGCACTCTGCGGCGCAGGCGACGTGCGCCTCTGCGCTTGTGGTGGGGGTGAGACGAAGCCGCGGACATTTCCCTGGGCCGCGGAGTATAGGCTCGACGACGCGCTCGGAGGGACATTGGTCGATAGGGGAGATACGAGGTGCTCGCCGGGGTTAGGGCTGCCGAGTGACGACGGACGCGAGACCAGAGAGCCTGTTTCGAAGGGCGCAGTAGTTCGGGAGAGGTGCGGCTGTTGGGTTTGTATGTGCAAGGGCGGAGCGCCCGAAGAAATTCTCGGTCCAGGCGACTGAGCAGGAGAGGGAGCGGCTTGAAAGGGCGCGGGGGGGAAGGGCGCGTGTTGAAAGGATCCCGTTGTGCCAGGTTGTTGTTGGCTCGTAGTCAAGGGAGGGCTGGCTGGCAATCGAGGGCCCGTGGGCCGCAAAGGAGGAGGAGGAAGTGGCTCTTCGGGCACGTCATCATAGTCATTGCCCCAGTCGTCACCATCGTAGCTCTGGATCTTTGCCTCGACCCATTTCTTCGTCTTCTGCCGGCTCACGTTCGTCTTGTACTGGCCGTTGCTGCCTGCCGGGGTATTCTGGGACCTATTGGAGAGTCGCGTTAGTAAAATTGTGGACGGCCAGGCCACGCGGGGGGACGCACATCGGCGACATGGGAGAAATGGAGGATTTGTTGGGTTGGAAGACGTTGCCGTACGAGCCGTCCATTTTGCTTCAGCCTGTGCTTGACAGCACCGAGGCCGCTAAAACATTCTATCCTTCTGATCAAGGCCGCGTTGGGCAGGGTTGCGGTGCGATTGCAGCGAAGTCGGCTGTGGGGATAGGGAAGGCGGTCGATTGGCGAACTGCGACTCCTCGACCTCGACCTCGACCTCGACCTCAAGGTGGAATGGACGAAAATTGTTGATGTCACGACGGATCAGGTGTGTGGCGTTGGATGTCTTGAAATTGAATTGCTGCAATGCAAGTGCAGATCGGATGCATGAAGAATGCAAATGCACAAGACCACAAACTTTCAGCAAGGCCTCAAAGTTTCGGTGAAAGATCAGACCCAGACGAACTCAAGATTTTGAGGAAATAGGGGAAAGTGTCATCACCAATGGACCAGCAAGCTAATCCGTAGGGTACTTTAAGTTTGCCAAAATTCCGGGGCCTGAAGGACCTGCATGACCCGAAGAAGTACCCAGGCAGCACTATTTGCCTCGCGTAGTACATACACATATTCATTACGCACGCGTGCCACGCCCACCTCAGGTACCTAGGCAGGGGTGCTAGTGGACGGGGCGCTGGCACGAGGCGAAGTAATTCTCTGGAACAGGCACCCAATCCGTACCGCGCCTTGAAGAATGTTTCCATCTTTTCCCCCAACTGCTGTGGCTGTGTCTCTAGTACGTCAGTACTACGTACTCCTAAGCTTCAAAGCTTCTATCTCTACCTATGTAATGGTAACTGGGCATTTCGTCATGGCTTTGGTTCATTATCAATCGGACTCACGGACTAAAAAGGCCGTGAGTCGCACACTGGACGAGCAGATCCCGCACAGACGGAGCGCCTGCAAAATGCGGCTGTTACGGGGCTGGATGGATAATAATCTTCAGCGGCTAAGACATGATGATGACATTTGGGTTTCAGAGCTCAAGTTCCCGTTCTTTTACCCACGCATCAGGTCCCCATGAGCAAACCCATGAGCAAACGAATACTCCAGCTGAGTAGGCCTTGTCTCCTTTTCCCACACCTCTGCTAGATTTATCGTGCTCCCAAACCTGCACCTCCACCACCTAGGTAGCTCCAGGAACTCAAGTAAGTGGCTTGATGAGTAGTCGTTCTCCTTCGAAGTCGGGTATGAACCGCGTAAAATTACCGCCACGTGATTCCGGAATGCGTTTTCATGAAGGGAAATGACCGGAGTTTCGTTTTATTTTTGTTCCCGACTGGCCGTCCTCGACGCCGCAGCCAAACCAACATGGCGGTAATTCGAATTTCAACAACGACATCCGCTCAAGACTCGATGCAGGTGATCTATACACGATCATACTTGAGCAGCCAATCGACCTAGAGGGATACTAGCCAAATGCGATACCCACCGTCGACAAAAGTACACGGGCAGCCTCTGTCATCTTTGCTGGATCCAAGACATCCTTGCCCTTGCGTCTTTAGTTTTGACGTGACCTGATGCCAACGCCCCAGGCAAGGTGCGTCTTTACACATAGGGATGTTCGCCTAGCAAATATCATGTTAGATAAGGGCAAGGATGGGACTTGGCGAGTTGTCGCTGTCATAGACTGGGAAGCAATGGCTGGTATTCCGAGTAGTGAGAATATGTGAAGATGTGAAAATGGTGAACAACTTGACACCCAGGGATCACTTTGGCGTACAGGTACCTACCTGCCAGAATCCCTCTCTCTGTGCCCTGGAACGTAAAGTGCCAAGTCTACGACGTTTGTAGAATAGGGAGATAATATAGAGACAAGACAGCGGATACAATCGAGTTAGTGGTGTGGCCCAAACTTGTATCATCGTGCCATCCGGGATGGTCGCGATGAGATCCCCAAGGGACTAGGTGCCCGGCATCATGGGGCTGCGCGTCGAGAAGGGCGTCAAGTAGAGCATCGGGGAGGCGGGAGATTGTGCTGAATCGAGAGGAAGGCAGAGGAAAGGAGAGTTCAGGGGTCTTGTTTTGTTTACAATTGCGCCCAGTACGGCCTAGTAGCGTGCTCGACCAAGTATAGCGGGTTTGGCGCAGCAACACGACGGGAACATCGTCATCCTCTGTAGCATATATCCCAGTAAGATCCGTTTTCCGTATGGGTTCTGTTTTTTCTTCTCTTTGGCTATGACCGGGCTTGCGCCACGCCGGCACCGCTTGGATCCCTGGCTCGGTAGACTGGTGGCAGGAGCTGGTCCGCGAGCATGGGCTTGATGTATCCGGCGTGTAGCTCTAAAGGATCAGGGGCCAGCGGTTCAGGCTACCCGGGAAGCAGGTGACTCGTCGCTAACCGTCCCCCCGCGACGGCCCCAGCAGGGCCACCCCTCTACCGTCAGTCCCTGGCGCTCGGAAAGGCCGATCATAGCAAGAGAACTGGCAGCGCTTGAGGAGGGCCTGGAAAACAACGTCACTGATCCGTCCGCGCCCTAACCTCCGACGCTAAGCACGCCAGTTTCAATGGCCGATGCCCGTCGCATCAGCGCCTTCTTCATGGCGTACGACATTCATGTTGACATTTCTGATCTCCCTTCTTTGACTCTGTTTGAGAAGGCCCCGCCGTGAAACCGAACCAGCCGCAGCCTCAACAACCATCAACTCCCGAGAGAAGGTCCCCGAGCGACCACCTGTTCTGACTCTCGGACATCATTGTTCTTAGTCTCGAGGATAGTGATGCGTGCATGCGCAAGCCTAGCCAGGCCTAGGTTCATCACGTCAAAGGTAGCAGCATGGGAGATGAATCTGTCATCTTCAGCGTCTGTGGAGGTACAGAGCCTTTCCCACTAGTAACCCCTCCCGACGACAAGGCAGGCCGAACCTACTCCGGCCAAAATGCTGATCGCGACGTTTACCGCCAGCTTCTTCACTACTTTATCTTCTTTAGTCGATCGCGGGCGGCCGCCACCATCGCTTGCGGCCTAGGTGAGCTTAATTACGATGCGGGCCCTAGGCCAGCGGCGTGTTTGCGTAAGGAACAGGCGTGCCTCGATGTTGTCGTCGATGCTATCGTGAAGACGAGGTATCATGGCTAAGACAGTCCGGCGTCTCTCTTTAGCGAACGAGTTTGAGCAAGTGCTGATAGCTCGGCAGTGAGCAGCCTCCTTTCCCGTACATATGCACTAGCTGAATTAGCCAGCCTCTTGGCAAGCCCGCTTTCACCTCTTCGCTTTCGATTTGGCGAGATCACGCCCAACATCGGCCGAGGAGTGCGCAACTCGGCACGCTCAAAGTCAATGACCATCACCCTGCCGCTCCCCTCATGCCGAATAATGTTGCGAGACTTGGCGTCACGGTGCAGGACGTCGAGCATATGGATCGCATGAAAACAGCTCTCGACTTGCTCGATAAGTTGTGTACGGTTAGCAGCGTTGATGTGTTCGTGGATGGGGTTCCCTCCGAAGCTCAAGAACATGACATGTGTGAGTTCTGCAATGCCTTCGTAATAGTAGGGCTGGACGAGATTGATATTCCCCAAGTGGACAGGCACATGAATGCCTTGGATAGGGCGGAGTCGGCCGTAAACGGCAGCTTCGTGCGTCAGATGAGCGACGAAATCGGGGGGGGTGCACTTGGCAGCAAGCGTGTACCCGTGCGACGCGAGCCTGACCCTGAACGGAACGCCGCGTGATCCGGGCAGGCCAATTAGTGCGAAATTCGCGTCCAAATCCTCGGCAAGCTGTCGTTGCATGAGTGTGCAGAACACCGATGCACTGATCTGATGGCGGTCGTGCCCGTGCTTGTGCGCGTTGGGACACGACTTGTCCAAGGCCCCGCCATCGAGCAAACCGCGGAGGCATTCTTGAGTGCAGTACTGCTGACCCGTGGTGAGTCTGCTGTTAGTCCTGCTCTCTGTCGAAGAGCCGACTGAAGCGTCCGGGGGCTGCGCCGCGGGATTCGACGGCATGGGTCGAGCTCGCCGACTAGGCGTTTCTGGACCGGAACCCTCGTCGTCGCTGCTATCGCTGGGCAGGTACAGTTCCAATTCTATTAGTGGTTAACGAACCTTGCTAGGTACCTAGCTAGGTAGTTTGCGACTGGAGACAAGGGCACGTGAGCACGATCACGTGTCAAAATAGGTAGCACAACGACAGCATTTGATCTTCTGTGGTGGGACACATTTGGCAAGTTATCAACAGGTTACCCCACGGGGCGACTAATTCAAGCCCTGAATATTAGACTCTTGGTAGGTACATGTCTCTCTATTATATTATTGACATTGGCTAATAGAACTTGACTCAGTATATCTGCCATGTCCCGGTGGTGGTTCAGAGTTACAGAATGGGGGCGACGCGTTGGAATCTTGCGTCAAGACTCACGAGAGTCAGCGGGGGGCGACAGGGATTACGTGCCTTCTCCTGAGGATTTTCCTACCTTTCCTCCGCCGCCACCCAAGATCATCTTGCAAGACCAGACTCAGTACCTGTCCAAAGTCGCAGGCAGGAAATTTGCAGCTCCTACAGGCTACTTCGAGGATTCATCATTATTTGCCCTTTATCGACTGTACGAGCTATTTATCCTTGACCACGTTCTTGGCTATCGCAATACCCTCGAAGCTTTCTGGCGGCACCAAGAATGGTCTATTAAAGACATACCGGACCCAGACCATACAGATCCAGAGCGATACGCCTTTCTTGCTGGATGTACGTATTTGCTTGTCAGATCTTTCAACCAAAGGGTCAAGATTGGACTTAGGCGCGATATGACACCATTAATCACCCCAGAGGAAGCGGAGGTACTCAGGAACGTTCCAGATCACCTACGACCATATGAAAAAGTGCCAGACTGGGCAGTGAAAGCCCCGCCTCTGGCAGAGACTCTGGTTATTCCTACACATGACAAAGAAGTTTTGGAAGGAAAGGATGATTCTCGGGCTGATCCGGATTTTTTGGCCAAGAATATCTTACTTTGGACGCCGCACATATACTTCACTTAAGTTTCACCCTCTGGCCATCAGATCTAACCGGTCATATCTTCCGTTCTTTTTTCTGTCTTTAAGTCTTGTATTTCCACAGAAACCTGTCTATCGCAAGTATTTGACCAGCAAATCCATTACAACTTCCTTTTTGCCCACCACGACAAAGACATAACAAAGAAATGACCTTCCAATGGCTATAAATGCAGGCCACCACCAAGGCAAATCCCAGAACTAAACGTAACTAAACTTAAAAATACACACTCTTCTCACACGCAGGGCTCTATATTGTACAACATTGTTTCTTTCCCCAATCATATCTCCTTGCTCTGTCTGACCTCTCTGTTCTCTCTGTCCAATATTCTTTAAAAAAAAAGGGGAGATGGGGAGAAAAGGGGGGAGAGTTGGGGGGTTGGGTTGGTGAGCCGGGGGAGAAATAAGAAACCAGAGAGAAATAAGCAAAAAAACAGATAGAAAGAAAAAAGGAAAGCAAAGAAGGGAGGCCTGAGAAAATGAAAGGATGAGTAGCTTATAATCATCTTGTCTCTTTGTCTCATCCTAGACAAAGGCATTGGTAGAGTAGTGCCTTCGATACTCGCTGTTCACACGAGTGCGCAGGATATTCTCAGTCATCTCGTGATGGTACAGCCTTGCCCACCCTAGGGCAGTAGCTACTCTGACCGGTTGGTTGCCATGAGTACGAATGTACTGGTGGATGTAAGTGACAGCATCTGCGAGATCATATGGCCGGGCTTGATGACCACCTGTGAGAATACGGCTGATCTTGGCGGAGAAGGCGTATTCCCACGGGGCAGCATAGATGGTCAGGCCGGCTTCGTCGAAAATCCTAACATCCTGCCGTCTGGCGCCAGCAGTGAGCTCTTGATGCATTGGCCCCGTCATCCACATTTGCGTTTCAGTGTTGAGCCAGTCCGTCCCGAGTTCTGGGAAGCGTCGCCGAGCATCCTGCATGGCTTCGTCCAGGAGGCTTCGATCCTGGTTGGTGAAATCCGAGCCGAAGACGTCGATGTCATGGGTTACTGAACGAGATCGTAGATATAGAATGTTGACTGCCCCGCCGACGGCAACTGTTGTGACATGCTGCCTACGCTGAGCGATATACCGCGCAACATGCTTGAGGGCAGCGGAAAGCATGTCACGATCAATGTCTCGTGTGATCTGTTGTATTGGACGGCCGTGTTCATCAACTCGATTTCGAGGAACGTGGATCATCACATCTTGCGGAGCTCCGATGGTGAGCACCCCGCCTTGCTGTTGTTGGGCACCGCGTTTCGCTTGGGGTTTGCTTGGGCCACAGCCCATATTGACACTTAAGGGCTGGTATGTGGGTAGAGCGATATGATAAGAGAGTTTAATCAACGGATCAGGGGGAAACAAAACCAGTGTGAAGTCAGCCAAAAGAGTTGATGACTTGAGGTGGCTTGATGAGCTGACATCGAGAAAGCGTCGAGCTCGCCAGACCTCCTGCTCGCAAACTATATCTACTAACCATGGGGAGTCCAAGAGTCCCCGGGGTTCTTGTGATAGGCTCTAAAGCATCTAGATATTTTTGGAATACTCCTGGGCGAGGCCACCTTTGGGTTGAGGGCCTGATTGAAGAGCCCAGGTAAGCGGCAAGGGCGCCAATGGAGGCTGCTTATCTAGCCTGCATGCAGCGATATTGGAACATGCAGCCAGTATTAACCGCTGACATGGTTATAATTAGGAATCTAGGTTAGGTTGGAAGTCACCATGTTCCACCATGTTTCAGTATCTGGGAGAGTGGCCACTCTGGAAGTCATCGCGTACGCATCCAACGAATTGAGAAAGAGAAAAGGGTGTAAATACCCACCAAGGCAGATTTCTAAACTTAGACACAATCTAGGGCCAATTGCCTATTCTGCCCGTACAAGATAATGAAAAAAACTCGACACAATTGCAACGTAGACACGCGGCGAAAGGAAGACGGTCGGGGGCCACCACTTGTCTTGGTTCAGCCGCTGAAGCGGATCCGCCATGTGCTCAGTACCTAATAATTAGCGCCAGGTGGAATTGTGCTGCACCCCAAGCGCCGAAGCACGGAACGGTCGCTAGCAATGCCCAATCAGGGTCTTGTCAGCTCACCTCCAAATTGACTTAAACAACACCAGCAGAACGACTTTCAGACAACATTCTTCAGCTGGAATATTCCAAGGTGCCAAACAACATGCCGCCCCCGACGCAACCTCTCACTAGCATCACACTTCGTGGTTATCGAAGGCGCCAGGTTGCAGAGCAGCTTCTCAAATTTCACACGGCAAATGATCCGTTAGCACCGCAATCGTCACCAAACGCACGTGTTATTCGGATAGTCTGCGTGTCCGATACCCACAATACTCGTCCCAAGCTTCCTCCCGGAGACATTCTTATCCATTCCGGTGATCTGACCGAGAACGGTTCTTTCGACGAGGTACAGGCTGGCTTAACTTGGCTTTCTTCTCAGCCATTTCGGTACAAGGTCTTCATTGCCGGAAATCACGACGTCCTACTTGACGAAGCGTTTCTTGCTAAATACCCGGAGCGACGCTATGGACAGGCCCAAACGAAGGAGGACCTTGACTGGGGGAGCGTGATCTACCTCCAAGACTCGAGCGTAACTCTCGAGTTACCCTTAGACGAAGGAAACCAGGAGCTGCATATTGGCGGCGACAGAACTCTTGGCAACAAGATTGAGCCCAGAAGTCTGACAATCTTTGGCAGCCCCTGGACGCCGCAGTATGGCATCTCTGCCTTCCAATATCATCCAAGCGATCACTCTCATTGGAGTACAAGACTCGCATCTCTGGATCCAACGCCAAATATTATCATCACGCACGGCCCACCACGATTTCACCTAGATAGGCGGGACTTTCACCGAGCAGGGTGCGCATATCTTGGTGAAGAAATTGCCCGTATTCGACCTCGACTTGTTGTTTTTGGCCACATCCATGCGTCATACGGACGTGAAGATGTAGTGCTAGATGGCGCGCAGAGAGCTTATGAAGAGGTGATGACTGGTTGGGCTGGTTGGGGGACAGTTACTTGGTTAGCAGCTTTGGTAGTGTGGGCAAAGTTGAAATGGTTGTTGCGCGGAATGGTGCGAGGCAAAGAGAGGGTCACAACATTTGCCAATGCGTCCGTTGTTGGTGGGCCAAACAATGAGCTTCGGAACAAGCCGATTGTAATCGAACTCTAAATGTACTGTACCTAATGAACTCAGACGGTGCTCACGAACAACTTTTAGCGCGAAGAGCTCGCGCTCGCTGTTGCCATCAAATCTCACGCCTACAACGCATCCCTCGACCCCTGCCAATGGTCTGGGCCCCATTTGATTTGTTTGGGTAGGTTTGGGTAAGGATTCGGCCCATAGGCAGGGAGAGGGTCGCCTTTGAGAGGCTCGTCGGACAGAAATGGTATCGTGCTTTCAATGAAAACAAGGATTGCACCGCCGTTTGGTTGGCCCTTAAACCCCACGCTCAGCTCTGGTGTGTGGGGGTGGCTCGGGCGCAGTTGGCCCGAGCTGGGTGACAAATCGGCCAACCAGGAGAGCGCTTACAGTTCCAAAGACGGTAATTTTCCACCACGAAATCGGCCACTTGGCCGACGACCGGACTCACGACGCCGGTCCCCCGGGCTGCCAATGATGTGTTCAATGGTCGGGTATGGCTTGGCAAGCATGTCTACCTACGATGTATCTTGTTTGCCGCTGATCGCGACTCCACTACTATTGTAGCTTCCCGGAGCATCTTGCTCAATTTAGCCGGCGGACCAAGTATTTCAAGCGTAGTTTTACCATTTCCCCTTCATAGAGCTCAATCAATCATCATTTCGTACATTTCATACCCCGTCTTGTCTTGCTCGTCGAATTAACTAGGTACCTCAACAACAACTACACTACCCCCCCTTTTTCCAACCCCCTTTTCACTCTAGGACAAAATGGCAAATCAGACCTTTAAGCTGAACACTGGCCAGGAGATGCCAGCCCTTGGCTTCGGTCGGTAAACCTCCTCCTCTATGAGTTTTCAGTTTGTCTGTTTTGTTTTGTTTTGTTTTGTGTTGTTTCTTTTTCCTTTCTTCTCATCTCGTCACTCCATCTTGCTGCAGCGGAAATCCTGACATGGTATCCGCACATTAGGGACTTGGCAGTCCGAGCCCGGCAAGGTCAAGGAGGCGGTGTCCTACGCCCTCAAGGAGGGCTACAAGCTGGTCGACTGCGCCTACTGCTACGGCAACGAGGATGAGGTCGGCCAGGGTCTCAAGGATGCCTTCGACTCGGGCGTCAAGCGGGAAGACGTCTTTGTTGTCACCAAGGTCTGGACCACCTACAACACCAGGGTCGAGGTCGGCCTCGACAAGAGCCTGAAGTCCCTGGGACTGGACTACGTTGATCTCTTCCTCGTTGTAAGTTGGTCTAGTATTGCACATTAATGGCTGCTCATCTGCTGACTCCAGTGACAGCACTGGCCGCTATTGATGAACCCTGAAGGTAAGTAACATGGGCAGACTCTCCAGGGTGTTATTCCCAGCGCCCGAGAACTGACGAGAGGCGAAGGAAACGATGACCGCTTCCCCAAGCTGCCCGACGGTCAGAGGGATATCATCCACGACTACAACCATGTCGATACTTGGAAGCAGATGGAGAAGCTCCTCGCTACTGGCAAGACCAAGGCTATTGGTGTCTGCAACGTAAGCCTTCGACCGGCCCTTCCCCTGGATCGGATAGTCCACTAAACCTTCTTCTACAGTATAGCAAACGTTATCTGGAACAGCTCCTGCCTCACTGCACGGTTATTCCTGCGGTGAACCAGATTGAGAACCACCCTGCTCTGCCACAGCAGGATATTGTCGATCTGTGCAAGGAGAAGGGCATCCACATTATGGCTTACAGCCCCCTCGGCAGCACCGGTGGGCCCTTGATGCAGGCCGAGCCCATCCTCAAGGTCGCGCAGAAGCACAACGTCCAGCCGTCGACTGTCCTGTTGAGTTACCACAGTAAGGGACCGTAAACCCCGTAACGATTATGACTACCATCCACTGACTCGTGATACTTGCAGTTTCCCGTGGAAGCACGGTCCTTGCCAAATCCGTCACGCCGCAGAGGATCAAGGCCAACCTGGAGATCATCAAGCTGGATGCTGAGGACGTGAAGCTCCTACAGGACTACTCGGACGAGCTGACCAAGACCAGCAAGGTGCAGCGGTTCGTCTACCCACCGTTCGGCATTGACTTTGGGTTCCCGGACAAGTCGTAAGCACGGTAGCTCAGTTAGATTAGAGTCGTTACATCCATTAGACCTCATGTTTTGAAAGACAAATCCATTCGATGATTTCCTGGGGAATGCTATCTCACATATCTATCATGACCTTCAGAACCAGCTTGCCCTCCTCATCCTTGACCTTGCCCGCCATGTCGAACGCCTGCGGTATGCTATCCATGCCGGCGTACCTGTGGGTGATCAGCTTCCTGAGGTCAGGGAGCAGCGGGTCGTTGCTCGCGAGCAGCTGGATGGCCTTGGGATAGGTGTTAGCGTAGCGGAAGACGCCAACCAGGTCCACCTCACGGAGCGACGCGGCGGAGATGGGCAGTGTCTGGATGGGGTTGCCCATGCCGATGAGCATGATCTTCCCTCCGGGTCCCGTTGCCTTTCAAAAAAAAAAAAAAAAAAAATCGTCAGCACATACGTCATCCAATCCGGCCAAGTCGAACTTACGTAGATGGACGCCTGCAGGCACGACTCAACGCCCGTGCACTCATACGTGCCATCGACCTCGCCGACAGGCCCGCCGCCCTCCTTCCTCTCCGCGGCGGCGACCATCGCGGCGACCTCCCGCGCGAACGCGAGCTTGTCCTCGATCGTCTCGGGCCGCCTCATGGGCACGACGACGGCGGCGTCGGCGAACCCGTTGTCGACGGCGAACCGTACGCGGTCCTCCTGGATGTCGGCGATGACGACCGTCTTGGCCCCACCCGCCTTGCTGACCGCCGCGCACAGCAGGCCCACGGACCCGGCCCCGAACACCAGCACCGTCGACCCCGCCGGGAGGGATGCCCGGTCGCGCGCGTGCATGGCTACCGAGAGGGGCTCGGCTAGGGCGCCAAGCTCGAGGGACACGCCTTCGGGGAGCCTTTGTTTCCGGGGGAGGTTAATGACTGGAACCCGGAACCGACAAACAAAACCACCTAGGCTTCCGGAGAGGGGAGAAGCACAGGGCTCGTAACTCACTTGTGACACCACTTCGCCGGGTGCGAAATCATCCCCTGCAGGGTGCCCTGCGCGTGCGGCATTGCCCTGGCGGAGCTGCGGAAGCGCATGTCGCGGCAGATGTTGTACCTACCGGCGTCGCAGAGGGCGCACCGGCCGCAGGGCAGGCCGACCTCGAGGGCGACGTGGTCGCCGGGCCGGAGGCCCTCGGCTTCGGGCCCGGCGGCGACCACGACGCCGCTCGACTCGTGGCCCAGCGTCAGCGGCTCCTGCACCAGGATGTCGCCGTTGCGGTTGTGCGCAAAGTAGTGCAGGTCCGAGCCGCACAGGCCCGTCGCCTTCACGGAGACGTGGACCTCGTCGGCGGCGAGGGGGGCTAGCTCGCGCTCTATCTGGTTGGGGGGGTCAGTGAGGACTCGGGTTGTCGGTGGCGGGGATTGACTTACTAGGCGCAGATCTCGCGCTCCATTGAGGACGGAGGCTTTCACGGTTGTGCTTGTCATGGTGGAGGATTTGTTTTACTACGAGGGCTAAGATAGGAAAACTAGAAGTAAGGAATGGGAGGAGATTGTAATATTAGAGGGTTGCGAAAAGTCAGACTGCTCTAGAAATCGCACAAGTCATGCGCACTTACAGCGTGTTCGATTCTCCTGTTCCTGGTTTCCGGCCTACGGAAAACTAGTGTCAACCGCCCCCCCCACAGAACTTGTGTTAGTTTCAAAATAGCCACCGTACCAAGACCAGTCCCCAGTGTGATGGCAGGTGGGACTCCGAGAGCCGCTCCAAGATGTATGGGTCCCGGCTTGCGGATGCGGCAATCGGCCTGCCCAATCGCTCCACAGAGGGGCGAGACCCGCCCATTAAAAGGGAAATTCACGGCGACCCGGGCGAACCCCCACGGATCACGGATAGATGTCCGTGTACCTAAATATTTCGGCAAAAAGATCACCTTCTAAGGCACTGTCTGTCCCTTTCCATCTTCTACCTAGTTTCTCTAATCTAGTAGCTTGAGTCCCTCCTTTCCCATTTTCGTGAATTGCTTCGTTTGTGAAATCAATTGCCTACTTTCGCCTCAACTGTCTTTTCCGAACATGGCCAGCAGCGTGAAAGACTTGTTTTCCCTCGAGGGCCACACCGCCCTCGTGACCGGCGGCACCCGGGGCATCGGGCAGGCCGTGGCCATTGCCCTTGCCGAAGCCGGGGCCGACATTCTCCTCGTCCAGGTAACTTGAGAAACATGGGCGGACGGTCCCGGTCCTCGCTTCCCCCTCCTCCAATCCTTTTCGATTTTGTTCTTGTTGTTGACCGAGAACCCCAGAGGGACGAGTCGTCAACGACCACCCTGAAGGCCATCCAGGCGCTCGGTCGGAAAGCCGAGATCTACACGGCCGATCTGAGCTCCGCAGAGGACGTGGCGAAGCTCGTGCCCAAGATCCTGGCCGACGGGCATGAGATCCGCATATTGGTCAACTGCGGAGGCATCCAGCGGAGGCATCCCTGCGAGGCATTTCCCGACTCGGACTTTAACGAGGTAGGGCCTTGGTTCAACCCCCAATCCCAACTTCTGCTTCCCCAGAGCCCTTGCTAAAACACGAGGCTCAGGTCATGCAAGTCAACCTCAACGCCGTCTTCTCTCTGTGCAGGGACGTCGGCGCGCACTTGCTCCAGCTGGAGCCGTCGGCGGTGACGGGCCGGCGGGGGAGCATCCTCAACTTCGCGTCGCTGCTGACCTTCCAGGGCGGGCTCACGGTGCCCGCCTACGCGGCGTCCAAGGGCGCCGTCGGCCAGCTGACCAAGAGCTTCGCCAACGAGTGGACGTCCAGGGGCATCACCGTCAACGCCATCGCGCCGGGGTACATCGAGACGGACATGAACACGGCCCTGCTCGGCAACCCGGAGAGGCTGGCCGGCATCAGCGCCAGGATCCCCGCAGGGAGATGGGGGTCGCCCGAGGACTTCAAGGGGACCGCCGTTTACCTGGCTAGCAGGGCGAGTGGCTACGTAAGCGGGCATATTCTAGTGGTTGACGGGGGGTGGATGGGGCGGTAATGGTGGCTAGAAGGAAACCGGGCAGAGTATAGACGAGTGAATCAGCGAACAGGATACCAGTATCTGTCAATTTACATCTCTTCACATATCATCACGCCCCCTTCCCTCCCCCCCCCTTTTCTTCCGCCTCCAAGTGATCCATGTTCTGGCCTTGCTAGAGCTACCCCTAACATCAAAATCTACACCGAGGTTCGTCTCCCGACACCCCTCAGGCAGGTCGGACCGAGGCCATCACACTCTCCATCCAGGGATACACTGATCCGTTTGCCATGGGATAGCCCATGTGAAGGGCCCCGGAGAAGAACCTAGTTGGTGTCAGCAGGCTTGAGCGAAAGAAGACCCTTGGTGTGCCAGATCTTGCTCACCTGGCCTCTTTCGGTGTCCCGTATTCAAATAGCATCATCGAGTCCTCAATCGGCATAAGTCCGTCAAGTGTGCCCTGTTACCCCTATTAGCACCCGATCGGGGTCCCGAGTCGTATGAATTCTCCTCCGAGTTGCAGAAACTCACGTTGATGAGAAGGAGCCTGGTGGACGGCTTCTGGATGATCCCGTTCTCCAGCAAGGAGAACTTCTTCTGCGCTCCCTTCTTGTACTCCTCGACGGAGGCGTATCCGTGCTTCAGCGCCATGGCGGGCGTCAACCTGTTTTGTCACAGCCGCTGGTAAGCCCCTCTCTCACACACAGATACTCTCTCTGGCCCCTCCTAACTTCATCCGTTGCGACAAAATAAAAAGCCCACGACTCACTGGAATGGATACTCATGCCCGTCCACCGTCTCCAACCACTCCCGGTCAAAGAAGTAATGGCACCCGGCCCCCTGCGCAATCGACCCCACGATCCTATCCGCATGCGTGTGCGCGATGCGAACAGCATAGTAACCCCCGGAGCTCAACCCCCAGACCATCACCCTCGCCATATCGAACCTTCCATCCCCGCCCATCCACTCAAGCAGACTATCCCACATCCCCTCCGGCGCCGCCGGATCCGCCGGATCAGCAGGACAGTCCGCCGTCCCCGGAATCTCCACCACGACAGACCCCCACCCGCGGGCCAGGAACTCATCGCACCGCACCGTATTATCAGGCCGATACCCATCCAGCCCCGTCATCAGCACCACGACAGGACACTTCTTCTTCTCCTTCTCCGACCCCTCCGGCCCAGCCGCATCAACAGCAGGAGGCACGCGCACATAAACCGGTATCCCCCTCCCCTCCCTCCCCGCACCATACGGCACCAGCACCTCCTCGACGGGAGCCTCCCACGTCGCGGCGGCGCGCATGTACACCTCCTTCTGCGCCGTCCAGGCCGCCCACTTGGCCTCGCACGTGACACCGCCGCCGCCGTTACCCTGCGGGAGGTCCGCCACGTAGGGGAAGCGCGCGATGCGGTAGACGGCGCAGGCGCGCAGGTACAGGGCCGAGGCGTCGCGGGGGCGGCCGTCGGCGAGGGCGGCGTCGCCGCGGGAGGCGAGCGAGGAGGCGGCCGGGAGGAAGGCGTCGGTGTAGGATGTGGAGGTGCCGTCGTTGATGTTGTTCTGTTTGGGGTGGTGAGTGCATACAAGAAAAAAAAGGGGGGGGGGAGGACTCACTTCGATCAGGTAGTTGAAGATGGGCTCAAAATCCTCGTACTTGCCATCGTGAAACGGGTAGACGCCGAGGGTGCAGGGGAACTTCCACTTGGTCTCCCACAGGGCCTTGATGCCGTCGTGGTGAGGCATCCTCCGCTGGAACGCCTCCGTCCCCATGATCCAGTTCCGTCCCGCGGTGGGGGGCTTCTCGTCAACGGCGTGCGGAGGCATGTTTGACGCAGTTTTTTGTCCTTCCCCTGACTCGTCAACGGCGTGAGGAGACATGTTTGACGCGGTTTTGTTTTGTCCTTCCACTTTGCTTAATAGCTGACGCGGACGACTCTCTGCTTGGTGAAAAGGGGTAGCCCGCCTTTTGTACCGGGGTGGATGAGTGTGACCTTGCTTCTCCGGTGCCGGACTGCTGTGTGTGATGCCGGGGCCACGCCTCTCTCGCGTACCCTGTGAGTGAGCTGTGAGTAACCCTGCTTATATGCAGTGCTAGGCAGTCATGAAAAGAAGAGAAGAGAGATCAGCCGGCCTACTGGGTCTGCAACAGGGCAATTCGCAGGCGGACCAGGATGGGATGTAAGTCCTCAAACATCTTATAGTAGCGGCCCCGCAGCAGCGAGACTCTTTATAGAGACGGACTTGCTCTGGCTACGTGGATGAGCGTTTGCTTGAACTTAATTCGGTCGGTTCGGCAGATACCCGGCGTCGGAGGTCGTATAACCAGACAATTGGGGATATCCGTAGTCCGCAGTGAGGGGTGAGAGGTGAGGGGTTAAGGAGGTCGGACAAGCTTGGCTGATGATGGCGCGGGAATTGCAACGGCATGGGAGACTGGCTCTGGCGAAAGTTCAGGCTTTGAAGAGTACCTTGGGGCGCCCGTTCTTATATACGCAGCTAGGTACCTGGTTTGCGCAACGTCAGATGCCTGTGTCACAGGTTGACTCAAATGCCATCCATCGGAGTCACATGCGGCCAAGAAGAACTCCGAATGGGGGTGCACATTGGTCGCCAGCATCGGGGGAGCCAACCCTGAGGCAAATTCCCATACCGAATGAACCAAGGCGCCAAAGGTTCTAAATCGAGTCGTGGTAGGTCTATATATATCCAGATATCCCATGCCCTTGCCTTGCCGCATGGTGCCACGCCACGTCTAACCGCCGCAGCTCTTGTCTATATCTCAAAAGGGAGAGAAAGTAGTTAGATACCGTTCCTGAGACCAACGTGGCACCAGAGAGCCCAGTTGGCGTGTGGGCGCTCTGCCAAGTGGCCAACGACTGGAGCGCTCAATAGTCTCCAGTCTACAAACAGTATTGACCTCCCGCTAGGGCGGAAGTGCCCGAGCGACATCAGAGGTTCGCTTCTGGAGGACCGCAAGTCAGCCTTGGCCCGATTTCCCAACTGCCGCATCTGGTTGAAACCGAGAAGGCTACTGAGGTTTACTCTTGGCCCCTTCGTAGTAGTGCGCCATCTGCAGCCCGGCCCTCCTGAAGCCGCACTTGACGTAGAAGCCCTCGTTGGCCTCGCTGCAGTCCAGGATGCTCTTGTAGCAGCCCACTTTCTCCGAGATGTAGTCGAGCGCCTGGATTATGCGCAGGCCAAGCTTCTTGCCCTGCTGGTCCTTGGCGACGGCGATATCTTCGACGTGGCCGACAGCCCCCAAACGGTGGACACTGGGAAGAGGCGCGACGGGCGTGTCGCGTATTGTCAGACAAAAGCCCTCGCTCATATGGTAATTCGGGGTCGGCGGAGCATCACTCACAACTTCCGCTCGACGAGCAGGGCTCCCGTCCCGACGACCTTGTTTGCGCCGGCGTTTGTGTCCTCGATAACGATGATAAAGTATGAACCGTTCTGCTGCGACATCCAGTTGTAGCGCTCCTCAAACTCATCCTTTGTGATGTCGCCAACTGTCGTCAGGACCCGGAGACAGTCCAGGAAACCATTGTCATAATCCGACCGGCGCAGCGCTCGGAGTCTGTAGCCTTGGGGGAGCTCGTCCGCAACGGCGGGGGAGAGGAGGTCTGAAGCGAAAAGCCCGTCTTGTGTCATTGTTCAAGGTCGTCGATCGAGATGGTCAGATTGAGTACAGATCGAGCGCAAGTTGAGATGAGGAGGCGGGACGGGCAGCAGATGGCGGGCGGCGGGCAAACAGGTGGCCGGAAGCAGACGAAGCGACGGAAAGGAGCCATTGAGAAATTCGGGACGGTCATCCTCGTGTTACCCCTGGTAGCAGCTGAAAGCGTAAAGGCGCTAGAGTATGCAGGAACTGCATAATTAGCAACAGCTAGCTTCACTGCCGATCCTAAACCGACAGTGCCCAGACAGGAGCTAGTACAGTACGGGGTTGTGTCACATTCACGTTGGTATGGAAAGAAACGTACGAATTGGAAGCTCACTTTACTTTATCTCTGTCTCCTCCAGCAGCCCATCATCTACCATTCGCTGGCATCGCACGAAGCAAGTCCACAGTATCGTGCAGGCCTGCTGTCTCTTTGTTAAGGTCCTGGATTGGCTCGTAGAACCCTCTTGCACACAGTATTGGTGGGTGCCCTACAACCCAAGTTTGGCCAATCAGATAGGTACCTGGGACTGGACCTCAGCTTACAGCGCCCAGACGCTATCCTGAAGGCGTCTTTTCAGCGCAGGTCCAATTATTCACAAAATCCCACGCAGATCGTATATATCTCACAACAACTACCGACTTGTTGACCATATCGTGTATGGTGGATGGTACCTAGCTTACAAGGTGAAGGTGGGGAATGAATGGAGATGCAGTGCCACGAATAATGCCAAGAATGTGGCAAAAGATCGCATTAGCCACAAATTCCCGGCTAGAATCACATGCCATTCTTCCCAAACCTAGACGGCCAGCATACCAGCCGACAAGCATGTCCTTCGTGAACGCGTCTCGCCTGTTTCTATTGACTTGAAGCATCGCTTCTTAATATAAGAGAACAGCCATGAGAGATCGCTGGCTTACCAGCCAACCCAACCCCCGTTCGCCGCCAGCCCCTGACCCTCTTTACCCAGAATGGACCTATCGCCTGTCGATGACGCCGATATGGACGAGCAGTCTTCCCAGCTCGCTGCAGTCCCTGATCAATATGTCGAGACCCAGCTTCCAGAACTGACTCCTGCAAGCCCAGGCAGGACCCTCCTCCCAGCCACCGTGGCCAGGGCTGTGAGCTTTGCCACCAGATCGACGACTCTCGCCTTGCGAGTTGGGACTCTAATAGGCGGCTATAGCTTGGGCGCTGCCAAGGTCACTACACTGTCGAGCCTGGAGCTGGGCCGCGGTATTATCGAGGGAATTCTGAGCAGAGCCGGAAAAGATGTGACAGCCCGGTCAAGGGGCGAGTTGGGGAAGGCAGATGCCGAGACGTTGCTTGAACAGAGTCTGGAGAGCCTGCATCGTACCATGACCCAGATCGTCTTCTGGACCGCGACAGGTTTTGAGATGACGGGCACCGCCGTATCCACCGTCTCCCAAGTGTCACAGCTCCTTCTCTCCTCCCTGGACCAGTTCTTCGGCTCCACCGATTCCTCCAGGGCCATCGCCAGCATCATTACCCTGATCCGGCGAGAGTTTGAGAACCCCGCCACGGGGGTCCAGGGGGAACGAGTCGGGGTGGTGGACTTGGTCATCGGCCTCTGTGGCCTGGCCTTCTTGCAAGGGTGGTCCCGCCGCCTGATTGATGAGGACTGCCGGCGCCTCGGCATCGAGGAAGTTGTCTGGGACGTGGTTGTTCTCAATGACGAACGGATCGATGTCCACGAGGAGAGTTTATACGGCATCCATGCGGGGGCTGGCACACCCCAGAGCCCATCCTCAGACAGGCACCTACTTGTTCACTCAGGGGATCGAAATATCCTGGCTACGATGAAAACCCAAGATGCAGACGATAGTGTCGATGGCGACGAGGACCTCCCCGAGATCGCCCTCAAAAGGCAAATCATGAGGTCATTACCGCAGGACACCCAAGTCGCCATCACGACCTCTGTTTCGACTACCAAGACTATCACAGTTGATATCACAGGCAATCAGACATTTTCTGTATCTCCGCCGCCAGGGGTGGAGCTGATTGAGGAGGGCAGTGGAAGGCATCATGACAGCGAACACCAGGGGGGCGGGAGTGCATCGCCAACATGTCGAGTGGTCTATCGGGTGACCCGTAACAAGGAAACTAGCACATTTATTCAAGGAGAAGAGAATTACCAGCCGTCATCGGGCTTTGTCGAACAAGCTGTATGCGATAGCGAGGATGAGCTGTACCCAGACGACAGAGGAGCTGGCTTGTCTCCGCCGGTTCCTCTCAAGCTTGCCACGGAGAGCATGGAGCAAGCAAGCAAGCAAACGTCCAGGTCTCACACCTTACCATCCTCATCTCGACTTGTCAAGCCAAGAGATCCCCTATCTAAGCTGGATTCAGAGAATGCCGCAAACCAGAAACGTCCCAGGACACCCCTAACGTCGCCGTCATCACCAACCACTGCCACTCTAGCATCTACACGGAGACAGAATACACTAGTCAAAAGGAAGGATGATTCTTCCCAATCTTCCAAACAGGTCGAAAAGAAAGGCGGGTTTCGCAGCGTCCTTCGGAAGGGTCCTGTTCCGGCTCTGTCAAACCTGCTACACAAGGATGACTCTACTGGGCCAGGATCTAGCACAGGTACCCCCAAGGGGAAACAGAAATCCGCCACAGCCCCTACAAGTGCTTCGAAAGGCAAATCTATACAGCCCGGAGGTTCGAGGAATTCCGCTATTTCTCCTATAGCTGTCCCGGGCCGAGCTCAAACTACGGCCTCAATGCGCCAGGCGACACACGGTCCGCAAAGAAAGGTGGTCTCCGGCCATCCACCTGTTCCTCCTATCGTAGTAGACGTCGATAACCCATACTCGAGGAGCTCTTCTCGAGCGAGCCATGTCTCGGTACACGAGAGAAGGAGGGACTCGATTGTCTCCCAAACGGATACCTACTCTATACAGTCGGTCGATACTTGCAGGCCCATCTCACCCGCGTTCAAGCGCACAGAGGTGATATCCGGAAGATCCATGGTTAAATCCAGGTCTGAGAAGGACGTAACCGATCCCCGGCTTCTTTCACCACGCAAGCCTTGCCGCCGGGTTAAATCCCACGCCCACACGCCGAGTATATATACGTTGAAGACCAACGATTCAGAAACGTCGCTGGTCCCCTTCCCATATTACCGGCGCAGTGCCTTCAGCGACGCCGAGGCCTTGGGGAGCCTGCGGCGATCGGGCATGGTGGATGGCATGTTCCCCAGATACCATCTAGTGCGCAACCTCGACCGGTACATGCGCTTTGCCTCCGCCTCGTACGGGTCCAACTTTCTGAAATACATGGGCATCGCCAAGGAAATGCACATCCTGCAGGCCCCCGACGACACGCACCGCGAGCTGCGCTCGTTCGCGCGCCACACCCGGTCCGAGGCAAACAGCATCCTCCTATCGTCCTTCGTGGACCCCCAGGGCGGCTCCGACTCGACGGGGTCGACAAACACGGGCGTGCCCCTCGTGCACTACGTGTCCCTGGACCACGAGTCCAAGGCGGTCGTGCTCGCCTGCCGCGGCACCCTGGGCTTCGAGGACGTGCTGGCGGACCTGACATGCGACTACGACGACCTCACGTGGCGGGGCAAGGCGTACAAGGTGCACAAGGGCATCCACGCCTCGGCCCGGCGCCTGCTGTACGGCGGCGACGGCCGCGTCCTCATCACACTGAAGCAGGCCCTCGACGAGTTCACCGACTACGGCCTCGTGCTGACGGGCCACTCCCTCGGCGGCGCCGTGACCGCCCTCCTAGGCGTCATGCTCTCGGAGCCCGCATCGGCGGGGACGTCCTTCATCACCTCGTCGCAGGTGCACAACCACAGGCTCCTCCTCCCAGACGGCACCAGCACCAGCACCAGCACCAGCACCAGCAGTTACCACCACCACCACGTCTCCTTGCCCCCCGGGCGACCCATCCACGTGTACGCCTACGGCCCGCCGGCGACGATGTCCTCGTCCCTGTGCGCGGCGACGCGCGGCCTCGTGACCAGCGTCGTGCACGGCAACGACCTGGTACCGCACCTCTCGCTCGGCGTCCTGCACGACCTGCAGGCCGTCGCGCTCGCGCTCAAGACGGACAACAGCGACGCCAAGGCCGAGGTGCGCCAGCGGGTCTGGGACGCCCTGCGCACCGGGCTGGTTGGGCAGTGGTACGGTGGCGGTGGTGGCGGTGGTGGTGGTGGTAGGCTCCCACCGTTGGATGGTGATGACGATGACGATAGGTGGGCGTATGCTGCCCTCAAGGTCCTCCGCGCGAGCATGATGAGCCACAAGCTGCTGCCGCCGGGGGAGGTGTTTGCTGTCGAGAGCTCGACTGTGCTGCGGCGGGACGCGTTCCTGCGTGGGGAGAAAGGGGGTGACCGGCGGCAGCCGCAGCAGCGGGACCAGAACCTCGGCCGGCCGGCGAAGAGGGTCGTGCTCAAGTACGTCAGGGATGTGGAGGAGCGGTTCCGCGAGGTCGAGTTCGGGACTAGTATGTTGGCCGATCACAGCCCTGGGAAGTATGAGGATGCGTTGAATAGCTTGCGGTTTGGGGTCTTGGATTCGTGAGCGGTTGGGTGTTGGGTTTGGGTGCGTAGGTTAGAGAGATAGTGGATTGGGTAACGGGTTTGATACTTAAATTTGTGAGTCGTTGGGTGTTGGGTTTGGGTGGTGCTTAGGTTTGGATAGATGGTGCGTTGGCTTACGGGGTTGGTAGGAAGCATGGTTTCCTGGGTCTCAATTCCTGGGCCATACCATATACAAGGGGAATCTGGGTCTATGCTTTTGGGGATGCATTGATATACACAACATTCATCGCGTCATTTAACCTCATACCTCTTCGGCTAGCACCGCGCCAGCATCGAAGTGGAAGCCAGCTACTCCGGCTTGGTGGTAACAATCTTCCCCGCGTCATCGTAGAAGATCTCCTTGACCTTCACGGACCGCAGGTGGTCGACGCCCTTGCTCAGCTCGCAGTCGTGGTAGAACAGGTACCACCTCCCCTTGAACTCGACGACCGAGTGGTGCGTCGTCCACCCGAGCACCGGCTCAAGGATGCGGCCCCCGTAGGTGAACGGCCCGAACGGGCTGGACCCGGTGGCGTAGCAGAGGAAGTGCGTGTCACCCGTCGAGTAGCTGAAGTAGTATGTCCCATCCCGCTTGTGCACCCACGCCGCCTCGAAGAACCGCCGGTCATGGTCGTCGGCCGCGATCTTCTCCCCCGTCTCCGGGTCCAGGATCTCAATCTCCCTGACCTCGCCGTCGAACTGCCGCATGTCGGCCGTCATGCGCGCCGCCCGCGGCCCCATGGCCGGGACCCCGGCCCCCGTCGGCTCCTTGGGCCCCTGCCACGCGGCGTCGAACTTGTCGTTGCCGCCCTGGTAGCACTGCAGCTGGCCGCCCCACAGGCCGCCAAAGTACATGTACGCCTCGCCGTCGTCGTCGACGAAGGTGGCCGGGTCGATGCTGAAGCTGCCGCGGATGGGCTCCGGGTCGGGCGCGAACGGCCCCTCGGGCCTGTCGCCGACGGCGACGCCGATGCGGAAGATGCCCTCCTTGTCCCGCGCCGGGAAGTACAGGTAGTACTTGCCGTCCTTGTGGGCCGCGTCGGGGGCCCACAGCTGCTTGGACACCCAGGGGATGTCCTCGGCACGGAGGACGACGCCGTGGTCGGTGACGGGGCCGGGAGGGCTCAGGGAGTCGGTGCTGAAGACGTGGTAGTCGGCCATGTCGTACTGGTCGCCGTTGTCGTTGAACTGGATGTCCGTCTCGCGGTCGTGCGACGGGTAGATGTACACCTTGCCCTCGAAGACGTGGGCCGACGGGTCGGCCGTGTAGACGGTGGTGATGAGGGGCGCCATGTTGTTGGTCTGGTCTGGTCTGGTCTGGTCTGGTCTGTTTTCTTTTCTTTCTCTCTCTCTCTTTTGTTTCCTTTTGGTTTCTTCCCGGGCGCAACTTCAATGGTGGGGTGATGGCGGGGTTGAGATGAGGGGCTCTCTGGTTTGTAAACCGGGCACGTCTCGCTGGTTGCTCGGTGACTTTGAATCTTAGGGGTAGGTATGGAATGGGGATTATGGCAAGAGCAGGAAGAGGATGGCGACCCCAAGTTAAATACTTCTCCTCCTCCTCCTCTACCTCCGCCGCCCCCCATCGGCCCATGGCTGGCCCTCTCGCCGCCTGCTCCTACTGCCAACCTTCAGCCGATCTTGGCTGGGCCATTCGCGTTGGAGACGGGACGACGAAGTATTTATCCTCATTTAGCCGTTTACCCCAACTGAAAGTGGACCCTTGGCGGGTGGAGGAAAGGGGCACAGCACCATTGGGTCTGCCCAGGTGTAAGTGGAACCTACAACGTACATAATAGCGACATATTCCCGGCAAGGGTTGGGGAGCTAGTAGGGCGTAGCATTCAGAGCCGCACATGGCTTTGGGAAACGTCAGGATCTTGGCTCCAGCCTACGAGGCATACGGGTTGACCATGAGGGGCACTGCTTGGCTTGGCTTGGTGGGGTTATACCATCACATGTCGGCTCATTTTAGCCACCAAGCTAGGTACACCGGCTGCTTAGCCCCAGATGCGAGAGGTTCGATCGTAGTTAGAACCAGTTTGAATTTTCTGTTCTCATATCGAGATTGGCATGATATTCTTCTTGTGTTAGCTTACGCTCTCACTATAATATGCTTCCAGGTCGTCGAGAGACTCCGGATGGACTCGCCCAATCTTCATCACCCTGACGTTATCCTCCACCGTATAGATTCGCGCGCAATCTAGGCGGGCCGTCGGCGCAAGAAACTGCTCGCTCTCTTCTATAATCACAGCAATCGGCCGCCTCGATATCTCCTCCTCCGGGAACGGCTCGGGGGGCTCAATGGTGAAGGGGTAGAGCACGGCAAAGTCCTTCGATCGGCCCCGGCCCTCCTTTGTGGCCCCCTTGCCCACGAAGGTGGTGATGGAGAGACACAGGGAATGATGGAGCCGTCTCCGGGCCACGACGAAGAAGCGGAACTTTGCGCACGGCTTTTCCTCGTGGAACTGCGGGCACGCCGCGGTCCAGTCAAGGCCCGGACTCGTGGTCGCGCTGTGTTGGGTGCGGGGCTCAAACCAGACCATTTTGAAGATCCTCCCCACGGAGAAGAAGCGCTTGGGCTTGTCCACGATCCGGAATCCTGGGCGCTGTTAGTGGGGAGGGGGAGATAAGGCGAGCCTTGAGCGGGGAGGACGTACGTGGATCGAGAGCGTCTTCATAGGGCTTACTGGGCCCAAGTCGGGCCATCGGGCGAGGCATCGTTCGCGGAGGCATCGAGGGTACGCTGTACATCGAGGGGTGCACTCCATTCGGTGGGCCGGCTACTTGTCTGGCGCTCCAGTCAAGGTCCTCGGTGGGTCCGACATCACCGTCGATACTGAGATCCCCAAAGTTGGGGATGGCCGAAGAATGACGCTGGATATCGTCCTTCGCACCGGAGCTATGCCCCGGCGCCACTTGCGGCTCTGAGCAGCCTCTGGGATTTTGATACTCGGTGTACAGCAAGACTTGGTCACCTTCAGGGCATGTCAACGCCTGTCCTCGAGACCCGTCCACGCCAGCACAATGTCCTCGGTGGCTGGGCACCGACAAGGTGACAACAGGTTAGAAGGCACTTACCTCTTTGCTGGACATAGTCTTGGTAGGTAGAGTCCCAGCGCCAGTGGACGCCCGATCTCCGGGCAGGGGTGTCAGGAGTGGCAGGCCGTTGGCCTGGATCTCCGGGCGGGCTGCACCGGCTGAAATCGCCATAGAAAAACTCCGGCTCGCCTTGCCATCCCGACACTTGGTCTGCATTCAGCTATTAGCGCTGCTGTATGGTATGCCGTTAAACGATGTGCCTGCCCCGGGAACTCCGCCTGGGCTGGACCTGGCCGGAGCCGAACCAAGGGCATGGCATGGACAATTGCAGGATGCTCACCGTCCTCATCTTGGGACAACCGGGCCGCCCCGTCTGTAGCGGTGGTCATATCGGGCGGCTGTTGAACGCTCAACCGGCCGCAAGGAAAGGATGGATGGATGATCGGGATCAAGACACGGGAGAATCCGGCGTCCCCGTCTCGTGCTTACCTGCAGGGCGGAAATGCGACAAGTGGCATAGCTTGCGAGATTCAGGGGCGGCCGCCAATAATAGTGCTGCAGTGTCAGGAATTAATGTGGCAGGTCCCGGAGCGGGGTGCTGGGTGCCGCAACTTCAGATCGTGGAGGTTGCCCAATTCGATGGGATGTGTGTGGGGTAGTTGTGGTGAGGCTGTTCAGGATTGAGGTTAATTGGTACCCAACGTAATTGGCTGTGGGATTGCCTCGTCATTGCCTGAGGCCGATTCCCATGACTGATGGCCACCAATCAAGGCATGCCAAGCATCGCCAGAGGTGAGGTGCAAACGGCCAAGTGGCCAAGTGCGCTCTTTACACCGACTCCACCGGGAAGCAGGGTCCGTTCAGCATGCGAGTATGCTGGCTCTTGACACGGAATTTGGGAATCAGTGAGTGACCCGAGAGTGGCGTGGCTTTTCTATACTTAGAAGCACACCTGCCTGCTCTACTTCTTTTTTTATCTCACGTTCCCAGTCTTCAACATGGCCATCGTCGCCCAATCTACAATCCGATATTCTCTTCCTTGACCCCAACCTGTTGCTGTCCATCCTTTCCTGATTCATCTTCCTCGGGGACTCGATGGCAGCGCCAGTGATACGCTTCCCACCCTTGTCCAAGACTACTACTTCCCCATCCGCGCTCTTGCATCCATGCTCCCGTTGCATGACCCTCCAATACCTGATGTACATCCTCTCAATATTTGTAGCAATAACTCACACACCTGGTAGCAAGCTACATAGTTCTCGTGTCTACATGATAGGTCAGGCAGGCTCATTCGCCGGGACATCATATAGAAATCGTCCAAACGCTGCGTCCTGCCGATTAGCTTCAGAATACAATGAGTGAAACTAATAGGCCGCGGCCCGACCGATGTATATTATTTCGTTTGAACCTTTTGTCACCGACTGCTGCTTGCACTACGGCCCCCGGCCTTGAGTCAAAGCCACTGGTGCCCCTTCCCGTCAACCAGTGTTTGTGTTGCACGGCATGGTGGCTTAAATGGGCGAATCTAGCTGCCATCGAAGCCGCCATTCGCGGCGGAAAGCAGGATTTGTCGACGGGCTGCCACAGGTCCCAGAGTTGCTGATGGTCGAAATCCACGACTATTGCCAATCCCAGCCGAGAACAATATATCTTGCTTTCTCATCAGTGGCCACGATCAAAGCCCCGAGTCCTGCACGAGCATCGTTTCGGGATTCAAAAAGGCAAACAATCCTTCCTTTTTGCCCACCTGACCGAATCTCACTGATTGCTCTCGTTGTGCGTTAACCCTACCTCGTTTCTGCAGTTATTCATCCCTGAAAGTGCATGACCGATGACCTCCAATGTCTCGCCATTCTTTCTATCAATCGCACCGGTAGCTAAGCCTGGCGCAATATCGAATTCGAGTACTGACCGAGTAGAGGAGTATTTACGCTCTCTGCCACCCTGCAGCATCTACTAATGTCGGCACCCGCTGCAGCAGCCCTCCAAAATGAGCAGAACCTCCTAAAAGGTTTGCCTTTTCGGTCGTCGCGATAGCCACCTCTAGGGTGTCCGAAGCTACGTAGAACCTTTCGGGCAACATGCCGTCTAGAAGTTAAATAAATGGACCTCTGACCCACCTCTCGAGAACACGACGCCGTTATGAACCCAGGGGCTTGCTTCCATCGTCCCTTCACGGCCTCTTCATCTTCGCTGCTCGCCAGTTCCCGCATTACCAGTAGCCGTCCTCACAAGAGCGCCATATTGCGTCTGCCCCTGACTCACCTTCGACAAAAGCCCAACCAGCCGCAGCTCCGTTCGGCATCTACAATATCCCCAAAGCTGCACAGTAGCCCCAAAAGCGGTAACCTTCCGCGGCCCCCTGCGTATATGGCGGAAGAAACTGCGCCCACGCAGCTCCTGGAGTTGCCAAAACAACCCCCGCACCGCGAGCCGGGCCTGCTGCTTCCACCTCCGCCGCCGAGCCTGCCGCTTCCACCTCCGCCGCCGACTCTTCAGCCCCCGGTGCCCGTGAGCAGGTGCTTGACTTGCAGCAAGTGTTTCCGGACCCACTGGACGACTGTAAGTTGGCCCGCTCTCCCCGTTGCATAGAAATGTCCCCCCCATAGACTCGCTCATACCTCTCGTGCTTCGCGCTTCTCTCAGAACGCGTTCTGTCGCATCACAGGAGTCTGTCATCAATGCTGCGGTTGCCAGCGACATAAGAAATACTCTCCCGCGCTGGGTAGGTCCCTGAAAACTCGCTCCGCATGGGAAAGCCAGCGTGCCCATCTGACCACTGATCTTGCAGAATCGAGTCGTCTTCCCAGTTTCGGGCACGCCGTGGCAGCTCCCCGCCACGGCCCCCATCGAGCTTCAAGTACGGCCGTACTGCCTCCTCCACGGTGGACTGGTACAGATCATGCGTCCTTCAACGGGGCAGTGGGCGACTTCTTTTCGGCAGACCCTGCCACCCTCATCACCCCGCTTGATGCGTTGGCGATCCAGGCCTCCTCCATGGAAACAGAAGCCGGTTCCCAACCCTCGGCGGGGCAGTGTGCGCCAGTAGGCACTGGTGACGGGCCCCCGCATTCCGCGGCATCGGCGGAAGGGCGGCCGCCTTTCGCTTCCGAAGATCCTGCGGCCGCCTCTGGGCGCAGGTTCGAGGGTGGTTTGCTACCCATCCCGGATCCATATCACGCATATTCTCCCCAACGTGACGACAATGGCCGTGATCTCCACCACTATACTTTCAGCCGCCCAGATCAGCACACCGACCTCAAACTGCCTCCGCTGTGGTCAGAAGCCCAGCGATGGCCCCGTGTCGAACCCGGGAACCTTGGCGGCCCCGCATACGGACCAGATCGCCGCTACGAGTACCTCGAGGAACCCAGGCAGGCCTATGTCCCGTTTTACGAGGCTCCCCACGGCGGCAATTGGGCTCTGGCCTCCATCCAGGAACACCAGGGGTCGGCGCTAGTGGCAGCCTATCCACCACTGATGACCGCTGCATACAGTTTTCCCCAGCCTGTCATCTCCGGCTGGAGATCGACCTCGGCCCCGTCCGCGAGTTACTCCCAACCCGAGCCCTTGATGGGGGGCCTTGACAGACGGTGGTCGTGCCACGAGACCAGTCTCGGCACCGGCGACGTCACACCCTGGGGCCTGAGACGGACGTCTATGTCTTCCCAGTATCCCCCCCATTTCTTCCCGGCCGCGCATCCCTCTTCCGGAGACTATCATGTTGCGGGACAGAGCGGTTGAAGCGACTTTCGAGGAAGACGCATCCTCGAATATGGCCGGTTATCTCTTCGCAAGGCGGTGCTACAATGAGGTAGCTGTCTGAAGGAGCGGGAGCCTGCTCTCCGCTCTCTTTGCTGGTGGGGTGTGTGGGGTATTTTCAACTATGTGGTTGTCTCGAGAAGAGACATGTTTCTGCTCGCTCTGCTTGGGGTGGTCAAATGGCGGTTTGTTATGTGGGCGGATACGATGTCATGACGTTATGATGTAACGGGTTTCTGGTCCTCGCAGCACTGAAGTTGTTACCCCTAGACCGGAGAATGGTTTCTTTATCCCTCTCCGTCGTCTATCCGGTCGGGGGATGCTGTAGTGTTGTTCCCCTAGGAGTCTGGGCTCCTTATTCAATTCCCCTTGTTGTTATCGCGCATGCGTCATGATCTCTCCATATTCTCGGGTAGGTTAACCGCTACGAATCGCCTGTTTGCTCCCGGGTGCTCTCCTCCGTGCGGACGCGGCTGTAGCACGCCTGTCATCGGCTGCCCTGGCGCCTGCTTATCCCCTCGGCACCACGGACGTCTCGGTCCTAGACTGCGATACTTGGTCGTAGAGCATTAGGTTATAATGGGGGCCGGCCGTGTAATACTGGCGGGCGTGAATAGGTAACCGGTGGGTGCAAATTATGGCTCTGGCAAGAGATTCTGCCCTTGGATTTGGTCCTCGGATGGGTGTCTTGCCCATACGTCCGATCTCGTGTGTACTCCTAGGTCGGTAGGCACCACCTCGGTCGTTCCTTACCTGCTTGTCTTTAAAGACGGAAATTAAAACAGTAAGGTTCGCTTCGTTCACCCCCTTCCTCCCCCCGGCCCCCGGTCCCTTGCTCGTTAGGTTATTTCTCGGTCGTAGCTGCCGGCTGAAAGTGTGAGCGGCGAATGTGGGATATTTACCAGCCTGCCGCCCTTCCAGGATGATGCGTCTTCGTATTTGCTGACCGGGAGACGACCCAGTTTGCGGCACAGGGTCACGATCATCTCGCCTTGCGGCTGGTACTTTGCCCTCCCAAGGCAGCATTCCCCCCTAGACACAACCAAGAAGACGATGCCCCTAGTCGGGCCCGGGTGCGAAAGGCCACAATGGAAGGTAATTCGGGGGCGGACGGTGCCACCACGCCCCAGCCCATGATTCCAAAAGTATTCGACACAGTCGGCCGCCCTCCTGGCCGGGGAGAGCGCGAAGCGCCGGCCAAGAAGTTCGAGGCAGTGCAGTTGGACGCCGGGATAGTTTCGATAATCTTGTAGGACGATATTCACACCATCAAGTCTGTCAACGGCCGAGCACCGCCGGACGGGGTATCGCGACAGGGGAAGGTGTTCGCCAAGACTAGCATCGAAGCGCTGAAGCGAATGCGGGCGAAACCTCTATTCACATACCTCCACGGGATGAACATGCAGTCCTGGCCCGTATGGGACAGAACCTGGCTCCCACTGAACCGGGTACGCTTTCGACGGGTCACAGAACTGGCTCGGGAGTGTTATGGCGCGTACGAAAAAATCGAGGGAATGATGGGACATTTGCGGACTTTCCGGCCCGCCGGAGACGTCGACGAGAACTTGGCAGACTTCTTCGGCAGTGGTAACCCGCTCGTCATCCACCATACGACGGGCTTTGGACTCGCGATGCGGCGGGCGGAGGCGGCGGTGAATCACCTCTACCTCATCCAGCAGCTTTGCCGGGCATTGGACAACATCTGGCCGCAACCGGGGAACGCCGAGGAGATGTCCAAAGGCCAACCCCTCGATGACTTTGAGTTGGCCATCAAGGCGGCTATGGGCGATATCGAAAAAACCCATCGAGCCCTGCTAGATATCCAGCAGTCGGTCCAGCATCAAGCGTACAAACTGAAGGCCGATTGGCAGCTGGTCTGCTGCGAAGAGGACGACACGAAACGGAGGACATGCTGGGCCTCGAAATCAGACCTCTGGTGACTGCAAGCCACACCCCCAATACCGTGATACAGTGGCTGTCGAACGCGGACGAGTGAGGAAGAAATGGTTGGGGAAGAAAATCGGCGTCGTGTGCATCTTTTGATGGAATGGCGTATCGTGTATCCGACGATAATTCCCCAGCAACAAACCTAAGCTCCTGGATAGCTGTACTGGATGAAGGGGTTGTCGTATGAACAGATGCCTGCCATGCCCTGTTTGCATTATCTCTTTGTTGGCCACTCCTGAAAGCCCGACCTCAGGAGGCCTAGAGGTCGAGGGTGAGGTGGGATTCGCACGGATGGCAGGGAGGCAACGAGTCCCATGTCAATCTCAAGGTGTTGAGGCCCAACTCAGAAGTCCTGCACGCCCGTCTCTCCATGCAGTATCCTCTCCGGCCGCGAACCCCTCCCGACCTCCTCCTCCTCCTCCTCTACCTCCACCTCCGCCACCTGCTCACCCCCGCGCGCCCCCTCCCCAGCGCCGCTTGCCCAATCCGGCGTCTCGTCGTCGAACCACGCCTCCTCGAGATCCATCCTCTCCAGCACGTCGAGGTCGTCGTCCTCATCGACGGCGCGGTACTCGAACTCGTCGTCCCGCCCCGCCACGAACCGGTCCCGCACGAACGCCTCCCACCGCTCCCGGCCCTCCTCCCGCGTCGTCGGAGCGGGCGCAATGTCCGCGTCCAGCGCGAACCCCGTCGCAGGTGGCGCCATGGCCCCTGCTGCGGGACCTGCGGGGCGGGTGTCGTCGTCGTCACCGCCGCCGCCTGCCTCGCTTGCTAGCTTCGCCAGGCGGGCTTCGCCCCGGAGGAGGGAGATCTCTAGCGTGCGGGAGTAGCCCTTTGCTCGGCCCTCGGCTTCTCGTTCCGCGGGGGTGTGGAAGCTGCGGATGAGGGAATCGTAGAGGAGGGGGTCTGGGGAGGTGTTAGCGTCAGGTTACGGCGGTGGAGAAGAGGAAAAGGAATGAAGGACGAGATAGCTAGAGAGGTGTGAATCCGACTGCCTTGCAGTCGCTCACCCTACACGCATCCTCGAAGCCCAAGGGGGCAACCTGGCTTACCGGCAAACTCATGCTCCGCGGACTTGAGATACTCCGGGTTCCTCTCTAGATATTCGCGCCTCCGGTTTCGAACCCGAATTTGAGCGACTTGAGCCGGCGACTTTGGCGGCCTCGGTTTGGGCCTTGAAAATGAGTTTGGGGTGGGAGGAGGTGAGTCGAATCGAGGCGCCATCTCGGCTACCTAGGGAGTCACTAAACCTTTGAAACCCTTCAACTATTCTTTCATTGGGTACTATCACTCATGTGAATCATGCCGCTTTTTTCGTTTGGCGATAGGTGTCTCGGTCGTCGAGATTTCTCGGTGGTTGTCGTGACCTCATCCGTCGGTCAGACTCAAAGATAGATGTGTATGAGTGCACGGACCACCCACCACCTCCCGAGTCTCTAGACGGAGGACTTGAACAAAAGAGGTTGGTATCTGGGAGCCTGTCATTCCCCTGATAATAGGTAAAAATATCGAATACTTAGTACAGATACAGACGATCGACCACTTCTGAAGGCCTCCTTGATTACTCGACGTCGACGTACACATGCTTACCATTTGCCGGCCGGTGGAAGCGAATGCGAGGTGCGCCGGCGGGAAAAGTGGGGTCTAGAGTGCCGCAACGGAGGGAAATCCCTCCGGCGCAGTCGTGGGGAAGAACCGCACTCGTTCCGCCATCGAGGTTGTTGGTAAGTTTACGCATGAAGAGAGTCGCTATGACGCGCCATGGCCTAGGCTGTGTGAGGCATGTGTATATATAAACGCAATTGCACCTCCATCCGTCTCGAACTTCGTTGTATAGACCTTGAATCTCAACCAGCGTTGCCAGTGTAAATACCTCCTTCACAGTTACAGCCCCATCCTCAACCATGTGCTGCTCCAAGAAACGCACCGCACCCCTCAGCCCCATCTTCTACACCACCACCTCGGCACCATCGCCGTACAACACCAACGCCACCGCCCACCGACCCAGAAGCTGCCGCCGCGCCCAACACACGGCCCACGAACACCTCCCCTGCCCATCCTCCCTAATCGGATACTTAGCGCGCAAGATCCGCGAAGGCCGGGCCCCGAAGCGGACCGACGACAACGGCACGGTGTGTCACCCACCCCCCTCCCCCTTTCCCCTCCTCCCTTTCCCAAGTTGCACAACCATCCCCCAGAGCCGCCCTCCACCGCCGCTAACGGATGCCCGTCTCGCAGGTCTGGAACGCATCGCCGCCGCCGACTGACAAACACACGTATAGGGCGTCGGTCCCGAGTTCGGGGGCGGGTGGTGCTGTTCGCGAGGAGAGGACGGAGGTCGCGGGAGGGGGTTATGGATTTGACGATTCTGCGGGGTATGGGGAGAGCCCGCCGGATTACGAGCTGGTTATGAAGACGACTTGAGGCTGGGAGAGTCGGGACGGGTCACCTCTCTTTGCCCCCTTCTGGTTCTGATATTGCTGTTGTCTGAGGATTAGTGCCGAGGCTTGATGTGTGATGTGTATGCTTTAAGTAAGGGGTCACGAATTGATACCCTGGAGGCTAGACACGGATGGAACAAAGTGAGGACAAGCAGTAGCGACCCTGATTAGACTGAGGAATCTTGCGCCTATGCACAGAGATGACCGCGACTACTTGACATGACGTGACAAATGAAAATAAAGGATTGTTCTCGACCTTGGCTTCGGCCGGATCCTTGTCCCCCATGGGATCCGAGCCGACCGTCTAGGTTCGTCGCTTAGCATTAGTGGTTGTCCATCGTGGTGATTTAGTTGGGTTGGAGTGGAGGTCAGTTGTAAATCCTTTTCTATGCCCAGGAGCTGCGGAACTTGCAGCCAAAGACACCCTCGCCCATTCATCCAGTTTACCATACCAAGCAAGCATAAGCAAAAAACCCCGGACTCCACACGGCGTCTACCCCGAACCGCCCTGGCATGACGCGATTTTGACGAGGCCGACCACTCCACACTCAGCCACAGCCCCCTCAAACCTGCTGTGCGGTAGCCTCGTTGTTCTCGCTGGCCGGCTTCGCGCTCTTCCCCTCCTTTTCCTTCTGGCCCGCAACGCTCCTCTTGGCGTCGGGAAGCGGGTCGTCAGGGACCAGGTTCTTCGAACCGAGCTTGGTCTCCCGATTGGCACCCTCGACGTCAGGGTGAGGGGGAGCCACGCCCTCCGGAGCGCCGCCGGCTGGGTTCGCTTGATCCTGCGGCCAACCGCCCTCGGGCATCGGTAGCTCGTTGCCATCCGCGTCGACGACGCGCATGCGCGTCTCGTAGCGGGTCTTGAACTCGACCTTGCCTTCCAAGGCCTTCACCTGCTCCTCGTTCAGGAGGTTTCCATCTTGGTCGCGGTACTCAACGCGCTCCTCGCGGGACAGGACGCGTTGCCCGGGAGGCACGGGGGCCCCTGAAATTCCAGCCTGGTTTGGCTCGCCTGCTATCGGGATCTGTGCTTGCTCGCCGCCAACCACTGGTGGGGGGGCCGATGGAGGGACTACCGACTTTTGCGGAGTCTGGTCGGCTGCCTTGGTCGAAGGTAGAGCGTTGTAGGCATCGTACTATCATAACACACCCTGTTAGTCCACGCGTCTCGTCATCACATGCAGATTTTGGTCTGCCTCTGAACGTATTTGCTGAACGACCGCCACTCCGACAGCTTATTGTACAGCATTTGCTACTCCAAGCATCCTAGCCCCGTTCTGGCAATGCTCTCTCTGGGATCAGCCCAGAAGGATCATCACTTACGCTGTCAAAGAAGGTGTTGCAATCAAAGTCCCAAGTATTGAACAACTTGACACGGTTGCACTCCGACTTGGTCCAGGTATTGCCGTATGCGAGCGGAGCGAAGAGACCGAAGACCACTATGGACAAAGCCAGGAACAGAACGGCGCCGGCCCGGTTGATGACTGGCTTGTCCTTGATGCCAAGAGCGCCGACCCTCGCGGTGACGAAATCGAATACCTGGCAGAGTGCGATGACGGAGAAGTATAGGGCCGGGAAGTAGTGGTGAAGGAACAACTGGCGCTGCATGAGGAAGAAGGGGAAGTAGTGCAGGGCCCAGCCGAGGACGGATGTGCCGACCTCGTAGTCGAAGCGCTTGAAAGTGTTGTTAGCGTAGTCGTTGCAGCTGCGCTGCCATCGAAGGACAGCGATGCCCTTGAAAAGAACGTAGATGACGACCGCGGCACTCGCGCTCCACCAAACAACGGGGTTGCCCATCAAATAGATCTGGCGGTGCTCCTTGCCCCAGAAATTAATGCCTCGCTGAAGAATTGGCCACGAGGGAGGGCGCGAGTCCCAAGCGTGAGACTCGACAAGTCCAGCATTGGTCTTCCACATGACCTTCTGCAGCTCCCAGAACTTTGAGAAGAAACTGGGGCGGGCATAGTTGACCTTCTCGGCGTCGTCGCCGAGCATCGGGTGGTCGTTCCATTCAATGTACCACAGGCTGTTGGGGAGCGATCCGCCGCGGGCACAGGTAACTTCTTGCTGCTCAGAAGCCCAGTCGGGGAGCTTAACCTTGTGGGAGAAGAGGACGCATCCCGTCATGACGTGAACAAGCCTGAACTTGGTCTCGATGGTACGGACCCTGGATTGAGCCTCACCACCCTTGGACGACTGCTTGACGATCTCGACCTTGAAGAAATCATTCGCGTCGCCCTCAAATCCTTCGTATCCGTAAGCCGACACTTCGTTTTGCCAGTCGACTTCAGTGATCGGGGGCCGCACGTCGTGGGAATGCAGACGGCGGTGAGTGGGCGAATGATAGAGCCGGAGAACATCTCCGTCCTTGATGTAGTGGGGTTCGGGGAGATTATCCCAAGCGAGGGTCCCATTGATGGGCTCGCCATGGATATCGAGGGGTTGCGTCTGGTTCTCAAGCAGCCAGATGTTGTTCTCGTCCTTGTGGGGATAGAGGGTGATCTGCTGCTGCTTGGAGCCGGTCGGGTACATCAGCGGATGCGAGTGCAAGTAACCGCCTTGGGTGTTGAAGTGCCGAATGCTGACTCGGCTGCCCAACAGTACGTCGACAGGGACATCCTGCATGCCCTTGGAGTTCAGAGTAGCCTGGAATTCAGAGCTCATGAAGCCATCACCATCGCCGGGGTTGACAAGGCAGAGGAAGTGGACAGCGAACATGGCCATGTAGAAAGTCACGGGAATGACAATCAGGCAGAACACCCGGGCCATGAAATGCTTGGCCAGAACACGCAGAGTAACCGTCTTCGCATCGCCAATCAATACCCAGAGTTGCACCAGAGTCAAGGCGCCGACCCAGGCGATTGTAAACAGACCAGTCCACTTGATGCTGACAGTCATACCCAAGCCGAGGCCGGTCATGATAAGCCAAAACCACCAACTGGGCTGGAAAGCCTTTGTGGGACCCTGCTCATGCTGGTTGCTGAAGGAGAAGAAAGCCAGGGCACTGAATGCCGTGGTAATCATCAGGGGAGAGTCGAGCAGGATCAATCGAGCCTGGGTAAGGAGGCCGTTCTCTGTACGTAAAGATGAGCAAGTGTAACCCGGGCTACTCAGGGCGGCAATTACTAACCGAAGATGATGAGCCCAGTTCCCAAGATCGCAGTAAAGGTCCTGCAGTTTGCAGCCTTCAAGGTAAGGAACATGGTCGGGGCCAGAAGGATGCCGCAGATGGCCGGAAACAGGCGCATGGCAACATATGGGACGCCGGGCTCGAGATAATCTTTGCCAATATCCTTGAAGTCGAATTCTCCGTCGAAGCCAGCCGCCCAGCCGAACAAGGTGATGAGGAGTTTGGCCAGCGGTGGGTGCACGTCCATGAAGAACTTGCCCTTGACGTATTTTGAGGCAAAGCCACCGAAGCTAGAGGGGTAGGTTGTTCGTTAGCCACTATAGGCAAGAAATCAAGGACAAGGAGCTGCGTACTGGACCTCGTCGAAGACGACGCTCGTGGGCTGGTATATGCGGAAAAGGCGAACAGCGGCGGCGACAACGGTCAATGCCACCATAATCTGGTAGTCAGAGACGGGGAGCAGGAAAACATCGTTGTCCTGGACGCCATCCGAGCTGTAGTCGTCAGGTCGCTTTCCTGCCTTCGACTTGGACTTGGGCGAGCTTCCACGCGGAGGCGAGGCCCGCGAGGCTGGCGATTTCGCGCCAGCTGGGCGACCCATCTTGGGGGCGTTGCTGTCGGCTGGGTAGGGGACAAGAAGATGGCGAGATGGCAGAGATGTTGTTCAGGCAGGGAGCTTTGTTGCGAATGAATCGTCAACACCGGCGAGGCAGAACGCGGAAAAGAATCGCGACTTCAGCCGGTACTCGGAAGGCAAGTAAACCAGGATTAACGAAAGTCGAGAAGGTTAACGTGTCATTACAAGGCCGTCATTCCAGGGCTAGGAGGAGACGGAGAGGAAGGGAAGAGGAAGAAATTGGCAGTAGCAGCAGTACTGAGACGACACCAGACCAGTGAGTCCGATTATCTTGACTCCTTGCCTTCGTTCCTAGGGCTGATGGAGCTGGAAAGGGGGAGGAAGGCGAAGCTGCGCAATAAATTTGTAGCTTAAGTGGCCTTATCCGTGTATCCCTAGGTTCCATTGGGGGTCCCATAAAAGCACACTCCCCAGCAAGCTGCACGCATTTGCGGGGCGGGGCGCCTTGATTGGTTGTTGGTCCTTTTAACACGAGCAAGCAATACCTCCCTCCCAAGTGAGCCGCTTGGCTGGAACGCGTACCTTGTTCAAGTACTAATTAGTTGAAAATAGTTCAATTAACATAGTTTAGTATCCCTCCCTAGTCTCTCTATACAGTAGTTTTGGTGGTAGTGCAGACGATGTTTGGCTAGAGAGAAGGCTCTATGTATGTATGTACATACCTCCTTCTGCCCACTCAGCAGCTCGAGGAATTTAGCCCCCTGGATTCTGCATTCTGCACTGGAATTTTCCCAGCGCGACCAGTCGCAAGCCACATTTGTCAAAGAGCACGAGTCAAGACAGTCAAGACAACCTCGTATTTTTCAGCAGAGGTACCTGGGTAGCTAAATTAAGGCCGGGTGGTACCGCACCTACTAGTACCTAAGTATAGAAATCTGGAAAATAGAAGTTCCCTCGCCGGCCAGATGGACGGTCCCGTCCCCGCCACCTGGGCATCTCACTGTGGAAGCACCCAGGTATTGGTAGCCTTGTGCACGGGCCACATTTCCATTCAATTGACGAAAACGCGTTTTTCAAACCCGACCTCACATCGAGAGTACATCCGCAAACAAGTCAACCTGGAATTCGACTCTCGTGAGCACCTGCCGAGCCCACATCCCTCGTCAACCAGTGTGACGATGGCACAAGCTGCAACAAATGGCGATACTGCAGCTTCGGCTGCAGACTCGCTTGATAACCTCAAACCTCCGACTGGCGTAATCATTCCTCCTCCAGGCGAGATCCGCGAGGCGATCGAGAAGACGGCCGGCTATGTTATGCGTGGAGGACTCGGCCTCGAGCAGCGCATCCGAGAGAACCACGGTACAAACCCCAAGTTCAACTTCTTGATGAGCAGCTCAGATCCCTACAATGCATACTACGAATGGCGAAAGCAAGAAATCAAGGCGGGCCGGGGCACTGCCGTCGCTGCCGGCCGGGCAGGAGAGACAGCCTCTGCACCCGTGAAGGAGGAACCGAAAGGTCCCCAAAAGCCTCCCGACTTCCAGTTTTCAGCCCGTATGCCTCGTATGAGCCAGAAAGATTTGGAGATCGTGCGACTAACTGCCCTGTTTGTCGCCAAGAACGGACGGCAGTTCATGACGCAACTCGCCCAGCGTGAGGCCGGCAACCCCCAGTTCCAGTTTCTCATGCCCAATCACACCTTCCACAACTTCTTCCAAAGCATGGTCGACCAATACTCGACGCTTTTGCGCGAGGGCGGCGTCAACGGCGAAGGCACCAAGGCACAGCAGGAGCGGATCGCTGAGCTGAAGCTGAATGTGGAGGATAAATACCGCGTCCTAACGCGGGCAAAACAACGAGCCGAATATGCCAAATGGCGGGAGGCAGAGAAGATCAGGCAGGAGGAGGAGGAAGAACAGAAGAAGGTCGAGTTCGCGAGCATTGACTGGAACGACTTTGTCGTCGTCGAGACCATTGTCTTCAACGAGTCCGATGATCAAGCCAATCTCCCTCCGCCGACGACACTCAACGACCTGCAATATGCCTCGCTTGAGGAGAAGAACAAACATTCTATCAGCTCGAACCTGCGGATAGAGGAGGCGTTCCCCTTCGATGACACGAGCTATAATGCTTACCCCCAGCAGACGTACGGTGCTCAAGCACCTCCAGTGCAGCCCTATCAACCCACCCAAGTGCCAAGTCCCCAGACGTCTTTCAACGGCGCCGCTTCATATCCCATGCGGACGGCATCAGCGCAGGAACAAGAGGAGGCCCAGAGAATCCAGGAACGGGAGCAGGCACGCGCCCGCATGCAGCACGCGCATGCCGAGGCAAAGGGAGGCGCTGCGCCGATGAAGATCAGGGAGAACTACGTCCCGAGAGCGGCTGCCAGGGCTGCCAACAAGTTCGGCGGGCAGATGGCCCTGTGCCCCAATTGCAAGCAGCAGATTCCCTTGAACGAGCTCGAGGAGCATATGAGGAGTGAGTAGATGGACCGAACCCCTTTGAGATTGAAGGTCCCTGCTAACAGAACTTTCAGTCGAACTCCTGGATCCTCGCTGGAAGGAGCAGAAGGCCAAGGCAGATTCGCGGTACGCTACGACAAACTTGTCCACGGCGGATGTCGCGAACAACTTGAAGCGCCTTGCCAGCCAGCGGAGCGACGTCTTCGACGGTGTTACCGGCCAGCCTGTATCAGAAGAGGAACAGGCTCGCAGGAAGAAGGCGGCCATCCACAGCTTCGACGGCAACCCGGAGGGCAAGAGCCAGGGGCATATTAACCACCTTCAGAGCGTCAACGTCGAGGAGCAGATCCGAGCCATCCATCAGAAGTTTGCTGAGAAGAAGTAGGACGGCTAGCATATCTTTGTGTGGAGTATTGTGATGGGATATATGCCATCTCGTCGACCTCGAGGGGAGGTATGGCCTCGAGTACAGGTCTACATCTAAGCCGCATAATACACGCGGCGGGGCCAGATTGCGGCGGGACCAGACTACGGCGCAGCAAGGTTCCGTGGTCGTGTGTATGGAGTGTGTTGGAGTATGGGCTGTTCATTGGCGTTGGAAGGTGAGGAAAGTTGCTTACAACTGCGTCCGTTGCTTTCGAGGCTCATACCATCTTCATTTCACAGCTTCCAATCGCCATCCTGGCTCAGACGGCATTACTAGTGATATCTGGGTAGTGCCAGGGCAAGGGAAGAAGATGGAGGAAAAGCAAAGGAAAGCTTCGTTTCATGGCCTTTGAAGTCAATAACGGAGGTGGTGCTGTATGTAGGTAGAGAGACTGCACCTACCACCAAGCCTACATAGCCAGAACGCAATTCGTCATGCCATGTATTGTATTGTACAACGAGAAGCTCTTAATGGCGCATGTATTCGTGCTCTTCGAGGTGCATGTGCCCTTTTCCTCAATTGCGCGCCAATCCATACAGGTTGCGAGGAGGGGCTTGCCGACCCCACCTTGTAGCTGCGAGGAGGTTCTCAAATATTACTCTCATCATATTATCCCCCACCTTTTGTGACCTCCACCCCCCTAAGTGGCACTCTGTACATCCGTACTTCGCCAACCTCTTTCCTACTCACCTAGGTCACCCCGTGAATCCTAGCCCCGAGTTGTGTTGTAGTTGCACACAGCTCGACCAGCCCTTGCACCTCCCACTCAGCCAAATAACCGACCTTGCGCGAATGAACACCGCCAAAACGGCGTCCGACGGCCAAGGGACAGCGGCTCGCGCGACGAGCGCCGAGCCGCAGAAGTCGCCCACCTCGCCGCCCCTATCGCCGTCGTCCATGGAGCAGGCGCAGGCGGCCGCGGCGCGGCTGCACCGGCCGATCCTCCAGTCGATGCCGGACACGCGGCAGCAGTCGTTTGACGAGATCTACGGGCCGCCCGAGAACTTCCTCGAGATCGAGGTGCGCAGCCCGCGCACGCACGGCATCGGCCGGCACATGTACACCGACTACGAGATCCTGTGCCGCACAAACATCCCGGCCTTCAAGCTGCGCCAGTCGTCGGTCCGCCGCCGCTACTCCGACTTTGAGTACTTCCGCGACATCCTCGAGCGCGAGAGCGCCCGCGTCACCATCCCCCCGCTGCCCGGCAAGGTCTTCACCAACCGATTCAGCGACGACGTCATCGAAGGCCGCCGCGCCGGGCTCGAGAAGTTCCTCAAGATCGTCGTCGGGCATCCGCTGCTGCAGACTGGGAGTAAGGTCCTGGCGGCTTTTGTTCAGGGTGCGTTTTTTCTTCTTCTCCCCCTTCTCCCCCACATATCCTTCCTTCCTTCTCGGTTGGACTTCTACACCTGGGAATCTTGACGTTGTCGACCCCGGCCCCGGCGTGAAGTGGAACCCCGAAGCAACGGTGTGGCGGAGTTACACGACGGGCTGCAACGGGACGAGACGGAGGGAAACCGGTCCCCCCACCCTCCTTTTTCCTCATGCCGGGCTAACTAGCGGCCCCCCTGAAATGCGCAGATCCGAACTGGGACCGCAACGCCTGGTGACTCCTTCGGCTAGCCAGCCGTTTCGCGGCAGCCTCGGCAGCCTCCTCCTCCCCGGCGGCGACCCGGAACACCAACAACAACAACGTCGTCATCACCACCAATCACCACCCGCGCGGCCCGCCGAGGAAGCTGCGGAAGAGACCCCCGAAGGGCTGGGTCGAGACGCAGGCGTTGCGGAAATTGATGGACGAGGAGGATTGAGGTTCTGTCTGTCGTCGTTTTGACGCGGGTTTTTGGAGAGCTGTGTTTTGGGGGTTTATGAAAAAGGGGGTGTTGTTTGGGGGATGCGGGCAGCGGCGCTTCCGCTTCCTTGACGATTCATGATGATGAGAGACGGTCACTCTCCTAACCACCCCCGAGTGATTTTGGTTGGCTGGTGGTGATTGCCGCTTCTCTTGTCTGCAGAAAGAAACCCTTGTGTACTCGTTCTCATTCCTTCATCAGTATGCGGAGTATAGGCGTCCCAACTTGATGGCATAGCACGTATTTCTAGTTGGAGCGCAGTCTATTCATTATTATAGGACGGCCCCCTTTATTAAACAACTTCCACCCCCGTCTCTCAACGAGTAAGCCCGAAGCCGACCAACTGAATGCAACCGGATCTCTCTGAGGCCCTGTTTTGTATGCGGTGATGTCTATAAATAAAGAGCAAAGCTGTTTTCCCCTGCCCCCAACGCCATATGCAGCAGCTGCGATGCCTCCGGACACCCAACCCCTCTATGGTTCCCTTCGAACATGTAATCTTACAACAAGCCACGAGACGTGGTCTATCCCACAAAACCGAAACCCCCAAATCGAGGTATGCTCCGGGACCTTATCGAGTGGTGTGGTCCCCTTCTTTTATAATGTTTGTACAGGGTGATACAGGTGATACATGTGATACAAGATGATATACATAGGACGCCCAGGGAAAAAAAGAAGAAAAGCAGAAAATGCGTTTGATGAGTGAGTGAGGATGGTGGAGAGGGACGATTTAAGCAGGTGTGTGTAGCAAGTGCAGGATGCCCTCGTACATGCCGAACATGATGGCGGCACTAGGGACCGTCCTGAGGAGATGCGGGGTCATGCCGCCGTAGAGGCCCATCATGCCCTCTTCCTTGAAGACGAGCTTGAAGCACTGGACGAGTCCGGTGTACTTGGGCCGGCCATCGGCAAGGGGCGCTTGTCGTAGCCGTGTCCGGGCGACCTGGCAGATAGTTAGCGCAAGGGTCTCTTTACCTCTCCTCTCTTACCAACCTAAAGCAGGGTAAAAGGAACCAGGGAACTGACCTCGTGTGGGTAAGTCAACACCGATGCCACGAGCTTCGCGGCCCCGGCGGCGCCGACCTTGCCGGTCCAGTCAACAGTGTGATCCCACCAGTTCTTCTCCCTCCCGCTCAGCTGGATAAGTGCCTCGCGCCTCGCCAGCGAGCCCTTCATCTGCTCGTAGAGGATCCAGTGCAGGGTGGACTCGGCGACGCCGAGGTAGCTGGCGCTCATGCCCTTGTACAGGCCGCGGACGCCCTCGTCGCGGACAATGTCGCGGACGCATTGCCAGCTGTTCTTGTAGCGGCGCCTCGTCAGGCCGCCGCTCTGCTCGGCCACGTTCTTGTCCAGCTGCAGGCGCGTCTTGACCATCCAGATCGGGTTCGTCGCCGTGCTGGTCGTGATCCCCGCCAGCACGCCGGCGCTGAGGTGCACCCACACGGCCTCGCGGCCGCCGTTGAGGTACTGCGCGATCAGCCGCTTGCCGTTGCCGTACGTGTAGAAGTTGATGGAGCGGGCCGGGACCACGCCGACGAGGTTGGGGCCCAGGCCCTTGAACAGCGCCCTGGGCCCTTCGATCCGGTATACCGAGGCGAGGATCTGGAGCGTCTCGTTGAGGTGCTGCATCCCGGCTCGGACGGGGTTGAGGGTCGCCGTGTGGGATGCGCGGCTGGCTCGGACCTGGGCTTGGTAGAAGTCGGATTGCAGCCGCGTCTTGAGCACGTCCAGCGGCGCCGTCAGGGCTGCAGCGGTCATGCCCCCGAGTCTAGAAGCCAGTCTATGTCAGCATTCCCGACTCCGATCAAAGATAGGGAAATAGGTCCATCCCGACTCACCCTCCTGCGACAAAGTGTGCCCAGGACTTGGCAAAGGGATTGGCCTTTTCTGGTCCATCTTGGCCATCTTGAGGCGACAGTGGAACAATGTCGCCCGTCTCGCGCGACTGAACTAGAGGAAGCCGCGGGCGCGTCGTCGAGTCTCGGTCGGAGCGATGTTCTTGGGATGCCATGCTGTAGGCTATCCCCTCTGGAGCGCCGGCAGAAAGGGGTATATCGAGACCTTTTATCTTGACATTAGATTTCTTGGATTGGAGGCTGGAAGCACAATTTCTCCGATAAGATAAAAAGGATGAGCCCAGTTCTTTTAGTATGTTCATAAGCAGTATTTCCCCTTTATTACATAGGTAATGATCTAATTACTATCAAAACCGTTGTTTCCGCCACTAGCATATTTACTTCCCCTTCTTTATAGATAAGCTCCAAGGTGGTCGACTGAATCCTATAGCAACCTAATGCGTAAAGAAGATCTAGAACAAGACGGCGAATGGAACAGAGGAGGCGCCTAGGAAACGTCAAGACCGAGCGTATCCCGAACGAGATGAATGAGCGGTGGCGCGAGGTTACGCGCGACATAAACCAGGCGCCTACGCTCGACTTACACCCCCCTCCCCCCCCCCCCCTAAAAAAAAAATAAAAAAATATTTATGTTCCCTTTCCTTTACTCGCTCTGAAGAAGCTCTTGTGTCTTGGATGGCGATGTAATAGATACAATGGAATCGGACGAATCAGATGACTATGTGCCACGCAAATGCGTTCCTTCCCTTTGCGGGCTCTGTCGTTTTGAGCTAACAGAGGGCGAATTAATTGTTGCAAGTAAGTATTCAAGATGCCTACCTAGGAAACTTACTGATAGAATCAGTTACGCTTGCTGGTCTAATATCTTCTCGGTTTGCTTACGCTTATCTCGTCGATTATCTGGACGAGAGTCTGGCATTGAGGTTCAGCCCATGCATAGGTGCCTGCAGCCATCGTGATGGTCACGCTGTTGGTTGCCACTCGGGATGCCTAACATTTGCGCCATTCCATCCATCTCCACCGTTCCTTCAGGCGACGGCATACTCTTTTGATCCTTGAGCATCGGAACTATGCAGGCGGCGTAATAGGATTCGCCAGATACTTGCTGAGAGGCTGATGAGGACATGGGCCAGGTTTTGCCGATGGAGATCTGGTCGATGGTTGCAGGGCACCTTCTCCACGAGTGTGCTATAACTACCATCGGAGAGGCTTGCTTTGCTCGCCGGAGCTCAGACTGCTGTGTCGACATCTCGTCAAGCATATGGGCTCGTTATATCCTCATTGATGGTGTTCGTTACATTGTAACTTTGTCGAACGCCCGCGACGAGGGATCCGGAGATATCCAGATCTTCGATCCCAGCAAGACGCCGCTAGTTGACTCCCTTTATATCTCAGGAGACCACCTGGGCGTCAGGCAGATAGTATTTTCCCACTCTAGGGACTCTGCCAACTTTGACAATGCGAAGCCAGGAGTATAGTGGCGGACCATATCGATCTCCAAAAGGTTCCAAACAAAGTCGGATGTAAGCTGCAATGTCATCCTCCAGATAAACTTATGCTGATGTACCAGAAAAGGGGCTAAAGCTTCGGCATGTCATTGATCCTGCTGCACCCGACTCTAACATCCCCCGTATAGCTATTTCATGGTCTACCCCCATGCCGCGGTGCCAAACGCAACTTCTTCGCTTCCATAGTCTGTCTCCTACAGATACCAACCAATCGACTCTAGGCAGCCTCAGAATGGCCCCATTCATTGTCAATGATTCGATAGTCACAGGGTATTCCGCCTGCTACAGCGGCCGTCTTATATCTCTCCACGCCCACGTTGAGGGAGAGGACATGGTCTTTTATAAGGACGTCGATGCCTATCACAAGTATGCGGTATGGATTTACACGCCACTCGACTCGGGCGAGTTTATCTCGGAGGTCTGGAAACTACTTGGTAGACAATACCATGGTGTGGCCATATTGGTAAGAGCAGCGGCGCCTGCCTACACTTTGCACACCCCATTTCTAAACCGTGAGCCAGTTCAGAACCAATAGAGGCCGGGTAACCACAGTAGGGCCGCACTTATTACTATGGAGGCCTCCCACCGCGTGGACTCGCATATTCACATCTGCAAATACCCCGACTCGGGTCTATTTTAACGACTCCCCTGCCGGCATTCACCACCTGGCGACCAACCAATCTACCATCCATCACGGATTTCCCGCGCTGCCAAATCCACTGTCTCCCTATCCGAAACGAGGATCTATTGGGAATTATTTCTATACCCTTGCCTTACTCGAAAACGTTGTGGAAATTGTCCTCTGCCAGAGGGAATTTTCGACTCACTCGCAAATCACCGGGCTGCTCATCCGCTATTCCAACGGCAACCAAGCCTCCGTCGGGGAGTTCCGCCTGGACCGTGCCGGCACGACTCTGCGGGTTGACGGTTCTCGGGAGCTATGCCTGGGATTCGCACGGACAGAATTCAAGCACCCGTACCTGGCAAAGGCCGAGCTGTTCCCGCCGGCCGACAGGGCATCGTATGAGTGGCTGGATTTGCCCTGGACGGGGAGACTGGAGTGGTGGTTTTCCTTCCGACTGTGCAAGATAAACCACGCCGGTCGAGGAAGCCCGTCGCTAGTCTGAACCCCCTGCGGCATTGTCTCGCAGGCGGGCGCCACGGCCATCACAGACATTACGTTAGAAGTCCAGCTTGCACGGTCTCGATTGCGGGAGAAACTGCTCGGACTCGATAACCTAGACAGAACATGTTCACGTAGCTCCGTGCGACGGACGGGGTTTTCCATTGCTGAGCGGGCCGGAGGGGGTATATTCGCGAATGCCAGTGGATTCGAAGGGGGATGGAGTTCCGACGACGAGAGCGTGGCGCCCGGGGGCGATGGGAAATTGGCCGTTCGAGCGACGCATTGATTTGGACTTGTGGATATCCCGTGTGATGACGAAGCGTTGCAATAAACTGTTACTAGATAGGAGTAGGAGGAGCTGAGTAGGGAAGGGGGGTTGAGTCTGGGTAAGTCGTTTATCAATAATGCACGGGGAACATCGTGGACTACAATATCTTCTCGGTCAAAGCCAGGGGCCCAACAACGATGTGATGATGATGACCTTATTTCCATCCACCTGGAAGACCTATTCCGTTTTTGAAATGCATCTTTCATTGACTACCCTAACGAGGCACTTGGTTGCAACCAAATAGTACGCCCCTACTATGTGGGGGGTTCTGATTCAACCCATCCAAGCTCGGCCTGCGGCGCCTCAGGGGGCGCAGCAAGGCCTCGAGGCCAAGGACTATTTACCAAGTAGGTATGCAGAAGCGCAACGGAAACCAATACGACGCAAAAGAAATTCCACCATCATTCCAATACCGCAGTGTGCCAGCTGGCTAGAACACCACCAGCCGTTCGGACTCCTCCTCCCACTCCCCCTCACCATCTCCCTCAAATCGAACTTGCCAGCCAGTTACAACTCCAATGCAAACAGGCCCTGCGTCGGTAATCCTACCGACCGAAGAAGAAGAAGGAAAAAAAGGGGGGAATCATCAGCGCCCGTCCCTACTGTCCCTGCGGAAAGGCGCGGGCGAAGATGCGCTCGAGGGCGGCAAACTCGACCGACGCCACGGCGGCGAGGCTGAGGTTGTCAAAAGCCGGGCCGGCGGGCAGGCTGAGCTCGAGCCAGAAGTGGCCCCAGTAGCCGTCGGTGCGGCTGGCGCGCTGCAGGATGCGCGTGCGGTCGTTGAGCCCCAGCGAGTTGACGAACCGGGTCGTCTCCTCGCGGATGATGGCGATGTACCACTTTTTTGTGGTGGTTCGAGGTGGGGTCAGCAAAAAAGGAAAGAAACAAATGGGGTGGATGGTGGTGGATGGTAAAAGGAAGATCCGGGGAGGGGGGGGGGTTTATGTGAAACTCACCTCGAGAACGTCGAGCGGGATGTCCGGCTTCGGGGCCAAGGTATGGGCGTGACGCCAGCAGTCGGCGAATCGGGGCTGGTTGAAGCCGCGCTGCTCGTTCTCGCTCAGACTGACCAGGTAGGCGATGTCGTCCTTCATGGTGACGGTGAAGCCCGGGCAGAGCATGGCGGCCGTGTAGAGGCGTCTCAGGAGCTGTGGTGTCAGGACCCCCTCGTTGCGCCGGTCCTTGATGGCCAGCTGAAGCAGGCGGATGAGGTTCACGGCGGCCTTATACACGGCGTGCCGCTGGCGGATAGTGATGTGCTCGGCCATGTACCAAGGGAGCTTCTTGATGGTGCTGATCATGCACTCGAAGGGGCGCTGTGGGCATTCGCGGGAGAAAGGAGACTGCAGGGAAAGAGCAAGTCAGCAACATGGAATATTGGGGGAGGAGAGAGGAGGAATAGGGGGGAGAGCTCGGCTCACTCGCTGCGGGATCTCAACATGCTTCACCAGCATGGTCATCTCCTCCTCCGTGATGAAGCCCTTGAAGTCGTTCCAGGGCTCGCCTTCGGTTGACGGCTTGATGTTGGGCTTCGAGCCATCCCAGAAGATTCCAGCCGCAAGCGGAAAGAGATCCTTCATCAGCATGGCCTGGCTCGACAGCTCCACCTCGACAGGGCGGTCACCGAGGCGGCTAGGCTTGCCCTTGCCTGGCCCGCGCGAGTGCTTCTCGACCGCCTTCATCGCGTCGTGCAGGGTCACGAACTCGACATAGGCATCATGGGTCTTGCTGGTGACGCGCTCCATGATGATGTGGACCGGTTCCTGGTTATCATTCAGAATCATCGAGTTCCGTCCAAGGAAGGCGACAATCTCCGCGCGCTGGGTGGTAAAGGGGATCTGTACTGCTCGTTAGCACCTGATCACTTTATTCGTACATGGGAGGCGAGACGCACATTCTTGATCTTGATGACCCCGTAGTTGACTGCTTCAGCCTGAGTAGTGCTCTGGATGAACGGAAAATTGGCTGGGTTCAGAGCAACATTCAAGGTCGGACGACCCGTCGGTCCATCGGTAATGCGGTTCAGGTGGGCAGAACGCAAGACCTTGATATGGTGCGGTACTGGCTCCGCACCGTGGGGGGCCATGGCCAGCGACGGCTGGAGGGGCACCACCTGCTGCTGCTGGGCGACGTTGAAGGGGTCGGCATTGTACGGAACGAGTGCCCCGGCTGCCACGGGGCCCTGCTGGACGACCTGGCCCCCAACTGACGGTGAAGGGGCAGCCAGAAGGAACCGAGGAGGCGGCTCGCAAATGATCGGCGAGGTCAGGCGAGGCGCAAAGTTGTGCGGCTCGCTCTTCATGCCAGCTTGAGTGCCAGGCTGAATGCCACGGCCATCTGGAATATATGTCAGTGGCTTGGGCTCATCTCCTATCAAGGGACTCATACGGGGTGTGCCGCCGTGGCTCGTTCCGCCATGGCCATCATCGGCCTGAAGACCGCCATCGGGGCGGTCGTTATACCCACCTTGACCACCGTTGGTTGGTGGTTTGACGCCTCTGCCCTGTCCGTGGACAGGATCGTTCGTACCATGAGTCTGCGGGCCATTCTGGCGCTTGTAAGCCTGCCCGTAGCCGTTGCCATTGGTATAACCGCCGGGGACCGGATGCTTGGAGCGACCTTGAAAACCGGAGGTGCCACTGGTCTGAGGAGCTGACGCCTGCTGTTGAATCGGGGCCCGATGTCCAGTTGGGGCCTGCTGGTAAGCTGGGATCTGCTGGTGTCCTGGGCCCTGGATCACTTGGTGCCCGGTCTGAGGAGCATAATTCTGCTCAGTTGGGGCGAAACCAGAAGTGGTTGGGTCAAGCTTGAAGCCAGCCGGGCTGCCAGCATAAGGAGTAGCCAGAGTGGAGATGACGAGCGGCTTGATAGCGACCAAAGACACACCTCCGTCATCGCTGTCCTGACCATCATCATCATCATCATCATCATCATGGCTGGAGGAGGCGGCTCCTTCCTCATCAGGAGTCTCGATGATTGGGTTGAGAACAGCCTCACGAGAGCGATTCAGCTGGACGCCACCGTCGTGGTTATTATCACCCTCCTCGTCCGAGTGGACCAGAGGTGCTCTCCTGTGAAAGCGGACCCTCTTGCGAACCTTTGGAGCAGTTCCATTGCCGTTGGGGAGTTGGGCGCGGGCACCCTTGGACTTGGCCATTTTTATGGCTTTGAGCAAAATGCTGCCTGAAAATCGTCAGCAGTTTATTCGGGGCAGCAAACCGGAGGGCAGATAAAAGTGAAGATCCAGACGCAGAGATTGAAGGAAGATGACGGTAAGATGGGTGAATGGAATCTGTCGTTCACTCTGCTCTCAGATCCAACTGGGGCCCGTCAACCTCAGCAGGGTACCTCTCCCGCACCAAGGAGAGACTCGAAGGGATTAGACATATGTAAATGCTGGAACGCGCCCACCCAGACGCGACTTCGTGACTGGAGGTTCGGTCCTGGTGAGCAAACGGGAGGAGAGTCTCCATGTCGTTGGAGCATAAGCTCCATATGTAACCGATATGGGAGGGAGCGGGAAGGGAGAAGGAGTCGGCATGCTTGGTGAAGGCCGGTCTCGAAGAAAAAATCGGAAGGATTGCTCACTATTGAATTTCCGATGTCTGGGACCGTCTCGGTCTCTGGCGTTTTCAGGTACGTTTCCTGGAGACGGTCAGCAAGATACCCAGGCAGGAGGATGCCCGAAAAAAGGACAAAAAGAATACGAAAAGAATACGTAGGTAGAGCGGGACACGGTATCAGGTTGAGAATGGGGGTACCTGTGGGAGGAAGCAATGGACCACGAAATACCTGAAATATGGAGTGGTGACCTCGGAGGAAGAGGAAGGGGATTGGAAGTATTGTGTTGAGGTGGGGGGAGAATGGAGGAGAGAGGGAAGAGGTACAGATCTGGTATCTAGTTCATAGGTAGCTCCCGGCTGAAAGCGACCTTGGGGGGAGGAAATGGGAGTTGTGTGAAGGTGGGAGAAGAGTGGAGGGGAGAGAGGTGTGATGTAGCTCTGGTACATAGGTACTTCAAGCGCGGCTCTCGCCTTGAGTGACCTGCGAGGAAGGGGGTTGGAGTTTACCTTATGTAGAGAGTAGAATAGCTCTGGTACCTACTTCAAGGGTAGCTCTCTCTCGCCTTAGGCAACCGGGGGGTTGGAAGTTATGCGAAGGTGGGAGGAAAATGGAGGGAAGACAGGCGTGTTGTAGCTCTGGTACCTCCTTCACGGGTACTTAGGTAGGTCCCGCCCTGGGAGACTGGTTGGAAGTTGTTCTAAGAGAAGATTGGAGAGGAGAGGGGCATGGTCAAGCTCTGGTGCCTTGTGTGTATGGGTAGCTCCCACCTTCAAACGGTAGAAGAAGAATGGAGTGAAGTGGGAGGAAGTACAGCTCTGGTACAGGGTATTCAATGGGCAGCTCCCGACTTCAGGCGATAAGGGAAGAATAGAGGCGAGAGAGAAGGGCACTACTCTGTACCTATCTCATAGGTAGTTCTCGCCTTGACTTTTGAGGTACCCGCAAGGTGAGGTAGGCTCTCGACGTTCACCCCTGGAGCAAGGCCGTGCAACTGGGTCGTGGGTAAAAGTATGAAGCAAGGGTTGACCTGGTAAAAGGGGCGGGGGTAATGGATGCAGTACATGCACTACAGAGAATGAGGATGACAGACCTCTAGCTGCAACTGGCCTATGATTGACTGCGATAGATAACCGCTGGAACCTCTAGCAAGAGCAAGTAGCCAGAACCTACGAGAACCGCTAGCCAGAGCCAGAATGGCGTTCGCAGAGGGCACGGTTCGTATACGACGATCGTAGGGCGTAGTCATAGAGCGATGTATTTGTTCGTAGAGATAATGTTTGCAAAAGATGGCTTTGCTCCTCGGACACAGTGGTGTGCAACAGGGGCGACTGTTTGGACAAATCTGACCAAGAGGCTGCATATAGCAAGACAGCTCAGGGGTCAGCTCAACTCCAGATAACAGTCATAGATACAATAAGACCAGCTGCTCTGCTGAATCTCAACTGTTTGATCTAGAATGTGTTGCCACGAAATTTTTAAAAACCACCTCAGTGTTTCCGGCAGATGCCAGAAATCGAAAGGCCAGGCACTGTTGAATGGTATACTTGCTACCACCTAAGGACAGCGCATGACAAGGCTGGAGTGCCTGCTTGCTCATCCGTCAAGCACCAGTCAACTCGTGAATCACGGGCGGCAAGGTGTGTAACACTTGTCCTTGCCCTTGTGTCCTTGGTTTCTAAAAGATCCGCTGATAAACACTGGCATGTCACTGTACTCTTGTCCCTTCACGTCGAGAATTCACGCGACTTGTCCTGGTTCACACCGAAAAGAACCACTGACTGCTTGCGTATCCGTTGTGTCGTGTATGGTTCAGTACATATTGGTGCGGCCTCCCTGGAATGCCAGTCTGTATTGGGGACAAGAGTCTTGGGAGCCTTTTTGGGGGGGAGGGGGCGAGGGAACTCTTTAACCAAACAATATCCTGAAGGCAGTTTTCATACAGCCAACCCCAGGCCTATTTGAGTAAAATCTCGTGGAGAGGTTGGATTGATATCTCTTTGACGGCCCATCAAGGTATTGCAACGGCGTGGGAGGTGATAAAGGACAAAATGGCTCCAGGATCCCTTCTAGTAGTAAAGCCAGGTAGGCTCCGTTGCAAAATCCTGTATTCAGGGCACGCATGGGGGTTAAAGTCGTCCTCGACACACTCAAGAATATCAATGTAGGAAACAGCCGTTGATCCCTTAGTATTCGGGGTCATGGACTTGGTACAATATATTGGCTGGCTGGCATATCGACGAGAACCATGGGACCGAAATCTAGACCCGCAGGTAGCGAGCCATGGTCACTGGCCACAATCTGGGACGACCGAGGTTGATAGCATCGAGGAATAAAATCGAGTTTCCACCCAAACGCCAAACATGATACGACGAGTCGAGGCTTGATCGGTAGGTCGACTCTATCCACCGATTGCTTGCTGGTGTTGCGCAGATACCCTCAGTCGAACTACAAAGGGATATTAGATCAGCCGGGGGGGAAGAAGAGCATGGGAGGGAGAGCCAAGGCTTACTGGAGTCAAGAAAGATTCCGCTACGAATCTCGCTCTTGCATTTAACTTCGCGTGTGTCAGTGTTGGGAGTGCAGCGTTCGGCATATATAATAAACTCACGAATAGCTTCATTTCCGAGATCTCCTTGTCGACCTCCTCAAGGAACTGGATGAGGAAATCCACCAGCTTGTGCTTCAACATCTCTTCCGTGTGGAAGTTGGTTATCAAAAAGGAAATGTCATAGCCCTAGATGAGCTCGAGCGTCAGTAGATGCATTCGATTTGAGGGGCCTCCTCGTCGACGGACCTTAATTGGCTTCCTCCTGAGAATGAAGAACGATTCAGCTCTTTGGGTCAAAAAACGTGTAAACTTGTGTACGAGAATATGCTCAATCTCGTCGGCCTGCTTTATCTTTATGCTGATCCGGACTGAATTGACGCTCGGCTCGATGAGAACCCGCTCATTCTCGTTGCGTGCAACAGTCAAAGGCGTGAGGAGAACTTCGGGGGATGTCTGGGCCTCAATCTCGGGGACGTTGTGGCGTTCAGCAGTCTGCGAGGCAAAGTTGGAGAGGCATAGCGCAGAGGTGAGAGTGCTCCGCACTGCTTGCAGATAGGGCCGCAGCGATTGAGACTGGTGGGCGAGAGGGTCAGCGGCCACGACTTGAAGAGCTGTGGTGTTGTGTCTAGAGACTCGGACCTACCATGACTTTCCCCTCCTGAGAAATACCCGTTTTGATGAACCTCGACTTCCAGAAGTGAATGGCGGGGTCGCTGTGACGATGTCGTCGTCACTGGGGAATGAGGCTCAAGGCTGCATCCATTGGAACAGGTGGGTTGGAGGTGGGGGAGGTTGTTCAAGGCGGCATGTGGCTGATTTTGCTGACCTAATCCATTCTACCCCTGCTGGTTGTGGCTTGAGCTGCCCCTCGCAGTCGTCACCTTCTTTTGCCTTCCACAAAACCACGGTTGCCCTGTGTACCGTCAACAAACCCTACTTTTAAATACCAGACGTCTCCCTCTCCACGTCGAGGAAATTTGGGGGAACAACAGTCTTCTCAAATTTGGCCCCCCGGATTAATCCATATCTTCTTTTACAACTACCCTGCCTTGCAGGAGTGCAACAAAGATGGCAACGATAAACGGTAGGAGCCCCATCGCGTGTCGTGGGCGTCGTTTCCGAACATTTACTAACAGTCAATTTCAGTGGTCGTTGGCCATCGAGGCAAGAAGTATGACATCGAGGTCGACACTTCTTCGACGGGCGAGGTCTTCAAGTATCAATTGTTTAGTCTCACCGGCGTTGAACCCGAGCGGCAGAAGGTCGTCATCAAGGGACGCCAGCTGAAGGATGACACGGAAATGGGCAAGCTCGACCTCAAGCCCGGGCAGTCAATCATGATGCTGGGCACTCCCGGCGAAGGCGGAGGTCTGGCGCGCCCGGCGGAACAAGTGAAGTTCGTGGAGGATATGACCGAGGCAGAGGCTGCGCAGCAAGTGGGCGCGACACCGGCAGGCCTACAGAACCTTGGCAATACTTGCTATCTCAACTCGACTCTACAAGCCCTCCGCTCGATCCCCGAACTCCAGGACGCTCTGGGAAAGTACGAGTACAGGAGCATGAGCACCCTCGACCCCATCCCGCAGTTAGACTTGACGAGACAGCTCAGGGATCTCTACAAGATGATGTCCGAGACTCAAAGCGGCTTCCCGCCCCTGGCATTTCTCAACGCCCTCCGACTTGCCTTCCCACAGTTCGCAGAGCGATCGAAATCCGGACAGGGTTACGCCCAGCAAGATGCCGAAGAGGCGTGGTCCCAGATCGTCGCCCAGCTGAGACAGAAGCTGCAGCTCAAGGATAGCGAAGACAGCCCGTCCGTGTCATTCATCGACCGGTACCTGTCGGGAGAGTTCTCCTCGACTCTGGAATGTGATGAGCCAGCCGCCAAAGAACTGGGCGAGGAGCCGGTGTCGTCCAAGGAGCCGTTCCTCAAGCTCAACTGCCACATCGACGGCAATACGAATCACCTTCGCGACGGCATTCTCAATGGCCTTACGGAGAAAATTGAGAAGAAGTCGTCAGCCCTGGACCGGGACGCGATGTACACCAAGAGATCCAAGATATCTCGCCTGCCCAAGTATCTCACGGTCCACTTTGTGCGCTTCTTCTGGAGACGAGATGTCCAGAAGAAAGCCAAGATCATGCGGAAGGTCACCTTCCAGCAGGAGCTTGACGTGGTCGAGTTCTGCACCGACGAGCTGAAGAAGGCTCTCGTCCCCGTCCGAGACAAGGTCCGCGAGATCCGAAAGGACGAGGAGGACGTCGAGCGGGCGCGAAAGCGTCGCAAGAGGAACCACGAGGGTGAGCCCGGTGAGGCACCTGAATCTTCCGATAAGAAGAAGACGGCGGCCGGGAAGAAGGACGAGAAGAAGCCGGCCACATCGGCGGACGGAGACACCGAGATGGCTGAGACGTTCAAGACGGATGCCGAGTTTGAGGCGGAGAGGGACGCGGCGCTCTTGGCTGCGAAGAAGGAGCTGCACGCGCTTATCGACCCGGAACTCCAGAAGGACGAGGGTGCCAACCAGTCGGGCCTCTACGAGCTCCGCGGCGTCGTTACCCACCAGGGGTCCAGCGCAGATAGCGGCCATTACACCGCGTATGTCAAGAAGACGGCACCGACAGACCCCAAGACGGGCGTCAAGGGCGAGGAGGACGGGAAGTGGTGGTGGTTCAATGACGACAAGGTGTCCGAGGTCGATGCCGACAAGATTGATACCCTGGCCGGAGGTGGCGAGTCGCACTCTGCCTTGATTCTCCTGTACCGAGCCATCCCCCTGCCCTCAGCAGAGGGCACCATGGAGTGAAGAAACTTGTCGCATGCTCATCATGCCCGAAAGGAAAGGGCGCATTGGCCGCATGGATTTTCAAGTTCGGTTTTGTGGTTAGGGGTTAGGGGTGATGGTCGCAATAGGTCTCATGGGGAAAATAAACAGATTAGAGTAGGGTAATTCGTCTTATGACACCTGCCGGGCTACGGCGTCTTCACCTAGATTATCCAAGGCCCCTCTCCGACCCTGGGTGGGTAGTTTGCGAACTCCTTGGTCTTATGCTAGGGTCGTCTTTGGCCTCTTTGTGAGGCCTGCATCGTAAAGCGGAGAGCAGCGACTCGAGGGTACAGCCGTTGTTACCCTCACTGTCGCGACGGCGTAAAGTCGTCCAGGCTCATTGCTTCCCTCGCAAAATAGAGCCTGGCGAGCCATCCCGCGACCGAAGAGCGACTGACTACCCCCACACAACCCGTATATATAATCCTTGACTACTTCCATCATCTCGTCCGCTGCCCAGGTACCCTACCTCCCATTACCGCCGCCACCACCGCCGCCGTCCTGCTTCTCCCCCATCCTCGCGTGCAGCGTAGCAAGCTTCTTCTCCAGCTCCGTCTTCTGCGTGACCAGCGTCCGCCGCCGGGACTCGAGCATGGCGATCTTTTCCTCGGCCGTCGACTCGATTATCCTCTCCTTCTCCTGCCAAGAAGATCAGTCATGCTCGGGGATGTAATCGGAGGGACGCCACCATCGGAGGGGCAGGCAACTGTGTGTTGTGCGGTAGAGTCGTAAGAGGGAGGGAGAGAGAGTTTTCTAGAGACGGGGTTTGGGTTTCTGGCTTACGATCTTGAGCTCCCGTTGCGTCTTCAGCCCGGCCCCGTATATCGTGCCCACGATGGTCACGGCTCCGAACGCGCCTGCGTAGACCATGCCTTTCCATCTTGGGATGGAGGCGGCCATGGCTGGCTAGGCGGTGACTCCCCCGTTCGGTGGCGTGCGATGTGCGGTGTTGGTTTCGTTGGTTGGTTGTCGGTTGGCCCGATGTGACGGCCGAGATCGAGAGCTTGCTCGTGCAAATGTAAAGACGGGGGCCGGGGCTTCGGTTCAGGCACAGTGGTGGCTGCAGACTGGCTTGCGCCTCCTCTTCTGCTGGCTTCCACGGGCCACTTCGTGGGCGTTTGAGTAGTCGCTGCTGAGGGAGATTGGTCAGGCTCGAGGTGCGTCTGGTCGATCGGGTAAGCGACGGAGTCGTGACCAAGGGTTGTCGTCGAGGTTAGAGATGGTCAGAGCTGGAATCGGTTTTCTTCGGCGATCGCATCGGGAAAAATCTGGGGCCCCCGGCCGTGCCAAGGGTTGCGGCAGGGACTCTTTTAGCGCCTAGTGCCCTTAGTAGTCGCCTGCGACAATCGCCATGTCGTCATATCTGTTCGATTGTAGTGGTGCTCAACCGAATGCTTGAGATAGCTAAGTAGCTGCTGAAATCTCACGCTTGTCTCGTCGGCCGACCTGGATACAGCTCTTAAATAATATTCGCTTGTTGGAGCTCGTTTGCTATTGGTGAGCTCAAGTTTCATTATTCAAAGCTTTGGCTGCTGGTCTCTCCCCCTGCATGTAAGGGAAACTAGTGACCCTTCGGACATTGGGCGAGTGCCTATCGTCCCAATTGCCAACCTATCTTGAACAGTGACTTACAAGGAGACAGCGGAGGGATAATTGCCCCATTACGGAGGGACACTCTCAGTCGCCTTGACTCCTCCCATCTTCGCCGGGCAATCCACAGCGCCTAGCTTTCAAAAGACGTCGAGTCCCCGAGACCAATCGCCCAGGAAGCCTCCTTGAACATCCATCATGGCCACGCCCCGCGTCTACATCATCCGCCACGGAGAGACGGAGTGGTCGCTCAATGGTAGACACACCGGCTCAACGGACATCCCACTGACGGCCAACGGCGAGAGGCGGATCAAGGCCACCGGCCGGGCCCTCGTTGGCCCGGACCGGCTGATCGCGCCAAAGAAACTGGCCCATATGTAGGTCCACGCCGTTCGTTTTGTGTTGCTATACCGTCTCTTCATCTTTCATTACTTTCTACCCCGGTTGAATGTTCCTTTTATGGTTTTGGGAGATCTGAAGCTATTCATTTCTCCCCCATCGACTGTCCCTGAAATCCCCCTTTAACCCTCCACTTCAAGTTGTCAGATGCCAGCGCCCTGTAGAGTTCGTGGCCGGATAGTTGAGCAGAGTTGCATCTTACACCAGGAATAAAAATGCGCCCTAGCAAGCGAAAAGCACATACTCACCTCCACGACGGAAACAGGTACGTCTCCCCACGGAAGCGAGCCCAGAGAACATTCGAACTCTTGGGCCTGGGTACCGCGGCACCCCTGCCCTGGTCACGTCACGGCGGAGCAGACGTCGGCACCCAGGAGTGCGAGGCCGTGGTCGAGGTCACCGAGGACATCAGGGAGTGGGACTACGGCGAGTACGAGGGCGTCACGTCGGCCGAAATCGCCGAGATCCGGAAGAGGCAGGGCATCCCTGGCCGCTGGGACATCTGGAAGGATGGCTGCCCTGGGGGAGAGTGAGTCCGGATTCCAAGAGCCCCTTAGCAATCGTTGCAAACCCAACAGGCAGCCGGGACTGACAGCTGTTCGGGGTTGAAACAGGAGCCCCGCAGACGTGACCCGGCGGCTCGATCATCTGATCAAGGCGATTCGGGACAAGTGGCAAGCCTCCGCGATGGGCAAGTCGGAGGACGAGGCTTCCAAGGGAGACGTCCTGATCGTTGCTCATGGCCACATCCTCCGCGCCTTTGCGCAGCGATGGGTCGGAAAATCGCTCGAGGATGGCCCGACGTTCTTGCTCGAAGCAGGCGGCGTGGGCACGTTGAGGTAGGGATTCAATGCTTCCTTCATTCTCTTTCTTAGTCCCCCGTGCGCGGCTGACATGCCGCCAGTTACGAGCATCACAGCATCGACGAGCCCGCGATTCTCCTCGGCGGCGCCTTCGTCGTGGACATTGTTGAGAAGAAGCAGCAGGAGCTGGAGGAGTTGAAGAAGTAAGCTCTACGTTGGGGAGACATCATCTGTCGAATGCATCTAGACGACGTGCCTCGAAGCTGCTTGGCCCCTTTTGTACCTCGAATAGCCCCTATTTAGATCTGACCACGAACTCGGCTTGGAAAGATGGCCGAGATCGACACATGCTAGCTAGAAAATCTACCTACCGTCCTCTGCGCCCCCAAGTTCCTCCCCTCTTCTTCATAATCAGCCCGTAGAGAAAAAAAGATGCGATCCTCCTCCTCCCATCAAACCTTCGTCCCCCTAGCAAGAAAAACCCTCTTCGGCGCCGGCTCATGGCCCTCACCCCCACCCCCACCACCGCCCCCATCATGCCTAGGCGCCTTAATAGTCCCAATCTCCACGATCCCAAACCCGGCCCCGACCCCGGCCCCCTCAAACACCTCCCTGATCCTCCCCTCCGAGAACCCGTGCTGGTGCGCCACCGTCGCCTTTGCCTCCTCCGCCCCGGAGGGCAGGGCCCCATCGTGCGTGAGGAAGTCGACGATGAAAAGCACTCCCCCCGGCCGCAGGCGGTCGGCCAGGCGGCGCGCCGCCAGGTCCGGGTCCTCGAAGTGGTGGAAGCCCAGGCCGACGGCCGCGACGTCGAAGGAGGCGGGCGGCGCGAGGTCCGAGAGGTCCTGTGGCGGTGCGTCGTCGTCGCGTGGGGAGCAGAGGTTGCCTTGGTAGGCGGCCATTTCGGAGGGGGAGAGGCCCTGCGAGGGATTAGTGGGAGGGAAGGATGGAAGGGGAGTGGCTTGCTCTGCTTACCTGGTTTCGGGCGCGGGCGTTGTATGCTTCTACCATGCCTTTGGAGAGATCTATTCCCACGCATTGGGTTGTGTAAGGGGCCAGAGCCTGTTGGGGTGTATCGTCAGCAGATATCTCGCGAGGGGCCAACAGCCCTCCGGGTTCGAGGAAAAAAGCTGCATGAGAAATAGGGCCGGTGAGGACCAGTTTCCTTCCGTACCCTCGAGATATTCCCCGTCCCGCAAGCATAGTCGAGCAGCCTGATGGTCTTGGTCGTTCCCGCCTTGCCATCGTCGTCGTTGTCGTCATCCTCATCAATCCAGTCGGCGCCGATGAAATCCCGCTCAGCGCGGATCCTTTGCATGATATAGTCGAGGGTCTTCGCATGCTTGGTATCGTAGGTCTCCGCCTCCTTACTGATAGATATTGTCAGAGAACACCATTGTTATTTTGTTGCTTCTTCCTCGGAGAGCAATGAAAACAGAGATCCCGCATGTGGAAAGAAGTTCCCGGTAGCCTTGTATCTTACTCGAAGTATTTGTTATTCGCATGGGTAGTCGAGTCGGCCATGATTGCTATCTTGAATGATCCTGTTGCACCTTTTTTCTTTCTTTCGTTCCGTCCACGTTGGTTGAAGATAGTACTATTGTTTACGAATGGCAATCCTGATAGACAGTTCACGATGCTTGGGCCGCAAGATTCTTATACTAGCCTGACCGGTCACATTTCGGCTACTTATGACTTCGCCCAGCCAGCAGGCTTCATCCAGGCCATGGAACTTGGGTTTATTTTAGAAAATGTCGCCGAGCAACTACAGTCATCATGCCTACTTTGAGGACGTCGTGGATGGGGCTTTCACCATCATCAACCTTGGTTGGCCCTCGACCGAGGAACGGAGACAATTAAGGTAGGCCCACACAAGGTGTGAATGTAGCAAAGCATTGGTCATCATTATCATACGATCATTGGTGCTTGATTGTGTGCGGCTATCGAGGTCTCGGCGAGATTTTGATATGGTCTTTTTTAACTCCTATATGTCTCCGGATATCGCTCCCCAGTATTCCCAATCCGGCGTGTGACCTGAACCCATTTATTAAGCGGTTGGAAAGTAATTGTCAGGCAACCCGGACAATATGATACCTCGGTAAGTAGGTTCAACCTCTTACAAAAAGCATGATCAAGAAAAGAGGGAGAAGGAAAAAGAAAGGAAGGAGGAAAAGTGAGGCGAGTAAACTTTGGATGTGCAGCACCCCAGGCGAGGCATGGGCGTGGTAGCTAGTTGGGCACCGAAGAAGGATCTTCACCAGGCTGATGCGGGTTCTCCCAGCTCGCGAGCCGAATCGCGCGCCCGTGGGATGCAGGCTCGCGTCGGTCCGCAGTCACAAGGGGACGCCTTCCATGCGGCCGCAGCGGCTATTCAAGCAGGTGCGAAGACCAGCGAGGGTCATGAGTGGTTCTGGGCCGGGCTGCGACTGCAAGCTGGATGCAGCAGGACCAATGCGTGAACTTGTTGGGCCTTCCTCATGCAATCCAGAGCAAACCAGACAGCGCAAACGGCACGTCATGCGAGGCGGCACGACAAAGAATGGTATTGTCATGACTCGGCGGTGCCGTGGCGCCGAGCTGGCTCGTCGTGGACATCAATCAATCATCATCGCCGCCTAGCCGAAGCAGTCGTGGCAAGTGCTGACCTAGTGCAGATTGCAAATTTGCGGATTTGGCGAGAGGGAATCCTGGAATCCTGGAATCCTATAATCCTATAATCCTGGAATCCCGGCGGTGGGGGATCGAGAGAATTGTCGGTGAGCAGAGCCAAGGAGTGCGGGGAGGCACATGTTCGTCGCCCCAGCAGTCGACCCTGCCAGCAGCAGAGTAGCAATCAATGCACAGCCTCTCAGCCTACCTGCCTAGGCACAGATAGATATGTTTGCTTTGCTGAGAACGGGCTGACTGGGTCTTGTCGGAGCTGTCAGATCTCATATTCGAGTTCAATCAATCGCCAACAGTCCAGACTCCACTCCAGGCTATCCTTGAGGGTGCAAAAAAAGATGGCTGAAGGCGTTCCAGGCTTGTCGCTATACCCCCTGCTGATGGCTCTCGTTGGTTCGCGATGCCGTCCGTCATTGGGAGGCAGGATAGCGGATAGGACAAATTCCCCTACTAGCGCACGTAGGGGTCGCACCATAGGCGGGGGCCCCCAGGCTGATCGACTGCGGCACAAACGGGTTTTCGCCGAGGAAGAGGGCATCAACAGGCCCGAGGTTTCGGGCGAATCTACCTGTTCTGGGTTCTGCAGATGGCTCACCGCTGCTTCATGCCAGCACTTTGGGTTTGGAGCACTATCGCTAATAATGCGCTTACTACGCCCTAGCACCTAGCCTCCGTTGCATCCCTGACTGTTGGGCAGCGGCGCTGTGTGCGCGTGCGTATGCGTAATCCGGACCCGTGGCTGATCCTCGCATGAACCCAAACGCAACCGCCGATTGTTGTGCTCCCAGCGCTTGTCGCCCGGTTCCGGAGGGATCGGGGCTCGCAAGGAAAGAGAGGAGAGGGGCGGGGCCCTTAAAGTACAGTGGGCGGCCGAAACATGGCCGGCAGGATGATTTGGGTAATCCAGCTTTTTAAATTCAAATCAATCTGCATCTCCCTAAATACGAGCCACCATTGCGATGCGAGTTGGCAGGCGATGCTGACCATGCATGGCGGCCAAACTGCCTGTCTGTAAGCGTCGTATTGCAGGACCCATGGATTGCATTGCAGGGGGAAAATATCTGCGAAATCCTTTTAAGGAGCCAATCCTTTTTTCCCGTCAAGCAAACGAAGGATGGCTGATAGCTGACAAAGAGGCAAGGCTCTGACACTCGGTTTTGGGTTCGAGACTTCCTCATGGCCAGAGATCGAGCGAACCAGTGAATATCTTTATAGAGTGGGCGGGGGCGGCATCCATGAGGCAGAGGCAATGGGGCTGATTGTCGGAATTGGGGGTTTTTAGCTTTCAAGCGCAGCTTATTTAGAGCCGTCTCGGAGTCGTCTCGGTCGCGGTCGCTCTTGGAAAAAAAAACCCCGCCGCGTAGGTTTCCTTCCTCCTGCTGCCCCCGGCGCCCTGGTCCAGGCGCACTGTGTATCACTGTGTGACCAGGTCACTGTGCAAATGTGCAAATGACATGCAGAGGCGGGACCGGGAACGCCGGAAACGGGAAGGTACACCACTAGCTGATAGGTACTTGGAAAGCCCGCCACGCAACGTGGCCCAACACTCTCCCTTCCCTGTCTGTTCAACCCCTCCTTCCTCCCCCCTTCCGCTTGGCACCCTGGCTTCGCATCTACCTACGTCGTACTCAGCGATATCACTAGGTCACGGTTCCTTGTTCGAAAGCGGCAGAAGCAATCGCTCGGGGGAGCCTGTTGTAGCGGTCATTTGAGAACTACCTACGAAACCAGCCAAGACAAGTAAAGGGACCCTTGTGCGACCTGTCAACTTGGCACATGTCGGCTGCTACCATCTTTCGTGGCAGAGGCCCGGGCCTGGCCTCATCCGTCCCTTTGGTCCCAAGCCCCTGATTGGCCTAAGTGCGGTTCACTAGTGTTAGGTAGTGTGTAACGCAGTAGTGGCACTCCATAGTAGTCTGGTCGCTTTTCTCCCCTTGGGATCAGCAATGAAAAGGAAATACACATGCCCCTAGAAATGCGCTAGTCACCATGGCAAAAATTTCGCTGGGAGTGTGCGCGGGAAAAACGAGGGGGGGTCGATGACGGGAGCGGGGTGGAGTGCGTCGACTTGTGGTCATGTGAATTGACAGATAGGGGGGCGTCCAAGTTCAACGAAAACGACGGTGTCTCTCAACTTGCTCAGAACGAAGTCGTCTGCGATGTTGGCTCCTGAGATGAAGCATTGGAGTTCTAGCTTAAGGCTCCAAATTCCGCGTTTTCATCTAGACAAAAAATGCCAAGTCACCCACTCTGTCAGGCCGACACTCTGTTTATGATCTGTGCCGCTCCCATGCATCCTCCTAGCAGCTTACCAAGGCGGAAAGTGCTGCCATGTTCTCGCTATTTTGTGCTGCGTGTTGCGTGCGGCCAGCCGGGATCCACAGGCAATGTTCACAATGTGTCTGTACCAAAGAAGGTGACATTGCACACCGCCGATCAGGCAAACGATGTTCATTGCTTGCAGCGGCCGCGAGGAGGGGAAGATGGGGGCAGCATCCTAACAATCAAACGCCCCAGCAATGCAACCAGGGCCATGGGACGGGAGCGGGTTTAGTGTAGAGAATCCATGCAGCTTGGATCGCCCTTGGCGAGTCACAGCGTGAGTAAACGGAAGGGGTCTTAAAGTTGGGAACAAATGATTTTCACCAAGATCACGACTAAATTTTCCTCGATCCACTGGCCAAAACATCGGGCCCTCCGCTCTGCAGTAGTCTCCTCCTACTTCCAAGTTCCCCCCTCGTCCCCTTTACCCCTTTTCAAACCCCCGCACCCCCACGACAGTCTTCAACTCGGGAAGTATGAATTTGATTGTTTGCTCCTTTTCGGACGCTTGGTCATGGCTCAATGCACGTAGCCGTCTGGTCAATCCGGTTCCCATCTCCAAGAGCCATTGCTCCCATCCATTCGCCCATTTTAGTGGCTCGAGTACTGGAACCTCGAAAGGGGATGGGTGGTGCGGCAGGACAAACATGGATGCCAAGGGGGGGTTGCTGAAGTACGTGACGATATTGGGCATACTAGTGCTAATTCACGCCGCATCAGGGCAGACTACCACAGTACAGGCATGAAAAGGGTGGGAACAAGAAAATGCCCTAGTAACGCGTAACTTGGTTGACCTAATTTTTATCTTGGGCCCTAGTGAAGCATATTGTAACGGCCATGGACTGACTTCCTCTGGTCTTGGGAGGTTGGTGATAATATATCGCTGTGAGCACCAGTCGCCTCCGGGGCTGCCTGAGTAAAGCTATAAATAAAAAAATTGCAATCAAATCGCACCTATTTGACCATGGGGAATATTTCAAACTCTTTGCGATAGCACATATCTTCTGAAGTCTGGTATCGGCAGCCGCGCCCTGGTCTGAAAACCCCCGAACTCTACTTTGGCTCGGTGCTACTGTGGCCCCAGCGAGCGACGGGACGTTCCTTTCCCCCTGCAAGCTGCCCGGTTGCTTGAGGACAGGTACAGTACCGTTTGCTCCCGGCGGCACGGCGGGTCCAAGTAATGAACTAGCGACGCGTTCCTGAGATGGAGCTCTTATCCGTGCAGAACTGAGCGGCCGCATCCCCACCTTGGCACTCGGAGGCACCAAGGGTGTTATTGGAATCTGAAGCAACCTGGTTCGACGTCGAGGACTACGGCACACCCCGGTGTTGCTGAGCGCTATACTATAGACAGACCGTGCAGCCTTTTTCAGTCTTGTTTCTGAGCCGTCCTTACGTACATCTCAGAGTGGCCTGAGGTGAGATTGGCACGGGAATTAAATTTGGGCGGTCCGCATAAGTCTCGGCCGTAGCCTTGCCGTGATCTGCTCGCAGAAGCCTGGTTTTCTGATGTAAAGGCCTACCAACCTCCTACGGTTGGTAAATAATTTCGCGGCGTTACTGTACTTCGCAGCTGCAATGGTAAAACCGCTATCCTCTCACCTGCGTCGATTGGTTCTAGCATCAGCTGTGAAGGGGGGGTTTGTGCAGCGCCACATCAGACCACGCCCTCGTAAACCGAGACACCAAGCATGCGACTGCATGACTGGATCCTCGAGCATCGCGATAGGAGGGGTATGATTTCCGAGTTGGAACTGGAACTCGAAATGCACATCCATCAAAATCCCTGCTAAGGCGTCGCGTTATTGCGTCTCCAGAGGTCTTGTAAGTTGTAGTGGACGGAAGCGAGCTGAAAACCTGCATTCCAGGAGGGTCCTTGCCCGATGCGCCGGGAGTGTTACATGGATAGGGTGCCGTTGGATGGGTTTCGGTCACGGGTCTGGATTCCCCGCTCGCGCCTGCTCGTCGCCCGATCCGGTACGTTGTGCAGCTCTGGCGGACCACTCAAGTCCATGCCGCTTATGGGCCGCCCAGATGCTTCATTCAACTCCAAAATCGAACGCCTAGATCAAGGCATTGCTCTACGCATGTAGATGAAATTCAATATGCATGCCGTGTATTGCAACCGGTAAATGGACCGTAACCCGAGGGAGTCCAAGCTGTGCAACCTGAGAAGGCTCGCTGCTACGCATACTTGACACTAGGCAGGACGCCGGTGTCATTGAAGACGAGGGTATGCCTTCATGAATTGGCTGGCGTCCCCCAAGACCATCTCTCTCCTCCCTGGTATGCGACTTTGATTTTCCCCCCTTGGTTTTATTTCTTATTTTTTTCTTTGCTTTTTTTTTGTTCCTTGGGTCCACAACTGATTACCTAGTTGCCTACCTACCTAGGTTAGAGACAGAACGCGAGGAGGAAACAGGCAAAAAAGCCTGATGCAGCATGCAAGTGAACTCCAAGTGCCACCGGAATGCAGAAGCGCGGCCTATGAGGAGGTCGGATATGTAGCGGGATGAGCCTAAAGCGAGCGGGCGGCATGCGCAGCGAGATGCGCCCGGCCTTCCATTCCATCCAACTGCTGACCAGGGGGGGAGGAAAGGGCGTGCAAGCCCACAAGCGAGCCCCAAGACTTTTGATATCGGCGCGCCGAGACAAACCAGGCGGTGGCGTGCGGACTTCGGCATTCCTGTACGGTGTATATGTAGACATGGGCTGACACATAACGTCGTCAAGGTTCCAGAAACGGCGCAAGGGCCAAGATGACGAAAACAGCACATCTATCCCATTCGGCTGGGCAGAGGGGCACGAAGGTGTGGGAATGCAGGATCGTACCTCCTCCACGTGTGGGTGTCTCGTCCATCCGCTTCGTCCCCACCATCCATTCTGCACAGCCCCATGGATGTACCTCCATGTACCTCGCTACATTCGTTGGCAGGCAAGGTACTCGAGCCTTTCCGCTCCGGGATGTTGGGGACTCGATTCCAGCGGATAGGCACAGCGCCGGTCGATTGGAGAGCAATGGTTAGGGAAGCTACTCTTGGTGTGAGCTAAATGAGCTTAGCTCGTGACCACCAACGAGCCGCTGAAAAACGAAAAGAACCACCCCCCAGCAGCATCCGCATACCTGGGATCCTCTTCGGAGGGGTGTGTGGGTACAGAAGAAAACAAGGAATCCGGTGTTTTCAACACCCCTACGGATTAATAAATCAATCAATCCTAAAGGCATGCCATGCCGCAAGCGCTCATCCCGGCAGCAGGCAGTCACGGGCCGCCCGCGGACCAGAAACCCCAAAGAAAAAACAAGTCGGTACCTACAGGGAGCGGGACTGCGGGCTGAGTGGCGGAACGCCAAGCAACTCCAGGCTTGGCGACTGGCCATCTCCCGTTGGTTACCATGTCGGGCCGTGTGCGATTACACTAGTAGAGAGACCTTTGCAAAAAGTTAAAGGAAAGACCGTCCTCGACTTTTGGTGCTGGAGAGTGGATTGGACCTGAGTCACTGGACGGAGAGCTACGGAGCACTCCGTAGTAGGTACCCAGGTACCTAACCTCCGAACCTTAGGTTCTTCCACTTATGCCCTCATTGGGTCATGGCTGGAATTCCTGCTGCAGGGAGCCAAGGATTAACACTGCGGGCTCCTCCTCAGCTCACATCCAACTTGACAAACCCAAGCCAAACCACCCAAACCAATGGAAGGTAGTAGAAAAGGGCCGTCCCCCCGCCCCAACAACCGTGGGCCGGCGTGTCCGGATTGCTCCAGTGACGAACCTTGTCTGTGAGAAACGGAGCCATCGAGCTCTGCATCCGTCCGCCCCTCGCTTGTTCCCCTTACCTTGCATTGCCGCTGGGTTCATCCGCAACCTGGGGACCCTGTGAGCCAATGGTTGGCCGCCATCCCGCGTTCGCCGTTCCCAGAAGATAGGCACGGGATCAAAAAAGCAATTCCGTTAGGCCACGGCAGGTCTGTGTCCTGGGAACTTGGGTGCCATGTACACGCTACGTACACCGAATCCCCATTCTTTTCTGGCCATTCCCGAGTCGCAGGCCATGTCCGATCCAAGCCGATCAGCTGGCGTGCTAGTCAACCGCTCCCCTGGGATCCCCACGATTTGGACTAAGATGGCCTACAACCTGAACCCTAGTGCGCCTGAATACGGACCGCCCTTACTAAATTTCGCCTAGTCGGACAAACACCTTCTCCCCCAAAATCCGACGACGAAACTGGGCGCACCCATGCCGTCCGCTTTCTGCCTGTATCGGCCGCTGCAACGCTGTTTGGGGAATTGATGGCGGTCTGGCAGTTTGAAAATGGGAAACTTTGCCTTTGCTCTTCAGCGATCTCCAAGAAGCGGAAGCGGGAGGGAGGAGGTGATCACGGCACGCTGAATCGTGAATACCTACTACACTAGCTGGAGAGGTCAGTGCCCCTTTGTCTCTTGACTTTCTTCCCTTTTCCCTTTCCTCGTCTCCCCTCTCTCATATATGCGTATGCTTTTACCCCTTCTGCAAGCTAGCAGGCATATACCTGCCAGCGAACCTTGATTGCGAAGCCAGGAAAAGAACGCAGCGGAACGGAAGTCAGATCCACGGCCCTGGTCATGCGGTGATTGCCCGCTGCAACCTCACCACAGATAGCAGCCTTTCGCGGGCTTCACGTTTCCTTCAAATCAATCACGCGTATAAGCCCGCAGTACCGGGCCCGTTCTTCAGGCGAGGGAGGGTATGGAGGGCAATATATTACCAGACATGCGCCATTCGTGATTGGATCATGGATGTTTTGAAGAATCATCATCATCACCACCACCACCCACACCACCACGAAGCTCCTTTTCACTTTTGTCGGAGGATGCCCGCATACATGCAATCGCGCCTCCATAATGCCTCCTCGTACAGAAATCTGCAAAGTTTAGTGGTCTAGTTACCTGTATGTAGGTACTCTACGGTTAAGAGGCGCCGTGGTTTTCTCTTTATTACCTACATACCTATTTATTTCTACGTCCATCCATACACCGAGACTCCGCGATGAAATCCCGGCAGCAGCCTCTCTCACGGCCCGCAAATTTACTTTCAAGGTAGGTATAGAAGATACATGCCTAAGTCGGTCACACCTGAAATGGAAGACCTCTGCTGAATGAAGCTCAGGTCCTTCCCTATTTAGCCTGCTTCCTTGATTCGCCGTCGACAATGGATGACATGAGCATCAATAGGGTTGGTAGGGTGGCGTGCGTTCTACCGAGAGCGGTTCGCCCAAGGCCGCTGACGTTGCTACTTATTGAGATTGGGGGGCGGGAAGGCGGTACAAGTTCACAAAGTACCCCTCCTTCATTACATCCGTACTGGCCAGTGGGAGGAAGGGGCTTCCTGTCCGGGTGGTCGCCGAGAAATTCGCCCCGGAAACACCTGTCTCGTACATTTGCGCTGCTGGCGGGACGGTCCACGCCTGCTACCTTGGCTTCCACCTTGCCGGTCCTATTACGTTTGTGACCCAGGCTTTGATTTACATGTGGCCCGAACCCAACCTTGAAATAGGGTATATATCACTACGTATCACTACGAAGACGTACATAGCGGAGGTAGGTTTGGAGTCAGTTTAGGTACGACATCGCTGCGCCCGTTCCATTGCACCGACCCCACAACCGGCGGGGTTAGCCCGACGTACCATTGAAGACTGCATCCAGAATGCATTAAAAAGGTCTGGCTGGCCGCTCTCCTGCGCTGCGAGCCCCCAAGCCTTTCAGACAAACGGACCGCTCGCGGTGTAGGCCGTGAAACAGTGGACGACCAGGACTCCATGAGCGCGCCGGAATCCCAAGATCCCCAATCCAACATCCAATATCCAACCCCAGCCACCACGATACTCCAGAGCCCGTGTACCGCGCTGCTTTAATTTATGTCTTCTACTCAAAACGGCGTCAAAGGGCTCACCGACGCCGACAACCACGCCCTCGACGCACATACAGAACCGAATAACTAAATAACCACACGGCTTGCTCCGTCCGTGGGGGGAATACCCTGGGAGGATCCTGGGAAGCAGTCAGCTCCATCACCACACCCTTGTCCATTTATCTGCCAACGGACGCCCGCACCCCCCAATCCGTCCTTCTCGCAGGGGCCCTTCGACAAATAAAGGTCAAACACAACTTGGGCCTCGAGTCCCTGCGGCCATTCCTGCGGCCACCAAAGCGCTGCCGCTGTGGTGGGTTTTACAGAGCGACGGGCGATTAGGCGCGGCCACTAAAACCCCCCTGTGCAGTTGTCACCCCCCGGGCCTGATTGGAGGTGCAAACCGCGTGCATCCGTAAAAAGGCAATCGCAGCGGTCCGCGCCCCGCCAAGGCCTTGCACTGTACTGGACCGTACGTACTGTACGTACATGTACATTTTCCCAGGTACTTATATATACACAAGGGCAGCGCACCTAAACATCACTGGTGCGCCACCTCAATCCACCCACCCCATCTCACACCCTTCTAGGCCACACGCCTCATTCCGACCTAGGTAGGTACCTCCCAACGTCTGAGCTTGACTGCTTTCGCCTTGCACTTTCTGAGCACATTCGATCTCACACAATTCCAGACTTTCCAAGCCGAGAGGAGATAAGTCCCCGCACACTCGCCCTGCGCACCGCTTCTCCTCCGTTCATTCCTCCTCCGTTCATTCCTTACCTCGCACAGCTTGTCTTCAAGTCCTGGGCGAAAGTAAGGTACAGTACATACCTCAACTGCGGTCGGTTGGGGCACTATCGAGCGGAGTTTGGGGGCCGGCCAGCATCGCTGCAACACGACCAAAACAGCGCCGCAAACGACGGACAGTCTGGCACGAAGCCAAGGCTACTTCGACTGGGTAAGCTACCTTGTTACCCTTCCTTCTTCTGTCGACGGATATCAGGGGGCTGCCGAAGCACGAGGCGACCAACACACTCCGTTCCTTGCCGCCCGCCATCGTTGGCTGGATATAATAACTGACTGGTTGCTCGTCTCATCCCGTATTAGAGCCAACACCGCCGCACGGCCCTTCCTTAGGCCCACGCCTGATATAGCCAGATTTGTCGCATGCAATATCTGGACCAGCCGCACCGCTACCTACTCGATCATTCAGGATTGTCACCGCTCAAAGCAAGAGGTATGTTGGGTGCAATCCCGCCCTTTTTCCCCCTTCTACTTTCTTTTCTTTCCATTCCTTTTGATGGGGCAGGCTGGAAGGGAGGCTGCATGCGTATGTATGTGTGTGTGTGTGTGTGGGTGGGTGTGTGGGTGTGTTGTTGTATGCGTGTCTTGTCTGTTGGCTTGGTTGAAAGATGGTGGGATGGAAGTGGAAAAGCATTGGAATGCCCATCCTTCCACCTCTTCTGTGCTCATGTGCCTGGGGTCATAATCCAGGCATGCACTTCTTTCCCCTTTCCCCCAGGTGTTCTGGTCATTCTGGTCATCAAACCTCCTCAAAACCCCTTGGATATGTTTTATTCCCTCTGTTGGCGGCGGCAAAACCAGAGGATTGCTGCTGAGGAAGGCGGGCTGCACCGCCCGCTTCGTCTGGTTGATTGGGCTTCTGGGTCCTTTTTTTCTTTTTCCCTTTGGAATCCTGGGCTCACACCCCCCCACTTCTGACCCCCCGGACCCCTGCACGCTTTTAACCTCCACTTCCAGACCAGTTTGGTCTTGAACTTTCCTTTGCTACCCATACTGGAGCTAACTTGGGACCCAGGCCAGCAGAACAAAGGGTACTCCCGCCCATTGCACCAGAGAGTTTTAAAAAAAAGGCAGAGGGTACAAAAAAAAAAGGGAAAAGGCTCGCTGCCCGTCCCGGCTTGCAGCTACATCATTATCCCGCCTTTCCATTCCGTTGTCCGCTGTGGCCAACCCTGCCTCACCCCTCACCCTCACAAAACTCTCGGCTCCTTTTCACACACACACATCAGGGCCATCATTGCCCAAATCCCCTACATTCCTCTCTTTCAGACCTAGCTTTCCCTCCCGAGGTTCTGGAACCTGCAAGAATTAGTCGTCGAAGTTTCGTCGCCCCTCTCAAAAGGCTTGCGCATTCCAGCCAGTGCTCCCGCTCGAGTCGACTGGCCACCCGCGCTCCCGCCTCGAAGATCCTTGGTTGGCCATTGGGAAACAAAGTCTCCTTCCGCTCTACCGCTGATTTCCGCTGGGCCGCAGCAGTCACCAGCCGAGCCGCCCACCTTTGGCTCGTCAAACTCACCTGGGACAACTCCAGCATCTTGTCGCGCAATTACCTCCATCATTGGCTTGGCGCGACTGTTATGCGGGTTTCGCCATTAGCTTGAGCTCTGTATCAATAAGGCGCGAGCTCTTCTCAAGCTCCTCCCAGCCACGGCGGTACTCCACCCTCAGGAAGGATACACTACTGCCCGTGCGGGACATCGCGGAACCTTGGTCATCCTGGCGCCAGTCACAGTCCAGTACCGTAGCATGGCAGACGACCCGAGAGGGGGAAGTGGAATTCCACCGCGCGATAATCCCGCGAATCCTCAATACCCCGGCCCACCAGGCGAGGAAGACGAAAGAATGTCAAGTTACCACCTACCTCCACCACCCATGGCTCCAGCCGTGACCTTGCCCTCGATCCAGGATGCGCCGCCGTCTTACGCGGCTGGGCGTGGTTACGGCCCTCCCCCAGATCCAAGGGCAGCGGCGCACTACTCTGCCTCACCTACCAATGCAAATGGATATCCCGCTCCCCAGGGTCCCCCTTCCTATCCATATCATCCTGACCAGCGGCCTTACGCGGACTATTATGCTGCCCAAGGAAGGCCTGTCTCGTATCCGCCTCCGGACCCTTACGGACCACACTACGGGGGTTACAGGCAACCCCCCGGCCCGGCATATGGTCAATACCCAGGAGATTACTCCCGGGTCGGCGCGCAACAACCACCTCCGCAGCAACAGGCTGCGCCGAGACAGAGGACATCGATAGCCTGCAGATATTGCAGGAAACGAAAGGTAGGGGAAACAAGGTCGCTTTTCGAGAGAACCGCCCATGCTAACCGTTTGAAATAATCATAGATTCGGTGCAGCGGCTACCAGAACACCACGAATGGGAAATGCACAAACTGCGACAAGCTCAGGATCGACTGCGTTTTTCAGCCAGTCTCGTCGAATTCGTCTACAGCTTTCATTCCCGTGTCAGCTGTTCCGGGGGGAGTACCCCCAGGAACGCCGCTCTATGGGGCTTATGGGCAACCCCTGCAGCCGGCCGGTACCGCTTCTGCGCCGGCGCCATACGCACCTTCTCCTTCGGATTATCAGCATCCGCTGGCATCGCCGGCAAGTCAGTACCCGCCTCATGCCGATGAAAGGGGCGATCCAGGTCGCCGCCGGCACCGAGGTCCTGAGGACGACCCTGGACTGCGGCTGCCGCCACCGAACCCATTTACGCCAGACGATGACCCCCGACGACGGTCTCCGGCATCAGGCCAGAACACGAGCACTCCGCCGACTGCCTATCACCAGTACCAGCACCCCAGTGGCTACGAGGTCGACAGAACGCCCACTCCGCGTAGTAATAGCAGCGGCCATCCGCCGCCCCAATCAGGACCGGGGAGCTCGAATATCATGAGCCTGGGGAACCTAGTGGACCAGGGCCCACCTCCCCAGAGGCACGGCGACTCGGGCCACGACATTGATCAGAGCATGTTGGGAAAGCTGAACCGGCGGACATAGTCGTCCGTGCTCGGGCGGGGAGAGACGAAGCAAGTAACAAACAGCACTGGAGCGAAGAAAACTTGGGGAAGCCTCGAGTTAGGCAACATGCTATGTTGAAAATAATCAAAGGGGCAAAGACGGTGTCTGCTGCTGGCCAGCATTCGTCCAAACCCGCCTCGCTCGACTCTCTCTAGCTTTCTCTTTCCTCCTCCGCTCCGTATCTCTTCCGCTCAAGAGCGAATCACGTTCCGACCTATGCCCGAAATCCTTGTGTATTCCGGATTCTTTTGGCGCCGGGAAGATGGAGTTCGGCGGAGGGTTTCGTTCGACCTCGAACCAACGACGAGCAACGTATAAGCCAGGCAGCTCTGTTGGGGGAGTTCTTTTGGAGAGGAGTCAAAGATGGTATTTTGCTTTGGAATTGTATTTACTGCTTGGTTGGATTCAGGGTTCGAGATTTTAGACACGGCACTCTCTGTTTGGCAACAAACTGGCCGCGGCGACAATGTTGTTGCAACTTTCGCTCTATCGCGTTTTCTCTTCTTCCTCCTTCTTCTTTTGTCTTTCTTTTTTGGGTGCCTATTTTCAGGCGCACGGCAATGGGTGGTGGTATTGTTTCGGAAAGAATGGAATCGCCTCACGGCAGACCTGTATTATCCTGCTCTTGCTGCGTTCCTCTGTATCTGGCTGGCTTCATTGACTTGGTATGTTCTCCTGCAAGATGGCGTCGGCAACTCGCCCATGTCTCTCTGTATCTGGGGTCTTCTCTCGGTCGGGTAAACGGGGCTTGCCTGCTCGGCTGGTTCTGCAGGGAGTCTTTCGCGTGCGCGTTGCAAAAATGCAGTAATACGGTGGTGTTTTTTTGACTGCGAGATGGTTCGGACAAGAGGCAAGGACGAGCTCGACAGCAGAGGTTAATAGCGATTTTTGTTGAAGCGGCTTGATCCATCAATCAAATCAAATCAAATCAAACAATGTTAACCGTATTGACCTTGCGTATGGAAACACTTGCGTATGGAAACACGCATCGTGCGCTGAGGAAGCACGAGGGCATCTAGGGAGCAATCGGATGGACATGATTGATATGATTCAATGTATTGCATTCGCCAGGCAAACAGTCAGAGGTCAGAAATTCCGTTGTGCGGAGAAGATGCTTGGAGCGGGCCCGGTCTCCGTGGTTGCTTGCCCTCCCTGCCTACTACCTACTACCTCCTCCCTCCCTCCCTCCGCGCCTGGGCAATCAAAAGCGCTTTGTTTTGTCTCTTTTGCGTCTCAACTGGAATGCAACGGGTTTCCGTGGACCCTTTGGACCCTTCAAACCCGAACACATGTTTCTCCTTGTCTTTCTTTTTTCAAATATGCAAGACATTTAATAATCTCATGCTGTGGAAGGGGCCGCACCTAGCGGCTGATCTTCCTCCTCACAAAGTGCTCCCCAGGGCGAACCTTGGGGGGCTAGGTCACCTACCCACTCGCCATGCCCTATTCTCCTCTCTGGGAGTACCGGTAGCTTTACTCTAGTGGCAAGGGAGGGAGAGACACACCCCCCTTTCAGCTCTCGGCAAAAAAAAGAAGTTGACACAACTTTCCACCATGTGGTAAGGGACAGCCTAGCATGTGTGTGCGAAAATCGTGGATTTCAGCGCGTTTTTGCAACAGCGAATATCCTTGCTGCGAGACTCGGGCAATCAAACTACGCGCCTTAGGGGGGTTTCGTGAAGGGGGAGAGGAGAGACTAAGGTTGCTACTGCTTGGGCCACCCGTCCAAACTCCCTCCCTGTTTTCCCACACACACATCCCCCCAGGACCAACCGTCGTTTGTCTACCCCTCTTCCGCTCCCGCTTCATTGCAACTCCATCTCCTCCGGCTTGCCCTTGCCCCTCTGTTTCCGTATCTTATTATATGGCGCAAGCAAAGAACAGGGATCGATGACCGTGGAAGGAACAGAGGACAACCGATGCTTCAGGTTTTCTCTGCTCCGAGGCCCCCCGGGTACAGACACAGGGGGGCAAAAATACCCAATATTCCCTGGGATGGGGGGTGTGTATCGCTGGCCGCGAAGCCTGGCGTCGATGGATAAACCGCACTCCTGTCCAGAATCCATCCAGTAAGGTCTCGAGGACAGTCCGATAGGAAGCCGCGATGACGAGCAGCTGGGGCGTTAGGCAGAGACGATCAGATCAGGCCCCTACTCGTGGCTGTCTGACCGCAGCGCGGAGCGGAACTCTCACGCGGGAACGCTTCGGCGGGATACAACTCGGAAGCCTGGATATGCCTGCTAGGGACGGCTCTGAATATCAACCTAGGCTACCATTCGGACCTTCCCACACCCACCGCAGTACATGCGCTGCAAGTCGGCGCGGCCCCATCCAAGCGTAGTATCTTGGCACAGAACAGTGTCCCCGTCGCTCTCGAGAATATTTCCACTCCTCTCCTTCCCTCCTACCACCCCCCCCCCCCAACACGCCCTTGAATCCACCCTCAGTTTCCCCCTTTTTCTGCTGGTTGCCTTTTAGTGAGGTATTACCCGACAGATTCAAAAGCAGCCAATATCACTGGTCGACTTCCCCCCTTATCTCGGACTTGGCGGCGTGCCTTTGCACCCTTGGTACATGACAGGCGGAGAAGGGGGTCCCCCGGGCATGTCGCCACAATGCGCGGCCACTGCGGCTTCGCTGCAAGTCACCGTCACAAGAACCCATATCTGCCGGTACACGCCGGTTGGGGGCGGCCTGGGAAACCTTCTTGACCACCGCTCGACCGGCACTTGCCTTGAATCGGGGGGGCGGTGGCGCGTTGCTTGAACCCTCCCCCCGACATCCCATCTCAGTTTGGGTTTCCCTCCTTCGAGGTTCCAACGCCCGCCTCAGAGAACCCCCATCCAGCTTCGAATCGCCTGGCCTCTTCTGACTCACCGAGTCAAGTCGAGCTTAGAGTTCAGGCTATGTTCTCTAGCGTCCTCGTCCGTTCCCGAAAAACTTATTTTTTCCACACCCCCCCCCCCCCCCCCTCCTCCTGCCAACCCTTTTTCTTTGAGCCCTCGAGAAAAGTCGGTGAGGAGAGGGGACCCGAGGCCTTACTTCTCCTAACTCCAGTTTTCCATGGGGGGCGTGGACAATCTCCTTTTTGCGTGAGCTAAGGCAACTGAGTTCCGGGGAACGCCGAGACGGCGACAGCTGGGAATAGACACTGTGGACAACCAGTGCGGATGAGGCCTCCTCGGCACGTGGGGGCTACACAGTAGGAGTTTCCTCTCAAGTTTGCTTGACCCCGACTCCCCCCCCCCCTCTTTTAGCCGTGCTATACTGCTGGCAACGTCTTTGTCAGGCCTCTCTGTCGAGTCCAAATTCCGTTCAGAGTTGGCGCGAGCCGAAGGCGCTGGTGATGGCGACGGAAGCAGCGATTTCGCTCCACAGACGGGAGCACACCGTCTTTGAGCCATTTTCCCTCCCTAATTGGCAACCGATTTCCCCTGGGGGATTTCTGCCCCCAAGCAGGGCACGGCTCGATTCCTTCCCAGGCGGTCCAGTCCGTCAGCCGAGACCGACTGATGGATCAGCTGGGCAGGCGCCCCCGGCGGTCTCGGACCGCACGCATAGCTGTTTGGGTTGGTTCCGTTGGGAACTATCCTACCCCCTTAAACCCACTTTATCCACTTCTGCAGGCATCGAAGATCCTTGGAAGGTTCCCGCGACTGGCCATGTGGCGTCCGGTGTTTGCCAAGCCGGCGCTATGTGGTGAAGGGGAAATAACAAAAAAAAAAAAAAAGGAAAGGGGATGATGCCATTTTGAATCCTCAGGGGAAAAAAAGGAAGACGTCTAAATACGTTGTCGGGTCCGAAGAAGAAAAAAACATGTGGTGGAAACAAAAGAAAAGATGAGAAATCGGACTTGATCTGAACTGCACAACATCCCAAACCGGCGAGTGCCGGTTTTAGGGATTGCGGTTGAGGTCGGGCGACGAATCTGGAGAAGGTGGCCCCCTTTTCCACATGACGTCTTGATGAATCCGTGCAATAGGTATAGTTAAGGTTGGTTAACGCTGGGAAGTATCGAGCTGGGTCGTGGAGCCCCAAGTTGAGCAAATACTTTCCGTGTCAGATCTCATTCTCACCAGGAGCTTCATCGATATTTTTCTCGCTGGCGTTGTTGGATTGCATTCGTTCAAATGTCTCAAGGGGATTTTTGTTCTTATCAGAGGGTTGTTAATGTCATGTCGTTGCGAAAGGGGCAAATTTCATAGTGTTACCCTGGCAACAGGTAGAGCAGCTCTACACGTTGCTTCTGCTCTACCCGCGTACCTTGGGATATCTCCGGTTGGGATTCCCCAACGGAGGAAAGAAGACTTACTCTCATAATTTAACCATTTACAAACGAAATCTCAGAGAGAGAGAATGCCCGAGTTCCAATAGGATGGAGACTATCTATTGGTTGTCCTTACATTACCTGTGCTCTTTCTTGTATTACGTACGTTGAATCCCCCAGCTACCCCCCACCCATCACTAACATCTTAGTCGAACAGGGTTCTAGAGACCCTCAACCTAATCTAGGCGACTCATGAGGCAGCTCAAATCCACCGGACGAGAGATCGCTTGGCCATGCGTCAATCTGCAACTCACTCGGCGGTCTACAATGCGGCTGGGAAGAGTTTTCGTCTCACTCCGCGCGATGAGGAGTACATGACGTGACACAACCGCTCGAGCCACCGCCACACATATAGACACCGGGTTGACAGAGAGAAACGTCTGGAATGGTCCTTAGACGAGAGCATAAGCAAGAAATTACACTCACCAGATGTCCATCTACGTCTTGGTACCCTCAACCCAGCTCAAAACTCATTCTCAAGACTTTCTCGGGAGTCAGCGGCATTATGACCATGACAGGTTCAAGTCTATTGAAGGAAAAAGAGCTCACCTGCGTTACGGGCTAGAGAAGAGTCTAAAAAAGAGCCGTATCGGCACCTCCGATAAGTCCTGTTTTCTCTCAGCTTGTGGCCGCTAACCCCAGAGTGGATATGGACGACCAGGGTTAGGAGGTCGGTTGCCAGGGGGAACCGCGCCCGAGCTTGGCGGTGTTGCGAGGAGACCTTGCGGATATAAGAACTCTGGCTTTTTGGAATCTCTAAGTCCCGAAAAGGTCGGTAGGTTCGCCTCTCGGTGAACGCTGCAGCTGCGCTGCGGTGGTGCACCGAGGACGGACGTGGTTGCCTTTCACTGGGGGGCTTGTTGTTGTATATCGGGGAAGATCCACAGTTTTACGGAGTTAACTGGTCCTTAGTTCGCTCAGGGGCTGACCCAATGGAATTCAAAGCTTTTGTGGCGTTGGAAATGGGGCATATCTTGTTCGGAAATGCCTGCTCCCAGCTTCTCCTATGAGCCTGTGGGGTGGCTTTCAGACGGGTCTTGGCTTTTCGTCGTTCAGCACTATTGGAAGAGACGGGATCGATGAAGATCTCTGACTGACGGTTGTTCGAGGGATCCTTGATATCTGTCTGTCGGTAGGTCCTGGGGAAAACGGGGGTTGCGTGGGTGCTATTGCCCTTTTTGTCAACAGGCCCTGAAGCCAGTTGCACTGGTCTTGTCCGCCTTCTCTTTCGATTATCCGAAGCCAAGTGACGAGGGGATAAACCAAGGTCGCATTGAGTCACCTGCTGCTACTTCTTCAGATATCTCTACTGACCACCGGCGTCGTTATTGTCGCCGCCGCCGTCCTAGTACATCCTGCTCCTCTACAAAGGTAAACCCAACCCCAACCGCCATCTCACTGAGGCGAAGGATATTGAGCAGTTGGTTGCCGTTGGTCAGGATAGTGGCGAGTAGGCTTGCCATATGCCGCATGTCACCAACATTTCCAAGGAGGGAATAGCACCCTTGCTTTGTGGGGTATAACCAATTACCTAGGTAGTTGCCAGACCCCCCTGATATCCATTGCCATGTCCCCTTCTCAGGACCCTGTCACTCACAAAGGCCAGAGCGACTCACCTCACCTCCCAGAGCCACCATCCACCCATACAGGCCTCACGAATGATGAACCAAGAGCCCTCACACCCCCCCACCCCCCTCCTCACGAAACACAAACCCCCGGCCGCCACCCCCCGACCCCTCCGCCCTCTCCAGAACAAAGCACCTCTCCGCCACGACCCCCCTCCACCCCTCCCCCATCCGCCTCGCCACCGCGCCCCCGCTGCCCACGTTGAGCGTCACCCTCTGCCAGGGCACCGGGACGTCCCCGCCGCCCACGCCGGCGCCCCTGTTGCGGACGAGGAAGGCAAAGGTGCGAGCCGCTGCGTCGCGGTCGGGGTCGGCGTCTGCGGCTGCGGCTGCAGGAAGGTCGTCGTCGTCGTCGTCGTCGTCGTCGCAGCCGGTGGGTCGGAGTACCGTCTGCGTGTGCAGCGTCAGGGTCCGGAGGGCGGGGAAGTGGCACAGGGCTTGGAGGAAGCGCTGCCGCTGCTGCTGGTTGTGGTTGTCGTCGTCAAAGTCCATATCAAGCTCTAGCGCAGTCAGACGGTCCAGCGCGCCGGCCAGTACCTCGAGGTCGGGGGCCGGGAGCGTGGGGCAGCGGCGGTCGTCGTCTGCGAAGCCGACGTGGTCGCGCAGCGAGAGGCGGCGCAGCGACGCGGCGTGGCGGAGGAGGGCCGAGGGAGGGAAGAGCGAGACGTGGCAGGTTAGGCGCAGGTCGACGAGGGCGCGGATGTGCGTTGATACAAGGGCGGCGAGGTCTAGGGTTGCGGAGAGGCGGTGGTCGGGGGGACCTGGGTGGGGGAGGTGGTGGTGGTGGGCGCTGAAGTCGGAGGCGTGGAGGGTGTGGAGGGCTGCGAGGGAGGTGGGGGGCACGGAGGTTAGGAAGCTGTGGATCGGGACGGAGAGGAGGGCCAGGGAGCGGATGCGGGAGAAGTCCCAGTGCGTTGCGACTGAGTGTTTGTCGTGGTTCCAGTCATAGGATTCGAGAACGAGGTCCTTGAGTGGTGGGAGGCGCTCTGAACCGGTGAAGGAGAAGTGCGTCCCTTGGCCCTTGTCCCGGTAATGGAGGGTTTCGAGATGTGGCGAGGCTAGGAGGAGGTCCTTCAACGAGTGGAGGCGGGTGGTCAGGGGTGGCATGGGATGGGCGAGTTCTAGCGACACCAAGAGCTCACTGGGGATGGACTTGAGGTAAAAGTCTTGATACTTCTCCTTGGAGCTGAGGAGGGGTAGACCCTCTACGAGGAGCCTGATCCCCTTGCCCTGAATCTGATCTTGGCCCAGGACATCCGACGGCAGCCAGAATGGGCCGTCGCTGAAGCCTGAAGGGATGTAACGCCATCTAACGGGCGGGCCGGGAGGGCTCAGCATCAGAAGGCGGGGGCGGGTGGCCATTCTTCTCACCTGACTGACTGTACCCGCTGCGCCCGTTCCAATATCCTCCTGATCCCGCCAGGATCAAGATTGCTTCTCGCGACTACATGGTGGGTGTAGGCGTAGATGTGCTGGAAGGCATCGGGATACTCCCTCTCTGCGTCGTCTGCAACGATCCGTTCGTTGAGGACCAATTCCCGGTAGGCGATCGGCGTTGCGATGGCGTTCAATCGCCTACATACGCACCGGACGAGTGCTGCCGACCTCGAGTCTATCTCGTCGAGCTGCTTCGGTTGGCAACACGGCCAAAACTGTTTCTGGGAAGGGGGCGTACCTGCTCAACTATAAGGGCCAGGAGCTCCGGACAAAGGTCATTCAAGGACCACTTGGGTTTTGGGTTCCTGATACTCGAGCGGACCGCCATCTCGGAGCAGCTGGGTGTAAGGAAAGAGGTTGTCTTGGTACGAAGCTAACTTCACCAGGCGGCATCTGTGGGAAGGCGTCGAGGGCTACCGTAAAACAGGCAGAAGACAGAACTCTGGATCTACCCAGGACTTCCATCGCGGTGTTGAGGGTCGTTGAGATATGGGAGTAGTCTTCTATAACGTGACATGGGGGCGGAGGAAGCGGAAGCCAAGAGGCGCGGAACCTACACCACAGCAGTTCACCACAGGCTAGGCTGTTTACGGAGAAAGTAACGAGGTCAGGGATGCATCTAGCGATCCCGTCCACAGGCAAACGAACCCGTGGTGGAGATCGCAAGGGAAGCAGATCATCACAGGGAAAGGGTACTGGTGCACTACTGTGGTATATGTGGGGAGAGCAGCATATATGTATGCCGGACGCATGGGTTGAAGGCCGGGATTGGATGTATGTTGACGATGTAAGATGCCCAGAGGCTAGGTCGGGAAGTTTACTGTGTACTGCATAGTAGAGGTGGATTCGGATGGGGCTGCTGACTATAAGGCTAACCTTAGTTCGTGAAATCTGTGGGGGTCGTCGTCAACAATCGGATCGGAGGGAAGAGAGGACGTTCGGTTAGGCATCTAATTCGGCCTCGTCCCATGTCTGCTCGTACCATTTACCAAAGAACGGCCCCCAAGCTCTGGCTCGCAAGTTTCGCCCGAACGAGCAAGCGGGTCGGGGCCAACCCATCAAAATCATCCGCCGGAGAGGAGATCCACTTGAGCCGAAAGCTTGGAGCGATAACGTGTCGAGGTGGGATTTGGGGCGGCCAATCGCAATTGCCCTTTTCACATCATCGGATTCTGTTCTTTTTTCCTCCCCGTTCATTCGATACGGATGTATTCCGCACACCGCTAAAGGATCGTATTCCCGTGGTCGGTTCATGGGACACATTGGTGAGTGTCACTCAGTACCTTGGACGAGAAGTCTGGGAGAATGAAAAACAGGCAACGAAGTTGCTCGATGGGTTACGCGCCGTTACCCAGGTCCCTGGAGATCTACTTTACCGCGTAGCCTAGAACAAGCAGGGTGTAATCATGCACACGTGTAGTGTACATAAGATCGACATCGGAAATATAAATGAATGGCAGCATGGCAAGTCGTCCTTGGCGCCGGGATTGTGACGAGTGAACCACGGATAGTGCCGCCTGGCTAATGTGGGCTTGCGATTGATAAGGAAATGCTTGCGAGTGCGAGCAAACGACAGCTAGGGTAATGCATTGGATTCGGTCATTCCTCAAACTTTGCAATAAAGGCCCCAGCAACCCATTCTTCCTTGCTGGAGCCTTGTAAAGATAGCAGGCTAGGAATGGTGCAAGGGCCAGAGCATTCTTGGTGTGGGGCTGATCTACATCCTGTACGGATAATCTCCAAGCGATTCCGCCGCCCAGCCATTCGGACGTCAAGGTCTTCGTCGTACAATCCTCCTTAGCATTCAATTCGTCGTCGAAATCGACGCTGGAGGTGTCAAGGGAACGACAGATCCCGTGAAATGCAATTTCTTCCTTATCTTTTGCAGCGGTTACTCGGGGAGGGTCATGGTCGCCGTCAGTTCCATCATTGTTGACTGATACTGTGTGCGGGCCCTGCAAGTGGTTCGGGCCGCCGTCCACACAGCCGCATGCCGTTGTCTTCGCCGTCTACTAACCGGACAACACCACGCAACCTTTGCCGGGCAGACGATACTGCAGCTTCTGAGGACAGCACGTTGCACACCTGAATAAAACAGCCCTTAAGCCTGTTTGCTGGCATTTCCTTGCAAGATTGCTTATTCAGGTCAAAACACCACACGCAAATAGCGAATAGGCTGATAGGAGGAGAAACGAATGTAGCTAGCGTATTGGTACCCTATATAGGCTTAGCGCCACTAGGCGAAATAAATCTTTTATTAACCACTTCTCATCCCAAGAAAAACGAAGGTGATATATCTTTAGCTGATCCGGTCTTATCTTTCAACTTCTGGTCTTCCTTCTAGAGATAGACACCCATTTGACCACATATGTCAACGCTCTCGTAACTGTAGTCCATCGAAAAGGTCTCGGGGATGATGCGGTAGTAGAAGTTGGCGTCGTGGTTTGTCTTGGCAAGGCCAATCCATTCGTTCATGGGATATTGCCCGGCGGCGCTGCCCCAGTCCATCGCGCCGACAAGCGCCATCTCCTGCATATGGGTGTAGGATAGCTTTGATGGGATGCGGGTCGTGAACGAGATCTTGAAGCCGGGGCTGTTGACCCTCTTGCCGAGTCCATCCGTTGGGTAGGATGAGGAGCTGATGACAGGCAGATGCAGCACTGTGGTGTTGTCGGCGAACAGGTTGACCACGACGTCCTGTGCTGGGGTAGTGCTGGTGCCGTTCGAGACCCGAAGACCTGTGATTTGCACACGAGTCACAAGATCGGGGTCAGCCGTGTCGCGCTTGGCAAGCGCGGCCAAGGCAGGGTCAAAGGGTAGGCTGGTGATGTCGTCAAAGGAGAGGCCGCTGCTGGCGTCGATAGCGTCGTGCAGCCAGTCCCTGTACTCAGCATGGATGCCTGTGTCTCCACCATTGTCTATGTCCCGCCTGATTGGGAGGGTCACGTCCACGGCGCCTGAGAAATAGCCAGCTGCCACATAGACAAGACCCAAGCCAGCCTGGATGATATAAGCGAGGTCGCCGCAGTCCTGGCCGTGGACATAGCTGCAGACAGACCTAGTGAGGCCAGTCCCCAGCGTAATAAAGATAACGCTAAACAAGTATATGCGAAAGTCAGCAGGCATGTGTGTGTAGAGAGTGAGGCTACAAGGCTAATGACAACTTTTGTGTAGCTTAAAAACAAGCGAAAACAGAAAGAGAGAGGGACAGACAGTTGTCACTCACGTCAGTTGGCTTGTCCCAATGGTGTGGAGGACGCGATGAAACGAAGCGCACGTTGCGCGCCTCTCTAGAGTCTCCAGAACAAGATTGGCCTCGTTGACGCTGCGAATGTCAATGACATCTGTAACAACATCGGTGGTAGGGGCTGTTGACCCCTTGTGGCTGGCAGCCAGCATCAGGATAACGGGGTTAAAGAACCTCATCTTGTAGTGCTCCTGTCTGGTGTGGTTTGGTAAGGTTAAACAAGTAAAGACAGCCGGATGAAGACGAAAATCAGTCGAGAGAATTTGGGGAAATCATGAGGTATTTATGCTCAGAATTAGGTATCTTTTCTATTTCAATCCTTTTCACCAACATATCCTCATTTGCTATATAGCGAAGCGTACCGAAAATGGAAGAAGCGAAGGAGGAAAATACAGCGAGGTGTGCTTGAATACCCATAATCCCACCCTGCTCCAACACTTCTTCGGTAATGCAAGGACGCCTCTTTCTGGCCGTAATCGAACCATATTTACATGGATCCTAGGGTGGAGGGTCAAGCGCTGGAGATATCCAGGTACAACTGCTTACCCAAAATAGTTGAGACATCTATGATACTCTATCTGTCAAAGTCACCCGTCTTTCAATCTTCCCACCTCTCTTACCTTTCTAATATGATGCTATCCACAAATCTATATCTGCATAATCCGCTATCTATCAGATGAGACCAAACAACATCAAAATGCGCTATAAGAGCTTGCAAGAAGCCATCACCATCACACCCAAGAGACGAATATTACCATGGGATGGGAGACTGATTTTTCAGTCTTACACGTATTTTAACCAATCAGTCGCCTTTGCTTGGGAAGAGGCACTTGGTCACCGTGCTGAATAACGGATGATTATCTGCAAGGGACTGGAAAAAAGAATTTATTTTTATTTTTTGCGTACTTGAACCAATGAACCTTGGCTCCTCCTGTGCTTGTCGACGCCAACGACTGCATTTTCACTTTATCTCTCAGCAACGCGCCTGGTGTGGTTGCTATAGGGATGGGGTTGGTCCTGCCGAGCCGGGGACGGATGTATGCATGGTAGTCCCGAGTCGCCCTCCAGTTCAATATTGTAGTGTTGAGTGGGGCGTGGATTCTCTTATCAGATCATCTGATAACTTTAAAATCATCCAGTCAAGCTCGGGGAGCCATACTATTGGTTAAATTTGTCTAACAAAATCTGGGCCCCTGTAACGCACCGTAGCCACCCCCCGCTTCTAAATCCCCTCGCCGTGAGGGTCCGGAGTCAGGCCCTCATCAAGCCCTTCGCTAGTGACTGTAATAAAAGTTGATTGCCAAGGAGCAGACAAGACGGCTCAGGTAAGGGATAACGGAGTTGATTTCATGAGCTGAAGCACCAGGTTAAGTAATGGTATTCACAGATGCAGGCTCGCAGTGCAATATCCTTCTTCATTGCCTTGGACTTTCCAGTTGAGGGCTTCCACATATTGCATGAGCCCAGTGATGTGACCTCCAACAGCTGCTAACTTGTTCACTGCCTCCAAAACATTCTCAAAACAATTCCCCAGCGTAATGCATCGCCCCAATCCAAAGGATAGTCAAACCTGTCTGGACGATGTAGGCTAGATCACCGCATTTGGAGCAGTCCGCCCATTTGCACCAGGACCAGACAAAGAACGAAGTAATTATAGTCAGCAGAAGAAGCCTAGGGTAGGACACACACAATGTTAGACTTCTAGGTCAAGACAGGGGAATCAAGAGGGGGTTTGGGATGATGGTGATCTTTTCCATACTCGTTCTGTTTGCGAACAACAGCTCTGACGAAGCTGTTCTTCAGGGTATCAGCCGATGCTGCAGGGGCAGTGGCGGTCTCTGATGCTTTTTCGCTGCCATATTGCAGTGGCGTTGCAGCAACAGCCATGCTTTTCTCGCCAGGCGGCATTTTTGGATTGGAATCGGAAGGTCTCTCCATGCGGTACAATGGATGAGAAGAGATGAGGGAGAAACTTGGAGCAGGGTGCCTTACCTATATCAACAATTACTGGTGCGTGGAGGCAACCGGCGTCGAGCCCCACCAGTTACGGTTCCATTACTACTGCAACCCCCTCCGAGCGGGAGGCGGGGGGCATATAAGCTGAGTCCGGCGCAACCCAGGACCAACTGCCACAGCAGTTATCGACCGGCCCTAGTTGTCTCCGCAATGCCACCGACACGACACAACCGGGAGAATCGATTGCGCGGGACGCTCCGCACCACGCCTACTGACACCCAACACCACGGAAAGGTCTGCTGCTTCGTCCTACCACTCTTTCCAGCAGCATTTAGTGTTCCCACTGGAGGCGTGTCCTATGGAAGTTACCTTTAGGATCTCGGTAAGTAGCAGTGGTGTGTGCATAGACCATGTATACATGTGAAGGGCACCTGGAGAGGAATCAGAGCTGGTCTCTACAGCATGAAGGTACATGGTGGTAAGGTTTGAAGAGGCTGTCTCTCATATCCCGAGACAAAGTAGAAACTAACCAAAATGAAGACAATTCCACGGGAGAGTGCGGAGCATGTCCTAATATCCCCCTCCATTCCTTAACCCCCCCTCACCTTTGCTTCGTTACTATGAATTAGTCTCGAGGACGACGTCACTTATCTCTCCATCTTGTCTTTGCCTTTACCTCCCCCCTGGCCCGCCCATTCGTAAGGCCCATCGCCGTGGCAAAGGATGTATATTAAATGGAGAAACTATGATCATCGGTCTATCTAAGTACCGAACTCTCGGTGCGTCAAAAAACAGGGGCAGGTCATAATAAGACTCGGGGAAACACACCATGCATGCTTACACAAGTAGTTTCTGTACGAACATCTCAAGGAGAAATAAATTGGTAATACCGACAACAGATAAGAACGCCTGGATCTCCCTCTCAGTCATTACGATACGGCTCGCCGAGCCCATACCGCGGGGGTGGGGGCGGCGGAGGACCGGCATTCGTGCCCTGGCCCTCCCATCATCTCTCCCTGCGGAGGAACGGTCCACACCCACTCCATCCTCAGTACCGGTACACCGGATCCTTCTTCGGGTTCGCCCTGTACGCATCCTCAGCCCCGTACAGATCCTCCTCCTCCTGCGGGCTCGCCCGGCTACCGCTGGCCCCACCGTCCAGGCCGCCGCTGCCGCTGCCGCTGCCGCCGAAGCCCGGGTGAAATGGCTCGAACGCGAGGCGCGGCGGGTCTCCACCACCACCGCTGCCGCCGCCCGACGCACCTCCTGCTGCCCGCTGTTGTTGTCCTGCCAGCGAAGACGACGACGACGATGCGGCGGCGGCCTTGCCGCGCGACGGTTCCTGGACCGGATCCCTGAAGGGGTCGGCCCCGTCATCGTCGTCGTCGTCATCGTCGTGGTAGTCATCCGGGTCACGCCGCGACTTCCCGTTGGCGGCGGCGCGGGAGGAGGAGGACGACGACGCGCCCGGCGCGCCCCATGGCTCCGTCTCCTTGCCCTTGCCGGTGCCGGTGCCGGTCCGTGCGGGCCTGCGGTGGTGGTGGTCCGACTCCGGCGGATCCATGTTCGACTCCCGCGACGAGGGGCCCGGGCCCTGCCCGCCGGTCATATGATGCCGGCCGGCGTCGCGGAGTTGTTCGCTGGGGTTCGGGCTCGGGTTGTTGGACCGCTCGTTGAGGCCGAGCTGCTTCTTCGCGTTGAGGACGGCGCGCTGATGCTGATTCAGCGCTCGTTGCAGCTGCTCGTTGGTGTCGATCAGGCTCTCCATCGTGTCGTTGTCCGGGGCCGGGTCCGTCACCGCCATGTAGCTCTGTATGCTGGCCGAGGCGGTGTGGCACCTCCCGGAGAACTCCTGGAGCAGGTCGTTTGAGAGCACGTCGGCCGGGGGTGTGCCCGCCACCATCTGCTCCAGCAGCTTGGCCGACGTCCGCGCCTCCTCCAGCCTGTTCGCCAGGTCGGAGGGGCTGGGCAACGTTCTCCTGTGGGTGGAGTGGCTCCGCGCGAAGTAATTCTGTTGAGGGTTGAGGGCAGGCGTTTGCATTTGCGGAGCGAGTGGTGCTGGCCATGTCTGGGTGGTTGGTCCTCGTGTCAGCGATGCAACCGGCAGTGACCCCTTTGGGGCTTCGGTTAAACCTACCCCGTAGTTCTTATATGTCTTCGCCTTCTCCTTCTTCCACATCTCGATCATGGGGCCGAGCCCCTCGTCGTAGCCTTTGGTGGTCTCGAATGTCTCCAGCGTCTCCAAGAGGATCTGGTGGACGCTTGGGTCCCGGCAGCCCCTCATCAGCTCCTTCGTAACATCCACAAACTTCTTGTCCAGATTCCTCGTAAAGGTCGGGCCGGGGTTGTCGGACAGGATTCGTATCAGCATGATGGCATTGTACTGGTATGACGGCTTCGACCAATAGTCTCGGTGTAGGAGCTTTCGGATGACCCGGGCGCATTCGGCCGCGGCGGCAGGCGACGACTCGGCCGACTCGACAATGGGAGGGAGATACGTGATCTCGTCGCCCTAAGGAAAGGTTGCGGATGGTTAGCGCTGTGGCCTTTCCTTTCTTCTGACGCAGCCTGTCGCAGGGGTATCGTCTCACTCACCGTAGAACTACCATCTGCTTCACAGAACAGCCTCTGTTTGCGCGTAGTGGGTCAGCTTGGCGGCACGATTCCAGGGGACGGGTCGCGGTTGATTGTAGGTCAGCCTTACAACAAAACGACCGGCAGTCGCTTCCGGGGTTTGGGATGAGGAGTCTCCCGAGGCGTCGTCCGAATCAGCTGCCTGGGCTGTGAAATAAACCGTTAGTCGGGGATGCCGGGGCGGTTGCAGCATTTGGGGGCGTTGCTTACGGGCTGTCGGCCGCCGCTTGATGCTTCCCAGCATCTTGTTCATACTAAGGCCCTTCATGGCTTTCATCCTTCCCGCCTCTTGCAGATCGCAGATCCCAGGGGTTAGGAAGGTACTTGGACGAAAGAGGGTATGCAGCGGGGAATGAAGGCTTTTGGTTGTACGGATTAGAAGAAGGCCAATCAAGACTGAGACAGTTGGGGAGAAAGGGAGTTAAAACCACGCGGGGACACCTGCTGGCAAGAAGAATATCAAAACACGCTCGTTTGGCGTGGAAGTTGCAGTGGTTGCCTGTGCGGCGGTCTACGTTACTCCCACTTCCCGTTGCACAATGTAACTACTGTGGTACATGCTGGATAATTCGCAAGGGGCAAGGGTTCTACAAGAGGGCGCCTGAGGCGAAACGCCCATTCAGATACTTACCAGGGTCCATTGATTCTTCACTGGCGGGGAAACGGCTTCCAAGCGCGTTTCTGCACCAGCTGTCTCCACCCAATGGGTCGAGCCGGGTGGAGCCGGCTGCCTGAATAGGTACGTGCCTACGGCGAGGCCCTCCTTTTAAGATCGTCATCGTTCCAGCATTACTCTGCACGACGCCAAACCAAGGCTGTTCTCGAGATTAGATCCAGCTCGCGGAAAGCGGCTGAGCACTTACCCTCTCTCAATGGAAAGATCTGGTAATAGTCCAGCCAACTGCGGCTTAAGCTGCACAACTGGCCCTACGAAATAGTGTTTGTGCAGACCCTGGTCTACAATCCAGCCCTATATCAGTGCCCTACTTTCCCCCCTCATGTGCCGTCCTCAATAGACAGATAATAAGGCTGGAACGAAGAAACTAAGTTGCGGGAAGCAAACATATACAAGGCTGAGGGGCTCCCAAAGAGCCGTTCTCCCGAGCTGCTGCAGAGGGACAAAATACAACGAAGCCTCTATCCTGGATCTTCGACTTTCAGATGCCGGCCCGCAATACTCTGAATAACGATGGTGGCACTCGTCCTTGAGTCACAAGAAGCCAATAACAAATCTCCCTCGATAAGGTGGGGGACTTTTAGGGCACACCTCACCAATCAAGAACCTAATCTTCAAGGAAACGTGTCGTTCTGGTGGTGTTGCGAGCCCCGTTAGAGGGTGAGATGTGCTATTCTCTGCCCAGGCCAAGTTGCCTGGAAGCGACCCGGCTAGGCAGGAAGTCCCCACCGCCTGGTGGAAATGCCGAGTCTTGAAAGACAAGTTGTGTTGCACAGCCTCCCCCGCGTCTCCAGATTCCACGCAAGCCCGTCCGCCACGATGCCAACGCGGCGGCATCGGCAGGACTTCGGTGTCGATGTCGAGGCGACGAACTCAAGTGGCTGTCAATGGACGCACGCGCACTTTTTGCTACCCTTGGCAGCACTCATGACGCACCTGGGGATGGGCTCCCTCCTAAAAATTGATGTAATGTGTGTGGAGGTAGGTAGTTAGGGCTTCATGTTCTTTGGTTTTCGTGGTGGCTATGGATGGTACATGACACGGCCCTGTCTTGGGACGTCTATCAGGTGGTAGGATAAGGCAACCCAATCAGACCCGGGTCGTATATATATGAATTCATGGCTTTAAGGTTGGGCATGCTCGCCATGCCCACCGGGTTATTCATTCCCGTGGCCGCCGTCCAAGTCGATGCGTGCATCACCGAGCCCAAGACACTATTCTTCCTCATCGTCAGATGCGTGGCCGGTTTCCTCAACAATAAGGTTTCCTCCTCTGCCCATCTTCTCCGCGATGGTCACGTCCTTACTCGGCTCAAACGTTTCCCGGGGCATGACCGAGGCGATGCGGAAGGCATATTTGTGCTCGTAGTCGTCCGGCTTAGTCGCCTTCTCCTCGTCGGATGGCCCCTGGAGGAGATCGTAGCACTCGACAAATGCGTAGAGCTCCTCAAATGTCGCCTCCTTGCCGAATTTGCGGATCACCCGCCCGGCGCCGGATGATTCCGGCATGTTGAGTGCCAACCTCACGGCATCCTTGGCTGCAGCGTCTGGCTCGGGCTTAATGGTCGTTGCGCGCCATCTGCGCCACTGCTGACGATCCCGCTCCAGGCGCTCCGCCGCCTCTGTCTCCTCCTGCGCCTTTCTCTCCGCAGCGGCAGCGGCAGCCTCGGCTTCCCGCTTTAGTCTTGCCCGTTCTCGATCCCGCGCTAGGGATCTTTCGTACGCCGAATCCTGTTCGGTGCGCAGGTTCCGTGCCAGCTGCTGCGCCGCACGCTCGGAACGCGCACCCTCCAGATCAGGAGCGTATTTCTCCATTGCTGCCTGGATGCCGGCCAGGTAGGTTGAGGGGCTCATGGGCCCAGCCAGTCGCTTGATGATGCCCATGCGCGTGCTTCCTTCCTTTGGCGTTGCACAAATGAGGACTGAGAAGGGGAACTTGGTGCAGCTGTACTCGAGTGAGACCTGGTAGGCCTCGGAATCCAAGACATTCCCACCCCACAGGATGATATTGTTCGCCGGGTCATTGACGAAATCCACTACTTCTGGGGAGAGTAGCGTCTCCCTTGTGAAAGATTCCGTGTCATCGTGCTCTGGGGACATCAATATAAGAAGAAGGAATTTGAGGTCCTTCTTCGCAGCATCGATGGCCTGGGCATGTCCCCCGTCGAAGAAGGGCAAATTGTGTTCACCGTACTCATCCTCAAATTCGCGCTTGAATCTCGCCGCACTGTCCCTTGGCATCAGCATCCTCCGGCCATTTGTGTTCTTCCACCCTTTCTGCATTGTTCTCGTGACTGTTCGTGGCCGGATCGCTCGGGGAAGGAAGGAGAGGATGTAAAAGACGGAGCGGAACAAGGTTGCCACAACCCTATAGCCCATTTGAAATGGAGCGAACAACAGGTTGACCAGGAAGGGCGGTCGATATATTGTAGGAGGCTGCGGTACGACTCTTGGGGCAAGCTCTGTTCCCTGTCTCCGAGCAGCCCGCGGGGTGTGGGCGGAGTCGAGGAGGCTTTCGTGCAGGTTCTCGTGCCTTGCAGCAGTTTGAGGAACTGCATTCTGGGCAGCCATAGCTTCGGCAACTGGATCAGGGCCCTCGCCGTCGAAGAACTTGGCAATGGCTATCTGTGACAGGGGATCAGTCAGTGGGCCAGTCCTGCTTGCTTGTCCGGGGCCTGGGAGGCGGTTGACCTACCTGAACATTCCATTGCGACCTCTCCAGAAGAGGTACCGCATCTTTTATCTCTTGGCTTGTAACATCGGTATACTGCTGTAGGGCTTCCTGTTGGCTTGAGGATAGTTGGCTGAGGTCAAACCCAGCACCGGCATCGCTCGCCATGTTGCCTTCAATACCGACCGGCGTTCAATTAACGAATGATAGGACAAGATGGGGAATCAAAACCCCATTGAAAGGCAAATGCCACTTCTCTGGCGTCAGGTGGGTAACCAGTTGTCAAGGTTCTTCGTCAAGGTTCAACCGCCACAGGCAAGGGACAGAATTCGGTAGGGCAAGCTAGTGCTCTTCAAGGATGGTAGGCTAACTCCTTCGATCTTAAAGAGAGACTGTCCAAAGCTGAGTGGTTTATAGGCTGTTGAATATCTCAGTGCCTCGATACTCTGCTTCAAATGTGTGTTGGGAAGCTGAAGGTATTGGCGACTCTCGAAGAGCTTAGCTGTCCAAGACGGCGCAATGATGAGATCAGCATGCATAAGTGCATAACTTGCATATAATCATGCATGATACACTGGATAATTCAATCATGACCCCTCAGCCTGAAGAGAAGCCAAGCCTGGCCTGTGCGGTTGTGGGTTGGAGTCGCGGCTATCGATCCACACCGAGGCTATCGTCGCGCTAAATGGAAGTGGTTAGCGCTGGTTAGTGGTGCAGCTTGCCTTGTCGCGCCTTGCCCATGGCATTCTTTGAACCTCCGTCCCCACATAACTCATTCCAAGCCGATCTCTACCACCTAACCAAAGTTCGTTCCGCCGGCGCAGCAATTATCCCAATCCACGACCAATTCTCTCTTGCACCCTAGCCTCCCGGCATCTGCTGGTATCGGCGTGCATTTCTTCGTTTTACGGCTATCCAACCCAGTCCCTCTCTAATAGACCATGAGAGAACATGTGCAAGACAAGTATGTCTTCATTCCCCTCCCCCACGAGGCCCCTCCATGCCCACCTTCAAGCTCTCACTTCCCACCTCCCACCTCTCTTGCCTATTTACCTTTGCGAGCCAAATCAGAAATGTTCCCCTCGGCGACACATAATACCAAATCAAATTCATTATCTTCTCTTCTGACACTAACTTCGGGATCTCCAGGCGTCCCAGAGTCGGTCACGGAGTTCTGATCTTGAATTGACGCGCCGCTCCCATCACACATGGCCACTACACGGAACAACGCAAACAATATGCAGTCCCAGGTTGGGTCTCCGAGACCCAAGGGTCGTGGTGAGTCCTTATCTCTATTTTCATCCATTGCAACTGCCCGAGTCAAGTCCTGACTGACTATGCTCCCAATTCAGAAAATAAAGACACCCTTTGTCGAAACGTCGTTATCTACGGCCATTGTCGATATGAAGACCAAGGCTGCGCATTCAATCACGATCAGAACAAGAATAACTCCAACCAAACAGACCTGTAAGTAATTGATTTGTGATTTCCCTGTTAATCTCTCCACGAGCCCTGTCGGCCAGGACTGCGCCTGCCCACCTTTGCCCTCGCCGGATAGACCGCCATTGCCAGGTAGACGGCCTTCTTGCCGACGGGGCTTCTAATTGCGAAACACACGACCTTCCACACACGGATCTGGGAACCAGGACTTGGACATTATATCTGGAGAGGAGCGAGTGTCTGGGAATTGAAGATGAAGCCCAGGTTGGGCGCCTGAGCTTGATTAGGTCGAGGCATCAATGTGGCACACCATGGACACTCCTACCATCTTGCAAGTCATTGGGACAGGACCTGTCCAGCCATAAATGGCATGTCCTATGCTTGGAACATTGTATGCGGAATATTTCCCTGGCTGGTTTCCTTGTGACTCGAGGACCGCCCTTGGTCAAATGGGGGCTTGTCTGCAGCAGAGCTTTCCATGTACTCCTGGCAAGAATGTCCGCCGATGACTATCGGACTATCGGCATATCGGCATGCCTCGGGATCGCGGGTGAAAGATCAATGCCGACACTTGCGGATCCACAAGTCATGTCAACAACCATGGGCAGTCACAGCAGCAGGAGCAACCGGCCAATCAACCTTGGAGCATCTGGGGTGAAACCGACACTTGGGGCATTCTCGGCATGTCAAAGGCAAGACCAAAATAGCAGGAACAAGCGGTCAATAGACCTCCAGGCATCTAAGAGCATGCTGCCTCTGCTGCCTCCACCTGGCGTCTACAAGTCATGTCAACAACACAACAACGACACAGCAGGAGCAGGCGGCCAATCGTCTGTGGGACATCTCAGAGGATGCTACCCACGGCGACGCGAGGTTTTCCGGCTATAATCGAGGAGAGCCATAAATCCCCGCTCCATCCAACTTTCTGGGGAATGAAACTCCATATTACAACAACAAAAACTGGGCGTCGTCAATCGAGGCAGCTCTGAGCTTGGCCAGTGCTCTCGAGCTCAACGCTCATTGCTCACAGGCAAAGCAACTTTAAGTCATCTTTATCATTCCACCTCGAAACTCAGATTTCTCTCGACCCTTTCCTCATCCATCGAGCTTCCTTTACCAGCAACTCAAGCAACTACAGGCAAGGCTCAGCTTCGCCGGTTCGCCTCGCCCTCAGTCATCAGCAGGAGAGTTTTCCTCCGCCCTCCGCCCTCCAAATCGCCTCGACAATAGAGCTTCTGGGGTCATTCCACTCGAGTATTACCGGAGCACCTCAAGATGGCCTCGGCCCAGGGCCCTCCTGGAACTGGAGAGCTTACTATCCCCTCCTTGCAGCCCTCACCGACTCTTCAGCCGACCTCGGAGAATCGGGACGATGAGAGTGTCTCGGGAGACAGCTGGGAAACCGCGCGCACGTCGCTCTCCCCATCCCAACTGTCATCGGGGGGAGCCACCGATGGTCCCGGCACTGAGTCTGGGGAGGGGGCGAGCCGTGTCTCAGAAGACAGCTGGGAAACTGCGCGAACATCGCTCTCCGAGGAGATGAACCGTATCCCACCAGCGACGTCGAACGGGGCGAGGGATGAGCCCGTTGACCCTGCGACCTGCGTTGCCGGGACACCGACGCGTCCAGAGTCGCGAACCGATATCTGGGGTGCAGGCCCTGCCACTGAGAAGTCTCCCACGGATCTTGATTTGCCAGAACCTGCTTAGGAAGTAGTTCAGGCCCGATCTCGAGGACATCCTTCCCACCCAAAACCAGCGCCGACGGAGGCCATTCCTCCTGCCAGCAAACATTTCCGCTGTGCCAGCCACGGCAAAGAACCAGCAAGAAAAGGCCCTTTCAGCAAGGCTGGAAAACAGGAGCATCTATCTCAGCCATCCTCGCCTGCCTCTCATGTGAGGCCTGGCCTCTCGTATGCCAAGGCTCTGGCACCATCTCAGACCTCAATGCCTTCCGGACCAGCTAATATCACGGGACTCTCCAAGAAAGCCACATCGGAAGATACGGCCCAGCCACAATCCTAAGGTCGCACAGGGGGGTTTCCTGCCTTTCGATCGGCCTCAAGCCAGTATTCACCCTTTGCGACGGGCTCCAAACTTGGTCTTGACTCAAGCAACACCCCGTTCATTCCCGGTGGCACTGTAATCGAGCCGTCTCCGGGTCTACAAACCGCGCAGCCCCGGACCCAGAACATGCTCAGCCAGAGTCTACGACGCTGGCCTGTCAAGGCCGATTCACGCCCTCCGCCGCCGCCGGATGCCCATTTCCATAGCCACCCACGGCGACCCAGATACCACCCTTTTTCTCCCTGGATACCTCGCCACCCCACTGGCCGCCAATTCCCGGCCGCTGATTTTAACCAGGCGTCTAACAGTTCTGACCATTTGTCTCACAGTTCCGGCAAGAAGGCTTTGAATGTCGATTCCCCGGCCTTCACGCCCTCCACTCAGCAGCAGACAGCTAAGAAATCGACGTTTTCGTCCCAGGCCGCCAGTGCCGCCCCCTTTACCCCCAGAGGGGCCAGTGGTAAGTCGAACCAGAACCAGTACGAGACGGCGATGTGTTGCTGATAGCTGGCATGCTAGCGACTCCATCTTTGCAACAAAATGTTGAGGCTCCGGTGTTCAATCCAGCGACGGTCAGGGAGTTCACGCCGCAGAACTACGACCTAGCCAACTCGGTATGTGCCGGCCCTGGCCCGGACGAGTCCTAGACCTGGAGGATATTAACATTGTGTTAGGCATCTCAGAATAGCGCCGCGCAGGACACCACTTATTCAACTGATCACTTTACCCTGGGTTCTATGGCCCAAGCACTTCCCTCGACGCCGTACAATCCCTACGCGGGGGAGCACAGCGGCATTGCTAATGCGGGCGCTACGTATTTCCAGTCTCACGGCGGGTTCGGCACGCCGCTGCAACCTGTAAGTTTGTTTTCTCTCTCGACGCCCCAGCCGGCCCCTTGGTCGCCACAGACTAAGTCTTTGACAGCCCCAATACCACCTCTATGCGCCTATCGGGCCTTACCGCGAGGAACTACTGCCTTACCAGAGAGCCGCCAGCGAGTTTTTCCTCTCGGACACGCTTCGTGAAGAGTTGCAGAAGAAAGCCCACGCGACTCTCCAAGTGATGCCTAGTGAGTCCCTCGCTTACTTGAACAGCTGGATTATCTTTCTTACCAACCGGCCTAGACACCGCCCTGCCACAACTGGACAGATACCACTCGTTGTTTCCCCTGGACACCAGCAACCGCAAGAACACGACTATATTCGGCTTCCCAAGCTGGGTGTTCAAAGCCACATCCAGCAAAAACGGCAAATACTACTGCCTGAGGAGGATCGAAGGTTTGTGACAAGTGCTCACCGTCGCCCATGCTTACTATTTGCTGATTCCCACTGGATTAAAGGTTATAGGTTGACCAGTGAGCATGCGATCCATGCTGCGAAGGAGTGGAAGACGATCGTAAACGCGAACATCGTCCGGTTCCACGAGGCGTTCACCAGCAGGGAGTTCGGTGACAGCTCACTCATATTCTGCCACGACTACCATCCCTTGTCGAAGACGCTCGCCGAGCACCACTTCCCCGCGGTGCCGGCCAATCGGTATCGTACCGCGCCGACAGCCGTCCCCGAGAACGTTCTCTGGGGATACATCTGTCAGATCGCGAATGCGCTTAGATCGATCCACTCGGCCAAATTAGCTGCCCGATGTGTCGAGCTCAGCAAGATAATCCTGACGGACAAGAACCGCATCCGGTTGGCCGCGTGCTCCATCTTGGATGTGGTGCAGTACGAGCCAAACCCCCGGCCTATTGCGGAATTTCAGCAGGAAGACTTTGTCCAATTTGGAAAGGTTATGCTCTCTCTGGCCACGTCGACGCTTCCGGTCCACATCAACAACGTATCCGCGGCCGTCGAGTCCCTCTCTGCCAAGTACTCTGACGGACTGAAAGACGTCATCGCCTGGCTTGTCTCTGCCCCGAAGCCGGGCGACAACTCTAAGAACATCGATAACTTCATGAGGGGTATCACCGCGCACATGGTGCAATACAGCGATCTCGCGCTGCAGGCGGCCGATGGTATCACCTCGGACCTCTACCGGGAGGTCGAGAATGGCAGGCTCGTGCGCCTCCTGTGCAAACTGGGGACGATCAATGAGCGGGGCGAGTTTGCGGGGGACCCGAACTGGTCGGAACACGGAGAGCGATACCCACTGAAGCTCTTCCGTGACTATGTCTTCCACCAGGTTGACCAGGACGGGAATCCGCGTCTGAATCTAGGCCACATGATGGCCTGTATGAACAAGCTCGACGCGGCGTCCGAGGAGAGGGTTTACCTGACGAGCCGTGATGGCCAGGACGCGTTTATCCTCACGTTCAAGGAGCTGAAGCAGATGATTGAGCGCGCGTTTAATGAACTCGCGAAGCAAAGTAAGCAAGGAGCTCCCGGGGCCTGACAGGCGAGGCCCCATACCTAGCCGGACACATTTGGAGGCTTTGAAGGCGGATGGGTTCGAGGAAATGGACAAGGCTCTTGCGACCTTGTCCATATGTAGGAAGTATACGGGGACAGTTTCGGATGACCGATGCCTTCGTTAAAGCTCGGCTTAGGTTTACGTCCGTCCCTCATTGGGGTATCTGGAACCAAACCGGCGGGCGGGGAGGCATCTACATTGCTCTGGCGCCGAGCTGCGTTGCGTTGCGTTGCGTTGCTTTTTTTTTTTTTTTCAAAAAAAAAAAAAAGTCTACTGAGGTACGGCGAAGCCTCCGGACTAGGACACTGGAAGCTCAGTTGGCACAAGGGAGAGGGTTGATAGGCAGTAGCCCGGCCTCGTTGGGGTGGATGAAGCTTTTAGCTAGACCCTGCGGCTCCCCTGTCATTGACGAGCGTCCTATCAAATAGGTAGCGTCCTATCAAATAGACATCAAGCAAGACGAAATAAAATTGATAACATAACAGAAGGCCATGAGTGAAATTCTGCGATGATCGTGGCAAATGCCAATGCAATGCCATATACTTTTGGCATTATTTTCCCCTCATGCAGAAGGGTGTTGTGGTATGTGGTATCACTGAGGAGCAATTCCATCTCTCGCCCGATATGTATGTGGCCGTTGACTCCGCAAGGACGCCGCGTACATTCGCAGCCCGACATATTATCCATGGCAACCGGCGCGCCTCCTCCACCGCCGTTTGCTCACCACCTCCCTTTTTTCTTTTTCCCTTTCCCATGCTCTCTCTCTCCCACATGTCTAATTTGGCCCACCCGGTCGATACATCATGTGTCCGTCCGTCCCACCTGCCTCCGACCATCAATCGTCGTCCGCCTGCAGGAACGGGTTGGCGATCTCCTCGCTGCCGTCCAGGGGGCTGATGACCACGAGCAGGGTGCCGCGCGCCACGACGAGGCCGAGCGGCCGGGTCGTCTCGTTTCCTTCGTCGTCTGCGAGGGTGGGGGGGAGGAAGGTCTCAGCGTCTGGTCCTGGGGACAAAACACACACACACGACTTGAGGGAGGAAAGGGTTGGGGGGGAAGGGTGTTTATGGAGTCAAGTAAAGCAAACACACCTCTGAGCTGTTCTTCCACCTCGTCCAGAACCAGGTTCATCAGCGCGTCGTAGCCCTTGAGCGTGCCGGTCACTGTTTCCTTCCGAGTCAGCTCCGCCATTTCTGTTTTCCGGGAGAGGTGTGCAAGTCACGCTGCAAAGCACCGTCGGCCGGGGGGGGGGGGGGGGGGGGGGGGTAGATGTTTTTTTGTTGTGGGGGGGGGGGTTGGAAAAGAAAAGACAGGCCCGCCAGCTTCTATAACTGAACAGGGAGGAAGAAGAAGGGGTGAG